TACCGCAGATGCCCTCCCTCTGCAGGCCTTTGCCATCACACTCAGCGACGATGTGATTGAGGACCTCATACAATGTATGGAAGATGGGGAGGACATACACTTATCGCTGGGGAATGTTCCCGTAAGTGCGCCCGTACGATATGATCTCCTGTGGGCTTCGTGGTGGAAAGGGGCCGCGTGCGTGCGCGTGTGCAAAGAACGGTGGCCGTCTATTGTTCTTACGCAGGACAAAAGAAAAACATACAACCACAGTACTCAAGGCATATGATCAATGGCCTCGCTCCTTAAAAGTTATTCTTATTTGGAACAATGAGACCAGGACGGGCAATTGTTCTGGGCATCGCCCTATTTAGCAACCACCTACTGACTTGACTTCTCTTATGCAACAGTCATTCCTCTACGGCAGCGAAACCGAAGTTTACAAGATCGCTAAATCCTCAGAGATCACCGACCTCGACCTCTATCTTACCGACCCTTCAGACTCGACACAACAAGCAGAGAGATTACCACTTCCGACCATGTCCCTCTTCTCGAAACCACCACTCGCCCGATATCCCCGACTGGCTGAGGGCCGCGAGGTGGCTCGGGACAAGATCTCGTACAAGGGCCCTGCAGCACGCCACAAGCCGCAGGATGCCAAGACGGAGGACGACTTCCTGAAGCTCAAGCAGTCCATACAGAAGGCCAATGACGAGAAGAAAGAGAACTCGTATGTGTGGCATCGTGGCAGTGGTTGGGACACGACCCGTACTAATGTGTCTGTACGTGTAGGACCAAGATACTCGAGTCGAATACGATCAGGACGACTGGTGCCAAGCAGGGTGCGACCAAGGGCAACAAGACGAAGTTGCTCCCGGGCAAGACAGGATCCATGGCCACCGCCATCAGCAGGTCTCGTCCTAACAGCCCTGCTTTGAGCGCGGGCATCTCCCCATCATTGAACCCCACGCTATCAGCTGCTGAGCAGGCCAAAGAGGAAGCCCGGGAGCTCCGGGCGCCCATCGTGCACGAGTTGGCCGCGAAAGAATTGTCACACGAGGAACTGCGATCACGGTGGCCCGGTGACGACGAGGATTTTCAAAAGGTACTTGACAAGGTGGCCGACTTCGACGACGGCCTGCAGAAGTTCACCCTCAAGAAGCTGTACTGGAAAGAGCTGGATGTGTTCAAGTACGATTACGACTCAGACGAAGATCGCCAGCTGGCCATCAACAACGCCATCAACCGGTACGACCGCATGCGGATGAGCGCTTCAGAGCCTGTGTGGGACAGACTGCTACCCAAGGAGGAGCGTGGGAAGGGCAAGTGCCTCAGCAAGCTCCTGCCGACCATCGCCAAGGGCCCGCCACAGCCTGCTGCGAGAACGCCCCAGCTCAAGATGAACGATGCCGAGGACTCGAGCGGCAGCAGGAACGGAGACGGCAGCCCGTCTAGCGCGGAGGCCAAGAACACAACCAAGAAGCTGAGCCAGCCCATGTCGCGGCAGACATCACAGACCAAGCAGCCAGCAAAGAAGATTGAGAAGAAATGGGTGGGCAAGAAGGCTGCCACCAAGGTGTCTCCGACGAAGGCCGGGGCCAAGTCCAAAGAAAAGGCCGGCCGTGTCCTTTCGAAGGAGTTCATCTCAGATTCGGATTCGTCCTCGTCGGAAGCGCCTCTGTCCAAGACTGTTCCTCGGGCGAAGAAGGACAGCGAGGACCGAGAAAGGGGGAGGGAGAAGGAGAGGCTTGAGAAGGAAAGGCTTGAGAGGGAGAGGCTGGAGAAGGAGAGGCTTGAGAAGGAGAGGCTTGAAAAGCAGAAGGAGAAGGAGGCAGTCTCAGCACCTCCTAAGCAGAAACCGAAGCCGTCCTCCGCACCCAAGGAGGTAATCAAGCCGCAAGTCATCGCCCGGCCGATTCCCAATAGGCGGCCCCGCGAGGACGCGTCTGACGACAGCAGCTCTAGCTCTGGCACCCCGCTGAGCAAGCGCACTAGCAAGGAGATCAAGGCTTCGGGCACGGCGCACTCTACGGTCTCCTACAAGCGACCGCCTTCCGACTCCAGCTCGCAGAGCTCGTCCCGCAGCAACAGCTACGTCGGACCTGGGTACACTACTAAGAACAAAAACACCAGCCCGGTGAAGTCGTCACCGCTGGCATCCTCCCCGCCTACCAATGCATCAGACTTGGACCAGCAGACAGCAGATGAGGCTCGTCACGAGCGTGAGCGCGACCGCTCTCGCGACCGCTCCGTGACCGTCGCCAACGGCACCATCAATGTGAAGAAGCGCAAGATGGAGGCCGATAGCGATGTCATCGATGTCGCTGTGGCGGAGAAGAAGCGCCAGCGTGTATCGACTAACATCTTGGAAGAGGCACGCCAGTTCAAGACATTCTACGAGGTGTACCAGAAGCTCCACTACGAGCTGTCGGGCGGCGGCACGTTCAGCCAGGAGAAGTACGACACACTGCTCAGGCAGCGAAAGAGGCTGGAAGGGCTGAAGGCCTCCATCTACAGACAGATGTCGAGAGAGTGCTATTGATGAAAGAGATAAGGAAAAACATGCGCAAATGATCTCACTCAGTTGCACGAGTTGACATGGGGAGGGACGGGACCCCAGAAAACAGAAGAGTGGGGCGAACTTTATGCTTGCATATAGGTCAGGTAACGCGCGACCAGGCTTGGATCCCGCGGGTTGTTGATTTTTGGTTTGATTTTTTGGGGTTCTCGGTTTATTGTCTCCTTCAGACGGCGTTCAGGGGAGGTGTTCATGTTTTATAGCTCGCCTATCGGCTTGAGCGTATCGTCTCGGCCGAATCCCGAGACAGCATTTGCAAAACCGGCTGCATTCACACCGGATGAGGTGTTACTGACTTGACAGGGGACGGCGATCTGCACTGAGCGTTTCATTTATTTTTCTTTTTCTTTCTTGCTTCTTCACCCCCCCTGCCCCCAAAGCCAGTTCCCAAATGGGAGGCAAATGATACCAAATGAGAGAGCGCAAAATGATATATTTACATGAGAATATTACACTGTCCAGCTGAGATGGGAGCCTAAGCGTCCTATGTGCATGTATCGAACAATGTCTTTGCCTACTCCGTATGCTGATGCATGATTTACTGTGATTATGTATCAGTCCGGGCCTGCCATGTATAAACTTGGGTCAATCAACACACAGACCTCATCGACACAAATGAGGGCCAAGTTCTAGAGAAGGTCAGGGCATCTTATCTTTTGGGCTTGATCACACAATGCTGTCTATGTGTATCTCATTCTCTGCCTGATTGGTTATACATGTGTGTAAGTATTCATTGACATGGCATTGTATAAGTTGCCTAGGTTAGCTTGACCCTTGAAAATGGGCGTCTCAAAGCTCGTCTACCCTTTCTTTTCTTCTTCCTGAAGCATACACAATAATATGTCGACTTCTCTCCACATAGCAAAGGTTGAATATGTAACACAATTTTTTCCATGTCCAATGAAGACAGACATGCCGTAGGCCAACACAAAGTCCTGCCGAGTATTTCCCCATGCAGTCTTCTCAATAATGAACCCCATCCATGTATACCCTCCATCATAGTCAGCATGAGAAGCAGGCGAAGAGTACCTTCTAGAGCCATATGTGTAGGCAGAAGTGAACAACAATGAGGATTATGTTTTGCCATGATTCACCTGGATGGCAGCAGCTCGTGGCCTATTTAATGGCAATTCTACTCCCTGGCTCTGATTCAAAGGTGGCTTCCCGGAACATCGCCTGGCTGAAGGGTGAAGAACTGCATAGCGTCCCAGGGAATAGATGTTATTCAATAGCAACTTTAAGTTGTCCATGTTTGTGCTTCTGCCTCCCCGGCTTGACTGCGACTGCCTCCATCACCCTTCTCCCTTCACCATTATATTTGAGCTGTGGGGAATACATATCTGGATCATCCTGTGAACGTACATGGCTGGCAGTGTCCTGAATGCTATCAGGGGCCTGTCTCTCTCATAATGTGAGTGCATGCGCAAGCTTGATTCTCCTGAAATGTGCTCCGTCCTGCTGCCTCCTTCTTCTTCTTCTTCTACTATGAACTGGAGCCTCATACTATCAACCTGATATCAGACAACTTTCCTAACACGGGATATCATTCACACACCATCTTTAACATACCAACTTCTGCAAAACCTTCTGGCAGATTCTTCTCTCTCTTTCGAATCTCCTAAAAACTTTTGATCCACACAACGTCCTTTGCCATGGCCCTCTGCCCATAACATTTTCTTCATCAAGATCCTATTCATCATCAGGTACGTCCTCTTCATGTTTTCCCGTTTCTTCATCATTTCCCTTCTTCTTCTTCTTCTTCTTCTTCACCAGTTTCCTCCTCTTGCTGAGGCCATTGGCCCAGAATCAGTCTGGTTCGTTCGTATCCTATTCACACAAGAACTATTCCCCTTGCCTGCGGTAGAGGGCGTCCCTGCTCCAATCACCGTTTTCAAGTCCATATCTGAACTACAATTGTATGTGAACAGATCAGAGCATTGTTCTATCCTCTGGCCATTCATAACAAACCATAAACTTCCTCACACCTGGGGCAGCCCAAGGTAAGAGGACACACAGCCCGGCATTAATTAAGACTGACTCACAAACTTGTCCTGGTCACTGGCTGTGGATGGTCTCTTGTCGTGGGTGGTCACAGGCGATGAAGCAGCTCAGGTTATTACAGGTTTTCATATTTATCTGTGGCAACCTGGAGTCACCCAGCTTCATTTCTCTTTTTGATCTCACTCCCTTCTCCAGCATCTTGGAGCCTTGACTCCAGATCAAGTCTCCAGGATACACAAAACTTGAGAACCACCTGGGGTCCTGGATCTATCTACCTCAACACCATCCATTCTTTTATCTCTCTGCCTCGCCATCAGTCCCTCCACCTGACCTTGGCCTCAGTCAAGAATCACTGACATAAAAGCAACCAGCGCCCCTCCGAGCCATCTTGGCTAGCCCCCTTCAAGCCATCCCTGCCCCCCCTTCCCCTTCGAAGTCAACAATGGTCCAGACCCGCAAGTATAACCCCCAGGAGATCAACTACGTCCTCTCTCGCATTGCAGCTGGCTGGGATTTCAAGATCATCGCCAAAGCATTCAAGCAAGACTTCCCCAGCCACTGGGAAGCACAAAAGTTCACAGCCAAACAGGTTGGGTACATGAAGGGTGCTTTTCAACAGCCCCCAGGGTGAGCATAGATTTAACACGACGCCTTTTTGAGCGGCAGGTTTTGCTGATGCACTCACCTCTAGAACTGTCAAGCCATACAGAGGCCCTATCCCCGCCTTTCCCAACTCCCCTACCCAGCCAACAAGCCCAGCAGTCGTGCAGCAAAAGATGGAGAGGAACAACTTCATGGCTGGCAATGCTACAGCTGGCATGGCCAGTGAGCCCCAGGGTGGACAAAATCCTGGCCAGCAAGACCAGACTGTTTGTTTACACTACCCCAGACTTCTGGAAGAGAGTATGTCGTCAAGCGACGCATTGGCTAACGAATAGTCCAAGATTGCTGAGATGATAGACTTTGACGCCCTCTTCAACAACAGCATCAATAACAACGACGCGCCTTTTGATTACAATGATGGCATCCCAAACCTTGATGACTACGATTTCAATCTGCCCGAAGGAAATCTGTATCCGACCACGCCTCCTGGCAACAACTCTGCCGGCTTTCAGGCCAGTGCAGGAGAGGACCTCGGACAGCCCATTCCCCCCTTGCCTGACATGAGCCAAGACCTGGCCAGCATAGGCGCGCAGTTTGACGTGGACGCGTTGGGTGAGGTCCTACAGGAGTCGGGTCCCATCATGGACGACATGCAGCCTGGAGCAGACAACCCCCTACCCTCCATTGAGCAACAAAGTCTTGGAGGTGGCGATGTTCACGAACCTGAAGCCGTCGGCGGCGAAGTCCAGCCCATGTTTCGAGGCAACGGCCAGGTCATGGCCATCACCAAGGATGGATATATTGGCATCCCTAGGTACGACGGCAAGTCAGCTGCTGGTCCCAGGATGCCTCCTCACTGCACGGGTGGCTCGGCCACGGAGCGTGATTCAGATGGCGTCTGGTTCGACGGCCCACACGACCGGTGCGTGGTCATGTTGGAACACCGACACGCCTGGGACGGTGGCATCCACTTCCGCGGCTACGAGGAGCTCGCGAACAGCTTCATTGCCATGGGCGACGCGCCTAATGGCACTGCCTACATCCTCGGCATCTCCACCGCTCTTCAGGTATTGCAGCACGAAGTGCGCACCACCTGCAACCATGAGCTCTGCATCAGGGCTAGGGACCTTGCCCAGCGCAGCGTCAACGCCGCTCTTCCTGCTGACTCTCCCTTCCGCCGTCACCCGCTAAAGGTGCCCCAGCCCGAGATCGCTGCCCTGCTGGCCGAGATCAACCTCCGACTGCCCGTCGGATACTACTACGATCCCATGACAGATATGGCCGTCAATTGCGATTCGTTGGTTGATGAGGCCTCGATCGGTAGCACTTTCCTCGCATCTCTGGGCATCGCCCCCATACCCGCGGGCCAGATTAATGCTCAGCAGGACGCAGGCAGCCAGGCCGACGTTGGACAGAACATGCGCGGCTACCAAGATATGAGCACCGCACAGCAGGGCTCCGGCGCTTCCTCCGGCGCGCGAGACACTAGCCGACAGGCCACTGGCATGTCCAACACCCCCGACATCAACGCCCGGGTGTATGACCCCAACGGTAAAGCCATCATGTACGATCAAACTCCTCCGGCACCGTTCGCTTCCATGGAGAATTCCACATCGAGTCATCAGGCCCAGCAGACTGGCGGTCCCCAGTACCACTCCCAGCAGTTCCAAGGTCGACAGAACAATGGCTCGTCCAACCGCTCGCAGCAGCAGTCTGGACAGGAGAGATCTGGTCCTCCAAACTACCCCCAGCAGCACCCTGTTCATCATCAGACAGCTGGATCCTCGAGCCAGCGACAGCAGCACTATAATGAGCAGCACCACCAGCAGCGAGCCGGTTCCACAAACTACTCTCAGCAGTTCCTTGATCAGCAGGCGTCTGGACCTTCGAGCCGACCTCAGCAGCATGCTGGCCACCAGCACCACGACCAGCAGCGCAACTTCGCTCAGCAGAGAGCTGGATCCTCAAGCCGTTCCCAGACCTACTATGGCGAGCCCAGCGGTAGTGGCACTGCCAACCACCCTCAACAGTACGCTGGTCACCAGGGACGAGCTGGCTCATCCAGCCATTCCCAGCAGGGCTATGGTCAGCAGCAGCAGCAGCAGCAGCAGCAGCAACCGCGAGGTGGCACTCCCTACCAGCCTCAGCAGTTCGCGGGCCAGAAGAGGGCTGGATCTCCGGTCCACCCCGAGGAGGACCCTCAGTATCTCCTCCGCCTGCGCCAGCGACAGGCGAACCATGCTCGTCAGGGGTAAAGATGTTTTTGAGAAAGGGTCGAGTGTGCAGCAGCAGTGGTTGTAGAATTGATGCTTTGTACTTGTCCCCAAGCTTGGAAAAATACAATAAGCTGGCAGAGCAGGTGGAGAAGCTGATCGGACCTAGCTCTCTACTTACCAAGAGGTAGGGAGCTCCTGCTGCTTCTATCCATCTAGCGTCGAGACCAGGGGGGTGGGACTGCAACCTCCTCAACAACCCATTTTGTACCTGCATGCTGCAGTCTGATTGTTTGACAGGTCAGTCTGCTTTGCAGATTTGCATTTCTTGCAGGTGAGTATTTTCAAGCTTTGTCGTCTTTCGTTTTCTCCCCACCCCTGATTCCTGGAAATCCGGCAACCTCATCTCTTCTGACCCTGCTCTGTGGTAGCCTTATTTACGACGGCTCCATCGCGAATCTGGGAGAATGGGTGTTCACAGCATGAACAACAAGGCCACAGGACAAAAGGTACATCGCTACATTTGTTGTCCAAAGCTTTGCAAAGATCATCTCACTAACACTGGCATCATTAGGACTGACTACACTGCCATCCCTTGGGAGCATACTTCCAAGAGGATTTCTACTTTTGTTCTCCGTCACTTTTCGCACTGACGATGGATATGATAGTACTGATTAGGTACTTAGCTAATCAAAGTGCGATGTATCAATTACTTGATCACGATAGATTGTGAAGAAAAGAAGACTGAAAAAGGTCATGTAAATTTGTATTGCCATGCTTCGTTTTCACAGAAGCAGGAGAGCAAAGTAAGAGGGCAGACTAAATAAATAAGTATCATGATAGATTTTACCACCCAAAACCCTTGCAGCGCCAATCAACAACAACATAAGCCGACCCAAGGGGGTATCGAGTGCGTAAAAAAGAAGTAGAGAAGCTGACGATAAGCAGGAATAGTAATGGGTTGTCCATGTGCACGTGCTCCGTGCCAATAGTCGTAATCGTCATAAAATGGCCGTTGCAGTTTCGAATTTTTGGAAAGTTGCCTTGAAGGAAAACATGCTTCTTTTTTTTGGTGTTCTTTTTTGTTGTGCACCAGTGAGGTGTATGTGTGTGGGTGTAACCGTAAACGAGACAAGAACAAAGGGGTAGTGGTAAAGAAGCGAGATGTAAAAAAGTTGGTCATGGGGTCGTAGTAGCTCTCAAGTCGTTTCTCCCCGGAAGTTCAGCGCACTCACACGGCGATGCTGACATTTTTCCTGTTCTCCACCTCATCCCACGGAAATCCAAACACCAGTCTGTACAGTTCCCTGAGGAACCCGTACTGTCCCTGTGACCTGAGGGACATCCAGCCCACACTCGCCGCAACATCCGTAGCATTGACCCTCCTTCCTCGGCTCGGCAGCGGCGCCGTGGTCCGGAAGGTCGTGTCCGAAAGCACCAGGTTTTTGTAATTCTGCAGTAAGGTCGCGTGGCTTGGAAGTGAGCCGAAGGAGCCAGTGGGTAGGCTCTTCACAAAGGTTCGCAGCGATGCCACGCCTGACTTGGTGTCAGCTAAGTCACGGTTGTAGCCAATGTTCATCGCCGCCTTGAGGATGAGAATCTTGATACGGGTAACGTTTACATCCTCGGCCGAAGTTGTCGTCGTCGCCGTGCTGCTCGTCTTCGCGCTCGACTGGGAGTAGCTCGACAAATTACTGGCGCTGCTCGACCAGCGACCACCGCGGGATCCGCCCTGGCTGTTTTCGGACTGCGTCCCCAATACGAGTATATTGGGCATCTGCGGGCTTTCACTGCCCGGTGAGATCGGCGTGTCTCCCGTATCTTCAAATTCGGTCACGGGCGTCTCGGGAACCGGTAGTTTTTGTTTGTTGCGCCGTGGTTGCGGGTCGTCCGGCAGGCCCTTGAGACTCTCCCGTTTCGATTTCATCGATCCGCGACTCGTTGTAGACCGCACGTCCGATGCCTGACTCTGCTGAAAATAGCCGTAGTGGCTTGGTCTTGGAGTGCCTCGGTCAGGCCTGACCTGTGTCCAGCCCTCTCTAAAGATGTCGCATAGCTCCCAGCATGCTTGGACCGCCGAGCCCAAGAGTTCCTCGTCCGGTGCTTTGCCCTCGCGAGAGCTCTGTCGTAGGCTGAACAACATCTCGGCTAATGACCAGCATGCTCTGAGCAGAGAATCCGTCTCCTCGTCAAGCTCGCTCCGTTGCTTCATGAGGCGATGGCATAGAGTGATGTAGAAGTCCAACGTCCTCTCCCGAAATGCTTCTGGCAAGGTACGGCTGTCTTGAGCGCTGTAAAGACTACACAGCGTCGTCAGAATCTAAGTCTCTGTAAAATAAGGTGTCCAGGGTTGCTTACTGGTTATTGAGCTCAAAACTGACCCGCAAAACAGAGTCACCCGTCACATCCTTCCGTTGCCGCACGTCAAACAGCGACTGGCAAAAGTCCCGACATAGATCCAGGTTCGTTCGGGCGTTGGAAGACTCGATGGCATCGTCGCGGCTCTCATAGAGCTTCTGGCACAGCTTCCAGCAGCTCTTCCATGCCTTCTCGTGGGCATCAGGGGTACCAGAGCTATTGAACACACGCTCTCGATGAATTGAGCTGAGATTCGCTAGCGTATTGCAGAGAGTCCAGCATTCCTCCAGGGCGGCCTTGAGCGCCCTGATCTCTGAGTCTTCGATGGTGGCCGGAGTAGCAAAGTACTCGCTACGAGCGGTGTCCATCTCGCCGTCCGTCTCATGTTCATGAGATTCCGGAATCACTACATCTTATTAGTAAACACTCTCAATTATGAATAACTCAAGTCGCTTACAGTCAAGGCTGCTGGAACTACTTGATCGCAACCTTGCAGACTCGTTGAGAACATCCTTTAGGTCTTGTGCTTGGGGCGTGGCATTATCCAAAGAAAATGTTGCTGGCTTGACGTTCGTCGAGAGGGGCGAGAGCATTGGCTAAAGTTAGGGGAAAGAGTAAGTCACTACTGATGTGGAATGTGTACTGGGAATGAGATCGGTCCATACCTTGCCTGAGGGCTCGCTCAGGGGAGGACTGATGATGTCGTCAGGTTTGTCTGTATTATGGCCGGCCTCCGTCCCTGTCTGCCGCACTTTTAGTCTTCAGCACCATTTTGGTCCCAGGCTTCTCGTTCCACGCACCCAATGTTGAAACCCCTCGGGGGCATGTATCACCGAGACAGCCTCGTCGCTCGAGGACTTCCTTATGTGGTCAGGAATATTCGTCTTCAACTTTATGAGCTACAAAATCATCAGCCATGACGTCTCAAATGGAACCACCTGGTGTTCTCACTGTAGAGGTCGAAGCAGCATCAGCAGCGTCAGCCACGGCTGGTTGGCTAACAGTCTCCTGCTCTTCATCGTCGATCTCTGTAGTTTCTGTGCCGTTCGAAGTGACGGGTGAAGGTCCGACTATATCACTGGACGGGCTGAGAAGATGAGCGGATTGCGGCCTCACGTATGTGGTTGGCCGCAGGGTTTGCGAATCGGCAGGGTTTTGACTCGACCTAGGTAGGAGACTCGGAAGTCAGTTTAAGAGAACAGTACGGGGGGAAGACCCGATACGAGACAACACGAATGAGGCATGAGGAGTAGACAAGAATGAGTTGTTCCACGATAGCCACTGACATTTCTTGGAATCTGGTCAGAGGAGACATTATATTCCCAGTAGACGCTCTGAAGGGTGCTTCTAGTGCCATGGTCCCTCTCAGTAGAGTTTCCCAAACCCTGAATTAGTTGAGGCGGTACTGTGAGGGTTTGGACGTCGTCGCAAAGGTCGAGGAAGCCGTGATCGAGCCCAGATAGCGAAATCAAAGTAACATTCGAGCTGAGCGCATCGACAATGCCTAGCCAACAGGGCAATACAAAAGCCCAATGTCGGTTGCTCGACGGCGCTAGAGGCAGCGGGAGCCAGACAATTCAGTTGTGGTGAGGGAGAGTGCCGAAGGTGACCCAACGGGAGTGGCTTGCCCAGACGGTGATAACGCGCCTGGTGTGAGAGCACTGTACAGGAGGACCAGAGGGCGGGATGAGGGGCAGATGCCACTTAAAGGTGAAGGTTGTCCTGCCTGCGTGATATCCAGGCAGGGTTGCAAGCACCAACGTAGGCCGGCTAAGCATGGACAAGGCTCCCAGGAGCGCCAGACCAGACCGAGGGACAGGGGATGCGCGCGCGGCGCGAGACAGAGAAGTGGGCAGCCGAAATCCTCCTCTGGAGGTTCAAGGAAAAGACGTGTTTTCTGTAGCCGCGAGAACGAGCATTGGAAAGACAAGCGTGTAGCCCTCGGTGGATCTGTCTGCGGCCTAGCGAGTCTTTGACAGCTCAAAACCAACAGCGCACGCAAGGAGATTTCAGGAAAGTCAATCAAGGGGAGCGGGCGCCGACGAATGGCGCCCCGAGGTTGGCGCGGGCCGGACGGTTGGTAACGTCGGTGCGACACCGGCTGTGGTCAGAGGACAAAAGGTGCGCCTCGGGTTTTCTGCGCAATGATGAAGTTTTTTGTGGGAAGACCTGATACCCGTGGCGTTCGGCGACTTCGAATTGGTGGTGAAATCGAGCCAGTGAAAGACGGGTCTCAAATTTGACTGGTGGTGTACGGCGATGTGGTTAGAAGGATGAGCCTCGCCGGAAGGGGGGGGGGGGGGCGTGAGAGGCGAGAACGGAAGTGACCAGGAACGTGGGACGATAGAACCTTTCCGGCAGGCTGCTATAATTGGTGCGCCGCGACAGCCAAAGATTCTCCTGCAGTCACTATTGTTTGAGCGTACGCAAGAGAGAAAGGAATCTTGAGAGGTGGGGGAGGCAAAGATTTCGAAAGGTCAGGAGGCTTTGCCTGGTCGCAATACTTGCTGCGAGGAACCTAGTTCAGTGATCCAGCCCGTCACGTACTATGCATGGACTTGCAGTGGTGTTCCCGGCGGGTGCAGATGCTCTCTTTCTTTTCTTTCGTCCATCAAACCCCCTCCAAGACGCTCCCAGCCAGTAGGAAGAGGACGACGAGCCGGCCTGGTGGAGGCCAAGGCTGGTAGCCAGTAAAGAGCTGCATGAGGCGACAGGGCCTCGGCGCTTAGAGATGGTGTCAAGGTGTGCAGCTCGGGGGGGACCCATTCAACGAGCAAGTCACATCGGGGTCAAATGCTGTGCTACCCCTGTCGATAACACAGGTCCGGAACCAAACTAGAAGAAGGGCAATGCGTATACCCTGCGGCCGCGCTGATAGAGAAAGACTGAAGGCCAGCGCCAGTCTTGGCCCTCTTCATCATCGTCTCTAGAACATGTCGGCGTCGTGACTTGGGTTCCCAGCCAGCCGGATCAGAAGCAGGTGGATGGAGCCACGCGATCGACAGGGCAACCATTACCGTTCCTTATGGGCCAATGAATTCGGGGCCCACTGAATAGTCAGGATTGTGATGTTTCTGGCGACTTGACAGTTGGCAGGGCGGCGACATGGTTGTTCCTGTGCGGGCTGCATCTCTTGCAGCTCCTGGCGGGTGACTGCAGCTCGAGCTGGTCATCCTGAGGTGATGTTTGTTTTTTCTGGGGGGAGGGGGCGTCTACTATGGTATTTTTTCTTCTTTCAATTATTTTTATTTTTACTTACCGGGTCTCAAAGTTCCATCGGATCGGCAGAAGGGCGACGTGGGTGCCTCGCGATGTCATCGTTCCTCCGTTACACTTGGAACATCAACAGTGCTGGGTGAGGGAAGACAGACTGGACCGAGCTGCAGCTTGCCGGCTAGCCATCACCTGTTTCTTGGGCCCTTGGGTGTGACCCTTTGTCTACCGAGGCATGTTGTGCAATCCTGTTGGCTCTCACGCTTCTTCTGTTGCTGCTGTTGCTACTGCAGTGTGCAGCGTGTGCTGCACCTCCCAACCCCTCTGTGGATCTTCCACAATCCCTGTCTCGTCCTCATGAGTGTCCCGGAGATCTGGGAACCCTCTTCCTTCTGAGTTTAGCGTCACCTATTCCTGGGCCTTGCCCCGGACCAAGAGATGCTGATCGACTTCTGGAGGTCGGCGTTCGATAGCATGGCGCCTCAATTGACAAATATTAATGGAACAATTATGAGTAGACAAGCTCGATCATCTAACGATTCCATTATTGTGCCTCATGTCATCATGGTGTTATAGTGACTGGCGATTGCCGATATGTGTGACGACAAGGTTGTGGATCGAGGAGCCACCCATGGTCTTGGTTTGGGCGCGGAAACACGGAGGCAGGCATGCACGCATGGCAAGGCATGGCAAAGCAAAGCAAGGAAGGTACAAGTGTTCCCGTGAAGTTTCCGGATGGTGTCGGCTCTTTCTTGCGGATTGACAGGCGACGGACCAAAGTGCTTGGTGGGGTCATGTCTTCTTTAGCCTTCGAGCCCATCCCTGCCGTCTGAGCCAGTGTGATTCTTGGACGACGAGTGAGAATCCAGAGCCAGCCTCCTTCAGAGCACACCGGCGTTGGGTCTGACATGTATGTTATCCAGATCATCCTGAACTATACCACCTGTTTGGATAGCTGACAGCCTTATGGTTTGTCACACCTACCATAGTATAAGACTAGTAAGATTGTCTTTTGATACCCAAATCCCGCATTGGGCCGCTGGGTGCTGAAGAACAACAGGGCTCATCGTGGTGGGAAATCTTTTGTCCAAGGAAGCACTTACTCCCCTCGACGGGTCGATCGTACAGATGCCTCCGTCCGCTTCGTATTGTCCACGACGGTGTCGAGTCATTTGAAGACGGTCGTCTGCACGTTGGGTTGATCTCTGCAGAACTAGCTTGACTTCAGCCCCGAGAATGTGGTCCCGGGCATTTCGTCCGCATCCTGACCGCCTTGTACGACGTTGACACGTCTTCGATATAGCTGCAGCTTAGCCGCCGGGAGAGAGTCGATGATCCTGGCTGGTATCACCAGCGCGTCCACACAGGCTGTCGTGGAAGACGATATGATCCAGACTACTCCGGCTGTCGTGCATATGTATGATGTGTCGGCGCATTATGGGACAGGAATGAATGTTTTCCTTCCGGTTCGGAAAGAGCGGCTTGTCTGAAGCTTGATTTGGGAGGTATAGGCTGATAGCTAGAGATAGCTAGTAGCGCTGCGTCTATTTGTCCAACCACGTCGGGAGAGGCGTTGGGGTAGGGCAACCAAAGAAATCCTACCAACCAAATATGCAGAGGACAATTTTTTGCCTGGTCATTGCGGCAATCTTTCCTGGATCATCCCCTCTCTGAGTCCAACGCCGCCTGCCTTGTTGATAACCCACAAGAACTCACTAACCATGGATGCCCCGTTTCAGACTCTTGTGGCTGCCTTCCCTCGCTCGGTAGTTTCGAGTTTCCATCTTTCCAAGCCTACCTTCGCCAATTCATATTCCGAAGCGCATTGCTGCCTTGCCGACAGAAAGCAGAGTAGCACGTCGAGGCAGCAGACCACGTAGATAGAAGTATGCAATGCATAGCAGGATCAGCATATGCAGACTTTTGGCGAGGGCGCGCGAGGCGTTCCATTGTCTTCCTTCACAATTCTTCTTGAAGTCCCTCTTTCAAGAAATCCAGCCATTCGATATCAAGTTTTCTTCGCGTCTAGCCCCGTGAATTCGTAGAAAAAGAACACAAGCCATGACGCCATGCAATGAAAAACAAAAGCTATTTTTTTTTTTTTTTGGTTCCAGATCCGCGCCTCTTTCCGTCTACTGGTTCTGGTGCAGCTGGTTCTTCTTCTCGTTGCGTCCATCGGGCGTGTACCTGCAGAGACATTTGTTGTCAGCCAATGGTGAGGTTGTCTGAGGTCCGCGAAAAACGTACTTGAGTAGCTTCTCAATGAGGTCGACGTGGGTCATGATCATACGGCGGCAGCAATACCGTTTCAGGCCGAGCTGGTCCATCGCGTCTCTGTCGCATCGCGTCAGCTCATCGCCCACCCCGGAAGTCCATCGCACCACTGAGCGCTCTTACCCGTCAGGAATGTCCTGGTCGATCATGGCCAGATAGCGCTCCCACAAATCGGCTGTCACCTACGCCTGGTGTCAGTCTCGTGCTTTTCAGGGTTCGTTTTGTCTGCTTGCTGACCTTGCCGCAGGAGAAGCACCGCACGGGGATAATCATCCTTTCTCAACGATCAAAAGCAAGGCGGATGCAGGTTGAGGTTTCAAGAGAAGTTCTCACGGAGAAGCGGTTTCGATGCGATGCAGGATGGTCAAGAGTGCTGGGTGTAGTGGGACTGGGTTCTAAAGGCGGTAGAAGAGGAATCATTGATTGTCTAAGGTCAAAATTAGGAGCAAGTCGAGCCGCCTCTGACTTTCGAGTGACGAGCCCCACTTAAAATTCTCTTATCGCCGCCTTATCGTGCACTCAAGAAATTCTCAGCAGTGAAGGCCCTGGTACCTGTCTGTGCCTTGCGGGATCATGCAAAGTCCTCATGGGTGACACCTTTCTCTGCCCCCCACGACAAAGCACTCATTCCCCCCTCTTCCTGTCCGACCTGACCTGCACCATGGCATCCTCCAGGCCACAGGCCAGCCAAGGATCTGAGAAGAGGAAGAGAGACAAGGCCGACCGAGACGAGTCGTCCCACACCAAGAAACGAAAACACGGACGGGCGGACAAGGAGAACGCTTCTGCCACGCCGTCAAGGAAAGGACATGCGGACCGCGCGAGCGACGAGACGGCTACCAATCAAGGCGGGATCGAGTCTCGAGCGAAGGACGGTTTCTTTCAGAGGAACAACTCGCAGAATTGGAGAATATCCGAGCCAATGGGTGGAAGGATGTCTGATGTAGATCCCATCTTCAGTGCGGACGAGAAGTAGGTCTTGGGCTCCCTCTCACGAGCATTGCGCTGTACTGACGTCCGATCTAGGTTCCTACTCATCACTTACGACACATCACTCCAAATCTACTCTGTCGCCGACTCCCTGCTGGTCCGCCGGATTGCGCTGCCTGTTGTCGGCGCGAACAGTGGCGCTCCTTACCTCGTCGCATCGGCACTCTCCGAAACGTCACCAAATCTTGTCTGGCTCGCTGCCTCCGACGGACGCATATGGCGCATTGATTGGACGAACGGCACTGGGGTCGAGGACTGCTTCCGAACGAAGGCAGGAGTTATCCACGATATGACAGTCGGGTCGGTCAGCTTGAACAAGACGCCTTCGGATGTCCTATTTGTCTCGGAGAGCCTGAAATCCTCCTTCAAAATTGTCGCATACGATCCATCAGACCTTGCCAGCCCCAAGAGCCATGTCCTGCAAAGTGACATAGGGAGAGTTAATATTGTCCGGGCCGCCATCGGTGGCCTCGTGCTTGTTGCTGTCGCAGGGAGCACGATGCTCGTGGGTACCCTGAAGCAAAAGACCAACCACAGCGTGGAGAACCTGCACTATGACTTTTACTCTGTAAACACAGTCGACGATGTGTGCTGCCTGAGCATAAGGCACGTGCCTAAGAAATCTGGCTCCAAAAAGAAGGCTGGTCACGATTCGAACGATTTGGTTGTTGACGTGGCCGTTGGATGTGTCCGAGGTGCCCTTTTCGTGTACTCAGATTTGCTCACACAGCTGCAAAATAAATTGAAAAAGGGACTCGACGTACCTAGGAAGCAACATTGGCATCGGAAGGCTGTCCACAGTGTGGCATGGTCCAAAGATGGTATGTCTCCTGATGGAATGATAGCCTGCCCAAGGTTTTACCATTGCTAACGAACTTTGCTAGGCAATTATCTCATATCCGGTGGCTCAGAGTCAGTACTTGTACTGTGGCAACTGGACACCGGCAAACTTGACTTTCTTCCGCACCTTGCTGCCAGCATCGAGAATATCGTGGTCTCCCCCAGCGGCTCGTCTTACGCTGTTCACATGGATGACAACTCGTCAATGGTCCTGTCCACCGCGGAAATGAAGCCCACCACTTATGTGTCAGGTCTACAATCGCTTGTCTTCGAGGCCAAGAAATCCAAGGATGAGTTGATCCACCGTGTAGCTGAGGGTCTTAACGAGATCAATGCGCCACTAGCAGCTGCCATCGACCCCAGAGACCCATCTCAGCTGCTTATCTGCGTCGGCAGCAGCCAACAAGCCACTCGCGTCGGCTCGTTACCGATCACGCCTTTCCTGCAGCGCTTCGACCTTGGGTCTTTCCAAAGTCTTGCAAAACAGCCACTGACCAGGACGAACACTGCTCAGCTGTACGCAGCACCCTCGGGCCATCCGATCATCGAGCCAAGAGCATGCCAGCTCGCCTTTTCCCATGACGGCAAATGGCTCGCCACTATCGACGAGTGGGAACCTCCTGAGCGAGATGTAGTGGCCCTTACGGAGGGCTCGATCGCTGCAGCGGAGGAGTACACCCGTGAACGTCGTGAGGTATACCTCAAGTTCTGGGAGACGAAGGACGACGGGACGACCATGACACTATCTAGCAGGGTCAATGGCCCTCATTCGACGCGGCAGCCGGAAGATGTCTTCGCTATCGCTGCAGACAGAGTGTCTACTAAGTTTGCGACTGTTGGAGAGGACGGCTGCCTTCGAATTTGGGCTCCTCGGCTTCGCGAGCGTGACGGTCTCGCGACCACCGCTCCCACCGGGGAGGCTTTGGTCAGCTGGTCTTGTGTTCGGACGATAGCACTGGGTGAGAGTGTGAAGTCACAGGACGAGCTGATGCCCATGGGAGGGCAGGCGACGCAAAAGAAGAGCGGGGCGCTGACCTACTCGGAAGACGGCTCCATTCTATTTGTGGCATATGGTTTCTACAACGAAGTCGTCATCTATATCATTGACATGGAGTCAGGAGAGATACGGAATAGCCTGCAAGACCTGTGCAAGGGTGCCGTCAGATCACTACAGCTCCTCAACTCTTGCCTGATCATACTCTCTGAGGACCTCGCTGTGTACGACCTCGTGAGGGATGAGCTTCGGTACGGCGTTCAGTTAGGTGACAGGTCACAGTCTGCCGCAAAGATGACCCACCTTGCCGTCGACAACAAATCTCAGAGCTTCGCAGTCGCGCTGCCCTTCCTGAAAGCTACCAACGGGAAGTTGTCAAGGGGCGCCTTCTCGGAGGTTGCGATCTTCGGCCTGGAGGACAACGAACCTCACTTGATGAAGAAGCTCCCACACCTCGTCACTGCACTTCTGCCGGCCGTCGGCTCATCGGGCTTCGTGGCCGTCGACTCAGCAGCGCAGATCTGGCCTATCGTGGAGGGCACGGACTCGTCGAACATCGCGCGGCCCCTGTCCGAGCTGAAGCTTGACGACCAGCCCACCGCCGAGGAGGACGCAGCGGAAGAGAGCAAACCCGTCATCATAGATGGTGCTGATGACGAGGGCAGCGATGAAGAACTTGACGGCGAGGCTATGGATGTCGATGAGGGTGATGACGACGCACATGCTGCCGTCGTTGCACCGCAGCGTCTCGCTGAGATCTTTGACGCCGCACCTGCTTTTGCGATGCCACCGGTCGAGGATACCTTCTACAAAGTGGTGGGCTTATTCTCCCAGAAGACGTCGCAGGGCAGTTGAGCGGTTCAGATTCCCAAAGAAGAAGTCACTGCGAGTCGGAAATCAAGAGACGGACAGACACTCTACAGGTGAAGAGCTATGGAGAAGACCTCCGGATCACTATTTATGTGCTGCGCCAAGAAACGAGTCGTTGGTAGTCGGCGTGATGATGGTCGCATCTGCCCCTAGGACAGGTTGAACACCGATTTTCGGCCCTTGCCCATTGACCACGCACGATGAGGTCACAGGCGGATGGATGGTGATAACCTATGGGCTTGGTGTACATACTGCATAGAGCACACTCGGGCTAGCTAGACGGCGTCAAGCATGACGCGTCCAGTCTCCCGTGTGAGTACGATGACATTGAACATCACGGGATAAATCTAAAAGTCAAATCAATCATAAGCATACATCTTATTTTACAGCGCTGTTTGCGAATCGAATCATGATCATCTTCTTTTTATCATGCATGTCCACCTCGCTGCTCTGAGCACACTCTTCTCCCCCATTGCGATGCCTCTCAAGTCTTTCTCACTCGATTATGTCGCTCCGTCCCGCTCATGTTGAGTCTTTTCCCAGCGGCAATGAATAAAATTGACATAGGATATATCATTGTGGTCACATTGAAATTAGACAAGCTCGATATAGCAATCTGAGAAACACGGAAAAACATTGGGGTATCATTTCTAAGCTCGTTGAGGTATCGTCCTCGTCACTCTGAGGTTTCTGGCATTCTAGCAAGAATAATCGATGGCCACTCCGTGACAGCCCGCCAGATAAACATCTGAGGCGACCTGGCCCCAATACGCGACTCTCCCTCCGGCTGAATACATCGGCCATAAAAAAAGAAGTCTGCGCGGATGAATCCCGAGTATGGGCCGTTGCGGCGGATGTACAACCATCCTAAATGGGCTGATCATCGAGTCGTTGGGAAATTCGAGCAGCCGTTCAGCAAAACACTGCGACATCGCTCTCACCGGAACTGAAGGTGACCCACTGAAGGATTTTGCACCTGCTCCGCGGTCAAACCCTCGCCCCTGGCCACGAGGGACACCATCCGGACCTCGTCCATCGCCGGTCTCCTCCTGTCCTCCTCGGCCGCCGCACGACCGCCTATGCCAGGCTGTCCAGCCGGCTGTCCCGAGCTGGGGGCGATGGGCTGCATGTCCTTCATCGCCGTGTCCCCCTCACCATCCTCCTCGTCGCTGTCATCTTCCTCCTCGTCATCGCTATCGTCCTCCTCCTCTTCCTCGAGCGAGCGCTTCAGCCCCGTGCGGACGTTCTCGATCCCCATCGCTCGCTCCTCAGCCGTGTACAGGCTCTCCTCGAACTCGTGCGCGAACCTCTTCAGGCGCTCCCGGCACCAGGCCATCGAGTCGACCCACACATCTCCCAGGGGGATCGGCTCGTTCACCCGCTCCCCGCCCTCGTCATCAGACCCACTGGTACCCTCGCCCTCGGCCTCGTCCTCCTCCTCAGACGAGGACTCCCCGCCTGCGTCGAGGCCGCCCATCGAGAGGCCAAATTTAGCCTGCCGCCGCTCGGCACGCTCGCGCTCGCGCTGCGCGAGCAGGCCCTCCTGTGACACGAAGGAGCGGTCCGGGGAGATGCCCGCAGCGAGGGCCTCGTCGCGCGCTGCTTCGACGAGCGTCTCCACCTGGGGCTCGAGCTTCTTGCGGAGGAACACGCCGAGCACATCCTCCTGGGTGCGGCCCGGGTAGTTGGGGGATGGGTGGACGGCGAGGCGCTGGAAGAGGGCCGAGTGCTTGGAGAGGATCTCGAGGAGGTAGGTGGTGTGGTGCTTGAGGATACCGGCTGAGGTCTGGAGCGATTGTCTAGGAGAGGCCCAAAGTTCAGTCAGTCGAAAAGGCAACACACACACAGGAGGGAAGAAACGGAGGGAGAGAAGCAGGGAGAGAGGCTTGACAAAGGGAGATGGCGAACTTACGGGCTAGGCAGGCTTCCAGGGTTCATGTAGAGATCATGTTGAAAGCTCACAAGGCTGTTGGTGAGGTTCTGCAGGCGGAAGCGTGTGCCCTCGAGGGCGCGCAGCTCGGCAGGGCTCAGGCCAAGCCCACCTTGTCCTTGCGGCAGGTTATTTACTGGAGCCATGTTGCTTGCCATCATGGCCAGCTCAGGATATGAAGTGCCAGTTTGTCAGGGTGTATCTGTGTGCTGGCAGGTGTCTGGGTAGAAAATAAGAGTGCAAGCTTTGTTTCTGTCAGGCTGAAGCTATTCCAAGGTCGTCACACACAATGGGTTGAGGTTGAAGGTGGCAGCCCCCACCAAAAGCATCAAGCTTCCGCCAAAAATAAAGCCGGGGTTGGAGGGGTGGGTGGAACAACGGACCCCACCCTTAGACCACGACCCCTTGTCTTTGATACATAGTCATATTGTACAGTGTAGAAGTGCAAAAGTATTATCTACCCTAACCCTTGACTCACCCACCCCCCTCCCCTTTTTGTTTCTCTTTCTTTTTTAGTTCTTTCCCTTTTATTACCTCCTGACTGAGCACATTAAGTCATCCAGCAGGGATTCCTTCACCTCCTTGAAAGCCTCGTCAGCCTTTCCAATCACGACATCTTGCCTCCCATTTGCACCATCTCCTCTCCCCCAGATCCTCGCACCACATCCCTCTGCAAAAACAATTCTCGAACAAGTGTTTCTGTTTTCGATAGATCGGTGGGTAAAAGGGGTTGTGGTTTTTTTCTTTTCCGTCCATCTCATTTTCACTTCCTGTAGACCCCCCTCCCCCCTTCCCTTCCAACTTCACGGGTCCCTTGCAGCCAAGCCCGCTCCCCAGCCCTATGCTGGCATGCCGCAGGAACCGAAGCACGTCAGAACCTGGAGAAGTGACGAGACACCTCCCGTCGTTCTCTATGGCCCCATTTGTCAGGAGGAGACAGATGACAAGAGACATCTGGCCTCTTTGGAAGTCCAGACCGCCCTGTGGTGCTTGCCCAGGAGTTTGAGGAATGAGGGGCCGAATGAGCCGGCGAATTGCTTAGTTGTCTCAGATTTTTACTACACTTGTACAATGTCGCCATCTTAGGACATGGTTACATATCACCAAGGCATTTAGTTGACTGGTGAGATCGAGACCCAGCAGTTATGTAGCATATCCAATTGTCCATTTTTCTCTAAGTTCTAAACCTGCCTGACCAGCCAAGTCCAAGCAGTGCTTTTTGGAAACCGACCAAGAAAAGACTGACCAGACCCTTATCCGTTTCCCAAAAAAAAAAAAAAAAAAAATTTCTCGGCCAATATGACGCCGAACATAGATGGAAAATAATAAAATAACAGGACAGTTCATAGAAAAGGCAAGAAGGAAAGCCAGTTTCAGCGAGGAAAAGGGCAGAAACACTGCCAGACATATCGTGCGTCCGCTGGTGATACAATGAGACACGCTCAAAAGCTCCAATCAACATCCGTAACATCCAAGATAATCGTCGTTGTCGTTCGCAAAGAAAGTCATTCAAAAAGTTGTGTGTGAAAAAGAAAGTCCAAAATCACACAACTTCAGGCACCCGGGATATCATTCGCAGAAGTTTTTGAAAAAGAAAAGCATCGCGCGCTTTTGAAACAGTCGCAGGCGGTGTAGTGCTGGTGTGGTCTTCTTTTACTCTCCGTGAGCGCCGGCCTGGTCCACGAGGACGGTCTTGGTCGCGTTGCCATACTTGTCGACGGGCGGGTACCGCGCCATCCTCTCGAGGTTGTCAAGCTCCATATGAGAGCGGATGTATCTAAGATTGTGGTCAGCCCTGTTTCGCCCTAACACTTTTTTTTTATTTTTATTCTGAGTAAGATCTGTGTGCGTGAAGACTTACTCGTTGCGGCCATCCTTCTCAGGCTGGAAGTCCCAGCTGGTGAACTGGCCAATCTTCAGCGCCTTCCACACCAACTTGCGCTGCCTTTGGGACAAGAGGACCGCCTTGGTGATGGCGTCAAAGTCCCACCTCTCCTTGGCCTCGGCCTCGAAGGCGTCAAACACATCGCGGACCTTCTGGTCCTCAGCGGACAAGGAGCCTGTGCGCTTCTTGCCCAGGCTCTTGGCAAGGTCGTTGAGCTCGTACGGGTCGTTCTCGAGGTTGAAGAGCTGGCTGCCGTCCGTAGGGCAGGTGATGTACTTCCAGGCCCCGCGGCGGATCATCATCAGCGGCGCGATGGTGCCCTCGCCTGTGTACTCGGCGATGACGGTGTCGTGGCCGCCCTGACCGAGGAGGTGCGGCATCATAGACAGGCCGTCCATGGGGAAGGTAGGGTCTGGCTTGGTGCCAACCAGGTCGCACATGGTGGGCAGGATGTCGAGGGTGGAGACGTTCTCGGTCACGCGGTGGGGTGTGAACCACTTGGGATACGAGATGAGCATGGGCACGCGGACTGAGCCCTCAAAGTAGCTCATCTTGTACCAGAGGCCACGCTCGCCGAGCATGTCACCATGGTCCCCGCTGAAGACAATGATGGTGTCATCAGAGAGATTCAGGTCCTCGAGGGTCTCGATGAGCTTGCCAATGTTGTCATCGACGAAGCTGCAGGAGCCATAGTAGGCCCGCTTTGCCTTCTTGATCTGCTCGGGGGTGAAGTTCTCGTCCCACAGGTCGCAGACCTTCAGCAGGCGCTTGCTGTGGGGGTCTTGCTCTTCCTTGGGGATGTGAACCTTGGGCAGATCAATATCCACACCCTCGTAGCGCTCCCAGTACTTCTTGGAGATGGTGTACGGGTCATGAGGGTGAGTCAGTGAGACTGTCAGGCAGAAGGGGCGATCATCCGAGTTCCGGACGTGGTCCCGCAGGAACCTCTGGGACTGGAACATGACGTCCTCGTCGTAGTCCATCTGGTTGCTGGCAGCGCAGACGCCAGCCTGGAGGATGGAGCTGGCGTTGTGGTACCACTCGAGACGGGTGTCGGGCTTGTCCCAGTCGACGCACCAGCCAAAATCACCCGGGTAGATGTCCGAGGTGAGGCGTTTCTCGTAGCCGTGGAGCTGGTCGCCCACGAAGTGCATCTTGCCGGCGAGGGCAGTGACGTAGCCCTGGAGCCGCAAGTAGTGGGCATACGTCAGGGTGTCGCTGGGGATCTGGGCGGCGTTGTCGTAAGCGCCGATCTTCATGGGCAGCTGGCCCGAGATCATGCTCATGCGCGAAGGTGCGCAGAGCGGCGAGGGGCAGTAGGCTGAGTCGAACTGAACGGACCTCGCCGCGAGGGCGTCAAGGTGAGGCGTCTGGATCTGAGAGTCCGGGTTGTACATCTTCAGCTGTGGTGCGGACATCTGGTCGGCCATGATGTAGAGGATGTTGGGCTGCTTGCGTCCAGAACTGAGGCCTGGCGCCGTGCCCTCGTAGATGGCATTAGCAAAACCATTGCTGCCGCTGTGGCCAGCCCCATTGGAGGGGAGCTCTGGCTTCGACATGTTAGGTGAGGAGGGCAGAGAGTTCAAGTCGGGTGCCATTGTATCTGAGCTGAGTGTCTGTCTCTGTGTGTATGTATAGACAATGTAGTCCCAGGCCCAATGATCAATAAAACAACAGAAGCAGCAGAGTCCAGTCAAAATAAAACAAGGACAGTGGTGTGGTGAAAGCAGGAATGTAGAGCTCTCGATGGCGTGGGGGTGGTGTATGGTTTGTGGTGTGTGTAGAGGATGCGAGGCGTGTGAGAGTGAGAGAGTATGAGTGTGAGAGGGAAAGAGAGAGGTGGATAGAGGGACAGAAGGAAGGAGAAGCCTGATAATGGTGGTGGATGATAATGATGAAGGGATCAGAGGAGTTGAGGTAGAGGCGTCCGTCCCCTCTAGATATATGAATAGATTGTCTCTCCACAGATGATGTGTGTGTGTGTGTTTGCCCCCAACCCCTGAGAGTGTATAGAATGTATGTGCCTGAACAGACGAGGCAATGGGAAAAAATGCTCCAGGGAAGGGCCAATTGGTTGGTTGGATGGACCGGATGAGAAATGAGCCCGCGTATCCGCCTCAGGTGAACGACCAAGCACACAGTCGTACACTGTCTGTCGTTGACGTTGTGTGTCTGATAGTCACCTCTTCCTGCCGGATCGGTCCAGAAAAACAAGAGACTTATGCACAGGCCAGGAACAAGATAGGGAACAAGAAGAAGTGCAAGGTGCAAGACGCAAGACGCAACGTCGAAACGATGAACAAGGGGGATCCGCCCTTTTTTCCCTTTCCCTTTCCCACCCCCCTTTCTTCCCGAAGGGTTCCTGTGTCCCTGGAACCTGACCTACTCAAACAAGAAACACAGTGAGCTGGGGATGGCTGATCAACGCTTCAGCAGCAAGCACGCAATCCAGGTCCTGAATGCAATCAGCGAGGTAAGTCGGCCGACGCGTCTGTGTTAGTTCCCGAGCGGTGACGATGGCGCAATCGGGGGCAGTGGCACCATGAAGAGTTAAGTGGATGGATGACTCGATCTTATTTATGCTTGACCACAGTATGATTACTCAGTATCAAGACAGTAGTCAAGGTTGTGGTAGTAGTATTAGAGTAGTAGTAGTAGTAATAGTAGTAGTCTGCGGTGAAACATGACCCAGTGGGACATGGAGGCGAAGGAAAAAAGAAGACGAAAGGGGACGAAGAGGGGGGTCGGGTAAAATCCATGTGACAGTAGTAAAATAATAATGAAAAGCTCCACGGCCGATTGTGGTCCGCAGGGAAAACTGAACTAGACGCAGTGCGCCCTTCCATATGGGGATTGGCCCAAGACTCAGATATAGAGACAGTGACACAGAACAGTGCAGAAAACTGGTGAGCCAAGCCTGAACTAGCCTTTCTATTTGGTACCCAAGGAGCCCACATTGGGGGAAAAGGGAGAAAACCTGAAAACACGACAGGTCGGAACACAAGGAAACAGACCTACCCGCGGAACTTTCTCTACCTGACGTTAGGAGAATTTGCATTTTTGGGGCTCTTTGTCCAGAGACCCCGGCAGCCCCGGATTGATGGAACCCTTGCCTTACACTATACCGTAGTAGGCGCAGCGGGGTCTTCGCTCAAACCTCACGGTTCCTTCTTCTTCTTCTTCCATTCCACGGCAGCACGGGTCCGTTAGCGTGGCAGTGGCAACGGGTTCCACTCCCACCTGTCTTGGACCTGCAGCAACCTTTTTTTCGCGCCAGGACGACTGGAAATGTCGCCATTGGTAGAAGGCAAAGCTGCATACTGTACATAGTAGCACACATATTACTGCACCACACCTTAAGCCATAATATGTAACATAGTACTAAGGTATGTATTTGCAGTAGTGTTAGCGTGGCGGTGAGCATTGGCTGGGGGGGGGGGCTGAAGAACACGACAAGAAGCGTCACTAGGAGGCTGAGGCAATCGGACGAAATTCATCTCCCTTCTGGTCCCTCCTAGATCGGATCTGCGCGGTGACCCTACTGCTATCACACACATCAATGACTCGCGAGGAGGACTAAGCAGTGATTACTACTAGTCCTCCTCTACTTGAGAGAGGATAAGTAGATCTCCAAAGATGAACAATCAAAAAGCCGTATCTATGGATGAGTGTGGATCGTTGCTCGCCCCCGGGGGGTGTTGCACTTGTGTGGTGTTCAGTCCTGCGGTGAGACAAGTCCTTGACGGATTGTACAAACTGCCGCGTACTACCGTGCTACTTACCACAACTAATCATCCTACCCTAGTACTGTCACTCACACCACGCTCTAACTTTCATCAGGTGGACGTCGTCACCTCTCATATCCCTCTTCCCCAGTCAGTCACCCTCGCTTCGAGGTTCTCCCTCCCTTCTTCTTCCACCCCGTATTTTCCCCTGCAATGGAAGCAGTGGAACAATCGTCAGCCCCGAAAATCCCACTCTCTATATAATGGGGAGGGAAGTGTGGATTCAAAGAGGTGTACCACCGTAACAACTACATACTATAGTCATATCATAGGCAGTAGTATATGTGGGAGTGGAGAAGGGGAGGAGGGAGCAGGAAGGGGGAGGGGCGGATATTGGGGTGAGGGGGCAAGAGATCTGCATGACTACATCGCACCGTCCACACCGATACCAAGGGTGACAAGAGCCGCCATTTGCAAGGTGACTGGCCAGAACAAATGAGGGCGCTTCCCCTGACCGCACCCCTCGGACACGGCTGCACCACTTGGAGCCTTGGCTGTACGGCCCCAAGCTCCAACACACAGACACTGGTAGACAGGAGAAGATTCCCCGTGCCCCTTCCTGCCTGATGGAAAAACCCCCCCCCCCTCTCCCAAGGGACTCGTCAGAAACCTGCATCCCTGCATCTTTTTCTTTTAACCGGCAGTCATACTCCAGCAATTCACTGGTCTACCTGGTTGATTGATGAAACTTGGTCAGAATTCAATCCAGAGCTTGCGCATGCACTGGTGTCAGCCGCACTCCGCATATTCGAAATCTGGCCACGAGTCCCTCGTGGCGTGTTGATGACGATCCTGGCCCTGGACATGACTTCTCCAAGAGGCACGCGACCGGTAATGCAACCTCTGTAATTAGAGAGAGGGTGAAAGGGGGTAAGCTGGCGAGCAGGACATTCTACGATTAACTCTGGACCGCCTGCTGTGCCACTCAGCACCACATCGGCACGACAAGCAACCCTTATGCCCGCCGGGGATCCAAGACGCCCGGGGATTCGAAAGAAGCGAGTGCATGCAGCCGCAGCATGTAAAAGACAACCACGAGACAGGATAAGGCTCGCATGTCCCCTTTTTGGGAGAGAAGAGGGCCACTGACGGACGAACAAGTCATCACGCCCGGTCTAGGCCCTCGGTTCAAGCAGATCAGCAGGACACGCCCTCGTCCTCTTCTCCTCAGTTCTCCTCCTCCTCCTCCTCCTCCTCCTCCTCCTCCAAATCTTCTCATAGCTTCAAACTCCCACATGAGCAACGTGGCTCCAGACGCTCGTGTGATGACGCCCTCGACAGCTCGCGTCTCTACATCGGGCAAGTCCTGGCTCGGTATGCCGCCCGAGAGCCGTGCGCAGCCCTCCTTCCGTCGCACGCTTGCTGGCTGGCTGGCTGATTGCCCTCGCCGGACGGGACGCCATTGTCAGACCTGGCCAACTGCAGCGATGAACAGGTTGATCTGATAAGTGACGAGCCTTCTCGACTGGCCGGACTTGCGAGAGACGGCACAGATAAGTGTGAACACAGTCTGCACGAATCCAGTGCGAAGCGGGCATTGCAACGTAGCCTGATCCCGCTCATGTTGGGTTCAGGTTTTGGGCAGCTCGGGCAGGTGTGAGCGAGATAGGACCTCAGGCCAGTCGCCTCCTTGCTTTGGGCAAGCCAGGCGGCGTGCCCAGCCAACCACCCGATTTTTGGTTTCTCCCACCCCTGGAGTCGGAGACCTGATCGGGGTATGTGGACGGCTGCTGTGGTTCTAGTAAGATAAGTAACAGCTGTGATGCGTTGCAGTCCGCGGTGCCGTCTCTTGATTTGGCTGGTGCAAAGCGCTGCACGGGTCTCTTAGCAGTCCGTGCATTTGAGGGGAAGAACAGAGCCTACCGCCTGCCTACCTGAGAGCGTTGCTCCTTCAGGCTTTTGCTGTACAAAAAATATCTTGGTAGGAGCCCCCTCGAGGGCAACTTCCATACATGCAAATACTGGATAAGCTTTCCAAGAGCTACTCCACGTACTGGTCCTCAGCACATGCTCGACGCTGGTTTCAAGCGCTCGTCAGCAGCTCCCGAGGTCTCATCTTGGGCCTCGGCCGCAATTCGGGAGCCAAAGGACCCACAGCGATGAAGACCGTAACGACGCCCGCTATACGTCGACCGCTATACGTCGAAAGTATGCGATGTCACAATGTGCTTGCCGCCCATGTCCGTAAGGACCTGCCAGGTTGCGAAAGCAAGGGCGAGGTTGAGGAATTTCATGTTTAAAATAGTGTTTTGAGGTTTTTGAATAAATGGGGAAAAGAACAGACCTGTCCAGATATGCAGATCGTGGACTTGGAAAAGACGAAAGATTGATTATGAGTCAATAGGAAAACAAGACAAGTGGGATGAGGTTGATGATGATCGTTGTTAGTACTCTATTAACTGTGAGGTGACGTCCTTTGTTATATCTCGTTGACCTCTGCCATCCTCTCTGTTTTGACCACGCCCATGCAAATAACCATCCAGTCTTGCAGAAAGCCAACGTCTCCAAAAGTTGCGACTATTCCAGGACCGGACGGCATGGATAAGATCTGAGTTCCTTAGCAGATGGCCTTGCCTGGGGCCTCTAACCCAATTTCCTCGCCTACATTTGAAACAATAAGAGAGTTGATCCACAACTCTTGGAACATACACAGCTTTCGTAAACCCAGTATCATACAAGAGGAGGCTCACCGGCCACTGATTGGCCAAAGGCTAACTGCTTTGCTGCCAGGTGCCTCTTAAGATCAACTCCATGTTGAAGCTCATTTACAAATATCGAGTCAAGATTTTCTGTGTCAGTGCTCCTGTACAAGAGTTCGAACCTGTGTGGCCGTAGTGCGCCATCCCATCAACTTTTGTCAGCCAGAGCCCGGGCCGGAGAGGCAGCGAAATGGAGGCTCTGCTTGTTGTTTCAAGACCCTTTCTCTTGGTGTTTTCTTGGTCCAGCTCGCCGGAGCATTTGGCTCTTTGAAGACGATACGACTTGGCCATATTCGATATTGCTTTTATATCGGCACTTATGACGGCCACACGTGGTGCCCCCTGGGTTCTAAATAGTCTGCCGAAGGAACTCAGATGTTGGAATGTCAGACACTTATTTGAGCTGATGCCCCTATACCTCGATTACGTTAGCAGGCTGGCTGGGGACCCAATATAAGCATGTCTATATGATATCTGTACATTGCAACGTAGGCCTCCACAGCTGATCTATACCATGAACGACGGAGGCGCAAAATAATCATGCTATAACACATACCTCCGTAATATACTGTTCTGACTCCTGGTCATCTACAGCCTCAGTTCTACAGTTTCTTCAATCTTCCATTATCATATTTGTCAGTTTAGTGTACATTCTCTCAACCGTTAACCATTAAACCCATTAACTCGACTAAACATGGAGATCTCGTCCAGCGCAGTGTTCCAAAAGTTTGAGGAATATGAAGCCTACGAGAACCTTGATTTAGTACACTACAGCGCTGATATTGTGAGAGAAAGATTCAACAGGGGTGTTCTCAACAAGAGTACGTTCGCATGAACATCCATCTACCACATCAGTACTTTGTCGAGGTCTAACCATCGGCTGTAGATATGATTCTCGAGAGGTACACTGAGCAAGCGAGGTCCAGTCTTGCAAAATTGCTCCACGGCATAGAGCAGTGCTTCGAGGAGGCCTCTGGCGCATCAGGCAGTGAGTGGCGAGCCCTCTCAAACTTGGCTACTACTTCCCTTCCCAAAGGTCCTTAACACTCAATTATAATGCACCCGCCGCATCATCTAGATCTAATACAGCAGGAGCTCTAGCGTTTCGTCGTAGGGCGACTCTCCACAAAAGAGCCAGACGAACATGCCGTCGCCGTACTGTGCAGGCTCATCAACTTTCACGCCTCGTTCCCCTTCCCGCCCGTGTGGACAAGCGGAGATGGCGCCGCCACGCCTGTCATCGACAAGGCGGCGTTCGTCCGGGCCCTTTCCCTCCTCACACTTCACCCGCCCCCACCACACACACCACCCCTCGCCCAGCAAGCCACGCACGGCACGAGCACAGGCAGCGACCCCAACGCCCTAACCTGCACCCTGCACTTCACCACCAAGGGCGGAAAAGGTGCGCAAGACTACTGCCGGCGCCTGTTCCGCAGCCTAGCCATCCCAGGTGCCGTCTCGCCCTCCAGCGCATCCCCCTCCCACACGCTCCTCCTCGTCATGCCAAGGCTGGTCGTCAACCCCAAGCCCATGCCCGGCGCAGCTGGACGATCTCGACTGGGACCCCGAGGCAGGCCAGGTCTGCTACGTAGCCCACGAGGACGAGCGCAGTGTCGACGTCCTCGATGTCCTCGCCGAAACGGTGCCGGACTGCTAGAGGCTGATGAGGAGGCCGAACCGTGATGCGTTCGAGGTTGGGCCCCGCCGAACCTGCCTCGGTAAGAGCTCGGACTGCAGGAGCTACGCGTGCCGGGCGACGCTGCTGTGGCTTTTGTCCGACTAGGTGCGCCGCTGGACGTTGGTATCAAGGACAATGTTTCTCTCACCTGGGAAGCGTTCGACCACAGTCTATCCGTTGAGGGACACATCGTAAGTTTCCCTTCTGTTATTCCTAACTTGGAAGGGTTTGACTGCAGCTGCTAACGTTGAATGTAGGCTTCTGTTGCCGACTCTCTCGACGACAAGATCGCTTCCTTATTCCAGCATTAGTAGACAGCAGAGATATAGGTGGTTTCTTAAGCAGGCTTCGTGAGGGAACGTTGTAACGTAGTTGAGCGCGGGAATGTAATCATCTGTGTCCTCAAATAGACTGACTACTCGCGAACAAAGCACTATCTGTGATAAAGCCCACATGCCTCTATGATCATATGGAGTGTCTATTACGTACCATGCTTCAGGGTGCTGAAAGCCATATATCACCCACCGCCTACCTGCTATTACACCTAAAACGCCATTCACAACCATTGGACGCATGACTTTGAAAGCCTGCAGTAGAGTAGGTGACACTCTCACATTTTGCTCGATTTGTAGGATCTAAGATACCGAGAGGCTTGGCCAGTACTGGCCTGAATGCTAAATGTAACACACTTTCTACGTATGTACATCTGCACATTCATCCTTCCACCTGGGACAAGAACATGACCCCCATGGCAGATCCCAGTCCTACAAACACATGGTACAAAGCTCTCAACCAGGTACCTTTTCTAGCCCCGTCTGCGCGTCGTCGGAGCCTTCTTGGGCACAGCACTCGATGCGCCGGCATCCGAGGCGGACGGAGAAGAGGAAGTTGCAGATGCAGGTTGCAGGGCGATCACCTCCTTGCGCTTGCCCAGGGCCTTGGCGGAGGGCGCATTCCAATAGTATACCATCTGCGCGGCGAGCACGCAATTGAGCACGAAGCCCGCGACGAAGCCGTACAGAATCAGCTTGTCGTCGACCTCCTGGAAGGTTGTGAAGATGCGGACGGCTGAGCCGAGCAGGTAGTTGAAGACCTGCCGTATGCGGTAGTTAGTCGTGCTGTTGGGGTCTTTTTTTTCTTCATGCTCGAACGGGAAGCTGCATGCGCGTCTCGGGGAGAACGCCACTGCGCGGTTTACAAGGGCCCCACGAGCTCCTCACCCCTGGACGGGAAAGTGACATGTGCATATAGTAATGGCTAAAAATTGCCATTCTCGCATCGCATGCCAAACCGTGTCTGGAGGGAGGTGGGAGGAGGGGGGGGGGGGGGGGCTGAACATTGAATCAACACAAAGAACCTGCACTCACCGTGAACGCGCTCAACTGTCCCGTGCCGCCCTCCTGGTAGATGGCCAGGATCTGGGGCACCTTGCTGGCCACACCCAGCGTGCCCGCGCCCGCCTGCAGATATCCCAACACATCCATGCCCACAAGCGCCTCGCTGAACAGTGTCGCGACGCTCGCCGCCAGCACCGCCACGAACAGCGCCGCCAGGGATGGCTTGCCGCTGTAGTTCAGCACGAGCACGGTGATGACCACGTTTTGGCCCAGGATAAGCGCCGTCTCTCCGTACGTGGAGAAGGGGAAACCGTTGCGGACATTGTAGGCCAGCGAAATGAGGTAGCTCGTCGTCTCGAGGAGGTAGCTGAGGAAGGACACGCCGGATGCGGACTTGCTGCGCACGAGGTTGAGGATCTGTGGGACCTTGACGATGGAGGAGGCGGCCACGATGCCGATGCCGAGCGCTTTAGAGACGGCGAATTTCAGGCACTCGAGGTCGGCAACGTCGATGTCGAGGACGAGCGAGGAGTAGCATTGTTCGCCGAGGATGGAGACGCCCAGGTCGCGAATTGGTTGGGGCAGTTTGTGTGTCACAGGCTGCAGAATGGGCTGCAGGGTCGTTCGGAGCGAGTCCATCTTGACTGCTGTTGTGATAGCGTGCCTATGGCTCTTGAGAAAGCAAATCTGAAAGAGCGACGCGATGCGACATGCAACCCGCCCTGAAAGCGTGACGCGCTCTTCTGTTCGATGTCAGAGGGACTACTCGGCTGAACTAGCAAGTGGGAGCACAGGGCATTCACCCAGGGCTAAACAGAGCTTCTTGACTGGTGGTCGAAGTGAAGGTGAAGTGGACTGACGGATGGTGGAATACAAGCTTGTGACAGTCCAGACACCTGTCAGAATTCCAGTCAGCTAATAGCTAGTACCTCACCAGCAGCCCACTTCAGCAAGGGAGCTCTGATCCCTGGTGACACTGGGGGTAGCTTGGCGCACAGACCACACAGGACCCTGAAAGTTGAGGTCCGTCCCCACACAACATAATATTTCTCACACTGCCCTGCTGGATGCATTGAAAGGTATGAAGAGCAGAAGAGCATTTCATTATCTGCCTATAATGACCTGAGGGCTCAAAGGTTTAGAAAGATGCCCATTTTTGGTTTGAAATCCAGCCAGTACTCATGCTGGTGTGCTATCATCCGTTTTCTCTTTCCTTTTGTATTTGATGGCTGACTATTCGTGCGACACAAACAATTCCGAATAGCCAACCGCCCCGTCCATTATCGAAGTATCGGCCGTAGGATAATTAACCACTCATCAGCTGTGAGAGAGCCTGCCTTCGGGGCCCTCCTGCCAAGCGAAAATCATTTGTCACCTCTCATGACCATGTAGTTCCATAGCGACGAGGCCCAGGCAGCCCACTAGCTCTTTCTAGGTCGGCCTGGGCCACGACCAGATTTTGTAGGAGCGGCTGCCTTCTTAGAGCTCTCCTTGGGAGCGGCACCTTTCTTGGCCGGGGCGCTCTTCTTCGGTCCGGGCTTCTCCTTCTCCTCCTTGCGCGCCGACTCAAACTCATCCACTAAAGCAGCAGCGTGCGCCAGATTCTCCTTCGGCTCCCATGTGTTATCCGAGACCTTGTAGCCCTTCCACTTGACCAGATACATATGCTCCTTGGTTTCTTTGTCGATGCCATGGTCCAAGATTTGCTCGACCTCGTACTCCTCGCCCGCCTCCTCCTCCGCCACCTTCTTGGTCCTGGAGCCTGGTTTGGGTCCTCGCTTGGCGCCGGTAGCCTTTGGGGCCTGCAGGTAATGCGTTAGTTGTTATCGTTAGGAAGGAGACCCAAGAGGCGCAGGCGAAATGACGTACAGCCTTAGCAGTGCCGGGGGCAGCGCGTGGTCGTTTGGCCGAAGCCAGCTTGATGGCGTCAGAAGCGGCGGCGGCAGTAGCGCGACCGCGACTGTTGCGTTTGACAACAGGCTCGTCTGCAGAGGCGGCATCAGCCTTGCGCTTGCGACCAGCGGCAACGGGGCCACCCTTGTGAGTCTTTTTGGGAGTCGCAGAGCGCGACGCGGCGGTCGCAGGTCTGCCGCGCTTCTTTGCAGGCGCTGGGGCGGCAGGCGCCTTCACCACCATGGCAGTGCTGGGTATGTCTTCCTCATCGTTCTCTTCGTCCTCGTCGTTCTCTTGGTCTTCGCCCGCGCTGTTGTCCTCAGCCGATGTGTCGTTGTTTGAGGCGGACTTGGGCAGCTCCGTATCGCTCTCAGCTTCCTCGCCTTGCAGGATCTCGGGGACGACTGGGCCAGTGTCTGAATGCTCGTGGTCACTGCCGTCTAGGTTCTCGAACAGATCCGTCCCAATGTGAGGAATGGGGACGTCGTCGAAGTTGTCTCTGATAACGTTCAGACTTGGATTAGCTATCTATAGAAATCGCGCGGCGCGCGCAGCCCCTCTGGAAATGAGGCGCGACTGGTCTTACAGCTCTGGATCGTCAACGAAAGACATCTTGTCTGATGGTTTGTTGCCTGTCCTTCTTCCGCGTGCTGCGTGGTGTTTTAGAGAAAAGAGGAGGGGAGGGGGAAAAAAAAAATGGATTGACGCGTCCAGTGCAAGGAGAGACGAGTGGAAGATCGTTGTAAATATTCGTTGGAGCAAGAAGGATGGAAGGCGCGACCTGGGCAAACGCGTGTTAGATACCAACGCTGGGTACCTCTCGGCGCTCCATACACTACGGACCTTGTTTGTCTTTCTGCTTTCGCTGCGCGTTCACACTGCCGCTTACACTGGTGACACTGGACCAGCTAAAAAGAAGACAAGAAAGAAAAAAAGAAGAAATGAAACCTTCCTTTTGGATGACCGGACGTTTTGGGTTTCAATCGTACCGATGCGTCTCATCCAGCCAGTAAATAACGCTCATGGCAAACAAGCTCATATTGGATACTACTCCCCCCCGAACCCTGGCTCTCTCTTTTCCCGCCCAACGAAGTGGTGGGGGGGGGGGGTTTAAAGGAAAATAAAGCAAAAAAGACAGCCAAACAAATCAGAGTCTCAATGGAATGAATGGCCATGGCACATGCAATTTTCCCACCACATGTCCCGTCCTGTCGCATAGTCGACAATCGAGTCATATTCTGTCATGCTGTCATGCTGTCATGCTATCATGCTGTCAGGATTGTGTCTCTTCAGCCAGCATCTCTAAAACTTCAGTCACTAGCGAACATCTGAAGACAGCCTGGTAGATCAGCTGTGAGCCCGTGACAAGTTGTCTCACGATAGTCCATAATCCATTGGTGGTCATTCTAAACATCGCTCCTCTTTAAACGCAGTGTAGAGTCTAGAGATGCGCGCACACACAACGCTGATCCCATGCCTTCCATAAACCCCATTGCTTTGCAAAGACAACATGCCACCCATCAAAAATATCTCCATAGTGCTTTGCTTCATGGTTTCATGACCCTTTTAGTCCAGCTCTTCCACCCTCTCATCATCCTGGATGTCCTGAAAACGACCCTCTCGAAAGGCCTGCTCGACTGGGTTCTGTATGTCGATGATGCCGGTCTTTTTGAGCCTGTGAGACAGTTAGCATCCTTCCAAAGCAACGTGGAGAATAGAGAGGAGGGGAAAAGAAGAGAATAAAAAAAGACTGAGAGTTACGAGATCGGACAGCGTACCTCTCAAACAAGACAAATAGTCTCTCCGCCTCCCTCTCCTTCTCCTCATCCGTCATCTCTGGGACGTCAGGGCCCGTCTCCCGATCTAAGAATTGGCCCGTGATGGGATTGATTGGCCTGCTTCCAATCTCAATCCCAGTCTCCTCCCCACCCGACGCATTCTGCGGCACTGGGATGTTGTTCTGGAACAAAAATCCCGACGCGAAGCCGTACCCAACGTTATCGACAAATTTGTGGGCATCCTTGTCCGACATTTCGAAAAGGAGGTGCGAGATAGTGTCGCGCAGCTGTGGGGTGAGCGCGTTGGTCGAGTTCCGCAGGACTCTGGCTGGGAGAGTCTCGCCGCGGCCCAGGACCTTCTGCCTGTCCTCGGGCGTAGGGAGGAACTTGCCACGGAGGAAGGCCTTGACGGGTTCGGGGGCGGACTGGTATAGGAGCCGGAAGACGGAGAAGACGGGTGTGACGGTCTGTTCGAGTTCGTTGTCGCTGTACTTGGCTAGAGAGAGGTCGAGGAGATGAACGAGACGGTCTACCACAGAAGTTTGCGCGTCGCCTTCCGGGTAGAGGGCAGATTGTGCCTCTGCACTTTCAAGTTTGAGGTTGATGAGCGCGTTCACCAGGGCGCTGAAGGGGCCGTCGAGGGGTTGGGATGGTGTCAGGTCGCGACCGGTGATGAGTGCCACGATGTGAGCTACTGCTGGTGTAAACGAGTCGACCCTTGTTGGACAGTAGTGCGCCACGTTGAACAGCAGCCTCAGTATCTCGGCCAGCGCCATGTCCTGCATTGGATCCGCCTTCTCCTTTCCGGCCCTCTGAGCGACCTCGACGTGCTTTGCCAGTCTCGCAATGATCGTCTCTGCCAGCCCGTGCCCATCGATAAGCTTCACTAGTTCGACGTTCGTGCCGTAGGTGGTGAGAAAGATGACTCTCGATACCAAAAACTCATCGTCCCACGTATCCCGTTTCAGCTGGGCGCACGCCTTGGCCACGTAATCCAAGTCAACAAAGACCTGTCGCGCCTCGGGCTTGATGAGCATGGTGTTGGCGAGACATCTCAGCGCACCGTGTGATGTCGAAACTGTCTCATCGTCGAAAGCGTGCCTTGTGAGCGTTCTTATACCCTGTCCCGAGTTTCAGCCTCCCCTGAGTCATACAACCTTCCCACAGCAACTGACCTCCTTGGTGAATATGGGATCTGCGTCTCGAGGATCTCTCCCATAGACCTTGAGCTCGTCCAGCGCGGCATCGCGTTCTACAGGTAAGTCAGCGAGAGTGTCGGCCTTGAACGGACGTTTGTTGAGTGTTGGGGGCTGCTGACCTTTTGTAGTCAGATCGTGCTTCTCAAGATCTACCGTGAGTTTCTCCAGCAACCTGGTAACCGTTTGGAGCTTGGCTATACGATACCGTTAGCTGAAGGGACCCTTGTGTGTGTGTGTGAGAGAGAGAGAGAGAGAGAGAGAGAGAGAGAGAGAGAGAGAGAGAGAGAGAGAGAGAGAGAGTGTGTGTGTGTGTGTGTGTGTGTGTGTGTGTGTGTAAGCGGACGTCTCGACTCGAAACTTGCCTGCGCCTGTAAGGGTTCCAGTCCATGGCTGTCCGCCGGACGCCATCATGTACGGAGGCTCGCGAGCCCTTGCGGTACTTTCCGAGAGAGACAGCCTCCTTCGATGGTGTTGCAACAGGTGCAGGTTGGCTCCGAGTTTGGCTGCGTGTCACCTCGCCCCAGGATATCGTGGCTGGATGATGAAAGTCTTCCAAATGTATAAGCAGCCTGTTTGATACCACCGCCTTTATGAGTTGGCCTGAGACCAGAAGGAAGCGGATATTAAAACAGCTGTCAGATGCACAGTGTTCAAATTGCAGGGACAATACAGGTAGGATATCTAAGATATCGCTAGCGAGACCGGTCATGCGTCGTGTCGTAATTTTCCCTTCGAGGTCCGCCTTTTTCCCCGTTAGACCGTTAGACCGAAGAGAAGGAGGGGCGAGGGAGGGAATGGGGATGGCAAGAGGGGAGGGAGGAACGAGATGCAGAGGAAATGACGAGATCGGGCTGGCTCGATAGTAAAACAAAACGCCAATTTCAGGTTCCGCGATCGTCACATGCACGAGCTGAGATCGCAGCCAGGACTTTCGCACTCGCAACGTTCAATACGGCGGGACTAGGCAAGACAAAGGTGTGGGATTGGATGGCTAGCATTAGCATGCCTGCAGTGCAGCACCTCACACTCTAGGTCATCTGCAATCTTGGCAAGGGCCCCACGGGCAAGAACTCTGGTACGTGTCTGCATGCAGTCACGTACTCACACATAAGAGACTCGCATCTCGACAAAGTTCGGTTTGTAGAACGAAGTAAGTATATGCTTTAACATGTCGATGTAGAACTTTGAAGGTTCAAGTATGCATTGTTTCTCTTCCGTCACTTTTCTCTTCTCTCGTCTCTTTTTCCTTTTCTCCTCATTTTTCTGTTGATGAAAAGCCGCGTGGGCGAAAATGAAGAGGTATGCGGCGGTCGTTTCGAGCCCCTGTTGGGCTGACCTGCTGAAGGTTGAGCTGAGGTTCTGTCAGGGGTGGTCTGCACGCCTCAGTGGTTCGGTTAGTGGCCTGTGTAGGCCTGCAGGTCGGCCTCTGAACGGTACTGCAATGCAGCTGCGGCTTGGCTTGGCATGCAACGGCGGCACACATGGGCCCCTAACGGGCAGGGATCATTCTATCACGGCAGTCCCCAACGGTACCACAACAGTATCTCCTCTCAATGTTGAGATCCCGTGGTGTGAACAGCTTGCTTATCGGGATATTCTGTTGAAGATCTCGAACCCAAATCTCCATATAGCCCAAAGACACCAGAGTTTCTTTTCCCGACTCAGCTATCCTTCTTAATCCCAAGCAACAATACGATGTTTGAAATATTGTATGGTTGATAACCCGAGTGGAAAGAAGGATTGCAGGCCGGCATCACTCAAAGTAGTAAGACAACAAGCTTGATATTACAATTATCCTCCTTCCTTATGCCCGAGATTGCAGGACATCAAGGGTCGGTGCCTTGCACCTGATTTTGTTTTTGCTGCTAAATGATACAGATACAATACAATAAACCCAAGCAGAGTTAACGCAAACAAGCAGACTATGTGTGGGAGCGTCTTACCTTCAAGAAGTACACGTGCCCCATGCCCCCATGCTCCATAAACTCCTTTCTAATACGGTCTTTCTACTCCGTGGTAGATGAATGCCAGAAGAAAAGAAAAGAAAGAAAGGGTCAAAAAACCCATATGCCAAGAACCTTTCTCTAAACCAAACTCCGTGAAAGTGCATCGCCATGCTCAAAAGTGGAGATCGCTGAATGGTAGAAAGCGCCCTGTCTCTCAGTCCATATCTTGCTCTTGTTGCTTTTTCAACGCCCGTTCGTTGACATCTCTGAATAGCTTCTTGCCCATCTCAAAGCTGCTGATCATGATCGCACATGCGGGCGCCACCTTCATCACGCGTGGCATCCAGCCCCTGAACAGCCCAGGGACGCCCTCGGTCTTCACAATATGGCGAAGGAGGCCAAACATGGTCTGTTCTTCTGGGGCCATGGCCGTCTTGCTGACGCCGCCAGCTACGTTCTTCCCCGTGCTTTGGTACACCTGCGTTCGCGTCTTGCCGACATCGAACGGCATGGTGGCGATACAGGCCATGGCACCCGACAGTGACCCCGCGACGAAGCTGTCCGTAAATGTTTCCCGGTGGTTTTCCTGGCTCTGCGACCGTTGCCGCGCGCGAATATCGCCTTCATATGTCCGGCCCCGGCCCCGCTCCCGAGTCTCTGTGAGCTTGGCCCGTATTGATTCGTAGCCCCACCAGTACATGGCGGAGAATGGCACATCTCTCCACAATGTCAAGCTGAGGCCTCGCCAGAGCGAACGATAGCCCTGCGTCCTAACCGACTCCTGCATGCTCTGTAGTGTATCCTTGACGTGGCCGGCGGCCGTGTCGCCATGTGAGGCCTGGAGTTTCGTCCGGAATAATTCGATCGGGCCAATCGATGTAGCGGCGACTACTCTGGCGAGAGCGCCAGCCACCAAGGGTGCGGCATCGTTATCCATCCATGCGAAGGGGCTCTTTCTGTCGTACCGCAACCACTCATATCCCGTGAAGTAGATCATGTTGGCTGGTACAGCCATGAGAAGCGTTGGTGATAGCCCTCTCCATAATGTAAAGAGTCCCTCGTTCCTGGCAATCTTGCGCATCCCGTCAAATGTCGAGGTGAAAGTTCTCTTTTGTGTCTCCTCCACAGCACACTCGATCCCTCGGATTGGCCTGTTAACGTGAGGGCCTACGACACAGACCTCGGCATTATTGTTCGCGAAGAAGACCTCTCTGCAGCAGGCGGTTACGCCAAGGTTGGAGGGTCGGAAGGCATCGGGTGCAGTCAGGGGAAGTTTGTTGAGGGCGGTGGTTTTCGCAGCACTCGGCTGGTGTACATTTTGCGATTGCCAACGTACTCGGACGACATCCAAAGGTGTCACTGTCTGGTGTCAGCATGTCGCGGGTGCTGTGAGGTTTGGAAGAAAGAATACCACATACTGGTCAGTCCAGTCAGAAGGCTGCCAGTCGTAGCAGACAGCATCTTCTGAAAGGGTGTGATGTCAGGCACCGCATCGCCATCACTCATATCCTGCCCGACCGGTACCATGTGGCGCGGACTCGGACCGCCCTCACGATCCAATCGGTCATGATTCTGCCCATGCGGGCTGTCTACGAGGGCGCTGGCCATGTCAGGCGCACCCAAGTATCACACGTAGAGCCTGTCCGCGCAGCCCAAGTCGTGCAGTCCAATTACGCTGGGAGCGTGGAGCTGGAGGCGGAGAAGATGGCCGCTTCGGCCGTCCAGTTTTGAAATATCGTTATCGTTGTAATCGCTGGCAGTCTTCAGAGTAGAGATATGTGGAAGGTGGTTGTGTGAAGAGTTGTGCTGGAAGTAGCGTTTACTTTTTTTGTTTTGTCTTTTGGCTGGAAGTTCGGGGATAGGTTTTTTGACGCCTAGACATTCGGCGCCGTTCTTTTTTTCTGGACGGGGTTTTGCGCAGTCAGTGCAAGGGCGCGGCGCGGGCAGCTCTCCAGCGGGATCGCGGCAAGTACATGATGTCACCCCCACTGCGGCTCTGTCATTGGTGAGCTCCTTCTCCGGTTTCGCGGTGTTTGGGGTCCAGACCTCGGCCGCCACTCTACAAACTTTCAGGAGGCGATACTGGGAATTCGAGTGATTACTATGTATCTATGGCTCGAAGTCTAGTACATTCCCTCTTCCAACCCTCTAGTATGTAGGAACAAGCATGTAAAGTCTCCATGTTGAATAGGCGAATCCGTCTTCACGAGAAACATAAATTGGAGATACATGCTACCAAGTACTTTAATGCAGGGGTCCGCTGCAGCATACCGTCACTGATAAGATAAGCTGCTTATGCTGGAGTCTCATTCAGGACGCCGAGAGGGCAATGACTACTACGGCGAAACCACTTACACGCGATCATCATACCTTCTCCCCGTCCACCACCGCCTGAACTACCCAATGTCATGAGCAAAACCGTTGCCCGAGCATGATATACCCTCTTAGAGCTTTCCAGTCGCTCCTGTAACACATTCCTGTCTTCAGCCTCCGCAAAGGTTTCACTAATTGTCCAGTCGATGAATTTATAATCAACCTCCCCGCCCCCCCCCCCCCCCCCGGCGGCGCGGATCCGTTCCCTATCTACCATGGACGCTGCTCGGGACGTCAACCCGGAGCTCGACTCATTTCGTGAGCAATGGCGCGCTGAAGTGCGAGCAAGAAACACGGCGGTGTCTACTTCTCAAGAGCAACAGCAGCAGCAGGAAGGCGAGACCACTGTACCCATACTCTCCGACAGCTCCAAGGACACTGTTCCGCGACCGTCCCGTGCAACCCACCCGAGCTCCGGGAAGCCGAAGGTCTTCGACACAGATGAGGACTATGTACAGGCCAGAGCATTCGATGAACCCGAACCTCCTATACAGGCAAAGAAGCAAGATGACAAGGGGAAAGGAGAGCTGGTCACGGCACTGGATCATTATGAACGCGCGGTTGAGAAGGAAACCCAAGGCTCTTTGGGAGACAGTCTGACGTTGTACCGGAAGGCCTTTAGGGTGCGTCTTCTATTGTATCAAGCCATGTTGCTGCCTACATCTAACATGTCACCTCTGATCTAGATGGATCACAAAGTTGACCAGAAATACAAGAACAAGCACTTTGCATCAGCATGGGCCAAGCCAGCACAGCCGGTCAAGCCAACGACCACTGTGCACGAGCCGTCGACCACAGGGTCGTCAGAGAATAAGGCGTTGACGACCGAAGACCTGGTCATCAGCTTCTCGGAACTCAAGATCGAGCCCGCGGCGCCCCCAATAAAAGGCATGCCCCAACCTCCATGCCCCATCGCCTCGCTGCCCGAAGAGATCCTCGTCCACATCCTGCGAGACGTGGCTGTAGCCGACGTAGGTGATTACGTCCGGCTGTCTCGCGTGTGCAAGCGCTTTGCCTGGCTCGTCGGCACAGAAGACAGCGTCTGGCGGCACATCTGCCTCGATTCCAAATTCGGCTTCACATGTATGCACTACGATTTCCAGGTGCACCCCAACTGGCGGCCCCTCCTAGAATCCACCCGGCGAGAACGCGCCATCCTCAGCGGTCTCTCTGACGCCGACTTCGACCCTAACGAACTCGCTCAGAGGCAAGAGGAAGAGGCATACGCCACAACAATTGCCCTTTTCAACACAACGTACCAGTCGTCTTGGCAAAAAATGTTCCGGCGCAGGCCGCGCATAAGGTTCAACGGATGTTACATAAGCACCGTGAACTACATCCGGCCCGGCCAACAAGTCAACTCGATTACCTGGAACAGCCCTGTGCATATAGTGACCTACTATCGCTACCTGCGCCTGTTCCGAGACGGGACGGCCATCTCACTTTGCACGGTCGACGAACCCTCGGCGGTGGTACACCACATGACAAAGGAAAACATGGCCGTCCATAAGGGCGGCGCGATGGGGCATCTCCCGTCCAGCGTAATGCACCTTGCACTGCCTGCGAGGTGGAAGCTGAGCTCCGCTGCCGACTACGAGGGGAAGGCGGGTGACGGGGAGAAAGAGGTCAGCCTCGCGGATTCCGAGGGTGACTTGTTCGTGGAGTCTGACGGCGGCGGGAACTACCTGTATCGCATGGAGCTGAGCCTGCGGTCGGCGGGCAAGGGGGCTCGGAACAACAAGCTCCAGTGGAGGGGCTTCTACAGCTTCAATAAGACCAGCGACGTATGGGATGAGTTCACTCTTCGAAATGATAATAACAAGCCGTGGTTCTTCAGTCGGGTCAGGACATACGGATTTGGAGAGAGTTGATAGAGCGCTGCCCTAGGCGGCAGCTCACCTCAAATAAAGCATAGACAGTGTGGCTCTGGGGGACGGCACCATTGACTCTCAACGTTGCGAATCGTTATGGTCCATGTCGATAAATCTTTCAGGGCTGGCATGATCACTGGGTACGCACTACTCATGATGACCAGCGCTGCGATGAAGCTCCCAATATATACTTATCGTCGAGGATAGATGTCCGCCGGTGGACCCTGTCTATGGGGGGGAGCTGCACCGAGGTGTCTGCTTTTAGCCAAGATGACCGTTTTCTGTCGTCAATATGATATCTTGGTTCGGCAGACTCCGAAAAGAGTATCTTGATAGCCCAGTCTGGAAATTTGGTCCGGGTTTTGACTTCTCACTTTGGCGCTGAGCCCGTGCGGTATGGATAGATGGGGTTGTATAAGAACAGTGTCAAGATCGGTGGGTGTGGGCCAATGGAGAGTGGACGCCGGGGCTATGCACCCTATCTCGAGCCCGGGCTCATCTTCATCTTACTTTTATTTCAATTTTTTTTTTGTCGTCACGACTGGAGGGCGATGGTCATTGCTGCGAGAGATGCCCATGTTGTGGGATAGGTGAGCGGGATTCGTTTGATGGACTGGACAGGACGCCTTCAGAACAGTTCCTTCTCGTTCGTTGCCTTACCTAATGTCTTGGATGTTCGCGAGAGGTGAGACTGCACCGAACGTTCGCACTATGTAAGGGCAGAATTACTTGCGTGCATGCCATGCATGCCCATCTCCCGCAAATCCTGGATGATAGCAATTGACCTGAGAGGGTCGCTTCCTGTTTGTACTGGCGTAAAGTATATTTCCCCACGACTGTGGGTACGCCCGCGACGGTGGTGGTATTCATGCCTAGACATTTTGCCAATAGTGGCCGATCCCAATCGGGTTGTGTTGTTTGTCCCAGAGATCTGGGCGAGGGCGAGTACAGGGCTTAAACCTGCAGCTGGACTATCGAGCGACCTGTGTCTCTGTGTAGCTGTCTCTCTCTTTGTCCGAAAGATCACATGTACCACCACCACCATTGAAGTGAGTCGGTTTCCAGGTTGGCCCCCAAATATATCTTTCAAGTACCGAGATGCCAAACCTGCGGGACGGTCTGACTAATCAGTTGGGGCCCCCAGAGGCGCGTGGCACACGAGAGGGGGGGGGGGGCGGAGTACGGCAGATGCAGGTCCGGAGGCGAAACCTGCATGGCGAAATGCAGGTCGTCAGCAAGCCACCGACGCGAGATTTGGGATGGGTCGGTACGTATGGCGGTCTGGCTGAGGAGTGGTACACGGTGCCGACGAGGTTGAGAGGTTGGAGGAAACCCGTCCGACATTGTTTGTCACTGGTGATGCAGGGGGCCTCTAATTAGTTTGGTGCTTTTGGTAGGTCCCTCTTTCTTGGGATGTGAAGTGGTACGGGGGGCGTTCAGCCTCTTCTTATCCTGACGAAAAGGCCCTAATTATGTGATGGCAAGTTTAGAGAGACACAAGGGGGGCATCTAGTGGTTCTCAGTTCATGTCTGGCGATGCACTGCCAGCGCATAGAGCGAGGTGGTAGCCAATGGCCGCAGGCTCTCGCTTGGCCATCTCTCAAGCAGCCTGGCTAATGATGCGCTGGCAGGGCAGCAGCCACCCAAAGCGCAATCGATCACGAAAAGGGCTCGCCTGTAGCCCCCTCGTGGCTTCCCTCATGCAAGGGTCGAGACACTCGAGAAGAGGAAAGGTGGGGTGTCATCCCGGCACAAGCCATGTGGGGCCAAGACGGTTGGACCCAACCCTTGACGATTCCCTGATGTGCATAGTACTGTTACTTGTGATTTGATGTGATGGGATAGTCAAACTCGCAGGACGGTCCGTCTGCCGCGGAGCTTAGGGAGGAAGTCGTTGACTGACGAGGTAGCGAGGTGACTGGCGTGAGCTGGAAACGATCTGCCCATCTGCTCCCTGTAATTATGATCGAAGAGCGTACGAGGTCGATCTAAAAGAGCGCATCTCAGTCCTTTCTTCTTGATACCGTGCGCTGCAGCCTCCCGAAAAGCAGTTCAGCCCTTCCTGCTGCAGCTATGTAATAGTATGCACTGACTAGCAAAGTTCTGTCCAACCTGGCGCGGAGATTTTCTCATGTCATCAACCCACCATAGCGGGGCGGCGAATGTGGTCCTCTAGGATCAGAGAAAGAGAGAGGTGGACCAAACTGGCGTTCCTGGCGTTCCTAGCGTGCTTGGCCAAAGCTGACCCTGGCAGGCCTGGCTATCAATCATATCCTGCCCCGTTGAGGCCTGGCGCCCGTGGACTGCAGCCGCTAGGATGCGAAGGTGTCCATAGCTTCCCCCCGACCATGTACCATAGTAGTCCCCAGCTTAGCCACGCATAATGGAGTATGCAGAAGCTTTACAGCACTGCTGCCAAACCCTTGTGCTGATGACCGATCATGGTTAGTGGTGGGGCTGTGACGGGCATTGACAGCGATGTTGTGCAGTCTATAGAGACAAGGCGGAACAAATATGTTGATGTTTTAAATTGAGAGAGCATGATCAATCGATCCACCTTGCCCCTCTTACAATCCAACACTATAGAAATTTATAGCCACATCAAACATCATCGTCATCAACGTCCGAAACTGCCAGCCAGCAGTGGTGATTCGCCTGGCGAGGAATAGCAGCTCGGTCACGGCCGAAGAGGAGACAAGGAGAATTAGGGAGAAAGGAAGTTGAAGCCGGAGCTGTACTGTGCATCAATTGGGGAGGGGGGTGACCCTGGTCTGATTTCCCTTCCTCATACAGCTGGCTTATTCTGAGGGCTCCCCTCAACACCTTTAATTTCTTTTGAGGCACAAGGCAATACATTGCACGACCAATACAGCGACCACCACTGGTCAAGGTCCTACGCCACCTGATATGGCCTCCTTGTCCGACCTTGGCCCAAGTGTCCTCCTCCTAATTGCCCCGGGAACGAGGCCATTTGCTCAGCGCAGGGCCGTTGGTGGTGACTCCATCAACTTTGGTAAGTTACATGGTATCCCCTTCTGCATCATCATGTGTTGTGTTTTGTAATGTATAGCTAGAGAGAAATTCCTTGTCCGATGTACACAGTACCCTCTTCCCTTTCCCTCGCCGGGGCCACCTCCGGATTTAGCCCTCCAGAGGATGATCGAATTCTAATCTGTACATTCGGCAACGGAGTAGTATTCCCAAGTAGGAGGATTGGTGGCCTTAAGGTTGGTAGTAGTCTCAACGATTGACGGACTGGTGACAGGGCACGTCCAATTAATTTCACCTGCGACCTATCAATTGTTACCTGTACAATCTTGCACCCGCGCAGAAGGTGCAGCAGGTCCCATCTGCAATCACTTTCTCCTTTCCCATTCTAGTCTGTCTACCCCTGAGAGCTGCTTCCCCTCTACCACACACAGACGGTACCACTCTTTTTTTTCTTCTCTCTCTTTCTGCTTCTCTTTGGGTCCTTTCCAGTCTATCACCACACGGTTCTCTTTTTTCCCGACTCTCTCGCTCTCTCTCTCTCTCTCTCGTTATCGTGCTCTAGTCGATCCTTTTTCTTTTTTATCTTCTCGATACCCTTATTTTTTCCTTTTATTCTTTCTATTTCGACCCCTCCCCCGTCCTACTGTTAAGGGCAATTTCTCCCCAAAGTGGTGCACCCTTTTGACCATTCCAATCCATTCGACTAAATCACCCCTTAAGCCCACCGCTTCAGCCTCCCATATCACGACTTGACTTTGCGACATTGAGCCGCTACTGGGCGACCACTGACGATTCCGACCGAGTTATCTACCCTACCGCCGATCCGACGAAATTACCTCCTGGTTTCTAAGTCCGATTGCCCGCTGCTTCAAGTGGCCAGGCTGGTTATTCCTCAACATCTTCGACTCTCAAAGTATTACACAACACTTTTTCCCTACGGACCGACCAGACGCGCCAACCGCGTTCTGCCGCGCCCAGTGGATTTCCGCCTTGCGCTCGAATGTCTCAAGTACCCTGAGCAATCTAATCCGATAGCGATCCCTTGACACAGAACGATGGGGATCTTTTCGCGGTCCAAAAAGGACGGCAAGTCCAAGAAGAAGGGCGGCAACTCTGACCTCGACCAGCAGCCAGCCAAACCACAATGGACAGATGCCTGGGCTCGATCCTGGGTCGAGCCCGAGGAGGTACACGAGCTCGTCAAGCGGTGCACCGACGAGATCAAGACTAGAGGTATGTGGTTCAATCAATCGTGCGTCTGCATCTCTCATGCCCGCCCGCGCCTGCAAGATTCCTTTGGTCTTAGGCCATCTTCGTCCTAGGTGTATTCACTAGTTATACATATCTCTCACCTGTTCTTCGTCGCGTCCTACCACGGACTAACCTGACTGATGCTGATGAATTGGCTGATTAATTAATTGATGCGCAGCTCTCGACCACCCCTTCCTGCTCCTCCCTTTCCGGCCGACTTCAGATCCCAGCGCTGTCCGCACTTTCATACGCCATTTCTTCGACAATCATGAGCTACGAGGCGAGGCACTGGTGCAGGAGCTTCGGATGACCGAGCCGATGGTACGTTTCACGGGCATATGCACACACGTCTCGATGCTAAATCGGAAGAAAACAGGTCATCACGGGTGTCATAAAATGGTGCTGGAGCCGACTGCAGGGTGGTGTGGTAGGCTGGGACGCCTACGAGCTGTTCAAAGTAGGAGAGCAAGGTATGCACGGTGTATTTGTTCTGCAAACACTGGGACATGGGGCAATGGGTGGCTGACCGGCACTCTGCAGACTCGAACATGGCTCGCGACTCTTTCAAGACCTTCATCCCGCTTAGTGTCGAGAATGGCGCTCGCACAAGTATCATTTTCAGCTTCTTCGACCTCCTATCGGCCATAGCAGCACACGGCAGGGCCAACGGCTTTGGTGGTCGCAAGCTGTCTCGCATGGCAGCCTGGTGGGCATTTGAGCACAAAGACACAAGCAATGGTTTTGATGGCGGGTACAAGGAGTGGTTGAAGTGAGTTCGATTGCACTTTGTCTACACTTGTATTGAGAGAGGAGACTGACAGTCCACAGAGCCGCCGACGCCACAAGTCACCTCTTTTTCGCGTACCTTCGAACGCTCGGTCCTGCACAACAGGGTCCTGGGACCATCTCCATGCTGCCGAGGTCTCTGCAGTCGCTGCTCCAGGATACCGAATACCCACCAAAGCGACCGATCCTGATGCAGGCATCCACCTTCAAAGTGGTGATGATTGTCGAGTCCGTCTCGCCGACACCCTTCGCTCTGCTCCGCCGTGGAAATCACTTCCAATACCGAGACGACTCGTTGCAGCGCTTCTCCGCATACGAGGATCCCGTCGCAGCTTTGACGGAGGAGTGTCATAGAGTACTGAGAGCGATTGCTGCCGCCAATCAGACTCAGGCCGTCTCCAGCGCAAAACACTCTACAAGCTTGCGAGATGCTTCCTGGTCACGATTTGAAGACATAGGTTTCCAGAGCACCTTGGATGACGATGACGACGATATGTTGTCCGCACCTGCACCACAGCCCATTACAGGATTGAGAACGACCCCGGCTTCGGGCGTTAATAGAGGCGGAAGACCTACAACGCCGTCCTGGGCCGACTTCCTGTCGTCTGGATTTGTTGACGACCGTGCCACCAGTCCTACGAGTCTCCTGCCCCCAGACAAGGTGCTTCCTCCGATCGACACGACCGTACGACAACAATCTGCCCAATCACACAGGCCGCGGCTGGAGTCGGGGTCCGTCGTCGAGCAAGGCGAGCTTGCGAGCATTAACAGGGTCGACCTTGATGAGGCCTTTTGGTGGGTGTGGATGAACAGCCTCGCACCGGAAGAGACTGCCGAGAGAAAGTCAGCCTTCGGCCGCTGTGCAGTCATCGAGACGATTATTAGGAATGGAAGATGGCTTGTCTTCGAGGAGGTCGTCAAGGGTGCGGCAACCGAACCCGCAGAGGGCGCGTACGTCGCGCAAAAGAAGAGCTTCTTCAGCTGGAGACGGAAGGACAAGGACAAGGATAGCCTGTCTCGACGCAAGTCGACTGCTGGGAAGAACGTCTTGGAAAACGGCCGTCTGAAGAGCAGTGCAACGACCGGTGCAATGAGCAAGAGCAGTCTTGGTCCCGACCAGCAGGCCAAGATCCAAGCCGCAGCGCAACAGCTCCAGGCGAAGCAAGAGCGGGAGAGACGGCAAGCGCAGGGCATGCCGATCCGTCGGGGTCGTACCGACGCTGAGCTGGTGGCCGAGAAGACACAGAGTGTGATGACGCTGCAGCCGATGATCATGAAGGAAGCCTCGCCAGCGATGAAGTGGGCAAACAAATATGATAAGGACACTATTCGTGAAGCCTATCTGGCAAATTCGATGGCGGGGCGCGGCCTTGGACAGTCGACTATGCAGTCCAACGGACTCCTAGGGAGCAGCGTGCCTGAAGAGCAATCGCCATCACCGCTGCCTCGTTCGCCTTCAATGCGGTCACCCCGTGAGGAGCAACACGAGGAGCCACTGGGCTCTACCCCGGCAGCTTCAGAGATGGGCCACAACTCCCCACTGCCCCCATTGCCTCCTCAAGAAGAGGCGCAGAATACCAGTTTTGATATGGTACGCGACAACATGGCGTCGCCCGAGCCTGCAGAGGAAGGCAGCCCGAAGCAGCACAAGAAGCTCCACAAAGAAGAGAAGAAGGGTGGAGGCGGTTTCCGCAGGCTGTTTGGAAGGCAGAGGCGGGCTTCGAAGGTGCCAGAGAACGCACCCGCTGACATAGCTGCCGCCCTCGCTGAGACGGACCGGGGTGCATCAACACCGGCACCCGAATCGCCTATCAGGTCCGACACGCCTCAGCAAGAGACGCCTGGACAACGGACTCCTCATCAGCAGCAACATGTCGAGACTGCCCCTGTCACCCCAATGTCCCCCCAGCGGCAAGAGGAAGCGCACTACGCGGAGCCGGTGTACGAGCCCTCTGCTGCGTCAGCTGATGATTCTCGGGTCAATACTGCTGATGCTGAGGAGGCGACCGATGAGTTTTCTCGGTTCGATCAGGGGCCGCTCGATGATCAGCCTGCTTTCGTCCCAGAAAGCGACGAGGAAGATGATGCCACCCCTCCGCCTATCCAGCGACATAGGTCCCCTAACCCTCAAGAGACGAGGGTCGAGCAGCAGCCTGAGCTTGAGCCTGCGCCCGAGCCCGAGCGTGTGCGTCAGCCCAGGACGAAGCCCAGGCCCAGACCCATCAACGAGTCCAAAGAGCCCCAGACAGCGCCAGCCATCGAGCGCTGGGCGCAGATCCGCAAGAACGCAGCCGAGCGTGCTGCTGCAGCCCAACAGTCCTCGCAGCAGAGACCAAAGGAGACGCAGGGCCGGCCGTCGGCCCCTACTCCGCCGTCAGATTCTCCCGGAACCAGTGGCGAGGAGAGTAAGTAACCATCATTTAGCACTGCATATGGCTCCTTGGACTGTATCTGTACTGACACAGCGACAGGCATTGAGTCTCGCGTTGCACGTATCAAGGCTCGTGTCGCCGAGTTAACCAACAACATGGATGGTACCCAAGCTCCTGGTTCCCGCCCTCCCGTCCCTCGCTAAAAATCGAGGACAAATTCTGCGTATCGGAGGATGGCACGCGACCGGCGATCACTTCGCGACGCGCACATGGTTCGCATACAGACATCTCAACCGAGGCACATGGACCTTCGTTCCATTTACACCGGGATGGGCGGACACTCTTACCCAATTTCTCTTGTCGATGTCTCCTTTTCAAATCCAAAATGATACCACTAGAGTGCTTCACGGTTGTTTCTTTCATTCCTGCAGATTCCTCACTTGCGGGACAGCACTTCATCAATACCCTTTGACAAAATGTTGCGAGACCTTGGGGTTCTTCTTCTTGAGTCATAATAATACGGCAGGTCAGGTTCTCAGATACTCAAGTTTGCACACTATCCTATCTAGCCTTAACAAGGGTGCAGCGTGATGCGGAGCGATCAGGTCAATGCAGCTTGCGAGAGCTGGACTATCCCCTTACTTCTTCTCTTCTTCTTCCCCGGTTGCGAAGTGCTTGGCCGCAATGTATCCGGCAGACATGAAGAAACTTCTTTTCTCCGCTTGTTTCCCTTTTTCTCCTTTCTTTTCTTTTCCTTTCCTTTCATTTTTTCCCCTCGCTCGATCAATCTAAAGAGTTCGATTGTATGTACAATCTAGGCGCCTTTCCTTCTGATCAGATCAGAGCAGGTCCTTTGAGAGAGACCTGTGTAATTAATGAGCTTGGAAATATTGAAAAGAAAGAAAAAATTTTTCTCTGGTGATTTATCTGGTCCGATCTATGCGAGGTGTGGCGTGAGCTGGTTTCACCAAAAGGTCGCGTGTTATCGTGTGATCAGATTTGTTTTAGAGCAACGGCAGCAGCAGGACTATTGGCGTTGTCCGCGTACAGTTCTGTGCAAGAAGTTTCATCTCGGAACGGATCGTGACATCGGACTGGGATACTTTAGAGCAGAGTTGCAAGAGGAGAGGTTCAGCGACGCCTTGTTTGTTCACGTTTGAATGATCTATCTGGCTAGATCTGTAATCTGTTCCAGGGTATCCGCAAGCAAATGACCAGAAAGCAACCACGCTATGCTGACTATTCGAATTGGCTTGACTAAACACACACACACACACACACACACGAGACTACACGCCCACAAATGTCCTCGGCACAATCTCCTCACCACAGACAGCGGTCTTCTCGCTCTCGCCTAAGCCGGCAGCCCACTGCCGCAGCTCATCCACGGTGATGTTGGCCTGGGCGAGCTTCCACTCGACGCTCCCGCGCTGTAACACCTCCACCACGCCCCCACTGCTGCCGCCGCCGACGACATCACTCTCCGCTATGCTGGCGTTCACCGTCGGAGCCCTGCTATCATTGTTGTTGTTGTTGTTGTTGCTCTTCTGCAGAATGGTGAAGCGCAGGGCAACCTCAGTGACGGTGACGACGATGGAGATGACGATAAGAATAATGACGATCCAGGTGATGACGGACATCTTGGCATCGGCGACGGTGTCGGACAGGATCTCAGCGAGGTCAAGAAAGACGCGGCAGCGCTCGTTGAGGACCTTGATGCGCGGGTCGATCTCGAGATAATCGCGGATGGCCATGTAGAGAGGGTGGAGAGTGGGCTCGGACTCCCAGAAGAAGTTGGGGACGGGCAGGATGTTTGATGCTACATCAGAGGTTAGTCATGAGTGTCTGTTCCGGCGTAGAAAAAGTGAGCCGACCAGGCCCCCCTCCCCCCAAAGAAACAACTTACAAAGATTGATGTCCACCCGGCTCTTAAAAAGCCGGCCTAAGATCTTTACAATCTCATCCCGCCCCATGTTCAGGTCTCCCGTCGTGGCCATAGTCTTGGGCACCGGCAGCGCTTCCTGCATCGTGTCGGACATCCTCTCCTCGAAAGAGCATAGCTTTGTGCTCTGGGCAACAGCGTGGCTGATGCCGAGCTTCACCATGTGGTCGGACCGCGGCAGGAGGGTGATCATGTCATTGAATATACGCGGGTGCTTGATATCGGCGCTGTACTCGAAGTGGAACTCCTCGGTCTCGTAGTCGTTGGGCTCAAAGGGACGGACGACTAGAGACCCTCCCCGCTCGCTCTCGGCGAAGGTAAGGTCGCCCAAGATGTCCTTCTCCTGCCGCTCAGTGAAGTTCCAGAAGACGACCACGCCGTACGAGAAGACAAACATCTCGGCAAAGTTTTTGGCGTCGGGAACGAGGCGGTTGATGGGGCTGAGGGTTGGGTGGTCATCTGTCTGGCTGTCCATAGTCCGACCACGGTTGTCTGAGCTGGTGCTGCTGCTGCTCGGTATAGGGTGTAGGACGGAGGGACTCTCCGAGGAGAGCGGGCTGCCGGTGTAGTCTTCCATGTAGCCGTAGTGATGGTCTCTCCTCTCGCTCCTCTCGATCTCCAGATCCAGCACCGTCTTGCCCGTTCCAGGCGTCTTGAGGATCGGTCTGCTTCGCACCCGGTATCCGTCGATGCCGGACATAAGCGGGAGGTGATAAACCACGTATAGACAGTCGTCGTATAGTTTTGTTTTTGCCTCGTGCTTGGTCCGCAGGAACTCAGCCGTGGCCTTCATCTTGAAGGACTGGGCCGTACAATAGGCTGTCAGCCTCGAGACCTTTTCAGCACGCTGTCGTTTGGGCAGCCGTTCTGCATAGCTTTTCCCGCGGATACCACCACGCTTCTTCAGCACGTCCAGCTCCACATCCCTCAGCGGCCTGTCCTCCTCTTGCTCCATTGCCCTCCTCCTGGCCCTCTCGTCTTCGCCTTCCAGCAGGGCGGTGTCCTCCTCGACATCATCATCATCATCTGGGGCGTCAGGGATGAGCACCAGCTTCTCGCTGACTTTCGTCGTGCGCTGAGGCAAATTCTGCGGCACCACCCGCCTGCTCGTCACGTCTACCACACCAGACATACTGCCACCTGTGCCGGGATCCGTCCTCCTCGCGGCGGCTCTTGCTGCGGCTCGGGTTGCGGCGATCGATCCGGGCTGCGGCTGGCGCGCTGACTGCCTCTGCCTCTGCTGCTGCTGCTGCTGCTGCTGCTGCTGCTGCTGTTGTTGCTGCTGTTGCTGGAGCTGTTGCTGCTGCTGCTGCTGCTGCTGCTGGAGGAGCTGCTGCGCGGGCAGGATGCGAGGCTGACCGGAGGGGATCTCGGTGGCGTTACGCAGGATCCTCTCGACGGAGACCTGGTGCATGGGCGAAAAGGTTCGTGGGGGGAGGGCGGCACCTGTTTCTTGACGCTGGGCCATGACGGGTCGTTTATTTGAAGACATTGTTGAAAGGGGGGTGGGCGATTTACGGGGCGGCAGAGTACGGCCAGACGTAATAGTGGATAATGAGTCAGGGGTTGGGCTGCTTTGTTAATGTCGAGCCGTCACCCGAGATTCGAAAGGACTAGGACTTAGTCGTAGCAGCAGGTGTTAGTTCCGTTGAGCTTGTGTAGTGGGAAAGGTATGCTCCTTGTGTGCTGGACGAACTTGTGACCGTTGCCGTGCGAATTCGGTGGTGTCCCTTGCGATGAACGTCGACGTCGTCGTCGTTCGTTGAAAGAATTGAAATTGGACTGGGCGTGTCTGTGCTTCGTTCCTCAGAGAGGCCACGAGATCCAAGGCGGCAGGTGCCTCAAGGTTGATGAGAGAACATGATTGGCGAACTCGATCAATTGGGCCAAAAAGCCTCTCGATGTCGTAAATGTTGTTTACTGGAGGAGGTTGCTGGTGCTGATGCCGCATATGCCATGTCATCCATCCAAATAGTACCAAAAAAAGAAGGCCGCGGCCCAGTGGAGCTCCCTCTAACTCTTTTCTCTTTCCCCCTCACAGGGCTTAGCACAGACGTCATGTCCCCACCATGGCAGAAAATCAGACCCTAACCCTGTTCCTTTGTTGCTTTTCTCGATCCACCAGTCAAGAAGCTTGTGGCAGGTGGATCACCGTCTGAATGGTCAACACTTTGGTCTATGAGCAAGAGGGAGCGGGATTCATATTGTCTGGAAGAGAGACTCATGCAAACGACACGTCTGGCCGGCTGGCTGGCTGTCCATGGCTGCAAAGTGAGACACATCTGGCGAGAACTTGACGCACAACACCACAGCTGGGAGAAACCTCGTTTCCGAAGCTCATTAAGATAATTGCTGTATCATCATCATTCTTATCAAGGGTATACAGAATCAGAAGCACTTCCCAAGCACGCGAGCATCAACCAGTAAAGCCTGAAGCTCAAGCTCGACTTGATAAGGCGCGAACCCTCCACCACGCTCGCAACGCCATTACGCCGCCCAGAATAAACATGGTCCTCGATAGTGGACAGGTTCCGCAAATTGCAAACCCTCATCCATACCTCATAGGTGCCTGGTTCTGGCCTCCCTCCTGAGGGCGCTGGTTGTTCCAGCCCTGTGGCGGTCCTTGAGGTTGCTGTTGCTGCTGCTGCAAGGGAACACCACTAGCACCTCCTCCTGTCTCCCCTTTCATAGACTGAACATCTGGGCGGGCATCAAGCGGCTGCGCGAAGTTGCAGATGTTGCAGACGATGTCCACATAGCCGTGGAAGGAGAGGGGGATCAGGGGCTGTCGTTTTCGTCAGCACGTGTTATATCATAGCAAATTGTCCGCCACCTTACCACAAAGCAAAAGGTGAACCACGGGTGGCTCTTGATGATATGGCCGCTGTAGTTGCCGCAATTGTGACACTGACAGACAACGCCCTCGTATCCTTCGACCTGCTTCCTGAAAGTATGTTCGCCACAGGTGAATACGATACACATGATGAACAATCGATGCCTCTCAGGCAAGAATATTTCTGTTTGCTGGGCGTGCAGCTGGTTTCGAGTCGACTGGAAAATCGGTCGGCGGCAAAGAGAGTTGGTTTGTGACGGAGAAGAAAAATGAGTGGAGGCATTAATCGTGCCAAGTTATGTACCACACTGCAGTAGAATATCATGGTTGCATCTTCCCTCGAGTTGCCATTGATGTCACGCTCCCACATGCCGCGTCGAGCCATTGAGGCTGTGCTAGGCCTGCAGGCCACTGAAGCTCTAGCGCCAAGTCCACCTCGTTCCACGCCCAGAACTGCCAAGGATCCCCTGATTTCCATGGCTAGGCGGAGAGCGGGCGCACACCATTGTCGCCTTACTTCCACCATCATTATTGCCCCAGGCACACCACCTGTTGCTTAAGTACTCAAGTATTCAAGTACTCGAGGACTTAGACCGTACTTAGTACCTAGAGCCAAATTTTTATATTATAGCCCCATATACATCCATCCCAAGAATCCAAACTGGATGCAGCTTTCTCCATCAAATTACCTCCGACTGTCTGTAGCTTAACATATTGACTTCAAATATATTGCGATGTCTACGTCCATTTCAAATAAAAATGGATGCAACTATAGCTTCATTGCAAATATGCTGCCAAAGGGTTTTGTGCTTTCACACACTTATCAGAGTTTCTACTTCTTTTTGCTCTTTTTTCTCGAAACTTGTCGGCTCATACAAGCCCTTTTACTGCGAAATAGCGCGCAAAACAAACCAGACAACGATGGCTACAGGGTATATGGCTGGAAAGTCAAAGTGGTGAACGTTATAGCATATTCCTAGGGATGCCAGTACATCAGTGTCAATGCTTAGAACAGGGAGTGATTAGTTATCTTAAGAAAAAGGCTTGCCCCAAAGTGATTCGCTGTACTTCTCTGTCCCATTGCCAAGATTGGATACCAAGCTTTTATTGCTAATGAGAATGTGCTGTAGCATGACATGAAGTCTTCATCCTTCGACGAAAATTTTCTGCCTATTACAATTACGAAGTGCAAGAAGAATGGTATTACAGCAAGATGACATGCTGTATAGAAACAGTTGTCAGTGATATCTATCTTGCTCCATGAGTTGTGCCGGTGAGAACTCTGGGCAAGGTATCCGTCAACCACAAAGCACTCCCGATTTAACAGCGAACGAGGCACTTACAACATTATTAGCTTTCCTTCTTCCAAAGCAGCGCACAACTCGGGAGCTTGCCCATTGATTCTGATCTCTGTTTGCCACAACCACGCCGACCCTGCTCTCGGTTGCATCGACGAAGAGGCCCGGGAGTTTGAACTCGAAATCCTTCCACACATATCCGGAGGCCATGCTCATAGGCTGCGTTGCATAATTAATCCAGCCCGGCTGCACGGTCGGGTATACCAGTCGCGGCAACTTACACAGGACGCGTTCCGTGATAATGGGTCTTAGATTTATTAGATGTTTGCACCAATTTCACACGACCAATTGAAGTTCTAAGTGTGAGTCTCAGCTTGACTTTCAGTGATGATAGCTTGGAAGCGTGACCTGCATGTGCGGGGAGAATGGACAGCATGCGCTGGCCGCACGAGCTAATATGTAACATCATGGCAGCCCGTTAGGCGAACTCCAGGGCACTTCGAAGACAAACTATAGAGCGCCGCGGCGCTAAGTTTGCAAAGAATCCCTATGTCAGGGCTATTGGTGCTATAAGGCTTACACCGGGCTTGGCTGGCTGGCTGACCAAGCTTGTTCCTCAGCTCCAAAGCGGCTTTCGAGCCATGCCAGCCATCTATAGTCAGACAGTTCCTTGATTTTCAACTTGATTGCTGTGTGAGCCTTGAGAAAGGAGGCAAGGCCTCGCCACGTTAATTGTGGATTCAATTTGAAAGTTATCAAGACCTTCAATTGCGAGAAATTTGAGTCGTCAGAAGCCCGAGTGATCAAAGGCTTCAAAGCTGTGTCGTTCAGAGCTTGAACTACTTGATTATTCAAGATTCGGATGCAATATACACTGATTTCACTTTATAAGAACACTGTATGCAGATATGTGTTTCATACGCGGTAAACCAAAGTTCGTCTTGAGTTAAATATCAAATCTACCCCTACTGTCAGAGCCAATCCTGCAGTGTCAGCGCTGCGGCGCACCTGCTTACCGACCTACAGCGCCCTATCAGACTCTCCCACTTCTCCCAGCTGAGGCGATTCATTTGCTAGTCTTTGTAACGGATTTCTTCTCGGTCTTGTTTGACCCGGTTAGGAAAAACATAGTAATCTCTGGGGATCCAAGACCTCACCTCTGTGAGCGCTCTAGGTGCCTCCACTGAGATTGTGTCTCCCGAACTCTGCGAAGCATTAGCAAAAAAGTCCGGGGCCATGCGCTCCGAAATAGAACTTACCTCCACGCTGTATTCCTGCCCGAATAGGCCCTGCAGCAAGTCGTTCAGCTTCGCGCGGTCCACGTAGCGGGTTTCCAGATACGTAGTGATCATCTTGTTGTTTCTGCTCTCGAAGGATTGCACATAGGCAAGACAGTTCTCTCTAGCACGATTATCGACCAATTGAGAAGCATCCAAAGGAAGACAGCCTTTGGATTTCTGACATATCAGGACGACAAAACTTCAGCATTGTCAATAATCCACTCCCTTGTCTGTCAAGTGGTTGGGAGAGACGACGAGCTCGTACTTATCGTATGCGAATCGATGAGTGAGGAGCTGAAGAGCAATCTTACCACTGCGGGCAACCTTTTGTCTTCTCTGATCCGCTACACTGGTTCAGTCTATCTCGTCATTGATGGCGTCGACGAGATCAACGAGTTGGAGCGTGGCAAACTTGCCCAGGAACTTCTTAGGCTGGTCGAATTATGCGAATCACTGAGACTCATCCTCAGTAGCCGCCTCGAAGCTGATCTAACGCGGCTCCTGGGTGACGTACCAACCGCAATACAGGTTCACGAACACAACAAAAGAAGCATTGAGACCTATGTCAGTCAACGTAGCCAGGAAATTTACCAGGCTCGCAAAGTTCTCCCACATGCACAAATCGCGATAAGGACACTTCTGGTGCCGCTGGCAAGTCGTGCGAAAGGCATGTTCCTCTTCGCTCGCATCATTTTGGACATGGTCAACACAATGCATGACTTGTTAGAAATGGAGAGAGAGTTGGCAGTCCTCCCGGAAGATCTTGATTCAGCGTAAGCGCCCCAGACCCAAAGAAGTGAAATTAGCTGCAAATGACCGACTGCCATTTAGTTATCATCGTATCATCGTACGCTTGGGAAAGCAAAAGGACAGGCGAATGGTGGAGCAGACTCGGAGACTCCTGGGATGGATCGCATGCTCTCCGTCTCCACTGACTATTGAGGAAGCTCACCAAGCATTGGTTGTAAGGCCTGACGACCGGAACCAAGTCTTTAATATGGTGGCAAAGCTCGACGTTGTCGAGTTTCTCGGCCCAATCGTCGAGACTGCAGATGGCTACATACGCTTTGTTCACTTCACCGCCAAAGAGTATGTAACGCACGCTAGGATTTATCGACCTATAGCTAATTACTCTGCAGATATGTCACCAGCTCCCACCTTGGAGCACAGCTGATTGACTTGAACCTGGCCACTATGGATTTGGCTGTGAGATGTATAGGCTATTTATGCCAGCAACACCATGACCCCGACATGCCGCCCGATGAGCGTTCAAAGCATGTCCTTACTGGTCAATACAGCTTTCATGCCTTTTCAACAAAGATGTGGTTCGAGCTGGTCTGTCAGTACCTCCGGTCAACAAAGGCGGCGGAACCATCAATTGTTCTGGTTCGTGCGATTAAGAGGCTTTGGGAAATAAGAAAAATACAAGATCTTAGCAAGGTGGACGAGGATGAGATTGAGGGTGAGAGCCGGTATAACAGCGAGGATGAAGCCGATTTTGAGGCGTTGAAGAGGACACAACCTCTTCTGTATGGACTTCTCTGCCGAATCTCACAATTTCGCAACTCATATTCTCTTTCCACTGGCAAGATGAGTCAAGGTACGATCATACTCCTCATTTCATGAAGCTTTTGAGTGTCGAATACATTGACTGATCTATGGACGCGAATAATTGTTCAGATACCCAAGAAAATGGACGTGATCCCCTTTCGACATCGGACACTTCTCGGCTCATTCGCCAGACCTTCGACGACATCCTCTGCGGTTCACCGAGGGCCAGGCGCACTAACGCAGACCCGGAATGTCACGAAAGATGTAATCAAATCCTGCAATTGTACGGACAACGACCCTTCCAATGCAGAGTTTTGCAATGCAAATACTGGCAGCACGGCTTCCAAACACATGCCTACAGAAACACGCATGAACAATCTCATGATCAACCTCTGAAATGCGATGTTTCAGGCTGCGAATTTGGACTAATTGGATTTTTGTCCGAGAAATTGCGGCAAGATCATTTACAGCAAGCTCATCGAAGCAGTCCGCCGCAACCGACCTTCGACACCCAAAACCTCACCGAGGATGGAGTCATGCCCCTGCTCTTGAACTTGGTCCAAGAAGACCAAGTTGAAGCCGTGCACACAATCCTGTCTGCCTTCCCAGACGTCCTTTCTGCCTTCCCAGATGGCCTTTCGAACGTTTCGTCCTCTCGAGATACGCTCCTAAAGCTCGCCGGGGTTGCAGCCTCAAGTGGCATGCTCAAGCTATTTGAGGTCCCAACCCAACTCTATGCATATAGACCAATAGGCTATATCGTTACAGACTATATCGTTGAATCAATCAAGGGATGCAATCAGAGTACCTTCAGACACTTTCTGCCTCAAACGGCTGACGCGCCGGATCAAGCTAAGTCATTGAGAGAGCACTACGAGATGATCATCTTTCAATTGGTGTCGAGCGGCTGGTCCGAAGGAATGGAAATCTGGGTCAATTGGATTCAAAGCCATATGGACACTTTCCGCGCAAGGTTGCGATTAAGACCAAAGTCAGCTATGGAAGTTGCATTTGGGTCAAAGCGAGTCCTGAGAGCATCTAGGAAACACTTGGCGGGGGAATTGCAATTGCTCTATCTATGGAGGGAATCTGGACTAGTCCCCCTTTTCACCAATGATTGGCCAAGTCAAACGCTCAGAAATGTAGCAGACATCTGCTGTTCAATTCCTCTGGCAGCATTCTTGCTTAAGCAAGGTGCCGATGTCAACGCCCAACATGATCCCAAGCAACTGACAGCACTACAACGCGTTGCAAAGCAGACATCCATCGAGGGTGCTAAGATGATGGAATTTCTCCTGCTCAATGGTGCTGATCCGGAATTGAACAAGGCAGAGCAAGAAATCGATAAAGGAAAATTCGGCATACTTCTGGTCCCAGCTCAAAAGATCCGGGATGAGAAGGGCGCAAAAAACATTCAGAAATGGTTGAGAAAGACGTGGGACGAACTTGTCGAAGAGACCAAGCAAATCCGGAATACAAAGAGACAGGAAAAGCGTTGATGTTCAAGATCAACGAGGGTAAAGAATTTGCCCTTCCAGACTGACAGCTACAAGCAGGTCGTCATTTCCATCGAAAACATGTCCCAAACCTACATCGACTCTACCATATATTCTTCAGCGTTTCAGCTCCCATTTTCTCTTCCTGTGCTTTTCTTGGTCTTTCTCGGAAAGAGAGGAAACTGGTCATTCGAAAGCCTGATTTGCCACTCCAGTCTTCGGAACACATCGTTTAATCCTGCTGTGTTAGCATCTACATAAGCTTGACAGGGAATGCCAGAATCGCGGCCTATTAGTAGAATGCTTAAGTGATAGATTCGCCGGCATCCCTATTGGATCAGCTTCATCAAAACCTAGAATTTGATTAGTATAAGAGCCTTGAAATGAACAGTGATCACGGTTGGAACTTTACCTTCCATCGTTTGGACTCCAAATCGGCCTCCGTCATCCCGCGCATGTTCATAGTTTGGTCAATCATCTCCAGCTTGTCCTTCTGCACTTTCTGAATGTACTGAAGAACATGTTAAAGATTAGTGATGAAGGAATCAGAAAGTATGCGTAGAGGCTGCTCTTACTGTTTCTACCGAGTTGGGAACGATATATCGTATGACCGTGACCTCTTGCATCTGTCCTATGCGATACACCCGATCGACGGCTTGCGCCTCTACCATTGGGTTCCAATGAGGTTCTATCAAATGTACGACACTGGCAGCTACAAGGTCGATTCTGGATAGATGTTAAGTCAGCTGAACAAAGTTTGACGAACCATATCGGCTGAGACACATACCCTTCCGCTGCACTGCCGATACTGGCCAGCATCACAGTGCAGTCAGGGTTGTCGTTGAATTTCTGCACAGCTTTTTCCCGTCCTTCGCGACTGGTATGTCCATCAATGCGTTGGAAACTGACTTGGGCTCCGTAGAGTGCCTGCTCGATGAGATCGAGCATTTTGATCCAGTAACTAAACCCGACGCTGCTCTGGGTTAGCCAAACAAAAAACCAAAAAAAATAAAATTTAAAAATTCAAACACCCAGCGAGAACGATTCTCTTTGAACACACCTTTTCCTTGGCTTACGATTTGCCCCTGCTGCTGTTCGCTCCATTCTCAGGTTCTCCAGCAATGCCAGTACCTTGGCCGAGGGTCGATGAAGGACGTTGGCTGGATTCAAATTTTCAGAGCTTGCTGATTGACAAACTGACATACCGCCTTTGTCCAGGAGATCAGCTTCCAGGTTCGTGCTTAGGAATCCTTCCTCTGAAGTTGCACAATTGGCACATATAGAATCTTGCACCTTTTCCCTACCGACGCTGCCATCAATCTCCCCCTCACAGACGGAACACTTGCTGTAGTGGATTTGTTGCATTGCGGACTCTAATAAAGAATCTGAGCCTTCCTCGCTCATTCTCTTTACCGCTTTCGAAAGTAAATGTTCTCCATGATCGCAGATGAGCCTCAGGGAGTTGATTAGGGCGAGTATGTTCGCTTGCTTGCCTTTGGGCGATGGGCCTTGATCTGGTCGCCTCTCTAGGCCCGCGGCCGCTCTGATGGTGATTCCCTTCACGGCATCATACAAATTCTAATCATCTTGATGGAGGCAAACCTCATGTATCCTCTCAGAACGTTGAGGAAGCTTGAGCATACCAGAGGACAAGGCCTTTTGTATGGTCCTTCGGAGGCAAGTCGCGCGAACAAGTCTATGCAAACGTTCAATGCCCAGCTTGTCCTTTTCTTCCACGGGATTCGCGATCCAAGTCATGAATTTGGACTTTTGCACGAACGGAAAAACCCGTATGAAAGATAGTAAGGCGCCGTAGTCGTCGAGCGAGTTGTGAATTGGTGTTCCTGTCAAACACCATCGATATCGGGCGTTGAGGTCCCAAACAGATTGGTATGTCTGTTTTTTCCGGTTGCGAACGTGGTGAGCTATATAGATATGAATAAGAGGATCAATGCCAAAGCATTCACCAGGCTACTTGCCTTCATCCAAAACAACTCGCAGCCATTTCCAGGAGTATATAGGACGTGCTCCCTCTGTGATTGCCCACTCAGAGCGAAGAGTCTCGTATGTTGTGATAACCACGTTAGTGTCGACGAATTCATTGGCAACACCTTGTCGACCAGAACCGTGGTATATCTGTACCCGTACTTGCCCTTTGTGAATGTGCCTGAAAGCCACGAAAGCCACCTTGCTTTTAGCCTTTGTGCAAATCGTGAAGTCGACATGATATTATAAGCAGTCCTTACTGTGAGGCCTGAATCATCCAGCCACGTATGGCTTTCTTCCCGTCAGTAGTCCATGAGCATTCTAAGCATCTTATTTCGTGCCAAACTCACTGGACATCGGCGCCACAATGAGTGTTCCTCGGTGGCTCGTCTTCTTGGCATGATCCTCCGTTGCGGTTTGAAGATCCAGAGAGGCACATATCAGAGCCAAAACGCTCAGGGTTTTTCAAGGCCCATATCCTCGAAATATTTGTCAGGACCTCATCCAAGAGCAGTTTTTGATTGGGGATTCTCTACATCAGCAAGTATTCCTCCCATGACTGGGATAAGGTCTGGATTCTAGTGACCCGGTGATTGTATGGCGGTATCTGCATGTTAATAAGGTCAGTATCCAGATGATATCTCTGGGACTACTCTCCAGGATCACTTACTGCAAAACCTTTCTGTTCTCGGAAAATTCCGTTCTCCAAAGCGGCGGGAATACCGGCTGCTCTACGTGGCCGCTCTCTTTCTCGAGCATCATGGCCAGAGCTGTGAGTTGATGACTGGAACAAAGCATAAGCCACTGCAAATTATAGAGCCAGAAAGCATGTTGTACCTCATGAGTCTTGAACGAAGCCGGGAACTTGGTGACGTGTTTACCACTTTCACGGTCTCACCGTCTGCTTCCGCGGCTTCGAAGATTTGCAGAAGGTAGCTCTTGCTTGTCTCATCTCCCGGCTCCAATTGAGAGGAGACATCTTCCTCGTCGCTCAGGCGCAAGTTCTTCAGTTTCGGCATTCCTGCACCGGGAGGAAGAAGGTAATGTGGGTTGTCATATTGAACTCCTGGTATGGCTTCATCAGCAGTCGGATGCTGCAAGAAGAAACCCGCTTTGGAGATTAGTTTCCCGATCTTCTCTTTGTTAACCCGAAGACGTGCAACACAATGCGGATGCTGTAATGTTGAGCTGTTTCCTCCCGGGCCTGATTCCTGGACTTTGGCTTGCCCATGTCTCTCTTGCCCTTGACCGCGGGTACGACAAGTGTGGCGTCCAGTCTAAGGGGAAGCTGGCGAAGCACGTTGAAGAGTTGAGGGTTGTTCAGGATACCGGCGTGCGCATTAGAAGTCTGGCTACGAAGCAGGAAAAGATTTCCAAATGGTTCCAGATCAACAGGCACACCATAGACCACACTCTTCTGCGCAAAGGAAGAGGTAAGCGCTGTTATCACCTGCTTCTTGTTAGCCTAGAGAAACGTCGATCGAGATGCGGCGAAACGCAACGTACAACACCAAAACAAGTGTCGTAGTCGCAGACAAGTACGGATTCGGATGAGTGTAATGCAGCTGGAGTCTGCGAGGCCTTTTCGTTGGCCTGGAAATCACTCAATACTGGCTGGTCACTTGAACTTGTATCGAGTCCGGAGCGTACGCCTGGGGTGGTGGCATGCCCCCGCGAGGGGTCGCTCTGTAGTTTCTCAAAGCTGGTGAAACCCCTGGAAGGCAATCGTTCATAGGTATTTCGACTTGGGGAGGAATCACTGCTGATGAAAAGGTCTCCCACAGAGTTTGGGGGTGGAGTCGAAGTTTTCGGGGAGGAATGCATGGATGGTAGCTGGTTCGACAAATTCTCTGGTTGAAGTAGCTCTACATTATTATTCGAGAAGGATCTGTAGGCATTTGCTGGTATCTGCTGTTCCCATTGCATTGGGCCGAGGGACGCAGCCACACCCTCGCCGCTTGTGAGGTTGTGGAATTGGTGCCTAGAGCCATCCTCGTCGCCGGCAAAGGTGTTAAACTGGCTGATGGAGTTGTGGTTGGAATGTTGTGATGGGACCCAAGAAGCGTCTTTGTGAGAATCAGTTGGTAATTCCTGGATCGCAAAGTTGGGGGTTTGGGGGGTCGTCTTCAGGCTGCGTGCGGAATTTCTTGATTTCTCGGCCTCCCTCGTCAGCCGGGGCAGGGCAGGGTCGTTTACTACCTACAAGCGTGTGCAAGTTCTGCAACCAGTGGTCATGGTTCATATTGGGCTGGCCTGAGGTATCTCGCCCGCTGTTGTGGGCAAAGGGAAGCTGGATAGTTGTGCGAGGCCAAAACATGGCGGGCCAGTCTACAGCTTGAGGCATGCTGCAGGTATGACGCAGCCCCAACGTGCCGGTCAAGCATTACGCCGTTACCCAATCGAAGTAAGGAAGAGAATAAGCTGCATATCAAGATGCAGAGAACGATGTACGGCAAGCGGATTCGTGTTCATTCAGTTTTCTGTCTTTGCATCCCTGCCTTCTTGCTCGAGGTATCTCATAGTATTACATCTAGCCGATCAGACCTTGTACAGATCTCAGTGTTCTGTACTGTCTTATGTAGCACTGTACTACATACCATAGTACACAGCACAGTACTGCGGGAAGATCCATGGGCACCCCTGTCAATCGCGGTTCCACCCGTCGAACTTTTTTGAGAGCTTTCCTTCAGCCTCGCGACTTATCACATCACCTTGACGCCTTGGGAGCTCAGACGCACACACACAGAAAAAAAGGCGAGAGAAAGAGAGCTTCCTACAACAAATCCGAGCACTACACCGGTACCTGCCGAAAGAGAGAGAGAGAGAGAGATAGAGAGAGAGAGAGAGTCACGAACATATCATACCAGCATGTCATAACAACAAGAAGACGAGAGACGCCCTCCGCCCACGATGCTCTACGACCTCAACATCGTCTGGACGCCCCAGACTACGCAGGCCGGCCTAGAGCGTACTCTCAGGTTCAGCCATTCGCTCGGATACAACGTCGTCGCCCTCAACCACATCCTAGAGCCGCCGATCCCAGCACAAGTCACCAACCCTATACCACAGATAGGCCCAGTCCACTCGTCCTTCCCTCAACTACCACCAATCGCCGCCTCCACCAACGACCCCTCTTCAGCTCCTCCCACCACCACCTCCTCTACCAAACCTCTCCCCACCGTCCTCCGCCGCGCCACTCTCCTCGTCTCCGACCCAGCAGCCAACCACCGCCTCCCCCTCCTCGTCCAAACCTATTCCCTCCTCGCCGCCCGCCCCCTCACCGAGCGCGCCTTCGCCGCCCTCACGACCGGCACCTCCTTCTCAGAGGTCAGCCTCATCTCCCTCGACCTGTCCGTCTCCCAGCCCTTCCGCTTCCGCCCAAAACCCTGCATGGCCGCCGTCAACCGCGGCGTGCTGTTCGAGGTGTGCTACGGCCAGCTGCTCCTGGCCGGCGGCACCGGGGGCGACGCGCCGTCCGCCCGCGCTCGCGCCACCTTCATCGCCAACGTCCTGGAGCTCGTGCGCGCCACCAAGGGCCGCGGGATCGTGCTGAGCAGCGAGTGCAGGGCCGCGGGGGGCGGCGGTGCGCTGCGGGCGCCGGCGGATGTGGTGAACCTTCTTGCGTGCTGGGGGTTGGGGCCGGAGAGGGGGCTGGAGGGGCTGGGGGTGAACCCAAGGTCGGTGGTGGTGAACGAGGGCCTGAAGAGGAGGAGTTTTCGAGGGGTGGTGGATATTGTGAGCGCAGAGGGGAGGGTGCCGGGGGCCAGGCCACGGGCCGAGAAGAGCAATGGCGATGGCGATGGGGAGGAGGGCTCGAACAACAAGAAGACGGCCAAGAAGAAGAAGGGAGGGGGTGAACAGCAGCAAAACACCCAGCAGCAGCAGCAGCAGGGAAAGAGGAAACATGATGGCGGGAGTGACGCTGGGGTCGCAGGAGACCAGGCCCTACCGGTCATGAGCAAGAGGCAGGCTAAGAAGATGAAGCTGGCCGGGAAGAAAGAATCTGCAACGGCGCCAGAGGGCTCGGTGTAAGGCGGGCAATATTATGCCTCCAGAAGAAGCAATTCCCGGCACGTCATTGGCGTCGGACAGACAAAAACAATATTGAATGATACCCCCTTTGGGCATCCTAGCCCACAGCTTCATGATGAGACTTACTGCTCCGCGCAACAATCACGACAAGAACAAGAACCAAAGTGTTTAGGGAATGGGCGCTCTGATGATTTTGGATGGTCTGACTTGCAGAGTGATCTGGATATTAAATCTTTTACCACCAACATTCAACATACACCAAAGAAGCCCCCCGGGCCGGTGTGTCTCCCTCTTCTCCCGAGAACAAAATAAGATCTATTGCATCCCCGCCAAGGGCATTCAGACCGATTAAATCATCATCCCGTGACTATATAGACATCCCATCCTCCTTCCCTTTCTGCTTTCCGTTTCCCTTAGGCGACACTCATCGTTGCGCTCGCCAGGTTGCCCAAGCTCAGCGCGCTCACCAGGGTCAGCCCGCTCGTGTTTACACTTGTCACGCCGGCGTTATTGGCAGCGGCGGCGGCGACGGCGGCACTCGTCGTCACAGCGGCAGCGGAAGTAGTGCCGACAGCGGGGTTGTTGGCGGCGGCTGGCGCAGTGGTAGTTGCACCAACGGCACCGAGGCTGACGGAGGATTCGAGTGTGCTAACGGTTGTCGCTGCTGTTGGAGAAAAAGACGAGAATGTCAGTAAGACTGAGTACCTACACGGGTTTTTTGTTGGGCGATGTATATTCCCCTGTCCTCTGGTTTGGGATCAAACATACCAGTAGTGGCAGCAGCCGCCGCCGGCGTCGTGGTCTGCAGTTGCGATGGGACAGGAACAGTCGAGACGCCCGCCCCAGCAGCAGCGGCTGCACTGGTAGCGGCGCAGGGCACGGTGACCATAACGGTCTGGGTGACGGTCGAGGCGAGTGCAGTGATTGTCGTCGTGCCTGGGGTACCACTTGCGAAGACGGTAGTCGTGAGGAAGGACAAGATGGCCCTGTGAGCACGTGTCAGCAGAGAAATGATGTAAGAAACCAAGGGCACTCACCCAGCAGCATTGGCTGTCTGGTTGTTGGCCGCAACTGCCGCCGCCGCCGTCACTGTCGCGGTCGCGGTCACCGTCTGAGTCTGGCCTTGTTTCTGCGCCTCGAGCTGATCCTGTGCCTCTTTCAAGGCGGCTACGAGGTTGGCGACCACGCCACCCGCGCCTCCTCCATTCTCGTGGTGTCGGGCAGCAATTTCCCGTCCTCGAGCCAGTATATCGTCTCCAGCTTCGGCAGCCCGAACCTCATATTTGAATACGGATGCCTACAAGTCCAATTGTCAGCGTGACTGGCGTATTTCTTTCGGCTCCGGGTTCGTATCTTGGGATATTGGCCGGGTTCGACGCACCTGTGCCACCGACAGACACCCTATTAGTAGTAGAAGGTACTCGAAGAGGAACTTCATCTTGTCGTCGGACCAGGAAGGCCTTTAGACAAACAAATAGAACAAAAGGAATGACACAACAGGACCAGCCGTCGGAAATAAGCAAACAAAGTATCGTCGTCGTGGACGTTGTCGTCGATCAGGTCTCAAACCCTCTCGGTAGAAAGAAGAGAGATAGAGAGAGAGAGAGTCTGTGAGTTTGGTTTCGAACGAAAGAGGGAGTGTGGTGGGAAAGCCAAGCCCACAAGAGGTTGGGATCAAGATGAGCCTCTTACTACGAGTCACTTACTACAGGAAGATCGACCGGAGAAGCAGGATAGCCATGTCCAATATGGGACGGGCTAAGGGGGTTTTACTAGAAGCCAGAACGCATGGACTAGAACAATAAGAAGGGAAAACACGGGGGGATCGCAGCAGCACTGTGGCTGTCTCAAGTCTACCATCACAGACTGGACATGTGGATCGGACTTGCGACTCGCAGTGCCTCCACCACGACACTCAAAGCGTGGGACGCCAGAGACGGGTAGCGATAAACCCCCAGTCCGGGCGGCTAAGAGCCGTGCCTCTGGCGTGCGTAATGAGAGGGCTTCAAAAGAAACGAGACGGTTTCCTCCCCCTTTCAAGCGAAGTGGACAAGCGTTTCTTTTTACAGGCTTAGCCCTGCAGAAACGACGAAAGGAACCGAGGTGGGGGGAGGAGGCATCAACCAAGGTCTTTCTTCCTCTCTATCACCGACGAGCCGAAGTTGATGAGGATTATCGTGACTAAGAAGGACTTCTAATAGAGGAGGAAAGAGATACGAGGTCTTGCTCATCAGTAGATGTCAGTCTTTCTTGGAGAAGACGAGAGTAATCGAGAGCAAGAGACTGGCTGGACCATGGCTCATTCGGCGCCGGTGATGAACCCATGATCCAATCCATGTATGGGCATGGCATGGCACCCAGGTTTCGTCCCAAAGTCCTACTAGGGGGGACAAGAGACGAGTGCAAGACAGCGGTAGTATCGAAATCTTGGCATTCGCGGTGCAGACGGTTAGGAAAAGGAAACGCTCCTCCGTGTTGCTGGCGCAGGGGAGAGAAGATGGTGCCTGGAAGCGTTGTAGTCAAGTCAGGATAAAGTTTTAGGTTATGCCAAGCAATATACGCTGTGCAACAGCGGCTAGAGCCTCTCGTCGGGCGGACAAGAAAAGGGGTGGGGTCTCCGTTCAGGGGTCTGTCTCTTGTCTTGTGCCTGTGGTGGATGAGACAAGGTCCGTGACAGATGATGTCTGAGTACGACTGGGCGAAACGGGGACATGCCCAACCCCCAAGCATTGTTCTTGTCACGGCTGGATCCATGACTTCATCAGTGTCGCCGAATTTGTTTTCCAGTTGCGTGTTCTATTGGTACGAACGCAACAGGGCAGCGAATAGCATGTCGACTGCGGAAACAATTGCAAGATATAAATAAAGACAATGGGTAAGGGGGGGTTGACATGGTCTGATCAGAATAGATATACTACCATGTACGTCTGTAACCAAGTGGCGCATCAATTGCTAAGACTGGGCTGCCTGCATCGTAGATATTCAACGCGAAGATCGTCAACGTGGAAGTTCCCGAGCGATCGCCCTCGCATGCGACCGGTCCACCTTTGGTTGGCCTCGAGATGGGACGGATGGATATATGGGGATGGTGATGTCTCTTCTTCAGGCCAGGCCATGGTGGTACTGCTGTGTCAGCACCGTATTGCGGGGTCGAGGCCATGGAGGCACAGGCCAGCAGAGCAAATTGATGACCTGTCATTCTTCATACCATACAATTTCTCAAGAGAACAAAGAGGCCATGCTTCGACTGCGCTGTTCTTTGCATTCACTGCGGGGAGAAGGGCAGGAGGGGAAGAAAGAAGAGAAAAGGAAAAAGGCACAGGGGTTTGGTTGCAGTGCAGGCCAGAAAGAGAACCTCCAGCCGAAGCGAGACAGTCAATTTCGATCAAGGGGCTTTGCATGTGCTGGTTAGTCCACACAGACGGACGCCACCGTCACAGCTTCCTTGGGAGGCACAGCACAGACAACCACACGGCACTGGCCAATGCAGTCAAGAGGAGGATGAGGTCGTTGGTGTGGTGGCCAAGACAGGAGATTAACCTTAAGAATAAGAATTCGCCGAGATGAAGAAGGAAAGGATGGTGATGATGGCACCTGCGCTGCACCATGGAGACAAGGTCTAGAACAGGCATAACTGAAAGATGAGCTCGAGACACCATTATTAGGGGCCCAAGCGTACGGTATCATAGCATAACGACATGGTGGTATTATTGTAGTTAGGCTCAGAGGGAGCTGACCCACCTGGAGCCGGTGCTCTTTGCGGTTGCCCGTCCACTAACAGGTCGCTGCTGACGAAAGCACTATCGTACTTACTGTGCCCATAGTAGCAGAACACAGTACTTTATGGGCCACTGGGGGACGGTAGAAGTACCCGATCGACCCCCTGCTACTGCAAGCAGATGGCTCTCGATGATGACGACGTAGACTTTTCATGTGAGATCACACTGCTCAGTGAGGCATCTGCCAAACCAAAAAAAAAAAAAAACCGAAAAAACCGAAAAAACCAAAACCACCATGATGTGCTTACAATTCTTTCTCTTTTGTATAGAAAACAAATATAAATTGGTACACATGCACCTTTTCGGGTTCTTTTGATGAAACAACCCCAAACAAGCTGTTCTTTGAGTTTTGTCATGCTCGTTCGCTCGGTTTGTCCCGTTGCCGAACCTGGTTTGAAACAATTCAAACTGAAGGAAGAAAAAGAGAAGAAGAAGAAGAAGTAGAAGAAGAAGTAGTGCTAGAGTTCACGATCCTCACCACAGACACATCCTCCGCTATACACCATACGTGAACATTTCAAAGCTGCCCAAGATGGAGGGAACCGTCCACGTCCTAGATGACTACTACCTCGCCATCACCCTCCTCATCACCGTCGCCTACCAGCTCATCTTCTTCGCCGTGGCTTTCACCTTCAAATTCGACAAGCTGACCGGTAAGGCCATATTTTCTCTCGCCCTCGCCCTCAACTGCGTCTCTCTTATTATCATCTTTACTAACACACTAGACCACAAGACTTTGCGGGCGGCACCAACTTCGTCGTCCTGGCTATCATCACCCTGAGCCTCTCCGCCTCGCACCCCACCGCCCGCCAGATCGTCGCCTCCATCTTCATCATGCTATGGGGTGCCCGCCTCTCAGGCTTCCTCCTCTTCCGCATCCTCAAGACCGGCAAAGATGACCGCTTCGACGACAAGCGCGACCGCTTCTTCCCTTTTCTCGGCTTCTGGGTCTTCCAGATGCTCTGGGTCTGGATCGTCTCCCTGCCTGTCACCGTGCTCAACTCGCCCGCCGTGACGCAGTATCCCTTTGTCGCTTTCGGCACGGGCCGTGACATTGCAGGCGTGGTGCTGTTCGTGCTGGGTTTCGTCGCAGAGAGTGTCAGCGACGTGGAAAAGTTCATCTTTCGCCAGAGCCAGCCCAAGAGTGCTGTGTGCGACAAGGGGTTGTGGGGCTGGTCGAGGCACCCCAACTACTTTGGCGAGATTATCATCCAGTTTGGTTAGTTACCTCTTTCTCTCCTCGCTCTCTGAAACACACTAACCTCGCCCACACAGCCATCTATATGATAGCAGTCTCCTCCGCAGCCGATGGCCACGTCCAAGGCCAAGCCTACAAAGCCCTCTACGCCACCATCGTAGGCCCCATCTTCCTCACCGCCCTCTTGATGTTCCTCTCGGGCCTCCCGCTCTCCGAGCGCCCAGGGGCCAAGAAGCGCTATGAGAAGGGCGACAACTGGGACGGGTACAGACGGTATCTGGACCGCACGAGTATCCTGATTCCATTCCCGCCGTGGCTGTACGAGAAGGTGCCTACGGTGTTGAGGCGGACAGTTTTTCTTGAGTTTCCAATGTATGTGTTTGATCCGGCGAAGCATTCGAATGCAGGAGGGCCGGGCGGGGAGGAGCAGAGGAGGGCCGAGGAAGGGGGTGGGAGCATAAATCGGGAGAGGCTGACGGGGTAAGAGGGCGTCAGTGGGGGAGCGAGAGAGGCCGTTGATGGCATGGCAGTTTTCTGCAATAGAATTCTGAAGGCAAAGCGACACCGTGTGTGTGTGTGTGTGAGCCGATATGTATATTCCTTTGGTTCTTCCTGGCCCCTTATTGACAGGTGGATAGATCGACCTCTCCTAGACATTGAGAACCATATCATACTAATTTACCTTTCTTTTTGGATATCTTCATGCTGCTCTCTCCTCCCCTCTCTATACATGTGTGTCTGTCTCTTCTCCATGCCAAAAACCCCTCTCCTTTACATTAATGCAGCATATTGCTCAGGTTCGACCCCGAAAGCTCACAAAGCCCCTCCCTCTTCGGCTGCGGCCCTCCTCCCTCGCCCTCTCGGCGGCCCAGGCTCGAGCCAGGGATTCCTCCGCTCCCGGTCAGCATCCCGGGCTGGTCCAGACACTCCTGTGAGTCGCCGTAGCTGCTCTGCGTTGACTCCTCCGAGTAGCTCTCAGCGCCCTCGGGGATAGGGATCATGGCAGACTGCGTCCAGATGTGGATGGCCCGGGACCAGTCGAGCCCCTCGAGGCAGCCGCCCTTGACGGAGACAACATTCTTGTTCTGTGAAGAAGAGGGAGGGAGGGGGGAAGGTCAGTAAGGATGGATGGAGAGATGGAAGACCAAATGCAACGAGGTGCAAAGAGGATATGAGAGCGATGTGACTATATACTCACAGGTGTGGTGTGGATGAGCCGTGTCCCGCACTTCTTGCAAAAGTAGCTGCAGTTGGGGAGCGTGAGTGAGAGCCTTCGCTTCTTGATCACCCGACAGTTGCGTCCCGCCATCGAGGTGGGATCTCCATAACCCAAAAAACTCACCAGTACAGCGTCTGTCCTGAGACGGTAGGCCGTCTATATAAATCAAGTAAGAAAACTGGTCAGTCAATTCTGTCTCTTCCTGGACATGCTCCCATCCCCATCCCTACCCCTCTTTTGTCTCATCTCCATCTTGCCGTTATCGCCATCATTCTCATATGACTGATGAACCTTTTCTGACCCCACTATGATGTTCTTCTTCCTCTTTCCTCTCGCATTGTTCTCAGAACCCAACTATGTGGTAAGAGGGACCTCGACTCACGTATAGACGCTCAGCAGCTCGGCATCCGGCAGCTCGAATCGCGGGAAGATGGCCGATGTGCCAAAAGCAGACGAGGTCTGGCGCCTGCACTCTGCGCAGTGGCATATGTAGAGCGCCAGGGGCCTCCCTATGGGGGTCTTGAAAGTGACGGCCCCGCACTGACAGGCCGCGTCCATGATGGGCTGTTGTCTTTACTTTTTTTTCTTTTTTTCTTGCGTGTTTATTTGTCCTGTCTTTCCTCTCCCTCTCTTTCTCTCTCGTGTCTTTCTTTCTTTCTCTTTTTCCTCTTCTGTTCCGGTTGGCGTCTCGACTGGTATGTGAGGTCAGTCTCTCATTCACTGACTCACAAACACACTCGCTCATTCATGCAGACATGCATACACAAGCAACGTCGTCTCCTTAGCAAGTAGGGCAACCTTTTAGCTCGTACCGTAGCGCAGCCAAAAGGACAGCCAAGGATGTGTGTTGGTAGTTTGAAAAGGAGAGGAGGGGAAGAAGAATGAATAGAAGGAAAAGAATATTCAAAGATGAAAAGTATCAAGATTCCTCAGGCAACGCGAGCCGTGAAGTAGTAATCCCGCCTGTTCAGCTGAATAAGCACCGCTACTTGGACGGGAACGTCTAAGGGCAGGGTTTCGGAGAGGGGGACCTTGCACCACCCAAGTTATGTGTCCCTCCTCCACTGCAACTTCCCCCATGCCGGACCGTAAAACAACGTACCTGCTTAAGATGTGACTCGAACGGCAAACAGGAAAACGATCCAAAGTTGTCATCCAGCGCCGATTGATTCCAATAACTTTACTCTCTCCTCCGTTATCGCTGTTAAATTCCAGGGATATAAGTGGTCAGAAATTTAGTAGACCATAGATAAAAGACAAAAATAAATAAAATGAAAACACGAGATTGGTTAGCCATTCTCAGATGCGCATCGACGTGACTCACAGAGAAGCCCCAGAGCCAAGTCATCCCCCGAGTCGCGAAGTCACATGCTTGCGCCCCCGCCCCCTCCCCCCCGGTCCCCCGGTCCCCCGGACCTGCACTCGTCTTAAGAGAGCTACAGTAAGCAGGTGGAGAGAGAGGGGAACCAGGGAAATGTGACAGTGATATTTTTTCTTCTTTTCTTTTCTTACCGCCATCATAATTGGAAGATGCCGTCAGCACTAAAAAGCCAGGAAGACACGACCGAGCTACCATAGTACTTGTGCTGCTACAGGATGTGCACTGTGGCATTAAAGCACCGTGGAACAGGTTTTGGCCCCGCCAGCGGGAGAGGGGAAGGGATCGGCCTAGAACTTGCCAAGGCATGACATACTAATTCATTATTTCCCCGGGGTCTCTAGCGTGACTAAGAACAAGCAAAGATCGGCGTGTGGGAAGATACATCATAGTGAAAAGAAGAAGAAAAATGGTTTGATATGACGAAGCTGTTGCGATGATCGGTGCGAGATATTACTATTTAGAATAATAAGGTACATCTTTGGTCCGTCTTTATGTAAGACTTTTTTCTTCTTCGGTCATGCGGGTCTTGCGATTCTGAATTGGGTCAAGAGACCGACTGCCGTTTTATGGAGGAAAGTGATTGCGCATACGCGCGCACATACGCATGCGAACAGAGCACCAAGCGTTTCAAGACATATCTCGTTCAAAAAAATAAAGAAGAAAATGATTGTAAAGATTCAATGTTCTCAATATTGTATATACCACAACGCCAGCCAAATGCCCTATGCTATGCTTTTTCAGTTTTTTACAAAGTGCGACGATGACCTCTATACAGGCACACACAACACACACACGTATACATGTATACAACATCATTATTCTTCCTCTTGCTCCTTTTTAGTGTGCTTCCTGGGGCTTCCCCAGGTCTACCTCGGTCTCGACCATCCACGTCTCGACCGTCCGGGCCAACCTGATCATGGGTATGTCCACCAGCCGCCAGAACACATCCGCAGCCCACACCACCATCGGACTCAATATCATCAGCCCTAGCACCCACACTATTGTCCGCTGCGTGGCTGTCTCAACCCCAATCAGGCCCTTGAGCCCGCGCGGGAGCACCTCCGGTCTGTACCCGGGAAGACCCGGCGCAGCCATGGGCGGCTGGTATAACGTGCCCACCACGGCGCGCTGCAGCAGCTCCAATACCGGCCCGTGCACAATGTACAGCGCGTAGCTGATGTGCCCGCAGTACTGCGGGATGGGCCCTTCGAGGAAGTGCCTCACGGGTCGCAGCTCGCCGCATGTCCACACCATGGCGATGGCCTGCACAGCAAACCAGAACTTCTGCGGCGTCAGATTATCCACAGGCGGAAACGAGGGTGGGGTGTGGTTGTACAGCCAGCGGATGATGGGGCTGCGGTGCGCGTCAAAGTTGGGCCAGCCCTGCACGTAAAACGCCCCCAGCAGCAGCAGGATGTGCACGATATAGTGTAGCGCCGGGCCCTCAATTACTGGCGCTAGCTCGGCGGGGCTGCCCGCCGAGGCGGCTGCTGCTGGTGCTGTTGGTGACGAGGACAACTTCTCGTAGTGTCGCGCCTTGGCCTCAGCCGAGCGGCGGATGTGAATGTCGGCAAGGATCATGCCCGCGTAGAACTCCATGGCCGCCCACTTGCCGCACGCAACCGTGTAGGCCAGCAGCAGGAACATGGCCGGGGTGCGCACGCGCTGCCGCAGCCGCGACAGCATCAGGATAGTCAGGAACAGCAGCATCGAGTGGGCAAACTCGATGGGGATGGACCACAGGTGCACGTCGAAGGCCGGGCGCAGGTCAAAATCCCACGCCCACGGCCAGGTGATCTGGTGGAACACGGCGTCGACCCAGGCCCAGAACTGCATGGAGTTGGACGGCAGCGGCCGGTACAGGAGGCGCATCTGAATCATGACCCCAATGATAGCCGTGGACACGATGCACGGCCCAAGTAGCCGGAAGGGCCGCCGCAGTGTCGAGGAGGCCAGCGCCGCCCAGCATCGCTCCAGGTCCCTCGCATGTATCTCTCTCAGCGGCTTGTAGGACAGCACGAAACCCGAGATGACAAAAAAGATGTGCACCATGGGTCGGCCGCTGTATAGGCTCCGGAGAAAGGGTAGCTGTAGGAAGGAGGAGATGTGGTCGACATTCAGGCCATAGGTAGGGATGAGGTACTGGTGGTTCTCCTCGGTGTAGTGGCAGAAGAAGACCACCACGGCCGCCAGCCCGCGCAGGCCATCGAGATACGAAGTTGGATATAGCCTGTGGGTGGCCAGCGGGCTCTTGTGGTCGGGCCACAGAGCGTCGGCGGCGAAACTAGGAACGAGGTCGCGGAGGGCCATGTCGGGGGGGATGGGACATCGTGGGTTTGTAGAACCGCGGCTGTAGAATCGAAGGTCGTGAGCGGCGCCCCGCGAACCTGGCTCGCGTGCGCGAGGGAAAGAGACAAAGACAGACAAAATGTGTGTGTGTTCGTGTATGCTCGTGGTTTCGTGCAAGTGACGTCGGGTCAGGTCAGGTCAGGTCAGGTCAGGACGGACCAGCGCCAGGCAACCGTTGATAGGTATGGCCAAGGAAAGATCTCGAGAAGGAGGGAGTGGGTGGGTATATGCGATCTGGCCGACTCCGTATTGACTCGAGAAGTAGGAAGGTTGAGAAGGGCGACGACAAGGACGGCAACGTCCAGGGAAGGTCGGATGTCGGGAGATGGTCAGGATAGAGGAGGAGGAGGTCAGGATCTGCACAGCGGGAGGCCACGCATTGCTGTGGGTCAAGGCCAGAGACAATCAACAAATGTCTTGCAAAGAGAAACTGGGGCCTGGCCAGGGATTGGTATTTAAATTTGGGTTTCTTTGGGGGGGGGGAGAATAAGAGATCCCTAGAGGGGCGGTGCTAGGGGTGCTAGGGGTGCTGCAGGTACGGGGTGCGGAAGAAATAATTAAAGAAAAAAAATCTAGAGGAGAAAAGGAATTCTTGCTAGAAAGGGGATGATGACCGGAAGAGGGATGGGGAATCAGACCGCAGGTAATGACGATGCATGGAGAGGAAGGAGCATGGATGGGGAAATTCAATTATAGCAGTAGTAATATAGTACTAAGATACGTAGTAGCAACCGTCGTATTTGGCTGGTACGTACATACTGTCGTAGTCGGTACGTACATGCCATGTCCAAACGTGTATGATTTCTCACAAGGGGCTGATGGGGCTAGATGGGCAACTTGGGGCCCCCAAAAGAACGGGTTCTCCATAGCACTGCTGACAAGTGACGGGCTGTTGCCGAGGATAACTGGGAGAGAGACAGAGAAAGGCAAGAAGGGAGAGAGAGGAGGGAAGGAAAAAACGTAAAAATGAAACAGGGCTGGAGGGCAAATGTGGAGTCGATGCAATGCAGAAAGCTACGAAAGGAATGGCACGAAGCAAACTAACACGAGGGGTCAGGTAAGGCCCACTCTTCTCGACATATGTACCAAAAAGAGAGGAGAGAAAGGAGTACTCAAAAAATGTCGAACGTAGACGCAAGAAACAATACCATTGCGACCCTATCAATTGTCATCTTTGTTCCCTCCCTCGAGACAAACAGATATAGAGGGACCCAATTGGTCAGCTAGCCTAGCGATGAAGAACGTTGACGACGCGCAACGCGCCATGTGGCTTAAAAATAGGGGGTCCGATGGCTCCCTGCCAAGCTGCTAGCTGCTGATCATAGCGGCCAAAATTGGAGCCACGAGTACCTCTCAGTATGGACCGTGGCACTATGGTAATTGACCAAGGTCTTATTCTATTTACCGTGGTATGAATCTCTGGTAGATCGTTGGAAATCAGCCTGACAAGATAAATTAGATGATATTACTGCAATAGGAGAGTTTTCAACACATTATCCAAATACACATTCATGACACAGAAATTGGGTATTGCACATCAATGAACATGCTCTGTGCAACAAGCAAGGGTTAGTGTACTAAACCGGCCCTTCGTTGCCTATTGTCGCCTTCTCCTTCCTCTTCTCAACACACACAACACGTAGCTCCTTCCTCCCTCCACCACGCACCACCGTCTGCCTCAGCTTCTCGCACCACCTCACCTTCTCCCCTGCTGGCCAGCCCACGTCGGCCATCTCGACCTCCAGCTGCCTCAGCTCCTTGAGCCTCCCCAGTGCCTTCTTCGCCCACTCCGTCCTCCTCCCCTCCTCCCCGACCAGCTCCCACGGGTTCTTCTCCCCTCCAGTATCCTTTCTCCTCCTCCTTCTCCCGCTCCCTCCATCATAGTCCTCACCGTTGTTGTCGTCCTCCTCTTCCTCCTCTTCCTCTTCCCTCCACGCCTGGTAAGCCCCTCCCCCCTCCATCCACACCGTCAGCCGCAGCCCCCTCAACCCCGTCCACATCCCACACAGCTCTGCCCAGTCCCGCGCCCTCACCGGCCCTGCCGCCCCCGTCACATCCCTTGCAAACACCTCCAGTCGGACGAACCGCATCTCCTGCCGCTGCCAGGGCCACCGGGCCCGCGTGAAGCCCAGCGCCGACGCTAGGCCCGACGAGAACCAGTTGATAAACACAAACTCGTTCTCACGGAACGGGATCCCCCGTGCCTCCTCGTTCGCCTGCCGGCATGTTCGGAGCAGCGCCGTCGGCATCCGTGCAAACGGCCGATCTGGCGCAAGCAAGGTGGTGCTGGTCTCTGCCGCTGTCATCCTTGTCGTCCTTGTCGTCGTCTTCTTCTTCCTTTTCTTCTCCTTGTCGTCCCCGCTGTCGTCTGCCCTGGGGACTATGGGCTGGGCGACGTGGGATCTGCATGTGGGAATAGGATACCACGGGGCCAGCTGTCTGTGTTGCACTGGGCTGGACAGGTGGACCCAATGATAGATCTGCAGCCGGATCTCGATGGGCAAGTCAAAGAAGGAGAGGCTGCCTCTGGCCTCTTCTCCCGACGGTGGTGTTGGTGCTACGGCTCGAGCTGTGCCTGGGACAGGGACGGGTGTCTCTGCCCGCCTGGCTGAACAATGTCCCATGATTTGCCAGTGGGGTTTCTTCGACTGGTGCTACAGTATCGTGCTTTATGAGGAGGGCAGGGTAGGCTCGGCTAGGGGAGGAGGGTGGTCTCGTAGGCCCTGAAAGCTCCAGCAAACCCAAGTTGACAACAAAAGGTTGTCATCCTACCAGCGCTCCCCATGTCTGTCCTGGTTCCCGTGGACTTTTTATTCTCCATTCGGGAAGTTAGAGAAAGGGAGAAAAAAAAAAAGAAGAGGTGAAAAATCTTCAGCACACCCTATAGAGCGCCGAATATGCTAATTTTAGAGGACGTATCTCGGCCGCTGGCCCACTCATCACTCAGCAAGCGCTGAGCTTACAGCCGCCTCTCACGGGTTGGAATAACACTCGTACAAAGCAAGTTGGGGGGTACAGTAGTCCTCGGGGCCCCAGTGGCTGGCCCAGATCGGGCTGACTAGTTACTTTTGGCAGGGGTTGGGTGTTCCCATTCTCTCCATTTGTTCTACAGTTATGAGCTGACCGCTTGCAGCCCGACGGGAGGGCCGAGAACCAATAGTAAGAGTGTGTGGCTTGGAGGTTTTACCTGATGCTCATTCGGCGGTTGGGCTCCCACTGCAAATCAGTCTGAAATGCACACCCCGCTTTAGGGACTGGCTACTTACGTCTAGGATATTTTGAACACGATGCATGCCAGCCATGGCAAGCTGCCAGTGTCAAGACGAGACCGGACCTGATATGACGAGCCACGTGATCTTTCCGGCGCGACCGCAGATCCCTCTGTTGGGCACACAAGGCGGCAGCGTCACTTGACCACACATACCACAGACAGCCGTGGACATGGTGCTATGGCGCAACTCGCACCACCGTCGACCAGCACCTACTCTGGAGGCCATTTCAGAACGTAAATATTCGCCCGGATCGATTCATACTCGAAGATGAAATCCCGAGCAGGGCGAGACGAGGCGGCCAACTTTTATAACCCCTCACCCCGCGCCACGGCTGATCAGTGCCCCGGCCCGGCCCGTTGTGTTCCGCACAGATTCGGGGCTGTGGGCCGTCCTTTGCGGCTTCTTCAGCGACGCTGCAGATCTGTTATAACACCCCCTTACCCGAGCCTTTAATTTTTGATCATCTGCCTTTTTGGGCTCGAAGTTGTTAATTGCTCTTGGTATTCTTGTCTATATCGACCTTTGTATCTCACCATACAAGATCTGAAATAGCCTCACGACCCTCCCCCCTCTCCTCGTCACCAGAAATCATCAAGCATGCCGCCATAGCACGTCAGGATGGTGATGTCCAAGGACCGGCTGCGATGGCTGCGCACCTGTCACGACCACCTAGTAATTAGCCACATCCTCTCATCATGGCCAGGAACATAAGCCGATAGTCAAACCTGCACAAGCGCGCACCGTGCCCGTGAGGTCACCGACCTATTCACGCGGCCAAAGAGAGGAGGAGGGGGGGGGGGGCGGACCTACTGTATTCACCTCTGGGACCATCCTCGTCCTTGATTCTGGTTCACCAACGACCCACCGTTTGGACCTTACCGCCTCCATCGAAGCGGAACGGTCCTGCTGTGGCCCAGCGGTGGTCGGACGGTACTCCAGCGTCAACATCGCCGGTAGATGGGTGGGCCTCCATCTCGCCCGAGGTTGGCGTGGGGTCGGCCAGCCAAGGGTGAATAGACGAACCATCAGTCTTTACCTGTCAGTATCCATATACTCGTTAATTTCAAGCTCCCCCAGAAAAGGATTGCTATCATCACCCCCCCCCCCCTCCCGGCGGGTGTGCGTGGGCCTGCAAAGCTGTCTCTTACCGTTTCGACGGGGCTGTTTCCACCCACATCGCTCTGAACTCCATCAGAGGCCTCCGCGGCCTGAGCCACAGCGGCGGCGACAACCTCATCGCCAATTTCGTACTTGTCGCGAACAGTCTCCATCTTGGCCTCGTGTCGGTTCTTGGCGGCGCCGACCTCGCCCTCGTGCGCGCGCTGGATGTTCTCCAGCTCCTCGGCCTCCAGCCTGTCAATCTTGCGGATGGCGGCCTCCTTGCGGGCCTGGAAGGTCTCGGCGGCCTGCTGGCGACGGTAGGCGTGCTCGGCCTCGATCCTGGCGAGCTCGGCCTCGTGTTCGTGCTGGTGGGAGCGGTAGAGAGCCACCTTGGTCGAGTCAGGGGTGAGAGGCGACATTGTTTCGTTCTTTTTTTTTCTTCGCGTGATGGATGGAAAGGTAAGGGTTGGGATCTTTTCGTGGTTTTTGTTGGTTGGAGGAGAAGCCGTGTTCAATGAAGACGAGGCTAACAGGGAAATGCTGCCTAACAGGTGTCTAGAGAAGAGTTGATTGTCAGTGTTATAGATTTCTGTCAAGATACACAAAAAGGAGTATCTTAAGAGCCACTCTTGATACAGGATAGCATACCAAGGCAATGAATGGATGCCAATGCTTGATGGCTTCTAGTTTTCTTTCTCCCAAAGGAGTGGGTGTAGAACCATGTCCTTCAAGTCTGCAAATAATGCAGGGAGAGAGGTTTTGGAAGTGAAAGAGGTAAACACACTTGATTATATAGTAGTGACATAGACGTCGACAATCAGGGCCACGACACTTCCGGCCTATCTCAATATCCTTCACTAAGATGTGATGTGGTAACAGTACCCTTCAAGAGTAAATCACAATGGCACACCTCCCCCGGGGGTTTGGGGGCTTCTTGAGCAGACTCCGGAAGGGAATTGCCAGATATTGTGGTCAAGAACAAGGGGCATAGGAACCTGGTCTGGGTCTGGTAGGGCAGAGCATGGTCTGTCTAGACAGAGAGTTCCAGACTCAAGGTAATCATATCTATTTTCTTATTTGTGCTCTGGTGGAAAAGGGGACCAGGGAATTAGATGCTACATATGTATCTAGTCCTGAGCCTAACCTCCTATTGCATTGAGAGTCTACAAGCCAATGTGCGCTGTGGGGTCTATCAAATTAGGAAATCATCAGGGCTGTAGAGCATCAAGATTTGCTCAAGGTAATCAATGACTTAGGTAGTCTTGCCAGTATAGGCTTATGGAAATAAAGACCTAGCATCTCTAAAGGACTAAGGGGAGCTAGACCTGTACATAGAAGGCAGAGTGGACAGCGTGAATACAAGAACATGAGGCTAACTTCAAGAAAGAGATAAAAGCCCAGCCCAGTCAAAGCCTACTCACTCCATTGAACCATTGTATGCATCATCAAAATAGACATGACAGATAAACGTGAGTATGTATCATGCTCTACCAATGTGGGTTGTCCCCCTCTCGAAGGTTTTATCTAGCGGGTAAGAAGTACATACAATCAATTTTGTATGCTTCTTTTACTCCTCTCCCTCCCCTGAACCCCCCTCCAGCCAAACTCGAGTTCCCAAGTGGCCGATTCAATTCAAAAATCAAATGCAATGTCAAAATGACAAACACACGCATACAAGCACACACGCCCTGAACACCGAATCTGCCTATGTGGGTAGTAAGAGGTATCCTTCCGTTGTGTCCGTCCATCCAGCACCCATCGATACACCCAAGTCATACCTCGTCGAATCCATGCTTACTTGTGTGGCCTTCTAGGCCGCTCGTTTCTTCGAAACCCCCCCCCCCCCGGTCCTCTTTGTGCCCGTCCCTTCAAAGCGAGAATTTCCAGGTTCAAGCCCAGAGCGTCTCACCTCTCCGTTTTTGTTTGATCATTGAGTCTTGTAAAACTTTTTGTACAACAAATGCAACAAGAGATTCACGTTCACTTTCAGGTTGCCCTCGAACAGTGTCATGAACTGATGCGACTCAAACTGTGCCTGCAGAAGATCCTCGATAGGCACAAGGGCGCTGGCGCCGGGGATCTGGATGTGACCTCGGGATCCTTCGATGGCGAACACGCCAACTTGGTCACAAGAGATGGTCAGGTTGATCTTGTCCCAGTCGCGGTCCGCCGTGCCTGACCAGCTGACCAGTGCGCCCTTGTCCATGAGCTGTCGCGCGCTGTACTTGTACGAGCCGAACTTGGGGACCCGGCCGCTGCGCTCGAGCTCGCGCTGGTGGTTATACTGCCGAGTGAAAGGGAGGAGGAACTTCTTCTTTCTGTAGTTGTGGTGTTTTGTCAGTGTTTGCCTGTCTTGTGATGAGGTGTCGGTGATGGTGGTGGGACGTGACTTACCCCTTGTTCTTCTGCAGTGTCAACATGGCCTGCTCAATGTAGTCGTCGTAGCTCTTCCGCTGCTGCTCTAGATACTTGGCCTTCTCATGAAGATTGGCGAGGGTCAGACCGACGCCCTCAAGCTCACGTTGTCTCTGCACCCTCCTCCTGCTCTTGGTGCGGATATCGAGGGCGATGGCGTTGAGGACGTCCTGATAATAGTTGTGCTTGGAGATGCGGCCCATGTGCTCAAGCCTCATGACGTTCTCAAGGGCAGTTTTCTTGAGCTCGTAGTAGGACATCCTCGTGACGTCCACCATGTTGGCGTCCGAGTAGGCACCTCTGGTGTGGCCTTGGCCCGAGAAGTCTTCTCGTAGAACTTTGGCCCACTTGTGCTCGTCCTCTGGTGAGATGGGCTTTACCAGAATCTCGAGAAGGTTGCTACCACTCTGCACACGGATGATGTAGAGGACACACCTCTTTGTCTCCATGAACAAGGCCTTGGCTGCAGCTTCCGGATCCTCCACATCATGCAGCTTGGGCGTGAGGAACATCTGAATATCGGACGAGCCCGTAGCTGTCATTTCGTTCTCGTTGTTTTTCGCGCTGCCTAGATCTTGCATAATCTCGCGGAGTATATCATCACGGTTCGGGCAGATGAAGGGTAGGTCGCTAGCGATCAGACTGTGGATGGCAAAGATGTCGCTCATCTTGATGTACAGCGTCGGGCGGTTCTTTGCGTACAGGTCGTTGAACTCGTCAATGTCGAATGTGCTCTCTGCATCGGGCACCTCGATGAGGTCCACCATGATTTGGTTGAAGCGCTCGATCGACTCTCCGAGAAATGCGTTCAGTGGTTGCAGGTACACATTCTCACCTCCAAAGTGGCGGCCCGTCGCAACCTGCCCCAGCACTTTAGCCACCTCACTGAGGTTGCGCTTTTGCAGAGGGCTCAGCTGTCTCTCGATAACGCCTACATTCTCTGGGGCTGTGAGGGCATTGTAGAGATAGAACCTCCAGAACCAGTTTCCAACCATCTGCAGCAGATTCTGCTGCGGTTCTCGCTTGAAGTGTTCACAGAGGAAGCGGAACATCTGCTGGCAGAGATAGCGGAGCCCATACGGCAAGCGCGGCAGGAGATCTTCCAGGGCCAGCAGGAATTGGTCGCAGATCTCGCGGAGATCACGGAGGTGGTCAATGAACAGTGCCCGGGTCTCTGCATCCTTTATAGCAAGTTCTCTGGGAATGTCAAGTGGTCTCCTGCTGGGCTGGCCGGTGCGAAGCTCTTCGTTGCTGATAGCGGACCGGTAGATCTGCATGGGGTCGCTCTCCAAGTCCAGGGCGGGATCTTCCACAATGTTGTCCTTGATCAGGGGTCCAAGCAAATCTCTCAGGTACTTTCGATCACGAGGGGAGCGGGTGTAGTTGCCGAGCAGCTTCGACCAGAAGAAGTTGCCACGCAGGTAGTCCTGCACAGAGGTGCAAGAATCGATCTCCTCCTTGATGGACCGCGACACAAGCTTGAGGAGATAGTACTCCTCTCGCCGTTTCTGGGCATATCCGAAGAGTCCCATCATCAAATGCTCCACGCGTTTGGTCTCCTTCTCGGGCGTGCCTTGCTCGCGGATGCGCTTGAAAAGGCGGGCCAGGTACTGAGGCTGGGTTTGCAAGTTGAAGAACAGTTGTTGGTAGAGATCCAGCTTCTTCCTCGAGTTCTTGTTGAGCGCCTTGAGATCAAATTGGTTGGCCGAGACCATGGAGCTGTTTGCGAGCAGTGTGCCCGTGTGCCCTCCATAATTGTGCTGATGCCGCACAACCTCGTCCAAAGTGATCTTGTTCTTGACGAGCAGGGCGATCTTGATATCTAGCTGATCGATGTACTGTTCGAGCATCTCATTTTGTCTGACCTGTTGGACCACTGTCTTTCGAAGTCGTTCAAACTCCACTTCTTCGTTGAAATCAAAGTCGCTATCGTTGAGTAAGTGCACAAAGTTCTTGACAGCACCAACTGGCGGGTTCTTTCCGGTGGTGAGACTCTTGTAGGCCTCTCCCTGGAGCTTTGCTCGGACAAAGCTCTGGATCTTGACGACCTTCTGCATGTTTTCCCGGAAGTACCGCCTCTTCTCCTCAAATTTAGCCCGCACGAGGAAGGCTCGGGCAGCAGTTTGAACGGCGACGATCGACTCTTCTTCCTCCTCAAGCGCACCAAGCAGGAAGCCGATATCACCTCTCAGCATCGTTGCCCTAATGATGGACTGTAGAGCAATGACACCGTCCTCGTGAGACTTCAGCTCATCCAGCAGATCTTTGTGTTGACCCCTATACATGCAACCGCGGATGCATGCTTGTAAGTCGGTGATCTGTGGAGTCTGTCTGTCCAGTGCCTCCAGGTCTGTAGCCACCCGCTGCCGGTTCAACATGCCGCGGGCCAGTGACTGAAGGTCAACAATCTCGGCTTCGTGTGCATGCAGGCCGTCGAGCGTGTCCGAAACGTCGCGGCGAACCGCAGCAGCCCGAATGCATGACTGTAGTTGTTGTATAGCTGCTATGTGCTGCTGAAGTTCTGCCTTGGTCTGCTGAACGGCAAGCCGTGCTGATCTGCCTCGACAGGCGGCTTGCAGAGCCTCCCAGTCCGGTGTGTGGAACTGGAGAGTTTCTCGCTGCACGGCGACCTGAGTCCTTGTCAGCATTGCCCGCGCGGCCGCCTGCAGGTCCGTGATGGCCTGGGCTCGTTGTGCTAGGAGTTGCTGGTCCTCGTCTAGCCTGCTCCTCAGAAGGGCGCCACGGACGACAGCCTGGAACCCAACGATAGGGCCAGCCATTTGAGCCGTCTCATGCTTCTGACGATCAATATTCTGGCGGGCCAGGTAGCCCTTGAAGGCCGCCTGAATATTTCGGACAGGACCGGACACTTGAGCGAGTTGCGAGTGCACGTCGCGTACCTCTTTACGAACTTTAGCAGCCCGTATCATGCTTTGCAGGTCAAGGATCGGCCCTTGCATGTTGTCTAGTGCCCTATCCTTCTGGGTCTGTCTTCGGCGGGCAAGAAATCCTCGAGCTGCGCTTTGTAGGTTGATGGCGAAGCGCCTCATCTGCAGTCGGTATCCGAGGACTTGGCGGGCCCAGTCTCCACGGATGCGGGACTGAAGGTCGATTAACAGGTCCTCGGCATCCCAGAGCTGCTGCATCTTCTTTCCCAGCCTCATCCTGCACAGCGCCCCCCTGCTCTGGGCTTGAAGCTCGATAATGCTGGCTTCCTGTTCGCCCAACTCACGGTCGATTCTCTCCTCCTCCGTCTCCTGTGGCTCAGGAGGTGCTGGCTCGCCAAAATCGGCACCCATCGTTCCGAAGCTGGGCATGTTGACCCCGAGCTTATCCAGACCTTTCTGCATGGCCTCCAGCTCGTGGTGCTCAAACTCGAGCTGTCCGATGAGATTTCCGATGCGGAAGTCCACTATACCCTTGCGGAAGAGCAGCCAGCTGAGCGCATGGATGCAATAGATGACCTTTGGGATATTTTTCTTCTCGTAGAGGTCGATGAGCTCGAACCTGAACAGGTCGGGCAGCTCAACCTCGTCCAGATACCGAAAGAAGATGGCGATATTGTCAGAGTGCCTGTATTGGAGCCGAGGATTCCGAAATATCCTGAATCGCCTGTCCGGGTTAAGCGCCTCGACCACCTCGGCGAGTGTCACGCCATCTCGTAATGCCTCTTCGAGTTCGACGATAGGGGGTATTGGTCTGTGGATAATGTCTTCGATCCATTCCTTGGCCTCTCCGATATGGCAAAGATATTCGTACGCCTGGAGGAACTGCCGCTGCTTGTCCATCCAGTTCCTGCTCTCCCAGCCATATCCACCGCCGCGCTGACTCGACCGGTCCGAGTTTAGGTTCTGGAGCCTCCGACGGCCGCGCAGACCAACGACCTCCTGTGCAGGCGTGGTGATGGCGAACTCCTCCGCTTCTCCGGATTGGGCGAGTTTTGACAAGGTCCGCAGCTGGCTCGTGGAGGACCGTCCCATGCTCACGAGATCGGGTCTACCGAGCGGGGCAGCCAAAGACTGGTGCATGGGGATCTGTGGGAGAGGCAGACCAGCGCTCCCTCCCTTGACGGTGTCGGAGCGGCTGAGGACCATCGAGGTTGGGCGGAGTGTCGATGCCCGCAGGCGAGAGGGAGGGGTCGGCGAGGATGGCTCCTTGTCCTGGAGGGACAGCTTGCCAATGTCGATGGACTGGCCTCGCTCGTGGCGGTGGTGCTCGCGGGAAGGGGTGTTGGGTGTTGAGGATGGCGGCTGAGGGAGCGGCCTCAGAGATTGTCTTGCCATACTGTACATGCTGCCAACACTGGTCTGCGGCCGGTCGTCCGGGCTCCTTGGTGAGGGAGGGAGGCGAGCGGTGGCCTCGCTCTTGCCGCGCTTATGGCCCATTGGTCCATAGCCGCTGGACTGTGTAGACGACTGCGTGGTGGTTCGGCTGAGGTCGTAATGGCCGGACGAGGATGAGTATCCTGAGGAGGCCGACGATGTGGTGGAGGGTTGACGATCGAGCAGCGAATAGTCAACTGTCTGTGCCTGTCGAAGTGGATGAGGGCGGTACGACATCTTGCGAGGGTGTGAGAAAGTGTGTGTAGTAGCGACGGCCGCAGTCGCTCAGATGGAAGCTCCTAGGGAGTTCGAGATGTAGGGACACATCTATCCACGGCGTCTTGTCGTCATGGGCGAGAGCAGTCTTGGGTGGAAGCGGGTGGTGCGTGTGTGCTCAGGTCAGGCAGCGCCGAGCAAGAGGACCTCCTCCAGACAGCAAGAGATTAAATGGGAATCGATCCTAGCGGGTCAATAGGTGGGGTTGCAATCCCAATGAGCGAGCCTTGGAGGAGAAGGGCTGAGCGAGGCGATAATAAACAAGAATTGCTGGGGGGGGGGTGGTTTGGACGGTTCAACCTGGGGTGGAACCGAGTGACCAGACGACGCGCTTTGGTAGAACCGGAAACATGAAGGCGCGCTCGTGACGCAAGGTGAAAAGGGAAGAGTAATTACCAACTTTTCTGAGGTCGAGAAAGAGAAAGAAAAAAAAGATGATCTGATGGGGTAGCAGTCAAGACGAAGAGGAGCAAGAAGAATCTCAAGATCCTAATCTGGAGAAGAGGTCGAGGGACCGTGTGGATGGCCTGAACCGGAAAACCTAACATTCAACCCCAGCCACTCAATTCGGCCTGATCCTTGGACAGAGGCAGAGACAGAGGCAGGGGGGCTGGTTGGCTGCTGTTTACTCCGTACATGAGCCGGTTACTTTGTTGGCGGGGCAGCAAGGCTAACCAAACCCCCACTAAACCGCTTTCTTTCACATCCCACCACACCGGCCTGGAACCTGGCCTGTGCTCTACGTCAGCGCCAGAGACCAGCACCAGGGCCTAGTAGGAGCAGAAGTAAGAACCTGCATCATAATAAATGCACCATTTCGGAAATAGAGAACCCGCCGTCCGAAGAACAAACGACGAAAAAAGAGACAAACAACAATATGATCCGTAAAAGATGGGAGGCAAAAGCCTTGGAGCAAGGGAGAGAGAGAATAGGGCGGGAACGCCCCACCTAGGAGCCCGTCGTTCAAGGATGAATATGACGGTGGCTGGGCCAGTCAAATGTGCAGGCGATCAGAGGCAGCACGAATGTTCCAAGTGAGTAACACTTCTCTAGTCATTTAAAACTGCAATGCACAATGCTATTATTGTGCAGTCTCCTGACCTCTCATCACACAAGACGGCAAGACCTGGCAAAGACTTGTTATCCTTTTACGGACATATCATAGTACATATACAATATCTTGTACACATACCATGTACATGATAGAATCAGTTCCCTATCAGGTGCCGAGGCCTAGACTCTTGTGTCCACTGAACGATGGCCCACAGGCAGGTTGAAGATTCTATGTATTTTCCACGCAACATACGTACTGCTATCGCAAGGCGAGACTGTTCCATCACATTACCTCAGCATTTCTGCCGGGCTGAGACGGCATACTCCGACTTCAATATTATAAAGCGAGGGGGAAGAAAGCCGAAGTAAGGCTCTTAGTTAGCATTCGAAAGTGCAAAAATCGCCATATTGACTGAAGAGACACCTTTCGAGATGGAATAGCTCCTCGACGCATCTATATCATATTCATAAGATCCTGTCAGAATTGAATGAGAACTGCCGCCATGATGCCGTAGATGTCCTGCTTGTGCTGGCTGTGGTGGCTTTTTTTGGTGCGTACAGATTTTCAGTTGGTAAACTCTCCTAACACGATTTGGTTCGCCGTCGCTGAGGTCTTGCTAGAGGGCCTCTGACCGCAGTCGGCCGCTCCCGACACGCTGCTATTCAGATAAGGGACCCTGTTCCCCACCTTTTACCAAATCTGACCGGTCCCGCATAAAGTTTTTGAAATAGCAGCCTCTGCTCCCCTCCTTCTCTTCTCCTCTTCTCTTTTCTTCTCTTCTCTTGGGAAACCCTCCCCGTCAAGAAGACCAGTCAATTTGACGAACGCGCCATCACCTCTGTCATCTTCTTGACTAGCACTCCTTCTTTAACCTCCTTCTTCTCCGCACATTATTATCCATCCAGGGTATAACTGTCGCGCGCGCGCTCAAAAGATGCCTGCCACCAACGGAAGTGCCAACGGCAAGGCTGGTGTCCTGGATTACACCAAGGCCGAGGAGCTTCTCAAGGAGTACGATTCTCGCGACGGCCTCGGCATCCAGGACCTCATGAATGCCAAGATCCACGGCGGTCTGACCTACAATGACTTCCTCCTCCTGCCTGGCTACATCGGCTTCCCCGCCTCCGATGTGACCCTCGACGCCCCCATCACGAAGCGCATCTCCCTCAAGACTCCCTTCGTCTCGTCTCCTATGGATACCGTCACCGAGCACGAGATGGCCATTCACATGGCTCTGCAGGGCGGTGTGGGCGTCATCCACCACAACTGCTCTCCCGAGGCGCAGGCCGACATGGTTCGCAGCGTCAAGCGCTACGAGAACGGCTTCATCAACGACCCTGTCTTGATCACCAAGAGCACTACAGTTGGCGAGGCTAAAAGCCTCAAGGAGAAGTGGGGCTTTGGTGGTTTCCCTGTGACTGGTAAGTTTTCCTATGCAAACAGTTACATGCTTTCTTTTGTTGTCATGATGCTGCTCTTATGATTATACTCCCATATCAATATAACTTTCGTTCCACCAAAGAGACTACCATGTCGTGAGGAGAACATGTTTCTATGAATTTTTTTCCAGCACTGCAAAAGAGTTGTCAACTGCCACAATGTCTATTATCGTACATGTTGCTAACACTGCACATTGCAGAGGACGGCAAGCTCGGCTCCAAGCTCCTGGGTATTGTTACCAACCGAGACCTCCAGTTTGAGGACGACCTCGATCAGGCTGTTTCCAACGTCATGGTTACCGACCTTGTGACCGCCCCAGACGGTGTCACCCTGACGGAGGCCAACAACATTCTCGCCAAGTCCAAGAAGGGCAAGCTCCCCATCGTCGATAAGGAGGGCAACCTCGTGTCCATGATCTCTCGCTCTGATCTCCGCAAGAACCTCCACTTCCCCCTCGCCTCGAAGCTGCCCGACTCTAAGCAGCTGATCTGCGCTGCAGCCATCGGCACCCGGCCCGAGGACAAGAAGCGTCTGCAGTTGCTCGTCGATGCTGGCCTGGACATTGTCATCCTCGACAGCAGCCAGGGCAATAGCATGTACCAGATTGAGATGATCAAGTGGGTCAAGGCGAACTTCCCTGATCTCGACGTCATTGGTGGAAACGTCGTGACGCGGGAGCAGGCTGCTGCTCTCATCGCCGCCGGAGTCGACGGTCTCCGTATCGGCATGGGCAGCGGTTCCGCTTGCATCACCCAGGAGGTCATGGCTGTCGGCCGTCCTCAAGCTACTTCTGTCTACAACGTCAGCAGCTTTGCCTGGAGGTTCGGCGTGCCCTGCATTGCCGATGGTGGTATCCAGAACGTCGGCCACATTGTGAAGGGCCTTGCCCTTGGTGCCTCTACCGTCATGATGGGCGGTCTCCTTGCCGGCACTACCGAGTCCCCGGGAACCTCATTCGTGTCCCGAGAGGGCAAGCTCGTCAAGGCCTACCGTGGTATGGGCAGTATCGACGCCATGCAGGACAAGAAGGCCGGTGGCGGCGGTAAGGACAGCCAGGCCAGCAATGCAGGCACGGCTCGTTACTTCTCTGAGGGCGACAGCGTCCTGGTTGCCCAGGGTGTCTCTGGTGCTGTAGCTCACCGAGGGTAAGTTGTGCAAGAGTCCAACGCGCATGTCAAGGCCTAAACTAATTCGTTTTATTTCTCTTGTGTTTAGGTCGATTGGTAAGTTCGTGCCTTACCTCGCGGCTGGCCTCAAGCACTCCATGCAGGATGCTGGCATCAAGAGCCTGCAGGATCTTCACGAGTCTGTCGAGAACGGCAAGCTTCGTTTCGAGATCCGCACCGCCAGTGCTCAGCTCGAGGGTGGCGTCAACATGGAGTCGTACGAGAAGAAGCTCTATGCCTAAGCCTGGTATCATTGTGATCCTTTGTTACACTCGCTTGCATGGTTTTTATAGGCGTTTGGGAATAGGTTACTGCGGTTTAGTATCCAGAAAGAAAAAGCAAAAGGGCGGGCTATCATGGGTATTTTTTTGGGCATCAAGGGATCTTGACGCGTATCTCGTCGCCGTCCATCCTACTTTATCTCGCATCTGGCGAGGTAATGTTGCGTCTCGAATCTGGTCTGGAACACTAGCTATGTATAGCATCAACAGATTCAGACGTTTACTCCATGATCTCGGCCACAATCTGCTGAGATAAGTCTTTTGTTCTTGACATGTCATCCTGTAGGACAAAACGTATGGCCTGCCTTGCAAGAAGTTGTCAATCCGCCACACAAGGTGAGGGACAAAAATTGGAGACAAAAAAAAAAAAGAGTAAAGAGACGAAAGGCGTTATAAAACTCGCAATGGCATCTGAAAATTTGAACCCTCCCACCAGCTTCAACACGCGGCCAGAGAATAGACACGATCCCCTCCAAACACCCCAAAAGAAGAAGGTTAAAAGAAAAGAAATGAAACACCTTTTCTCTCACCGCCCATACCAAGCCCTTTCAACACTCCTCAAAACCACATAACTAACCGCACTCATCCCAAACGCTAACTCAAAGCCAACATCCCCGCCCAGCCCCCCGCCACAAAGCCTACCCACAGGCCCCGTCCACCAGGCCTGCGCCATGCCCAGTACCGCCCCGACCACGCCAATCCCAAACGCCGTCACGGCCGCCATCCCAGGGGGCAGCCGCCCGGGCGTCTCGGCGTCACACGCCCCATTTTCGTAACCCCGGCCGCCGCAGCAGACGCGGAACACGAGGTGCTCGGTCAGCGCGACGCCCTGGTAGATGGCCAGCCAGTAGCCGATGAGCAGCATGAAGTCCTCGAGCCAGCTCTCGAAGCGGCCGTAGCCGGGCACCGCGACGGCGACGTAGGCGCACGTGCCCAGCAAGGTCCACAGGGCGCGCGGGACGCGGCGGGCCGACCGCGTCAGGACCTGCAGGGAGAGGGCGACCGAGTAGATGTTGGGGCAGTTGTTGGCGACGGTGCTGAGGGCCAGGACGGCCAGGCAGAACCTGCCAAAGGCGCCCAGGGGCGGGACGAGGACCGCGGCTAGGATGCCGCCGATGCCTGTGGCGGAGTAGGCCGCGAGAAAGGAGTCGTTGGTGCCCTGGCCGTCGGCGTTGTCTGTGGCGGCGGTCATGATGGCGGCGCCGAGGAGCTCTGTGAAGACGAGCGGGACGAGGAGGCCGGCAAAGGTCCACCAGAAGATGCGGCGTCGGGAGGCTGTCTCGGGCTGGTAGACGGTGTAGTCGGCCGCCATGCTCGTCCAGCCGGTTGCGTAGCCATAGACCGAGGCTGCGAAGGAGAGGACGCTCCCTGCCTCGGCTGGACCGCGCGATAGAGGTAACAGGGAATGAAACCTGCCCGAGCGGCCGAACTCGGCGGCTACGATGAGGAAGATGATGAACACTGGCAGCCATGACCAGCGCTCGTAGGCGTGGACGAGGCGGTACCCAAATGTCGTGATCAGCAGGGTCGACAGCGAGATGATGAGGATCCCAGCCCAGCCTGGCAGTGGGGTCTCTGGGTTGATGGCTGCCAGGAGCTGCGCGCCTACGATCACGTTGACAGCAGACCAGCCCAGGCAGGCCAGGACGTTGAACAGTGCGACTTGTAAGGTGGTTGTTAGTCTCTGGCGAGCAATTTCAGGGAGAACAGCAGCGAGGGAAGGTCGTGCATGACTTACTGAGCTTGACACCATAGTACCCAAAGAAGAATCTGGACAGTACCATCTGTCGCAAACCAAATTTTGGTCCAAATGTCGAGAAGAAACACACCGGCAGTATGCCCAAGAAATTGAAGAAGACCACCGTCAGCGCCGTGTCCACAAAACCGAGCTTGAATACCGGCTGAGCCAGGGCGCCGATTGCAAAGCTTGAAACGGTCATATTGGCCGACATCCAGAGCGTACCGATCTTGCTCATGCTCGTGTCTGTTCTCTCGTGGGAAGGAACTCTTTCGATGCCTCGCTTCTCGACGCCAAATTTGCCCACAAACCGCTGGACCTTTGCTGAAAGAGTATCCTGCCCATCTTGGCTGTCCGACAGCTCGAGACCGGCTGTCTCGATATGAAATTCGGTTCCAAAGCTGTTCTTGTCGCCAATACTTAACTCGTTCTCGCTTATCCTCGTGGTGTATTCCATCTCTGTCGACGATATTTCGGGAGAACTTTTCCTGGTTCGCAAAGGAGAACAGAAAGAGCCAAGAGGAATTGATCACAAATACAACGTCGAGGGAAGCAGAGGCTATTCACTCGCAACGGTTGGCAAAACAACACCCAAGGTCACTAAGGTCGCATGTAATGTATCCTTTCGTGATTATAGAGAAACGACTAGTCGGGTTGAGTGGTATTGATCGTTGCGTTAATAGAAATAATGGGCATGATTGCGACGGAACCAGAAAGAGAGAACAAGATATTATGCTAATTAATATCAAGTGTAGAAGAGATCTGGAAACAAATACTACTTCGATTAGGCGCCGTGGTGACCGGCCACCGCGCCGAAACGGGGCTAAAGCTGTGTAAGAGGCGAAAAGGCAATGGTCCAACTACGCTCGCAGTCCCCTCTGAGATGCGATTGACGGTGTGTATCATGGCGATCGACGACGAAAGCACTAGCAACAGCCTCTGGCCGCACAGCCCCTGAATGATATCCTTCTCAAGGGATTTTGCAACAAAGAGTCCAATTCCAGCATGAGGATGACTCAACCAACCACATCGCATCAGAAGATAGAAATTGGCCAAGTTGCAAGCCACCAATGCATCAAACGTGTCGGTGATGAGGACTGAGCCGTGAGGGCCAATGAGAAGTGATAGGCGCTGCTAGCACTATGTAGTGTTCCGAATACCCTCCTACTAACGCTCGCCTGGAGCAACCATACGGATAACACGCAGGACGGAGGCAATGCACACAGTGATGCCAGCAGGGGACGAAATGGGAAACAATGATGAAGGGTATGCGGACGTTTGAGAATAGAAGGGGAGACTATCCCGAGTGGAAAAATGAATGTGCAGACCATGAAATCGCTATGGGCAATGTTGCCCCTCATGAGCAGTTGGCGATAGCACAATGTGTCTTGTAGGACGAAGTCCGCCAAGTAGGACATCTTCATTGCCCGAGGGCAGACAGAGCTCAGATCGGTCGGGCGCGGTGTTGAGATGGTGACGCGTGGATTGCTAGGCCGGTGCGACTGTGATGTCGTGGTACCATACAGCACAACTATATGCTGCCAATCTGAACTGTTGGGCGACGACAAAAAGCCAGGGACAAAGGCGGAGGAAGAGGGTACAGAGTTGTTGTGTCACACTTGTGCCACCTGCTTCATATAAGCTACTTCGGCCACTTGTTCGCCAAATGATCTCTATTGCAAGAGAGGACCCTGGAGGGTGAATCACTCTCATTTCGCCTTCATTAAACTATCGGCGAGTTCTGTGGGACGGTACTGGCCGTTGACCTTGTACAACAGGCCTTGGTCAAACACATCGTGGCGCGATATAGGACCATCTCCCAACAACAGAGGACTTCCTGGTGAGAGAGTAGGACACACGGACGGATGTGGCCCGAGGATGTTACTTTCTGATGGAGCAGCTAGGGATTTCAGAGCTCACAAGAGCGCGGAAAGGAACTTCCAGCCACTTGGACCTGGGGTTGGGCAGACTGCAGAGCCGTCACCACATGAGTCGAGCACAATGCGCCCCTCCGTCACTTGCTCAAGCTATTCAATAGCAGAGGTCAGGAGCCTCGCAGTCTGGGCAAGGTTTGTTGGTCCGGTGATAGTAAGCAACTCTTCTCCACAGCCATGGCGGAGATCTCAACAGCAACAGCATCGATCTCGGACGCCTGGTTACTAACAACTCGTGCACTCGCAATCGATTGTGATGTAAGATTCGCCCACCGCTTATCTGTGGTGATGCGAGAATCATGGTACTCCTGCCAAGGCGAACTTTGTAGACTCCGAGGTGTGCGTCTTAGCCGAGTGTGAAACGAAAGTACGTGGGCAAGTAATCTTCTTCTTGGTTTTTGCCTTCTTTCCCCCACCTGCGCCTCGTGAATATCGGCTTCGACGACCCCTTTTCATCGGAGGTTACTCGCTGTCTCTGCCTACATGTAGCAGGACGTCGATAGCCTGTAGGTGCTGGCTATAGCACCAAGACAAATTCCTTGCCGACATCAGAGTTTCATGGTGAGGCCTGACTGGCTCACTCACTCAGTAACCTCTCTCTCTTGCGACGGGTAGCCAGAGATATATATAGTCTCAACCTGCAGATGGATCCTGGTACAATCCGATTCGCGAGATTTGCACCGCAGCCAGCAGGTTGTAAATGCTATGCTGTGCTTTGGGACTTGGGAATATATTGAATCTTGATGCCACACGACATACTATGGTACATTGAGGGGGGGGGGGGTTTACCTTGGTCGCTCACAAGGTCATACAAATCTGAAAAGTTGTCAGCAGCTGAAACGAAGCACTGCAGTTCCGTAATGACTGAAACCCTAGGGCGGTGACATTGGGGGTTTTCTTGCCTCCTAAGCTGGCACGGGCTGGGTGTCTCTGGTAGTTTCCTGGTAGTTTCCAAGCATAAGCCCAGCCAGGTCTCAGACCCGTGTGCCCTTTTCGGTGCACCCTTCAATATCCGACGTGCAGAGGGGTTCGCCTTCGTAGGCAGGGCCAAAGGTCGGCTAGGCAGGCACAAACTGAGATTGTGACTCCTGATGTGAGCTCCAGTAGACGAGCCAAGCCTCATATGATCAGCAGGGAGTTACAGTCTTGACTCAGAAGAAGGACGAATGGCCAATATATAGCGGCATGATGTTGTTTTTGGGAAGAGGATGGACGAATAAAGCTAGCCGATAGTGGAGCAAAGGAGAAAAGAGGCCCCCCAGCGCAAGGGCGGCAGCGGACGAGACAGGGGGGCAAGAGCAGCCGGGTCCCGAGACGCTATTTTACCAAGGCAACAGGGCAATAGCTTGGAGCCTTCTGTCGGTTCTAGTGCTCAATAATTTTATTTTATTTTAAATAAAACAAACAATAGTTGGCGAGGTCTCAAGGCACAGTCTTAGACACCTATCCTCTCGCACTTTTTGAGGTGGTTCGCATAATGCGACTCGGAGCAAAACATCATCCTTACTTAATCAACGTCACAATTCTCTCATGGTCATAGCAGGGGCAAACGGTCTGTCGTCACGAGCAATTCGTTTCGTTTCAGACTGGGGACCGCTCAAATACCGTCTTGAGAATAATCCGAGGCACGGGAGGGATGAACATGCTCACACCACAACCTTAGATAACGAAGGCGGGCCACCGTGTGGCCGCAGTGATCACAACTTGGCTTTCTCAAACCTTATACGTGCCGCCACCGTAAGCACTCATGAGCAGCAACGTCCTCGAGGCTGAGCTCTTTCCCTGTGAGCAGTCGCCCTCTGGTTACGAGCTGACCAAGGCTCGCGAAACGAAGTGCCACCTCGTTGGCAAGGGTTTCGGCGAGGACGAAGATGGCGAGCTCCTGGAAGTACCGACAGAGCTGTCAGATCTCGTCAAGGATGGATGGAGCACTACCTACAAGTTCACACAAGGTACTACGAAACGGCTCAAAACGTTGCTGGCTGCGGGCGAGCACAGTACACAAGGCTTGTGCAAGAGAGGTCGTCTACTGTTCTCTCCGGGGGCACTTGTTGGAAACCGGGCCAACCCCGCCACCCGGCCCCCCTCTCCATTGCTGGATACTGGTCTCATGATGTTCCTAATTCAAGTGAATTTTAGCCTCGTGAGGACCGGATTGAGTAAGAGGCTTGTCGTCTCTACCTCCTTGCCTGTCTCTGAGGAATGTGCTCTGCGGAGATCACCGAGGTGACGTGCATGTCCCCACGATTCTAGGATCAAAATGAGAGAGAGAGAGAGAAGGAGAGAGATGTGTGTGTTTGTGTGTGTGGCTTGACAAGGCCGCATCGTGCTTAGGCACGTTGCATATTTTATCCATGCCCGCCTGTTTCTCATCCTTCTCTTTTTCTCTTTTCTTATTATTCTTCTTTTTGATACATGGCCCCGGCCCGAAACCGTCATCTCCCCCCCCCCCCCATCAACACCCCCACCAAAACGCCAGCCTCCCACATATGAAGTGATCCCTTGCCTGCTCACTCTTATGATACTGGATTTCCCTTTTTCTTTGCATATAAGGCGATAGGCTGCAAACGTATATTTGGCGTGCCGCTCGGTGTGTCGCTCGTCCGAAACGCTCCCTTCGTCCCTTCATCCCGCCCGCCCTTCCTTCGTTCGTGGCTAGAGCCCTACATACGTCTAACCCCGGGATCCCTCCCTCCCTACGTTCTGAGCCGCTTTCAGCTACTCTTGGTCCCACAGGAATCCCCCGAGGTTTCTTACACATCTTTATGTATCCCTCCTCGACTCACCAGAATTTCCTTTTCATTCCTCAACTCCTCGCTCTCCTTATTCTACTAGACAGGCAGCCGCCCCCGTCAGCCTTCCAAGATGCAGCTACATACCGCACTGTCAGCCATAGTGGCGGCTGTCTTCTTTGGAAGTATAGCTCATGCGTCTCCGATGCCATGCCCTGATGTGAGTTCCTTTCCTCCTCTCATTCTGTCTTTTCTCGCTCTACTTTGGTAGATTTGAACTCCCCCCCCCCTCCCCCACGGCGTCATTGCAGGTTACTGACGTGGTATTGTTTTATTTCTCTCTTCAGGTCATAAGAGATCAGATCTTATTGGGCCTTTTGGAGCCAGAAGCATGCTGTTCCTACGGAATCTGCAAAGGCGATGTCAACGTGCAGGGTGGTTGACGGACGGATACTCGATCATGATCTGAACGCCCGCCCCAAGTCTTCGTCCTCTACTATGCATGACAAAGACGAGAACGTCTCAGCCAGATGTCACATGCCATGACGTTTTTCTGGGGCCAACGACAACAACAACACCATCATCATGACCACGGATACCGTGTACGATATCTCTCGTGAGAAGCACGGTCTATCACAACAACAATACCCACGGCGTTGGACCCGGGTCTTTCTCTATCTTGGCCTCCATCGACCATGATACACTGGGCACCTCGCATTCAGCCAACTGATTCCTTACAATTCCATTACTATTTCCCCCCGTCTTCAGCCTGCGTTGGTTTGAAGGTTGAGGAGAGAGGGAGGGGGGAGGGTCCCACATCATCGACATACAAGCACCGGCGCATGAATAAGAAATGACTGCATAGACACTTGCGCAACGTCGTGCATACACGAGGGATGGATGAGGGGGCAACAGATCAGGCCATTTCTAGATTGGGAAAATCAACGACAACGCCTGTCGAAATTTCATTGGAGAGGGAGGGGGCAGCCGAGGTTTAGACAACGATTGGGTGGATGGATGGAGGATGATATGAGTAAGCCTATAGCAGGCAGGTCAAGCAGGAAAGTGGGACATGAACATCGTTCGATGAGGACGATGATGATAAATGATGCATGTGATTCGAGAGAGCGCGGTCTTAGCAGTCGCATTATCATGCATTAGACAACCCCCCCCCCCCTTCCAAAGAATTTTCTTAAAACGACTGCGGTCATCATATGGAACCCACTCATACATGTGTGCACGTTCGATCACGCTGAGCCATCTCTCTCTCTCTCTCTCTCTTCGTATATGGATATAGAAGACGAAGAAAAGAAAGAAAGTAAGGTCCTCGTATCAGTGAGCCTCTTTGTATTCTATGGTGGCTGGCCTTTTTACCAGAGGCGAAAAATCAGGATTGAAAACCCCCCCCCCCCCCGAAGAAACCACCACCACCACCACCAAAAACCTTCCCCCCGGTTGTCCCGAGACCAATAAACAAGCTCACTTCGAAGCTTATCGCAAGCCCTGTCTGTCAGACACATTCAGATTGCTGACTGCAGCGCCTTGAGGATTCCTAGCACGGCTCACTTGGGCACAGGCTGGCTAATCAACCAACCCCCCCGGCGGACGCACAATGCAACGTTGAATCGCCTCTGGGAAGATCGCCACACAGCACGACATTCTTCTTACTATTGCAAAACTACAATTCACAGCAAGCCCCAAGAAGATGAACGAAAAAGAAAAAGAAAAATCTCTTGTATTTCCACCAAAATATGCCAAGAAATCAAATCCGAGAAAGTATATTGATAAAAGTGGAGAGGGGGAGGAAAAAGCCTACACAACAATGACGGTTTCGGTATGTTTATTGCACGCCTTAGCACGCTTACTGCCTCGGGGGAAAGAAAAGGCGCTTGAACCACTCACCTTGGCGTACTCAGCCCGCGTGTACCTCGTATTCACCCCCATTCTACTACCACCCACACAGCGTCGGCCGCATGCGGTCGCCGTGCAAGGTGAGTTGTTTGGCGGCGGGTTCCTACACAACCAACCAAACGACCAACCACCCCTACGCACGCTTTCTTCCATAACCATCCCATCCATTCCGAAGGACTTTCTGAGAGCGTGTGAGGCTTGTGTAGAATGAATCATCTACTATGGTATAGTCTGGCAGCTTGTTGCTCTGGTTGCCTAGTGGTTGTCTCCTATGAAGGATGTTTTTCTTTGTTTTTTCTTTTTTTTTTAAAAAAATTAGAGGGCTTCACAGCCTGCCAGCCCACGCAATATATCTGAGGGGGTTTATTGGGATGGTGTGCGGCCCAAGTCTCAAAGTTGTCGCGGCTGAGTGCATAACGTCTTGCACCCACCCACGCCTCCCATTTACTTTTTCTCTTCTGTCTGTCATTTAATTAACAGCTTCGGTGAATGTCTTGGAGTCGATGACGAAGCCGTAGTTGTTCTACCGAGGGTCAGTCAAGAAGTTCTGTGATGGCTGGTTTTCTCCCGTTCCCTTCCTTCCGTTATGGTGTAAGGAGGGATGGACGGGATAGAGGTAAGGGGGTTAGGGGGGAAATGAAGAGATGGCCCAGTTTGAGAAGTGATTATTGTGTGATGGTGCAGCGGGATCGGGAGAGAGAGAGAGAGACACACACACACAGAATAGCAGCCTCCCTCCCCGAAGCAAACCCCTTCAGGACACACGAAGAAGAGGAAGAAAAAAGGACCGAAAAGAAAGAAAGAAAGAAAGAAAGGGAAAAAAAAAAAAAGAGGACAAGGATCCCAACAAATAAAGTCTCCAGAATAAACTATTACTTACCGCAACATTATACAGACAAACCTCCTTCGCCCCTTGCGTCGTAGTCGCGCAGCAGTCCTCCACCATAACACAGTCCCATCCAGCATTATATGCATCCGTAAGCGTGCCCAGCACACACTGGTCCGTGTTCACCCCCGCAAATAACAGCGTCGTCTTCTTCCCCCCTTTCTCGTCGTCGTCGTCGTCGTCTCCTTTTCTGTTCCTCGCCAGGTACGCCCACAACGGCTGTCTCTCGCACCACAGCCCACTCATCCTGTTCTTGGCACAGTGCACATCCCCTTCCCTCACCACATCCTGCAGCGGCCCGTACAGCGCACTGTTCCACTCCCCAGCCACCAGACACCGCCCCTTCCCCTCCCCCAGGTCGACGCCCAGGCCAGCAGCAGCAGGTGGCTGGTGCTGCTTCTCCTGCTTCTCCTGCTCCTCTTCACCACCACCACCACCATCAGCAGCAGCAGCAGCAGCAACCATCACCGTCCGCGCAAACCCGCGCAGCACCCCCGCCGGCATCCCCTCCAGATCCTCCTCCGTAAGCCCCCAGTTGAGCCACACAACCTGCACCCCGACCTCGCGGCACCGCGCTATGGTCCGCAGCAACGGCTGCACGGCCGCGAGCCCGGCCGGGTGGGCGCGGCACGACGGGTGCAGGAAGAAGTTCTGCATGTCCACCACCACAAGGACCGTGGCGGGCGGGGACAGGAGGATCGATGTGCCGGGCGGGCCCTGTCCTTGCGCCACGGCGACGCGTAGGGCCGTGGGCGAGGTGTGTTGTCCACGGGTGAGGTCGTAGGTCCTGGAGGGGCGGTCGTAGATCCATTGGGACCCGGGCGGACCCAAGGTAATTTTGGTATTGATGGACGACATTGTGTGTTGGTGAAGAGCTGCCTGGCTGTGGAGGAGCTTGAGTATTGAAAGAGCGACAGACAATTTTTTGGTCTGAAATGAAGAAAAAGTGATGTCTTCACGCCCGAGTGTGCATTTATGATCATGGGGTTGAGATAAGAGGGCGCGGGGTCGTTGCCGGCGAAGATCATCTTGAGATCCGGGATGGTAGCATCGGGACCGTCTCTAGCTCTGTTGCACGTGTGGAAAGAAGCAAGATTTTGATTGAAACGAAAAGTCCTGAACTCACCGTCTGACCTTGATCCGGGGGAAAAAAGAGTTCGTAATAAATTGACCCTCGTCTATGTCCTGTCTCTAGCAATGGACAATGTGATAAAAAGCCAGCCAAACCACCTGTAACGCCTTGCAATGAATTCATTTCCCCCTCCCCAAGGTACTCTTAAACGAAAGGTAGCAGCTTATAGAGAACAGTCGGACTATGCACGCCGCCCACTTATCTGTCATCCAGGGGGAGAACCTCTTTTCAGTGTGACGTGCACCTAGTTCAAGTCCATGTTATCGTCCTCTTCCACCTCCTCGTCGCCCTCCAGCATCTGCGTCTGGTTGCTGGAGAGGCTTTCCTTCCTCCTCGTTTCTCCGTACCGGCTGCCATCGACAAACATGTCGAGCTCTTCGCCGCCAATGACACGACCCTCGGTATCGATCTCCTGGGACAGCTCGACGATAGCAGAGCGAGGGAGCCGCAGGAAGCCCGTGGTGCGCACGATGCGGCCCCAGTGCGTCAAGCAAAACCCTGCCGCCCGCTTGCGTAGCCACTCCTCGCTCGCGAGGCCGGAACAGTACCAGATGATACACGCATGGTCCACGTCCAGCTCCTTACTGAGACGATTGACGCATAGAAGCCGCAGGTGAGGGATGTTGTAGATGTTGGACATGACCAGCAGCCCTGCGATATCCGTAAGATCAGAGCTGGGCCCATCGACTCCCTCGTCCTCCGGCGCCTGATCGATCCGATCCGTGTACAGGTAGTAGAGGAAAGCCTTCACCACTGAATATGGTTCGGGTATGTGCATCTTCTTGTTGTGGAACTCGGCCATATGAGAATCCCAGAGCCGAGCAAAATGTGGCCATCGAGCATAGAGGATGAGTCGATGCGCATAGATAGGAGGCGACGTCGGTGCGTCTGGTGACAACCACGTTTGATCGCCGTCGGCCACATCAGTCACACGAATCAGGGCCGAGCCCAGCAGATCCTGCTCGTCTGGGTCACCAGAGAGCGCAGTGACAACAAAGTCCGTCCCGCTCCCCGACTCAGGTGGTTTGTTAAAAAGTTTCGCCAGGTCTGCACCGAGTCCCTTCGAGGGAGTGTCCACACGACGAGCTCGTGCAAGGGGCTCCGCCATCTCTGCGCGGGGCTCGGGGGTCAGGTGATTACCCAGGAAGCCATACTTACGCAAATCCACTTCCATGATGTCGCTCAGGTACTCTTCCAGCCCGTTGCCACCCAAATCCGGAGCACCCGTATCGGAGGGGCAGCCAAGCAGCCATGCCTTCGTACCATCCTCATTCATCGTGCAATAATGCCAGGTGTAGCCAGACTTGAATATTTCCCGCCCCTCTGCCACTTTCTGCCACCGTAGGGATCCCAAGTCAAGCGCAGACAGGGAACAGTCTTTCGAGGTGATGGTGGCAGCAGGCGTGACAAAGTCCAGGAGGGTTCCAGATGAGTATACGTGGAAGTGTATACCGGGTCCTTGAGAAGGAATGTTCGGGCCGAAGTGGAACTTCAACGACGAGATTGCTCCTGGGGCCATGGGAGCATAGTTTTTGAGCTGGAAAGAGGGCGGATTTACTTGTGCGGTCCGTGAATTGGCTGCATAACCAGAAGCACCAACAGCGGGTGCCTGTCCGATCGAGTAAGGAGGTCTCGGCGAGCTTCCCGCACGGCTGCCCAGACCTGAACGGTCGAATGCGCCCATCTGTGGTGTGGTCTCGAAGGCTGGGCTACCCTTGAGGTCAAGCCACCACAAGTCGCTAACTTTATCCATATCCTCACTCAGGCCACCAAAGACCCAAATTCTATCACCCCTGGATGGGGGGTCAGCTTTGTCTCAGGCACTACAAGAAAGACATGGGGTCGAGACTAACCAGACGTAGGCAGAGTGATCGAATCTACCCACAAAGCGCCATGGCCTGGACCAGGTAAAGGTCTTGAGATCAATGTAGCATATATCATCCAACACATAGTTATCATGACCTGTTATGCCCCCGATGATGAACAGCTTGTCGTCATGCAGGAGCGCCGCATGTCTCGCTCGACCTTTGGGAACGGGCCCCGACACCGTTGGTTGCGTCCAGTGGGCAGTCTTGAGGTCGAAGATGATGAGGTCGGAGAGGTAGGTACGGTGCTCGTTCTCGCCTCCAAATACGAGGAGTTTATCGCCCTGGTAGAGTGTAGCCGTATGGCCTTCAAGAAGTGTCAGCAGACTGAATATACAAACATTCAAGAGACCTGTCATGGGAGGTGCTCATACCCATGCGAACACCCGGGATATCCCCATAATTATCGACCAGACTCCATTCGTGTTTGACCAGGTCCAGGCGCAGGACGTGGTTGTAGACCTCGTCTGTGTATTGGTCGAATCCACCAAAAGCATAAATCTGGTTGTTCCCGCAGTACGTGACGGAGGCGTTGACCAGACAGGCCGGACGCTGGCCCAGAGTGCGCGTCACCTTGGGCCTATACCCATCCGTAGCGGCTTTCTTCATGGGAGAACTGGGCATGATGTATGTGTTGCTGGAGGAACCGGACCCAGGAGTGTTGTTGGCCGCATCGAAGGGGACCAAGGACGTCGATTGACCCGCAGCAGCGCCCTGGCCTCCCCCTCCTCCGCCAAAGATCGACCCTGATGGGGTTGATGGTGCCATCTCGAGGTGTCTCGGAGCAGACACAGGCTGGGATAGAGGAACGGGGCTGTCGCTCAGAGCGGCAGCATCTCGCAGAGAGAGTCTGTACCCTCACAGCAGAGGTATGACCGAAGACGTTTCGAGGCTCAGGAATCGATCAGACGGCTCACTGCCTTGAGTCCGTTGATCGTGGTCGAAAATCTGTAGGAACCAACGAGGCTGGGGTTGATTTTGGGTTTGGCGGTGGACAAAAAGCAATTGCAAATCCAAAGTCGGAAAAGTACTGTACAAGGATAAGAGAAGGCGCGTTCCATCGCTTTTCCCCCTGACTCTTTGAGAGGTGAAAGAGCCAGGCAAGGGCAAAAGTCAGGCTGCAAGCGCTTAGGTAAGGAGGCGATAGATGAGTAAGTTGCAGGGTTCATGCTTGCTGTCCTGCCAGCGCAAACGTGCGGCTGGTAAGTGCAGCCCGTTGTCCTGCCAACATTAAGTCATCCCCACTCGGTGAATGTAAATAAAAGGTCATCGACTCGCAACTGTTTGAATATTGGTGTTCTTCTTTCTCTCTCTACCCGTCACATCACTCGCAAATCTCTACTATCAAATTGCTTTTCAGCAATTCCAACACCTCCTCTTTTCTCCCTTCAAAGCCTTCATACATTCCTACAAGGAACTACCAATCTCAAAGTCCACTAGATCTCATCGCTACGGCCATCTGATCGCCCTCCGACTTTGGAGACGCCACCTCGTTCCTTGCGAAGGCTCTCTGACCTGTTTTCGAACGACAAATCAGCAAAAAAACGAAAAGTACTAACCAAACAACACAACTTCCAGGAATCATTAGCTTGAGTCTCTTGGAGCTCCTACGTTCGACCACTCAGAGCTCACTCTTGCCCTCTTACCGAGACATTCATTTGTTCTTCGTAGAGGCCCATCAACATCATCGTTGATCATCGTTGTTACTGCACCATCAAGTTTTCACAGCCATGGCTACTATCTCAGTTTCAACTCCCTTCAAGTCCCACGCGGGGCTCTTCTCCTCCCGTACCGCTGGCGGTCGCATGCCCCTTACCCCTTCGCCCCGCACTCGCTCAACCACAGTGCCCGTCAACCTGAAGACTTCACCCTTCACCCCAGAGCGCACATCGGCACCCAGCGATGGCCAACGAGCGTCCAACAACAAGTCAGTGTACGGGGGAAACCTCTCGGCACACCTCGCCCGGTCGAGTGCCAAGGTGAAGGCTGCCAAGCACAACTCGCCCAAGTCCAACATTGCTCGGGTTGCCCCGTCTCCCAAGAAGGCCCTCGAGCTGGGTGTGTCTGAGTTTACATTGACGGGAACTGGACCCCACAACAAGTCGCCCGTCGCTGTCAAGACTAAGTCAACCTCCTCTTCCAAGCACAAGTCCAAGGCCATTCCCACCCACGCGGCCGATCGCTTTATCCCCAACCGCGGGGCTAGCTCGGCCGTCGCGAGCTCCAGCTCTGGCAAGCTCGATGCGCCCTCCAAGAAGAAGAAGGTCAAGATCACTGCTGAGACCTCGTCTGCCCTGTCTGCTGCTGCCGACGACGCCATTGCAGCCCTCGAGAGCCTGGACATCAACACTGACGCCGATACTTCGGTCGAGGAGTTCTCGCGCCCATCGCCAAACACTGTGGCGTACCAAGACTCTCTCGCCAATGCCTGTGGTGTCAGCATGAACACTCGCATCCTCGAGTTCAAGCCTGCGCCTCCAGAGTCATCCAAGCCCATTGACCTGCGCCAGCAGTACAACCGCCCCCTCAAGCCGGCCAATGCCAGCTCGGCCCAACTCCGTAGGCGCATTGCTACTGGCCCGGAGCGCGTTCTTGACGCACCGGGTCTGATTGATGACTACTATCTCAACCTGCTGGACTGGAGCTCCGGCAACCAGGTGGCAATCGGCCTCGAGCGCAACGTGTACGTCTGGTCTGCCGATGAGGGCAGCGTGAGCTGCCTTCTTGAGACCAGCCCGGACACCTATGTCAGCAGTGTCAAGTGGTCAGGTGACGGAGCTTACGTTGGTGTTGGCCTCGGAACCGGTGAGGTCCAGATCTGGGATGTTGCCGAGGGCGCCAAGGTCCGCAGCATGTTCGGTCACGACACCCGTGTTGGCGTGATGGGTTGGAACAAGCATTTGCTGTCCTCTGGTGCCCGCAGCGGCCTGGTCTTCAACCACGATGTTCGCATCGCCGAGCACAAGATCGCCGAGCTCGTCTCGCACACCTCCGAGGTCTGCGGCCTCGAGTGGCGCTCTGACGGGCAACAGCTGGCCACCGGTGGAAACGACAACCTCGTCTCTATCTGGGACGCCCGCTCCCTGTCCGTACCCAAGTTCACCAAGACCAACCACAAGGCAGCTGTCAAGGCTCTGTCGTGGTGCCCATGGAACATGAACCTGCTCGCCACCGGTGGAGGGTCTTACGACCGCCACATTCACTTTTGGAACACGACTTCGGGCGCTCGCGTTAACAGCATTGACACGGGATCGCAAGTCACGAGCCTGCGATGGAGCCCTCACCACCGCGAGATCGTCAGCTCCAGTGGCTTCCCTGACAACTCCCTCACCATCTGGAGCTACCCAACGCTGGTGCGCAACATTGACATTCCTGCCCATGAGAGCAGAGTGCTGCACAGCTGTCTCAGCCCTGACGGACAGATGCTCGCAACAGCAGGTAAGCAGTGCTCTACCCACCCGCTTTTGTTGAATTAATACTAATCATTTCAAAATAGCTGCCGATGAGAGCCTCAAGTTCTGGAAGCTCTTCGAGAAGAAGGCCGGTGCTACTTCTCCTACAGCCGGCGCCGGCTCCTCCAGCAAGGCGTCCATGGTCAAGCAAATGACAATCCGATAAGGAACGACTGCCAGTCTCACAAGCACAGCAGTCGACGGTAGGTATGAACAATTCTTACAGCATGTTCATGGTCTGCTCTTGTCCCGGAGGATCTGGTTCTATTTCAGCGCGGAGTTAGGGTAGCGAGCCTTGATTTCGTCTGAACAGAAAGTCTTCCACTGCAGACGGTGTCTGCTTGCTTGATCATGACTTATGACGGGGGTTCTACATGGCGGTTTTGGATCAGCTCGAGGCTGTAATTTTTTCAGCGTGTACGAATAAGAATGATAGTGTATTTAGTTTGTGGACGCCGTAAGACTGTCAAATCTCGATGGAAAGTCTGCAGAATTTCTTTCCCTCCAGTGAGTTCATTCGGTTCATCGTATAATGTTGCTCACATTGATTTACTCGGACTCGGGCTCAGTCCAGCGGCGTTCCGGACATAGACGGTGTGAACTGCTGGGAACGAGCGAAATATTCGTCATGATGATTGTTCAGCTTTTCGTGTCGCTTGACGATATCTAACAAGAGGCGAGGCTGATTAAGTTCCAATGTGAAGCTTCGAATTGCTTCTCATGATGGATGACATAAATTACAGTTACTGCCGAACAGAGCGCGAGCATGGCGTAGTGATTTATAAGCTTGGCACGTCTTGCGGGAAGGGGAGCCTAGCCCGCCAGGGGGGGTTTCTCTCCTGACTAATAATTCCTCAACCCTTGATCATCAAGCCCGGCGACGCCCCCGTACTCTCCCTCAACGTCTTGGGTAATCGACATAGTTCCATGGTGACGATGATGTCTCGAACTCGGACTGCAATAGACCGTCGTCATGCAAGATGTCGGGGTTTTGGATGGGTCAGCTGTTCTCACGGTAAAGCCAAGCAGACTTGAGAAGACAGGCTCTTGTACTGCACTCCCTCCGTAATGGCCGGGCCTGTTTGACTAAAAGAGGCTGGAAAGAAGAGAGGTGGTGATGGTGGTGCTGGCTCTGAGCTGGCGAGGCTATCTTTTCACACAAAGGTTTAAAGTATAAGTAGACCTGTCTGTACCCAGATGGTGAGGCTTGAAATCTTTTCGTTCATCAGACATCAATCCCGATAACTTGGCCTATTCTTTCGCAACCCTATTGCTTAGAACGTCTTGACCTTGGACATCTACAATAAATCTACAAGAAGAGCCTAGAGCCACCAACACCATCCGCCGTTCACAATGTCCAGCAAGAAGATCATCACCATCTTCGGAGCCACTGGGAACCAGGGTGGCAGCGTTGTCCGGATCTTTCTGAACGACCCCAAGCTCAAGAACGACTGGGCCGTCCGCGGCGTCTCGAGGAATGCGGAGAGCGATTCCGCCAAAAAGCTGACGGCCCTGGGCGTCGAGATGGTCTCTGTAGGTCCAATCACCCACCCAGCACGATCGAGCCCTCCTCGGGCCTTCTCTGGCAGATTCAGCATAGACTAACAATAGCATAGGCCGACCTCAACGACAAGGCCTCCCTGGTCAGGGCGATGAAGGGCGCGTACGCTATCTTCGCGGTGACCAATTATTGGGAGAAGATGGACATGCAGCTCGATATCGACCAGGGCAAGAACCTAGCCGATGCTGCCAAGGAGAACGGCGTACAGCACTACGTCTGGAGCTCGCTGCTGAACATCAATAAACGTGAGTGGTGCCCTGTCTCTCGACTTTCTCCCTCTCTTCCTGACACATGCCACAGTGACCAATGGCAAGCTGCCTCACGTTTACCACTTTGACAGCAAGGCCATGGTCGAGGACTATGTCCGAGAGATCGGCCTCCCGGCGACCTTCGTCATGCCCGGCTTCTTCATGTCCAATCTCCCCGGCGGGATGTTCCGCGCTACCCCGCCTGACAACGAGTGGACGCTCGCGCTGCCCATGCCCGAGACAGCGCCAATCCCGCTGTTCGACCCAGAAGACATGGGCGCGTGGGTCAAGGCTATTTTGCTGAGGCGCGATGGCCCAGGAATGCTCGGGCGGCGGGTGTATGCGGCTACAGCTTACCTCACTCCCGCAGAAATTGTGGCTCAATTCCGAGAGGTGTTCACTGAGGCGGGGCGGGGTGCGAGGTTCGTGTCGACGCCACATGGCGATTTCCTGGAGGGCTTGAAGGGGAGGGGGATGCCTGAGTTTGCGGCCGAGGAGACGCTGGAGAACATGCGGCTCATAGACGAGGGCGGATACTATGGCGGGGCGTCGCTTGAGGAGAGCCATGCCATCCTGGAGGATAAGTTGACGACCTGGAAGGAGCACATGAAGAAGGCGAAGGCTTTTGCTGATCTCAAGTAAGGAAATGTGTGAAGCACACTGTTATTGGGTACGAGCACGGAACGGAGACAGCACATACAGTTCTCCTGCTAGATACAAATTCGTGAGGCGGAATAAAAACCTGAACTTCGTCAACTCACTCTTTGTTCTTTTATCCTGCGCTTGGCTTTCAGAGAGTATTGCCAGTTCTGGAAGACGTTCTTCGACGCCACATCTCCCCTGTGACTCAAAAGGCGGCACATGCCTCTGTCCAGTGTCTCAAAACAAGTATGATGCAAAGTATAGGATGAGTAGAAGTAGAATGCCGATGTATTGAATAACAGAAACTGGTCAGACTTGGGTCAGACGCAAGAACGTCTCGAAGACAGTCGCACGGAGGGGACTTTTTGTCAGCAGTGAAGATCAGCCCCTAAGGAGGTAAACAGTGACTGACGGGGCCCGGTTTTAGAGGCTCCTGGTGCTGAAGCTCTAGCGTCAACCCACCGCATTTCTGCTAGAAACCCCGGCTTACCTAAGCAGACCTCCTTACTTAGCCGCTATTTCCTTGTCAAGGCAGAACTTACGCCATACCACATCACCTTCTACGCCAGACCCAGCCCCAAACCCGCGACCAACAAGACAAATCGAATCCCTTCCTTTGAGGCAAGTAGGTATCCAAAATCGAGATTTACGGTCGCAATTGGCACGAGGATATTTTACAGCGGCTTCTGAGGCCGCGCGGAGGAAATCGTGGTACGAAGGGAACCTACCAAGCCGTCGCAACGTTCGCTTTACAACCAGCGAGACCGGATCGTCCCCACCGACTGCTCCCCAGACCGCACCAATTTTACTACTGCTTTGATATCTCGCACCGCGTCGCAATAAGTCGTTTCTGAAGGGACAGGTGAAGAGAAGGTAGCAGAAGCAGCAGCAGACCAGAAACGCTGTCCTTCTCTTCTTCAAGACGTCTCGTGCCAAGACCTCCGACCTTCTTCCCGCCTCTTTCTCCTACCGACCTTGTCGCGCCCGCTATCCAACAAGATGTCGAACAATCAGGTCGGAAATATCTACCGTCAGATCATCGACGAGGTGATCGAGAGCTCGCGGGTGGACTTCGAGGAGGGCGGTGTTGAGGAGAGCGTCCTGGACGAGCTGCGTAAGGTGCGTTCTGTCGCATGACTCCTTCTCTTTGTCAGGTCCCCCTCACGAGACCTTCAGCTTCATTCCTCTTCTTCCACTGCCTCCTCTGCATCGCATCGAGTCGTCTGCAAATCGCATCGAGTCGTCTGCAAATCGCATCGAAGTCGTCGTGGTCTTTGCGTTCGTCTCTTTTGATGGGCTTGACGAATGAAGTCTCTTTGTTTCCCCTTACAAGAGAAAAAATCCAGCCCAATCTGCTCGCTGGTAGAGACAGGCGGTCTTTTGTCTGGCTGAGCTTGTTGGCGGACAGGGCCGCAGAGCGTGGATACGGTCAGAGAACGAGAGGGAGGGCGGCCTGGATTGGGTCTGACAGGCGGGTGCTCCGCTGCTATTTGGGTCTTTTTAAGCTCAACCCCCTGGCACAGCCCCGTTGGAATTCGTCCCCCCTGTCCGGCGCCCACCCCTTTTGATTGGCGACGCCAAGTTCTGCTGCTGCGGCTGCTGCTGCTCTTCACACGTGCCATATGCCTCTCTATGCTTCTTCCACACAATATCACTCTCCCTTTCTCACTCGACGCAGCACAACTGCATGATACAGGGTGCCGAAAGCCACCACTCACATGTCCTCGGCTGCCACACACATGCACGCACGCACCCTGGTCTCCTGCATGTCTGCCTAATAGCGCACATACCCTTTTTACTTTATTTTTCCTTCACGTTCTTGCCTGACGATGCCACCTTGAATTACTCAAGGAGATGCAAGAGTCTTGGAGAAATTGTTAACTTGTAGTTCCTTCTCGACACACAGGGCTGGCAGTTGAAGCTGTCTAAGCGGCAGGTCGCCTCTTTTCCTTGGGATCCTACTCCGCCACAGGCCGCCCCGGCTCCTGCTGCCGCTCCGGTGTCTACAGCTCCAGCTCAACAAGCCGGCACCCCCTCGTACACCTCGTCTCAGCTGAGCCCGTCTGCCAATGCGCAGCCTCTCCCTCTGGCTAATGGCCTTTCTGGGGCTAATGGCCTGCAGGCCAAGCCGGACCCTTCCGTGAAGCAGGAGGTTGGCATCAAGCAGGAGCCAGGCGTCCCCAGCAGCGGCGTGCCTCCTGCTCCTAACGCCGCCCCTCAGTATGGTAACCCCAACGGCCCTCCCAATGTGGCTGCTCAGCGCGCAATGCACCAACTGCAGAACCAATACGGAGCGGCCGCTGCGGCAAGCATCAGTGCCATCCAGGGCTTTGGACAGGGTGGTCAGGCCCAAGGATCACCGATGCCCCCGCGCCCCGCCGGTGCTCCTGCTCAGCCTGGCCAAGCCCAACGACCTACCCCGCAGACCCAGTATGGCCAGCAGATGGCCAACAGGACCACCATGCAGCAGCAGCAGCAGCAGCAGCAGCCCCCTACTGCTTTCCAAGGCCAGCACAACCCCGCTACGCAGCAAAACGGTTTCCAACAGTCCCAAGTTGATGGTGCTGGCGAAGACGAGTTCGAGGGCGTTCTACTGCGTCGCGGTGAGAACGGCGAGACGTCCGAGATGGGACGTGTAGACATCGATCGCATGCTTCACCGGCAGATGGCAGCCAGGGCTAAGCAGCTCGAAGGTGGCGGTCTGATGCTTCCCCTGAAGCAGGCAACCAAGCACAAGTCCATCGCATTCAAATCTGCTCCTGCTGGTGCATCCGGTTTCGACGGCATCGACGAGGACATCAAAAAGGAAGACGATGGTTTCGAGCAGGAAGAGCAAGTGCCAGAACCAATAGACATCGAAGAGCCTGAGGAAGACGAGGATGCCATCAACTCGGACCTCGATGACCCCAATGAGGTGGATATTGAGGAAGAGGACGATGACGAGAACATGGACCAGGTGATGCTGTGCATGTACGACAAGGTCCAGCGGGTCAAGAATAAGTGGTCAGTCTTCAACAATGTGCTGATCCTGTGTAGCGAATCTCTACTAATGCTGACACTTTGAACAGGAAGTGCACTTTGAAGGACGGCGTCCTGAATGTCAATGGCAAGGACTACGTCTTCCACAAGGCCACTGGAGAGTATGAGTGGTAGTTTCTCTACACCCATACAATTTCGGCATTCCATGCAGCAGCAGACTGGGTGCTGTCGCATGGCACTTATACATGATTTCGGGTGCTTCAGTACACAACAAACGGTCGGGCTTGCATTCTCATTGAGCCAGAAAATGGCTCATCATCAAAAATTGATCACGATGATCTGGTCTTTGCAATTCGAAAATGGGATGAAAGGTCCCCAATACAATAGGATCATGGGAAGAAACAGAGAAAGAAGTGAAAAGGGAACCACCTACTCGAGTGCGTCAGGACGGGGTGGCAAGCATGCCACCCACTTGATACAGTATGCGATGCGCAAAGTGAGGGAACAGTGATCACAGGCGTTCTCTGAGGATTCGGGATGGTTCGACTTTCATTTATTTTCTTTCCTTTTTTTGAAAACACCAGCCAGAAGATGTGGCAGAAGCAGGAAACAAACAGGGCTTTGGTGTAATGATACTCACGATAGTTGCGATGGAATAAGGGGTCAAGTCCAGAGAATGGTCTTCGGTTCATATGCTCTGTGATGTCTGATGTGTCACTCATGATGAAGCGCTATCACCTCATCACAATCGTATCTGTGCTCTGTCCGCCTTAATTTGTCGCGGAATGGTACCGTCATCGTCTCCAGGCAGTTATCGCAGCCCAGGAACAACCAGATCTCATCATTTGGAATCAGATTCTTTTTCGAGAACTACTGCGTTGCAGTAACTATTCATTTACTGCTCCAGCAAGTTCTCCATCTTCCCCTTTTCCCCCTCGGAAGCTTGTAGTCACTCGCCAGGTGGGTGTTCTTTAAGTAGGATAGCTTACAAGCGGCTCAGGTAGATATTTCTGACCATCTCGGCCTAGCATGCATCAGCTCCGAGGGTTCTACGACGATGGGTGCTTCAGGACTATAGAGACGGGGAACCAGAGCAGCGCAGCGAGGACCCACAGTCAGGAGACGACATATGTCCACGGCTGGTGTATGTCAGCCACGGATCTGTATCGCACGTAGAGACCAAGTAATTAGGGGGTGACAATACATAACGAGGAATGACTTGTGCTGAGAACAGACTACGTGTGATATGGGGGTCAGGCTGAGGGTATGGTTCCGTGTGATCTTCCGAGTCCAAATCCCTGGGGTTGTTTGTATGCGAGAGCTAAAAGGAGTGACCACTCCCAGCTGCCCTGGAAACGGCTGTGGCCTATATAGCTGCGCAATGGTCGGGCTCACACAGTTTGTTATACGTAAAGACTGATACATGTAATTAGGTTAATTGAGTACATACGTTGATAGATTGAAGGCCGTGGCTTGGGGTACCCTCTTTGATATGTATCTTGTCCTGAAAATGTGCACCTTCACAATGCCAGCAGAGACATGTGAATTATATAAACTTCTACATAAATAGTTATAGAACCGAAAAAGTCCCCGTTTGTACTCTGATACAAAGGAGAATTCCTATTTTCGGCAAGTGTTTACAAGTGAGTTTCCGTCACATTAAATCATGTAATGATATCACCATTGGACACATACTGCGTCCTTTATGAGGAAGACGATTCGAGTTCCGTAGGCATGAAATTTGCAGTCAAGGGAAAAGACAAAGGGTCTTCTATTCACGTCGTACGAAATCCCCGGGAAAAGTTGTATCTAGTTGATGTGTTATTGTTCCTCCGGGGTGGCAGCACTGTTCAAAGTGGACAGGAAGATTTTTCGTGACTGCATATATTATACTGAGCAAAGCAGATCCCACTTCAGGTTCATCTGGAAGGCAAAGATCTTGCTTGTGGCCCAATCTGCGCCCCTGTTAGATATCATAGCAGAGTACTCGACCGAGAGATTGTCGAAAGCTGTTACTGGAGACAAAGACTCTCAGAGATATCTCGTCTTTATATGCCTTCCCATAATAAAACTAGTTTTCTCTTCTTGTTCGAAATGCGTGTTCCGAAGCCTTACGGGCTGTTATTATTGTGCCGCTGTCTCCTGTCTCTCTTCCCTCTTACCCTTGCAACAGACGGAACCGTCAGCCCATGTACCACTATGGATTCTCAAGAAGCAGAACGCGGTCTTCATGAAGATGTTCCTCATTGTCAAGTCCCATGACTTCTCTATGCTGCTACATTAATTCAATCTTACTCATATCTTCCCTACATTCTGCCGACGCACCTTTTTTCCTTTATGTACTGACAGACAGTGTCACTTGCTGCAGCAACGTCTCTCCATCACATTCCTATCCACCGGAGCGTTCTCCCACACCTTCCCATGTCCCCTGCTAGGCGATCCACCCAAACCGCCCGACCGGATATCGCCCTCACCCCTATCCTGGCACGCCATCAGGACACCAGCCAGCCTTCATGACCCGGCCACCAGTTGGCCGTAGGCAGAGCCCCCCTGGGAAAGACGGGGGAGGGGAGGGGAAGCAGGCGTTATGGCACTGGCATGGAGTGCCCTTGAACGTCAGCCTGACGACTGCCGGGGTGGATGCCGTCCGCATCTCCCTCAGACATATAATGTTGGTAACCCCCTCCACCTTCCCCACTTGCTCCTTTTATCATCTGACTTATCTTCATAGGCTGTGAGTGGATCCCCCTATGATATTGTTACCGAACTACCGGGTCGTGTGTCTCATGGTGGTCAGAAGCGAACAAGGCTCAGCTCCCCATCCAGGGCCATCGGTACTTCGACAGGGTCCCTTTGCGACCAACGCCCTTGCTAGACATCCCACAACAATCCCAGAGCCTCGTCTCGCCAGTTCAGAAAGCGGGTCGCCAATGAGCTGACATAGGTTGAGACAATCAGAACCACCAACGAGTTGAACGAAGGAGCCTCGAGCCCCTCCGAATGAGGATGCTAGAGCATCGGCCGTGACCAACGACCACTTGTGAACATGGAGAAGAGGTTGGCAGCGGTCTACCGCCAGGAATTGCCACTCTCACTCATCGAGACAAAAAGGTGGGACGTTATTCTCGGCTTGAACTTTCAAGCCGATTTTCTTCGTGGTCCCCTCCCTGTTAGAACTGTGATGCACAAGTGTGCCAACAACCCCAACAATATTCACACTTGTTGGTGACGAGAAGCCAAGCTAGTAGTTGGTGACGACAAAACACGCTGGCTGAGCCTCGTATGCGTACCTGGCATTGTGATCCAAGAGCCGCAAGGCTTGAAACCCGTGTGTCAACTATTCCTGCTGATCAGAAACGGCAAAGCCTCAGTCTGGACCACCTTGTGATGACAATCGCCTCGAACCCCATGACAAAATCTCCTCGCTGCAAGGGCTTCTGAGAGACACTTGTCATGGGTGCCGCAGGACAGCATCGAATTGCAGGACATTTTCGTCATGTGAGCGGGATCAGGCTAGAGACCAGGGACTATGCTCCACCACGCTCGATCATGGAATATGGGCAGCAACTCCCAGAGGATCATTAATCTTCCTGAGCTTCAAAACATCTGGGTAGGGGGGTGAATCTGCGGTACTGAGAACTGATAAGGAGCACCTGAGGAAGCGGGAAGAAGCAAGAAGCGGTGTAAGACGAGATGAGCCTAGGCCACACACGACCACACTTTTCGAACAATCAGCTGCAGCGAGCGCAATACTGCTACTTCTTTTTCCTTTCCCGCACTTTTTCTTTTTCCCTTTTTCGCTTCTTTTTTTTGTGGCCAGGGATTGGGGCGCGTGGGCCCATTCTCACTCTCCCTCCTTCACTTTCGATAGTACCGCCCAATGAGATCCCTGCCCACCTTCTTATACGCGTTAGTCGAGGTCCCGACAGTCTGGTAATGGGGACTTTTGGGAAATTGAGCTGCGGGGTCTGGACTTGCTCCCGTGACAGCCTTTATTGCTCTGTTGGTTGCAGGACTTCTCGCCAAGTGGCTCAGATGTTGTTTTCCCGGGACGCTACTGAGAAATACGAGGCTGGTAGATGTCATGGCCCGGGATTTCCTGTCGAGGGAAAGGGCTGGCAACCGCTCAGTACCAACCACGCCATCTGGCACGCATCCAAGCCGGTCTCAGGGTTTCCCGCACATGCTGTCTGGGGGAAGGACGCTGCCGACGTGGCGAGCATTACCCCGTCGCCGCCTGTGGGAGAAAAAAAAAAAAGGGCACCGCCCAAGCGACCGTAAGGAGGCAGGCCGCCGATAGCCAACAATGGTCTCTGTGGGACGCTTGTGTCGACCCACACTCCCGCGCTCACAGATGCAGTAGCAATGGCCGCGCTCTTGGGAAGCCGGAAGATAAAATGAATGCGGTGACTCGCAGTAAGGTGGCAGATCGGACAAGCCCTTGCTGGTCACTTCCGGGTGTCGCCAACCCAGTCACCACGAATCCGGCGTGCTGATGCTTACATTGCTTTGCAGCTCCTAAAACCACATCGAGGAAGACAAGAGACCTGCGGATACTGGGCGGCGGAAAAGAGCCGAGGGGTGCCCAGGATGCAAAGAAACAACCCCTTCTGCAACGGCACATTCGGACAGCAAGAGAGTGCCAGGCCCAGCGCAGGTTTTGACCATGATCCCGACATCGTGGATCCTGTCACACACAACAGGGCTGATAATTGCGCATGACCAATCTCGGCGTATCGTATAGTCATATAACTCATGCGGCGGTATAGTCCCCCATCCCCCCTTCGAGGCCGCGTTTCCCCTCCAGCTTGTCTCGGAATAGATTGGCGGATGAAATAGCGGTGAAGAGATGCTGGTCGGCTCGGAGTAGATGAAGGAATGCGACGAGGTACGTGTCCGGCATCCCGCGGTGCCGGACCTATCGGGCTCTCGGCGGCGAGGTGCCTGCCGACGGAGGGGGTGCAATAACTCGGAGGCACTGGACCCACAACCACCGGGGAAGCTAGGGCATGGTGCGGCTGGGAAGAGCGCCGATCCCGTATTCTGCAAATTGAGAGGTGGAGTAGGAAGGAGGAGGAGGAGGAGGAGGTGTGCCCGGGTCTCCGTACAGCCCGGGGACCAGTCACAAGGAGAGGGCGAGGTGGGACACATGCGCGCGCATGATCCACGCTTTCGCACCACCTGTCGATCCGTACCGTGGGAGCCTGAATCAGGTTCCTGGAGTATCAGTCGACATGTAACCAAAAGCAGCAGGCCCCAGAGGTCAGGTGCAAACCATGTATCGGAGGAGGAGATCGTGCCGATCAAGTGATGCTGTATGGCTTGAGCTTGACGGTGGTATCACACCTAGAAAAGATAGATGCCTGGCAGGCAGGATCTAAGACATAATGTGTCTGTCTGTCTCGGCCCCTTTATTTGACGACTGCGTGACGGGGCGCTCTATGAAGGAGTCCGCTGAAGCGGGCTATTTCGTTTCTCGGGTACCCGTGTCGGTCGAAAGGGCCCAGAATTCGGCACACAGGGATCTTTTGAACTGCGTCGCATCTCGAGAGCGCTAGTGTGCAGTCATACTTAGGCAGGTTGAGGATCCTTTTGACTGCATGGAGTGGGTAAAACGACTCAACGATATCCACTGCCGCCCAGCTTTTGGCTCTGAAAACTGCCACCCCTGCTGCTGCTGCTGGGTCCGAACGAATTACTTTTTTCTTTCTTCTCTTTTTAACAAAAAAACAAGAGAGGGGGATGCAAAGCCTGGCCCAAAGTGGCGCTAGTTTCGGTAGCTTACCGGTCTGTCGGTAACCAATCAGGTTTCACCAGCCCAGCATATTCTGGGCACAAATGACAGCCAATCTCGGCCGTGGGGCTGTCGGATCGTTTGTTTATTGGCAGCGACTCAGGCCATAATAGTTTAGTGCCTTGTTGGTTCCTTGAACACCCTGTGGCGTTGAGCAGGTTACTGATCTTCCTTGTGCCATCCACTGTCAGCGGTCAGTTCTGAAACAGTCTCCTCCAGCACAGGCACGACGGGATGGGTCGAGGTACCCTGTGTCATTACAAAGGCGAACGTTGGCGGCTACGCAGACCTGCTCAGTGGTACAAGATAGTGCCCCACCGGGAGTAAACTACCCTCTTGCAGGTGGCAAAGCCAAATAGATTGTTTCGCTTCGGATAGAGGTCTCGAGATGCGAGGTCTGGCCCGGCCACCTTCGCAACAGAAAGCAACGGCCGAAAGATCGGTCTTCCAAAACCAAATTCTGTCCGCTGTACGACCAAGGATGCTGCGCAGCTCGTTTGACCCATGAGAGCTGTGATTTGTGAGATTGGAGTAGGGCCCAGCTCGAGTTGATTGAAAGGGTGTCCAAGCACCCAGCAGCTACTGCACGCTGCCGTTCCAGACTCTCCTTCCAGACTGGCAGCCTTGTCAGCAGTGCATAGTCACGGGGCATGTACGTACTGTTGTTGGCCCTCGATCCACGAATGAAGCGGAGCGAGTGGGAATGCGTGCTCTCGGGTAGCCGTGACAATGAGAGTTGGGCGCGGCCCGAGCGCTCGTTCAAGCCGAAGAGTGGTCGCGTTCTACGCACGGTTCCTTTTTTTTTCCTTTTTTTTTCATTCTCCCCACTGGGTTGAGTGACTCGTGCTTCCCTACACATGAGGAGGTAGTCTGTCCCTTAAAGAAGCCGGGCCTTGTCTCCCAATATCACAGTGCGATCTTGTGACCAGCTTCGGATTCCGGGCCAAGAGCCCTCGCACGACACGGTGTCGTACATCGAGCTAGGAATAAAGGATCGGCAATCGCGTTATTGTGAAGACCGGACCTGGGTGACGAAACCCCGGAATGTGCGTCTTTTAGCGGCCTGCTTCCTCGTTCAGGCCGTAGAGTTTGTGGTGGAATGAGCTCACAGCAAAGAAGGGCAGCTCGAATATGATGATCCTTGGTGCTGGGCACGGCGTGACGTTGCGTCTCCAAACGCCTTGATACCTGGGTGCGACCTTAAGCCTGATCGAGAGAAACCACCATCATCACCGACGGATAGAGGGAAATGAACAACAAAAGAAATATGCCTAGGGTCATCTTTGAGAGACACCTGTGTCTGGACTCGTGTCTGCACAATCCAGGCCTACGACTGGACGCAAATCTGGCTCCTCTCAGCCACTCAGACCACTCAGCACACCCAGAATGAAGGCCTGACCCGACGGACTGGATCCAACAGAATCTGGCCAATGAAGGAATCCCGATCTGACCACCCTTCTGGTGACCTCGGGTCCATGAATCCCGCATTTAAAACAGGAATGCAGAGCTATTGCTGTGACGTGTTCAGTAGATACTCGATACCATCGACTCACGGTGGGAAAAAGCAATTGTGTGCAACGTCGGCCCCTTGATCGTCTCGGGTAAGCAAGGATGGGGGTTGATGGAGGAGAGAAGAGTGGTGCGGAAAGCCCGAACGTGAGGGGCCCATGATCCTTCTGTTGAGGATTCTGTCAAGGGCTGTAAAGACAAAGTTAGGCCTGGGCCGACGTGGTCGTTGATAGGCCAGAAAACCAACGCCGGCATATGCAGTCGTTCCCCCCTTCTCTACGGGGCTATTGAGAGGTGCGGTAGTGGGAATTAATGATAACAGGGGGAGGGAAACGTTAAATGGTCCGAGAAGTCGTGCCATGGGTATCTCAGGAGGATGAGCCGACAGGGAGAAGAAAGATAGAAGCATCTCAAGGATTGCTCTGACAGTGGTCGTATTGACGCATCCAGTACAGAGCATCTGGTGGTTTTCCTTTCTCTTTCTCTTCCATCGGATCAGTCTACTCCATTAGTGCGTTGGCGATGGTGTGTTTGTCGGTGTTGGTTGTTGGTGATGCGTTGATATTGGTGGTCTTGGTTGGGGTTGGCAGAAGAAACCTGAGAGCTAGACCCGGCTCCTCGTCATAAGAGAAGGGGGGTAGCCCCTGCCCGACTCGACGGACTCGAGCAAGGAAGGATACACACAGGTGGACTAGGGTACTTAGTGTTAATAAAGCATGTGCCGCACCTAACTGGCTTCTTGCCGCATCGACTTCGCATGGGTCAGGCCTGACCCCACTTTTTCAGCTGCCCCTGCCCACACCCTGATGCAGATCTTCCCAAGGCATTTCGAAGACTTCCAGGGGGGGGGGGGCTTGTCCTCACTCTCCTTGTCGATTATAGGGCTTTGGCGCTTGCCTCCTCTAAACCCCAAAAAGTTCCAGCTATTCTTTCTCTCTTCTTAGTTTCGAAACTCGACCAGGCCTTGACGTTCCTGCTGTATTTCCTCGAGCAACCTTTCACAATACTGTTGGCATGCCAAACACCCTAGCCATACAACCCCCGCACGCCCATCGCTGAGAGTAGGAGAGCCTTTGTCTGGAAAGGGCCCTGGCAACTCGAAAAATTCATTAGGCTACTGGCACCGTGCCCGTACCCCTCGCCACCCGCACATGACGGCTACCTAGTGGTGTGGGAACAAACACTGCGCCCTCTAGGCACGAGGCTTCTGGACGACCATCTCTCAGGCGACATCCTCCTCTACTTGTCTGCTTGGTCTTCACTGAGACGTTCGCTCCTCCGGATCTGTTGGCTCCAACGAGAGCACTGTTGGTGGTGTTTAAATTTATCGGACGGACAGATCAACAGACAGGCCGACAGACCACACCAAAGCACCGATAGTAGGCCAACTTTTGGTGCACAGGGCCAACGTCCACTTCGGCTCATCTTGGTGCCTCAGTTTCAGGGCTCAGCACAAAGGACGACCTGATTATATTTACCGCTTCGCCGGATCGAGCCCTGTTTGAACGAGCCGCTGGCCCACCTCCTCGCACTAGGTACTGGCCTGTGTTGTGCTGTCACCTTACTCGACGACCTAGTCTTAAGATCAACGACCTGTTGGCACGGTCGACAACTTCAACGAGGGCCCTAGCTGCCATATTTAATACCAGCGCGGTCCCCTCCATCCTCAGGACTGTGAGACATCGATACTCCTCGTCTTTTCATCTTCTTCTTCCCACCTCTTCGCTATCGGATAGACCTACAAGCAGCCCAGGGTAACGATCGTTTACACAAGGAGCCCTCGTCCTCTGCACCGTACACGCCGTGGGTCATCACTTGCACCTTGAGTGCACCTTCTCTATAACTCATCAGTCATTCCTGTAAGCCTCGTACATCTTCTTGGTGTTGTCTGTATTGTGGTATTCTGTTAGATCGTGTTTGCTTGCCATCTCTTGCCTTGAGCTGTCCAAATCAACCTTGGGGGCATCTTGGCCTCTCTGGCCCGCCCACCTCCGGCCGAGGCCTCATCTGTGGCACCTACATGCGTGATGGCAAGATTGACTCAAACCCAAACCCAAGTTGTGGTGTGGTGTTGTGGGCTACATGCTCAAGTCGAAGTCGATCTTTTCTTTCACCATACACAACCCTCACCCTTTCCCTGCCCACACCTCTTTCTCTCCAGGTCCCGTCCCATTGCGGCATGCCCAACCTGGCCTGCAGAGGTTACTTGGCCCAGTTGGGAATGGCTCTGCACGGTGTGTAAGCCTGTTCAGTTCCCAGGCGCTGCAGTGTCTGCAGGTCGACGTCGGCGGTCCCAGTTCTACGGGCTGGGCTTACCCACCCGACACGTTTCTGCCCTCCATCCTGTCACATTGGGGAGTGGTATTTTTCTTTCAGGCGTCCCACATGGAACTTTAAAGGGAACGTTGTTATTGCACTACACCCTCATATAACCTCCTTCCTGTTTCACCGAAAGAAGCATGACATCTTGAATTTTCCCCACAAGAACAACAACAGCACACCGCACCGCAACATATCCTAGCACAGCACAGCACAGCGAAGCGAAGCGGAGCACTTGGTTCTCTCGCCACTCGTCTATCCTGCCTCAAAGGCTCCTTGTCTTGAATCTTAGGATACTACCCCCGTCATCACCACACCACCCCTTCCATTGCAGCGCACGTTCTGGCATCAACTGAACCGTACGATTTCGTTGTACACGATAATGCACGACGACCTACAACAGCATTGCAACAGATGTCTCATCACTAAAGCGACACGACTCACTGACATTGACTCCTATCAGAGACGAGACTTGTCCCCAGGCCCGCCTGTCTGCATCCGCGACTGAGCCTTGCCTGTTCATCTGGACGGCTCTTTACTCTGTCGTCATGGCAACGAATGGGAATTCCATTGTTCACACCAACAACAGCGGGTACGAATATCTCTCCTACCTTTGGTTTGCGATTAAGAGGATGGAGCGGCCCCTCCCGACTGATTGATAGCGACAGAGGCTTAACAAGTTACTGACTCCGCTATAGCTACTATGCACCGGCACCTCCGAACGGCCAGGTCAACAGCAACGGCGCTGGCTATGCCCTATATGAAGAGAATGGACGCATCTACTCAGGTATACACCATGGGCGTTACCTACTCCCTGTAGACGAGGTAAACCTCCTCCTCCTCCTCCTCCTCTCGCATCACTATCCTGCCCACGTTGACTCTTGCATGGTCATTCCTAATTCGCAATGATATTTCAGGCAGAGATGGACCGACTCGACGCCATGCACATGTTCTTCTATCTTACGAGATACAAGATGCTATGCAGCCGGCATATTCTTGATCTCAATAACCCAAGTAGCCTACCTGCAGAGCCCAGGGTAGGTTTTGCTCCACACATCCTCTTATGTCTTTCATTGACCTGGTCGATTAGATTCTTGATATCGGATTCGGAACGGCCATATGGGTCCTCTCTGTCGCTGAGTGAGTCGTCTACTGCCGTGCCACATGTTGTCTCGCCAACTAACACATTATGACCCAACAGTACATTCTGGATAAAGAATACCAACACTTTCAGACCCCATGTTGTGAAAGGTTTCGATCTATGCCTCCAGATGCAGCCACCGAGGTTCGTGTTGGCCCCCGATCTCTTCTATTGAGCTTTTAGGGCTGACGTCAGTAGCATTGTCCCGGGTGTCGAGTTGAAGGCCGTAGACGTTGAAGAGCCATGGCCCAGTGATGCTGGAGAGAGCTCGTGGCACTTGATCCATGCACGCATGCTTTCTGGTGCCATCAGGTCGTGGCCACGTCTCTACAGCCACGTAATCAAGTATACAGCGCCCCAGTCACCATCGTCTTTATACGTTTTGCTGATTGTGTGCATAGGCATCTGATTCCAGGACAAGGGTGGATTGAGCACGTGGAAATTGATTGGGATTTTCAGAGCGACGACGGGCCGGTCTCGAGGCGGCTGAGGTTCTGGGCTGACGAGCTCCTGGATGCAATGGACCGCGCGGGGCTGCCCATGCGGATCGATCCCAAAGCTATCACACAGGCGCTGGGTGATGCCGGTTTCACCAAAATCTCGCAGGAAGTCATCAACGTGCGGGTCAATGGGGCCTCCACCAACAACTATGACGCCGACGCCGGGCGGTGGTTCAATCTGTCCTTCAAGAAAGGCTTCATGTCCATGAGCCTGGCTCCTCTGGTCAAGTTCAAGCATTGGCACCCAAGGGATGTAGAAGCCCTCTACGAAGAAATAATGAGGGAGGTCGGTGATCGGGCAAATAAGTCCTATTGCAAGCTGTAAGTACCCCTGGATGCTTTACTTGGGAGAGTTGCATGGGCTAGATTACTGACGCCACGGCAGATATATCTGGACCGGAATGCGGCCCGCCCAAACCAATGGTTACCAAACCAACGGATACCACTGAATAGTGCTCCCGGCTACCTTGTTGCCGCGGCCTCGACTCTGCAGACGTCTCGGCGCCGCGCTCTCAAGTCCGAAAATTCCCCCCTTCCAAGCTTGCGTAAGGCTGCGAGCCAGCGGCTCGGCCCCGTTTTTAACAGACGACCTCCATGTCGGATCTGGTTCTCCAGGACTACGACGCGCTCGGCAGCAGCAGGAGAAAAGTTTGCGTTTCTGGTGTGTTTTTGTGACGCAAAGCTCGAGGCAGTCCGCGACAAGTGCGCGTTCATCTTATCACACCGTGTTGCGGCGGACCCGGACGGGCCGCAACACAAACATATCCAGCACCCGATGACTTAATGCACGGCTCAAGTACCCGATACAGGACCTCACCGGCAGTTCCCCAGCCAGCGATTTGCACAATTGCCTCCTTTGGGACTATCAGCTTCTTGTCCTGCTTGTCCTTGCCCATGCACACGGGTCTGAGCATTGCACCGATGCTGGTGTCCGGTTCACTTGAGTGGAACAACCCTTTAACCTCCGAACAGATCTCAACCTCCCTTGTGGTACAGGTGCAATTCGGGCCTGTACTTTTATTTCTTTGGACCTCATCCTCATGCTGTGGGACGGGTTTATTGATATCTGCGGCCGTCACCATCATCCAACCGAACACCTCGATTTCCACCTCGATATCCGCCTGGATAAGTCTACTCACGGTCAAATAAAGTTTCGAAATTTTTAGTACGATGGCGGCGGTGGCGGCGTTTGCTAGTATCTCTGGTATGCATCAGATGAGTTATTGTGGGTTATCGAGATGGGTAGCAAGGCCAGGAGGTCACATCCATTTGGTTTACTTTAGTTTGATGGTTGTCTTCTGTTTTGCTCTTGTGAGCTTTTGGGACCCTGGTCTGCAAATGTTGGCTTACAATATCTCGGGTCCGAGGTTTTGTCCGTCTACGAGTACAACAAACACAGATTGCCCTTCCAGTCACCGGTCCTCCTCGCAACCTGCTTCTGTAGCAGGTCTTGAAGTGTGATTATGACATTCATTTTGAGACCATGAAAAGTTACCACCACAGCCTTTTGAACCAATTCAATTCACCCATGCTGACGCCTTGTGCCGCTGATAGCTGACCGACTTTCTAGTCACGATGGAAGACATGTTACGACAACCGTGTCTTAGGCTCGATGCAAGCTCCCAGCCATCCCTACCCGCGGAGGAGCCCGAATCGATATGGCGGTATAAGATGCAAGGCCAACTCATCTTGCAGATCAGACTCCCGAGAGAGGTCAAGATGCTGGCCACCATCACCACCAACGAGACATGTCCGGACCAGACCATGTGTTTCGCCCCTCCCATGCTTTTGGGAAGACGGCCCATGCCACCCACTGGCTGGCTGCCTCTTTGCCAATGCAGGTAGACACAGCCAACCGCATATGCAGGTGGTCAGATGAGGCAAGCACAATATCAACAGCATCGACGATACGCAGCACCATCCCCCGCCCGTCCCGCCCTTCCCTTTGGAGACACACACGCACACACACACACACAATATCTAACCGACCATGCGCTGCAACATCTGGCGGTCTTCCAAAACAGTGCAGCTTGAATGGATACGCTGTGTGACACCAGGCATCGTCTGGATACCAAGGCGCTCAGCCCACCTCTTGCTCCTTAATATCGTCACCATACTCCCATATCCCTGAAGAATAGGATCATTATACTTAGGACTGCCCGGCCCAACCTTTTCTTTTCCTCTTCTCGCTTGTGGCTGCGTCAGGAAGGGGGCCTGTATGGGCGAGCAACTCTGCTCCGAGATGTTGCTACGTAGCAACGCCTGGCCCCCAACACAGCTGCGTGGTTCATGTAATGGCCCGACCAACAACCACCCTCCCCCCAGCCCCCCCGCCACACTGTTTCTGACGAGAGAACGATACCGAGAGGGTGGTAGACGCCACGCACCACGGCAAGCCCCGGCCGTCAGAACTGTACAGGCTCCTCCTTGCCAATATCCCAAAACTCCTGAACCACCGCCCCGCCCCCCTTCCCCCCTGCCGTGTGTGATTTTGCCCCCATTGACACCCAGTAACTTTGGTTGGTCCCGCAGCCTTGTTATTCGTCGTGCTTCTTTCCCTCCTCCACACAGAGAACGAAAAGGAAAAGAAAACGAGAGAGTGGGTAACAAAAACCTTAAAACCCCTTCCAGCCAGCCTCCTGGATTGTTTTGAGGCCTCTTGGTAGTATGCGGCCTGTTTGCGCGGCCTTTGCTTCTTGGCTTTTGCTGTAGACGCTCACACAAACGCACACACAGCGCCCTCCCTTCAAGGACGGTACATCATCATGCAGTCATTGGCCTCCAGGGAATTCTTTTGCGACCAGCGGAGACAATCATTAAGTTTCCCCTCCACCTTCCTTTTGCCTGGTTCACGTACGACGCGTACATCCGAAGTGGTAACTCGTGCTAGGATGTTGTCATCTAGCACATGATCAATGGATGCATGTGAATTTAATTCTTTATAGCGGGGGGGGGGGGGGGGCTGACTGTTCTTTTCCTTCTTCTTCCTTTTGAACCCCTGGTCTTGATGCATCATTTCCAGACTACAGAACGGCACCAAGGCTATGGTGGCATGCTCTGGTTTGCTAGGCCAATGTGAATGTAGGTAGCATTTTCTGTGTTGTGGTGTGGCTCTTTCGGATGGATGGATGGAACTGCAGGAAAGCCTGGCACGGGTTGTTGTTCTGGACGGGGTCTGTATTCTGTCTTATCGCCATGATGAGCAATGGTCAATGGGATGGATGAACAAATTAAGGGGGGGGGGGGACGAGAACGGGTTTGGTGGATATATGATGGTTGGTTGAAAGTCGGCTTTGGGTAAGAGTTTCTTGAGTGTGGAAAGATGGTAGCCGATAATGGTGGAGTGAATCATGTATAGAGAGATCATGCTTCGTCACTGCGGATTCACTGGACAGTACTCAGCAGAGAGTCTACCGGTGACCATTCTCCACTGACCAGATATGGCCATCGACATCAAACCGGCTGTCTTAGGACCTACCTCTGTGTCGATCTTGAGAGCTGGCCATTCTGATTATGGTCATGATCATGAAGCAAGAGTTTGGTGTGAAACTGATGGTACATGATACAAATGAAATAAAGCGTTCTTGAGGCTCTCTCGCCCCTTGGTACGAGGGAGAAGGAATCTCGGAATATACACAAAGACTCCAAGGTTGGCCGTAGAGGAACCACGCACGCATCTGCCAGCCCTGATCCCACGAGGGAAATAGCATTGCCTTCACCATTCTTAACCGCTATGGTGTGAGCCATATCGGTGCTGAGAAGTGTATGTGACGCAGCTGGTCGAAGAAACAGAGACGAGCGGTGCGGAATCGTGACGAGGCCATGCCCTAGACCCTGAAGCTCCCATTGCCGTGTTCTATGCTTGACCCTCCCCCTCTCGCCCCCTATACTCCGTAGCTTTTCCTTTTCCCTTTCTGGATCGCGAATGAGGTTTTCCCGCCAACTCTGAAAGTTGGTCTATGTTGGCGAGCTGAACCCCTTGGCTCCCATCGAGCATTATCACAAATCCCCTGTCCCTTCTAGCACCACACGCTGACCTCTCGAGAGTCCTTGCTCCTTGGCAGTCCCTCGCCCAACCACCCTACTGAACCTGTCACCCAATCACCCACCATCACGCCCAGACACTGGGTGGTCTAGTGGTGGTGCGCCGTCTCGCCGTGGTATCCAACCAGCTTGAAGCGACCAAGGATCTCGCCGACGGTGAAGAAGCCGAGCACCTCGGCGAGCAGGACACCACCGCCCACGACCTGTGCGCGCGAGATGTTCTGGAGACGTGCGGCGGCTGATGAGGGAGTGGCGGCAGCGCTGGAGGCGGTCGACTGGAGGAGAGTGCCGGGGTTCTTGATGGCGCTGAGGGCGCGGTTGAAGTAGCTCTGGAAGGTGGCGACGGAGCTGTGAAGGAGAAAAATGCTATGGTCAGCCACCACCTTTCCGTCTGTCCATTTATCGAACGGGAAAGGGAATGACTTACGGAGGGTCCATCTTCTGGCCTCTGAACACGAGCTTACCGAGCTCGAGACCGACCTTGCTGTAGTAGACGACAAAAGGTACCTGGCCTGTTTTGGAAGAAAGATAACATCGTTAGCAAATCAACTCAGCACGCACTTGTTCCCATCCCTTCTGAGCGCGAACGACACCCCTTCACTGTTTCTTTCTTTCTTTCTCCCTTCTTCTCTCCCTCTATTGCCTGCTGGGAAGCCCTCTGGTCTCCCGAGCAGTTCTCCTTCTCTTTGCTTCTCCCGCTGTCGCTTAACCCCCCTTGAAGGCAAAATAAAGGTAAAACACATACGCTCAACAAAGCCAATTATTCTTCCCGTGCGGCCGCCAACCTTGCCCAGGGCGTTCGAGACCCCCTTGGCGGCACCGGCGATCGCAGGCCCTGCGGCGGAGGTGACGCGCGACAGGCCCTCGGCAGCCTTGGCCTTGTACTCGCCGGCAGCATTCTTGGCGCCCTCGGCGGTCTTTTGTGCGGTCGAGGAGGCGGTGCTCTCGAAGCGGCGGGCGGCGATGCTGCGGAGGGGCTGCAGAGGCCGCCGGAGGAGTGGACGTGCGAGGGCGGACGACATTTTCCTTCTTGGGTTTTGGGTGTTTGGTAGTGGTGGTGGTGTTGTCGGGTCGAGGACGATGGGAAACAAGAAGAAAAAATCCCTCTGCTCTCTTTTCTCTTGCCAAGGTGCTCGCTGGACAAAAGGTGTGGTCTGGCTCCTCGACGTCGGTATTGAGAGGAGTGGAGACAAGGGATTTCCTCTTGAGGAGAGGAAGAGGATTGGGTCGTGCGATTGGGGGGGATAGGTTGAGTCGATGCCGCAACTTTCTCGATATGGGGGCAGGCGAGGGCAGACGCTGTGGCCAAGGCGAGGTCAGCAACCCGGGAAAAAAAATGATATGGAGCTCGGAAGAGGTCGGGGCTCATGGCCATTCGCCAATCAAATCGCGGGACTGGAGCTTGGGCGGGTCCGAGATCAATATTATGTAAGCCAAACAGACCCTTCCTCCTTTCTTGGTTGTGAGGCTAGGCCTAGCCTAAAGTTGCTTGACCTAAATACTGCTTGTTTCTCTTGTTATGCATCCTTTTCATACTATGCTTATACCTGGATTTCTCTTCCAGATATTGTCTTGAACAACAGCAGGATCAAGGAGAGAGCCCATCTCCTGGGGAGTTATTACATTTGTACAAAGCAAACATGCAATAATCAAGATCGTAATTCCATTTGGCATTGATGAGCTCAAGTATATCAGAATCCCAAAATCCAGGCCATGATAAGTTCATGCCTTTGCTTTTCTTCCCTTCCCCTTCCCCCTTGCCTTCTTCCGTCTGCCATTCCCATTCGCCTCTGGTCTATCTTCATCGACAAACTCATCATCATCATCACCATCGGCATCGTCACTATCTGCCACAGCTGTAGCGCGCATCTTTCGCTTTCGCCCATTTGTGCCCTTCCCGCTGGCCTTTGCCGAGCTGCGAGCAGCCTCCTCGCCCCCCTGCTCCTCCTCGCCGCTCTCCTCGACGGCTGGAAGGCCCTCCTTCCCTGTGCTTGCCCTCAGCTTATCCACGGCAGCCGCCATCCTCCTGCTCCCCTTGGCCCGCTGTCTGGGCGCGAAGGCCTCCTTCGCACCGACACCCACGCTCCCCTCAAAGTACCTCGTGATGTTGCTCTGCGTGCCCTCGATGTCCCTGCGATTCATATCACGGATTACCGGCACAAGCACCTCATCTGTCCGCTCCTGTGACCATCCGATCGTCGCCATCAGGAACCGCCGCAAGCCGTCGAGGTCGGGCACACCCCACTGGAAGGGCTCCTGGCCGTGGTCCACGTCGGGCTTGAGGTAGGCCTCATAGACGGCTGGGGAGGGGAAGCCGGTGGGGAGGAAGAGCTTTGTGGCGTTGCTCTTGCGGAACTTACGCCGGAAGCTCGAGCCCGAGTCTGCCTCCTTAGGGCGGTTCGGATTGGCCTGCACTTCGGTCCACCACTCCTTGAAGTTCACGAGACCCTCGCGCCCGGGAAACTCGGACAAGATCTCGAGTGCCGTCACCGGTCCAATGCCGGGGATACCCTCCGTGTAGTCGGAGCCGAGGAGGTGCGCGATGGAGATGAGCTGCTCGCGGGACAGCGAGAGGTCCTTCTCCAGGTCCGCAGCCAAATAGCATTCCACCAGCTTGTTGCTGTTGAACATGTTCTTATACACGCGAGTGCCACCAAAGAGGAAGATGTCCGAGTCATCCGTCACAATGCCGTCCACCAGACTGAGGGAGACGAGCTCGGCACACTGTGCCTCGGCTTCCATGGGAGCTGTGATGTAAGGAATACCAAACAGGCGCAGCAGCGCCTGACACTCGGTCACCATGATCTGAGTGACCTCGTCGGCGTCTCGCCTGTCTTTCTTCTGCTGGTTGCGCAGCTGGCGTAGCTCCCGCTCGTATTCCTCCTGGGTCAGTTGTGCCGGCTTCTTGTTCAGCTCGCTTGCGAAGCGTGCGTGCTCCTCAGCCTCTTCGGCCAGCTGTGCCATGAGCTGCTCATCTTCGGGATCGCTGAACTCGTCGTACTCGCCCTCTTCGAATGAGTCATCATCAGCCTCAGGTTGATCGGGGACTTCTGCCAGTCCCTCGATCCTTTCCTGTTGGGCTATCGGTGGCGTTGGAGGCACGACATCTTCAAACTCTGGCTCTTCGGACACCATCCGCTGTTCAGGCTCCTTTGTAGCTTGTCCCGCGGCGGGGTCATGCTGCTGCAGTGCAACATCCTCGAAAGAAGGCTCTTCTGAAGCTTGCATGGCCGTAATTTGTGTCGCCGCGGGCTCTGGAGGACGCTCTTCTGATGGTATTTCGACATCCACAAACTCCGTCTCTGGAGAAGGTGAGCGCAAAACAACCTCATCATGGAGGGTTGTAACTTCGTTTCGGTCGTTCTCTTCTGGACTGGCGGCCTCTTCCGGGTCTGCGGGCGCTCCTTCAGCGTTGATTACCGTGTCCTCGTCTAAAGGGGTAGACACTGCATTAGAGAAGCTCCTCACGATGGTCGAACCCTCTGATTTCGCTGGCGGAGCATCTATAATCTGGACATCGTCGTCGTCATCGTCAGACGACTCAATCTCCACGATCTCGTTTTGTCGCCGCCGTCTTCGCAGCTGCTCTTGTTCCCGGGCCAGGCTCTCGTCTTCATCGTTGATCTCATTATGCGCGCGTTGTTGGTTCTTGACCCTGTCCCGTATATCTGTGTCGTCGTGAACCATCCATGGAGGCAAAGGTCTCGGCGCATCATCCTCCACAGGTTCTTTTTCGAAGCCGCCTTCCATAATGACGTTATTTTGGGTCTGGCTCTCGCCGTCTGGTATCTCGATGGAGAAGCCTCCACCAGTCTCAGCGGCCTTGTCGTTTGCTTCTTTGAGTACTTGCGCGTCAGTTTTCGGCTGTGGCTTTTTCTCGAATATAGAAGTCCTCCAGTCCAGCTTCTCAAATGGCAACGGGCCACCGAAAGGGTTCTTCACGTTTGGTTTGATCGGAGCTGATGGCTTGGCCTTGGACGCCTCGGTCTGTTTCTTCTTTCTTGCAACTGCCAAGGCTGCCTGAAAGTCCCCCTCACTGTCGCTGTCTTCTTCGGCCTGCTTCTTCTTCGGAACGGCTGCATTGGCTCTGTTGTTGATAATATGTGCAACCATTGATCCACGGGTGGAAGTGATCGGCTTCGGCACATTGTCGACTGCCTTTTGCTCCCACTGGGGTATCGAAACATCTTCAAATTCCTCCTCCTCGACCTCGCTCGTCCCTTGTCCAGCTCCGTGTTGATTCTTGAGAGACATCTCTATTGCTCTTGCGACATCTTCGTCTTCATCGGCCATGAGTTGGTCCTCGGCCCTTTGACCTACAAACAATGCCTCATCATCTTCCCCATTATCCACAAACAATGAATCGTCGTTGTCTCGTGGCTGTTGCTGGCGACCCCTGGTTTTGGGAAGCCGATTCACGCCCTCAATAGGCACATCTTCAAATTCCTCGTCGTCTTCCCAGTCGTCCTCGTCCTCTTCGTCTCGTGGCGCAAACCTAAGCTGCAGTGCATCGACGTCGATCGGCTTATGTCTCTCACCAATGTCCTTCTCCTGCGTCAGAACACCAAGGGCATAGCCACCCTCGACGCCGTCATTCTTCACAAGGATGTACTCTCTGTTCCTCTCGCCCGCCACCCGTCCACCTCCGCCAACCGTAAGATCCGTGCCAGCCATGTTCATTTCGTACATAAGCCTCTGTGTAAGCCGGTTCCGCTCCTGGACACGCTCTATCTGGAACCTCGAGAAATCCATCCGGTTTGGAAACATGACCTCCAACTGCTCCTTGCTCAGGCCCATCCTGAGCCGACTCCTCACCCTCGCAGCATTGAGGATGTTGTAACGGTCGGCAGCGGGCAGAGATTTGAAAAAGTCCCCGTCAAAGTCAATCTTTCCAAAGTCGTACAGATTGACATCCTCGCCACTGTTGAACTGGCGCGCGTACTCCTCTAGCTCCTCAACGCTCATGATGCGTGGGTCATCGGGACGCCCCATCTTCTCGATGCTCGTCTCTAGCTCGGGCAGGTGGTATTGGTCCTGGCGGAAGAACTTTCTATCCTTCTTCCTCTCCGACTTGGCAGTGAAGGCCTCCTCAGCGTACACCATGTTCTCGACGTCCGGCAGCACCTCGCCCTCAGGCACGCCATCCCCTCCTCCTCCTCCCTCGGCAGCAGCACCTCGACCAGCCGACCTGGCCTCCCTCCGCCTCTGATCCTCCTCTTCCGCGATCCGCTGCATCTGCACGGCGAGCAACCTGCCCGCCGTGCGCACCGCGTCCTCACGTCGACCCTCTCGCCTCCGGCGTCTCCCTTGCAGTGTGGCCCTCTTGAGCGCCGGGGCGCCGCCGTCGAAGACAAAGACGGGCTTGATGCCGAACCACAGCAGCTTGCATATCCGGCGAAAGAAGCCCACGACGTGGCTGTTACGCAGGGCATTTCCCTCCTTGTCGCGCACGGCCTTGAGGAACTGGTAAATCCAGATGGAGGCGTCAACGGCGAGGCGCTTCCGGTTGAGGGTCGCGAGGTTCGTGGGGCGGGCGGAAGGAGAGAGAACCTGCCAGAGGCCTTGGACACCCATGATGAAGACAGCGGCGACGCCGTCGTCGTATGGGCAGGTGTCAATTCACGGTGATCGGCAGGGGAGGGATGGGCTGGCGGAGAGAGTTGGAGGGTGGGCGCGTATGGGTCAAGGGCTATTCCTGTGAAAGAAATGCCTACGTCGGAGCGAAAAGAGTCATCCTCGTGTGAGCAGAGCAGTCGTTGCCCATTTGAGAATACTGTGAGGAGGACTTGGAAGTGAGTTGACACCTCAAGACAGAAGCTTGTTGCCTGAAATTGAAAAGACAAGAAATCCATCAGAGTCGCCCCAAGGCTTCAGGCGCGTTAGGCTGACTGCTTAAGTGCTGCCCCACTAAAAGAGTACCACTGCGTCATACATATACGCGAGTCTGCCGCCCCGTCACGAGGAAGATTTAGAGGGGAGGGGCGTAACCTACAGTAGTGCCGCCTCCCCGCGCTGCTGCCGGTCTGCTGTGAACTTTGGACCATAGCAGCGCTCCACAGTGCTCGGCTGCGAGACGTTGCCAAAACCCCCAACATTAGTCTAGAACAGACTTCACGACGACAGAGCCAGAGCCAGCAACATCCTCCGGCCGAGCCGCGAGTCTCGTGGCCCGGAGTCCGATCAGCGAAATCCAAACGGATCAAACCCGTGTCTGCGACAAAGCAGCAAGTGAAGATGGCGACACAGGCGGAAAACATGGACGAGGTGGCCCCTCTTGCACAACCAGCAGCAATGGACAAGGCCAAAGCCCACGGATTCCTCTCGTCGCTACTCAACAGGAAGTTGCGCATACACACCACAGACGAGAGGATGTTCTGGGGGGATTTTAAGTGTACTGATCCGGTACGCCTACTGCCTTTCTCTGTCCCCCGAAGGGGGGGGGGGGGTGGAGGAGAAAACCTACCGCTTGGTCCACAAACGCTGGATTGGATCTGACACCTTCACTATGTGTAATCTAGGACCAGAACATTGTGCTAGCCTATACATACGAGTACCGTCAGCCCTCTGCCCAGCAGCGCGCACAGGCCGCTGAAGAGAGCGCCGCGGCAGGCGAAAAGAGCCTCAAGATGGAGATGTCGCATAGATACCTGGGGCTGGTGGTCGTCCCGGGAGAGCATATCGTGAGGATCGAGAAGGAGGATTTTGCCAGCCAGATGAAGCTTCAACACTCCATCTGAGGTGGTGGGGGAGAAAAGTGCGCGCCCGCGAGAGGAAGATCGTGAGAGAGGAGATAACATAATTGGTGAAGAAGGTATATACCCATACGCAGGCCGAAGGCTTGGTGCCACCTTCGACACGAGGATATGATCCTACAGGAGAGGATGAGCCGCAGAGATCTCAAGAAATGCAGCAAAGAGTATGCTATGACAGGCTTGTCACGGATGCATCCTCAAGAGACCAAGGCTGGCAAAGAGTTGGGCTTGCACTGAAAAGGCTGAAAGTCCATATTGCTGCCTAACACTACAATAAAACGGATTATACTTAAAAACCAAAATTCACTTGTCGTAATAGATTGCCGCCCAACTTGTTGCCGCGCCCCATGTCTCCCAACTTCCTTGCGTTGCCCCTGCAGAAAACCTGAGAGTTCCTGCGCTTTGCTGGCTTGTCTGTGTATATGCCACCATGGCGCAACTATTCCCATATTATGTAGTGCCGTCATTAGAACATTAAGTTTTAAATCGTTGTCGGCTCATTTAGTTTGGTCTCACAGCCCTTTCCAAAGAGAAAAAACCCCGCCTCACGCTGCGATGGCCTCGTGCGTGCGTCCTCGATGTTCCCCGTTGAGCCCACTCTCGCTGCCGGCAATCTCATCTTCGTCCTCCTCCTCGTCCTCTTCGGAGTTATCGTACTCGCCCTTGTGTTGGCCTGCTGGCACCCAGGAGTCCTGATCATGGAGCGGGGCATCTTGCCCTGACAGGTCGTGACCGCCCTCGCTGCGTGCCTTGATGTTGTTCCGACGCCGCGTGGACAGGGTGCGGGCGCGCACCGAGAGCTTCGAGTTGACGGCGGCGTTCTGCGTAACCCAGTTCGTAAGAGCGTCCTCGCAGTCCTGGATAATAGCCTTGCTAGCTTCGTATCCATCGTAGGCTGCGCGGGTCTCGCCGGGTGTGACGGGGGTGTCGTCGATCAGCTCGAGGAGATGCTTTCCGTAGCCGGCGATGATGGCTACCTTCTCGCAGTGCTCGCGCAGGGCGTCGAACTGGTATGTGTAGGCGGCCTTGATCTTCTCACGTGTTATATTGGAGAGCTGGGCCTCGGCCACCAGCGACTCGGCCTCGGCGCGGACGAGTTCTTGCTCGAGGACGACGATCTTGGGCGAGTTTGGCTCCTTGTACTTGAGCTGGGCAATTTGGTCCGTGATCTTTTGCTTTCCTGGTTACACACGAGTCAGCACACCATAGAAACAGCCACCTGCTGTACATAGGATGGGAGAAGCGGGAACTGCTCACTGTCTCGGCTGGGCTGTACCGAGGCCTCGATATTCCTGATGCTCTTAATGGTCACCCGGTACTGGTCGTAGCGATCGACATATTGGTCCTCGAGTTCTCCGATCTCGTAGAGCAAGACGCCGAGTTTGTCGGTGACATCGGAAACGTCTTCGTCGCAGGCCTCACCCCAGATGGAGAGTTGTTGCTAAGAGAGAGAAGGAGGTCAGAAGGTCATAAACAGACAGGCCATACGGTGTAGTAAAATGGAATAGATGGAGGGGCTAGCAGCATGAGTACATACAGCAACTTCCATTCGCTCCTTAGCGACCGTCTCGAGGCTGCGCATGACGTTCTTCTCCATCTTGACAAGCTGCGACAACTTCTTTGCCAGGTCCGGGCCGTACGCACCGGCCGTCCGAGCGCGAAGGGCATGACCTAGATGTCCTGTCAACCAAACAATCGATGAGTTACAACAATCATAGCGCATGGATGAACTAATATTCAAGGTCACGGTGGTACAATGACGAGATCAAAGTCCCGAACTTACCGAATCCACCACGGCCAAAGAGACGGCCGGATTTGGTGCTCGAGGGAGGTGGAGGGGGGTTCTGACGACAGCAGGTTTTAATTAAATACACTTCATTCTCTTTTTTCTCGTTTTCTTGTCTTGTAGGCAAGTCTGGCGATGGCACTCACCTGTATCTGGGACGCGGTGGGCGCCCTCGTCTGACGCATAGAATACGTGCGATGCATGGTGGGCGGTGGGCGACGACAGCGATGAAAAAAAGTAGATGATGTGCAGACAGGGGAGAAGGCGCGGGGTCCTGTTCTGGTATGTATGTACCCTTGGTTTGTGAAGGTCGGTTGTGCAAGATGATAGTTTGTGTAAAGTCAATTCAGGAGAATGCTGCAAGATAAAAAAAGACCCAAAAAAGGATACCACTGTCGATAAGACCAGGGGTGGATACAGCTTCTGCAACAGTAGTAGTAGAGAACAATAACAACGGTATGGCCGGAAAGAGGAGGAGGATGCGGATGGACACGTCGGCGAGGCATGGGAGTGGGATGGTCTTTTTGTTTGCAGACGACAGGGCGCGAAGCTGAAGACGAATCGAAGACAACGACGTCATCTCATTTGGCCCCAGGGCGGGCTCAGGTCTAGCGTACGCTTAAGAGCTGCTAGCGTCTCCTGATGTCGTAGCATTCCTCTCTGTGCGCTGCATGGCGCTGCAACAGCGTGCATCCAAAACGAGTCTCGTCCCCCCCCGACTCGGATGCTCCTTTTGGGTTTGCGGTCCCCCCAGAGAGATTTCCCCTTTTCACCGATCTCAGCGTGCCCTCCCCCGTCCCCTGCAGCGACCCTGCATCAACTTTTGTCCGGCTCCAATCCCGCATTTGGGATGGGTGTCAGATGGTCTACTTTATCCTGATACTGTGTGTTATTTTACAATAGTATGAGGTTCTGTACTTACTTCTGAGGTGCTTTCATCTGTTGCGAATTGCATTGCTTCAACTTATGAACAATTTGTCTCATCGACGAAATTAGAGCACTCCACGAGTTGATGACATCGGGGAGTCGTCATCGTAACTACTAGCGCTGCAGCAGAGAGTACTGCCTGCTGATTGCCTTCTTCTTTGCTATGACATACACACTCTACAACGAAATGAATAAGGCTGCCATTCTATATCAATTATATTTAGGATATCTATCTTATTAAGAATATTCATTATAACAACGAAATATTATACATATACATAACATCTCCTCTACAATTAGTACATTGGAAAGATATTCACACTGGAGGACTTAAGTAAATATGACAAGTACTCCCTCGCAAGTCAAGGCTGCAAATGCGCGAGGACCACATCTAGCGAGTCACTAGCCCCCACTATCGCCAGGCACCCTCAGCCTAGATAACCTCATGTAACCAGCTGTTCCCCCTCCATTTTTCTTTCCTTTCCTTCCTTTTCTGCAGCGCATCCAATTATACTCATTACCCCGGAGAAGGCCCTTTCAAGGTAGCCTTGGCCCCCGGCACAGCATTTACCTATCATTTGTATACATAGTAATACTGCAAGAGACCATGGCTGGCATGCATCTTGCAGCATTACGATGCACGAAGGGTGGTTTGGCCTGAGTCCATTGCCTGCGCTCTAGGGGTTCAGCCTCTGCACCAAGTTAAACATGTTTCTCATGATTGCTGATGCAGCACCAATTGGAAGCTTCAGCTCCGGCACAGCTTTTGTGCTTAAAGTTCGTCATGGTGGCAGGAGTGGTACACAGCATTTTGGACTATGGCACGTGCTCACGATATCTACCTCAGGTCTGACGAGATTTTGAAACATTTGACCTTCAGCCACAATACTGCCCCCAAGGTTTAGCCGTCGCTCGATATCCAATCAAGAATTTACGTGCTTCACCTGCATTATTTAAGTCACATACTCCCCCTACAGATCTAGTTTGCTGTATATCTGACTCCTGAGTTTCTCGCTCTTGTCTCCCCTGGCTAGCCTTCCTTTTGATCAGCCTTCCCCCCCCATCAAACTTGGTCATCTTTTTAATTCTTTTTTGTTCAATATTCCATCGTCTAGTTGTATATCCCGGAACTCATCCGGCTTCGGGGATCGAGGTTCACACCATGGACCTCCTAAGGGCTGCAAGCCAGCGAAGGCTTTCAGCGCAGCCTCGCCGGATTCCGTCAATCGACAGTCTACTGATAGTTGACCAAACCTGTAGCGTGGCATTCGAGCAATCAGAGACGTCGGAACTGAACGATATCACGCCATCTATAGAGCTTTCACACTCAAGCCATCCATGGAATGGAACAACTTGTGTTGACGCGCAAGGAGATGAGTCTGATGACAGACGGGAAAAGGCAGCTCAGAATGGCTCGTCTACGTTGCAACCACTGGTAGCACCCCGTGATACGATGGCGGGGCGAGTGAGAGACTGGCGCTCGGAGATCGTAGCTCTTCTTGTGGCTCTTTGTTGCCTCCTGGCCATATTCCTCATCTCGGCCAGGTTCAACAATCAACAGCAACCCAACTGGCCTTATGCCACTACTCTAAACCTCAGCACGCTTATTGCCTTGATTGCCACGGTTCTCAGGTCTATGCTGGAGAGCATCCTCGATTCGAGTAAGTGTTTTTGAGTCTCTGGAGAGTGCATGGGTCAACTTTCGTGCTGACATACGGGTGCCTCTGGCGTAGGTATCGGCCAGCTCAAATGGCGCTGGTTTCGATCATCATCTCGGCCCCTCAGCCACATGCAGACCTTTGATAATGCGAGTCGCGGCTCTTGGGGGTCATTTCTATTCATGCTGTCTCTCGCTCGTCCGTAAGTATACTGCAGCTTCAGGCCATTAAGTTTGTATTAATCTAGCAGCAAGCAACTTGGCCACACTCGGTTCAACAATTACATTATTATCTATCGTGATCGGCACTTTTACCCAGCAGGCGATCCAGACGGCGTCATGCCAAAATCCCGGCTCGACTGGACAAGCATTTATTCCCATCGCCCAGACCAGCCTAAGAGGACTTGAAGTGAGTGCCGGTAGTGATCCAGTATATGATCTCAGCGTGAGCTTGAGAGCTTCTATCATCGCTGGACTGGCTGGTTCACAATCGCCCAATTCGCTCTCGGCGACATGCACATCAGGTAATTGCACTTTTCAAGCTACCAATGGAATAACACACTCTACCGCAGGATTTAGCAGTGAGTGTATAGATGTCTCGTCACTTATCACCCAGAGTGGCTTGCATTATTGGGTATCATCCAATAACTACACGTATAATATATCCACGAACTACAGCTTACCAGGGGGCCCGACCCTCAAGTACCACCTGTCTCATTCAGACTGGGCGGCCAACGGAGGTCGATGGAATACAATGCTAGCCACAGTGGAGGGGGCCTTTCCATTGGACAATATGACAATGACACAACGACAGAGAGAGATTGTTAACAATGCCTCCTTCGACGGCATACTTCTTCTGATGCCAAGTACGAACCCCTGCGAATACCCTTCCAACTATCAGACGTATATTGGGGAGCGGGAAGAATTCGCCATGCCACCCGTCAAAGCCAGCTTGTGCCCACAGCTCGAGTTACCCGGGGTGGAGACACTCCCCGGTTACTTCTCGGTAACGGCAGCTGCTTGCTTCTTCTACGCGTCTCTGCAGCACTACAAAGGTTCGGTCGTCAACGGCAAGCTGCAAGAAGAGGCTGTCCAGGATCCCATGCCCCTGCAGCCTCACGTCGATTCCGGCGCCGAGGCATTCGATGACCACCATTGCGAGTGGAGGTGCGGGTTCTCAGACCCCTGCATAGTCGACCACGTAGTCTACGACAATATCAGCGCCAACCTTTCCAGCGTTCCTGGGGGCCTGACCAGCCTAGGCAACACGACGGGCCCGACGCGATGTCTGTACGGGTTCTCGTACAAGTGGTACCGGGCGCTCCAGGCCCAAGCGTCTTTATGGGAGCTCATCGGCACCAGCGACGCGACCGAGCAGTGCTTGCAGTTTAGCAACTACACCGCCATGTTATGTCCCAAATCGTGGTGGCTCAGCGACCTATTTGGCAGCGGCAACGCCTCCATATCAAGCATCAGCGCGTTCATGGATCGTGGCTTCGCCAGCTTAACAGATCAGCTGCGCACAATCGGGACGGACTGGGAAAATAACCTCACCGTCGTCACCGGAACCGTATACGAGACGGACGTGTGTGTGCGATTTCGTTGGACGTGGTTAGTCTACCCACTCGTCGTGGTAGTCGGGACATCAGTGCTGCTGATTTCTATGATGATCTCGTGTGCGAGTCCTGTCTAGTTGTTGTCTATATAGACCACCATCATTTCCAGTCAGCTGGGAGTGGTCACTCCTTTTAGCTGTTTCATATCTCGAGCTCCGGCTTGTGGGGCTTCAAGAGGGAAGTCGTTTGGAAGTCCTCGGTACTTCCCTTTCTCTTCTACGGCCTGGAGGAGAAATACAGGAAACATGATTCTGGGCTTGTACCTGAGGCCGAACTGAGCAGGGCAGCAAGAACCGTGAATGCTCGCTTTGACTCCGAAGAAAATGGATGGAGGTTGCATGGCGTCACAGGTGGGAACGCAATCCCGACCTCTGCATGAGCATGGTTCTTGGTAGTTGATAGCAAATTGTGAACCGTGTATACCCTCAGCTACGGGACCTTTTATCCTTGGTCTTTCTCTTTTCTCTTTTCTCTTCCCTTCTTCTTTTTCTTTCGTTCTAGGCAAAGACATGGCCGCTCCAGATCTGGTCTTGAAGTTTTTATTTCCATTTGAAAGAAGCATCACATGGAAAACATTCAACCCCGTCCACTACAACCTCTGCAGTGCAACTGAGGGCCATATTATTTATATTCTGAATGAAGGGTTATCCTTCCATGTTACAGCCTTACTTGACAGGACGACTCAGCTCCTCCAAAAAATCTAGGTGTATGCAAGGATATTGATATTCTTGCTGAATTCCATTAAGCATGTGCAGCCCACAACCAGGCCTTCTCATGGTCTGGATGTCTTCGCTTTCCAATGTAACATTGGACCAGCCTCCGTGATAATACACAGAAAGGTTCCCGACCGACTCAGCAATAGTTTTGCTAAATTTGCCATATTACTGCATCATTTTATACAAACATCGTACTATCTTCAGGATTAAAAAACGGTATATTTGATGCAAATTTCAGTCATTGTTCGTAGTTGTACTTACCTACCAAGTATTTGAAGTTCTGGGAGAGGCTCTATTGAGGGAATGCGCCACAGAAAGAAAAAGAAGAGAGCGAAGAAACAGCAGCCACGTATTGAACAAACCACCCTCTCCCAAACCATGTGCCCACTTGCTTGCGGAGAAGAACCGAGAGACGTATGATGGTGCCCTAACCCTAACCCTTCCTTGACTTGCACCATCCCTAGTTGTCAATGGTCCCTGCCAAAAGAGACTTTTAACTTTCAGGTAAACGCGTTTCCAGTCGCGCGCATCCTTTCGGTGCTGCTTTACGCCCTCCAGCCTGTCCTCATCAACTTTCATCACCACAAAGGTCGAAAACGATCGTGGTCATCCTGATCTTGCAGGAACATCATACTTGGCCTCACTACTCTCAAGTCGGGTTTGTTCCATACTTCAATTCTCTTAAAAGTGTGATCTATTGGTTGAGGAGCGAAACCGCGCTCTAGTAACACCACCTGGCAACACAAAACACCATCGAGGAAGAAAGAAAAAACCCCCTCGCATAAGCTCCTAGTGGAAAATTCGAGTACACACGACTCGGCAATGGGCTGCTCCGTCTTCCTTCACTTCTAGTGTCGCGACTCTACAGTGGGGTGTTGGACGTCGCCCTTCCCCTTGCAAACCCAACCAGAAACACCACAGCAGGTCGGCAAATTTGCAATGATCCAATGGATGTGATAGATCTTACGGTGGACGACAGCGACGTCGACATGGTGTTCAATGGCGGAGGGTCTAAATCGTCAGACGGACGACCCGATCCTTCTCTGTCGACAACAGCCCCGCGGTTCTCAGAGAGCCATTTCCAAGTCCACGAAGCAACCGCCCCACCGGGCTCTGAATCTGCCTCGCGTGCTTCTGGTGCTGGTACAGACTCCTTCCCGCCGTCAGACCCTCTTCTCGCGCCATCTGCACGTGTCCAGATGGGTCAATCCAGCTCAACCCCATCGAAGGCCGACCAAGTCATCAACCGTTCCGCCCAGGACAGCTCGGCCTTGTCGAGTCTCTCTCCTCAACCCTCACCCTCCAGCTTTAAGGCAGCCGCTCGGATCGCTGAAACCTCACCACAGCCGCTTCCCACTGGTGATTCGAAACTGAATACTCCTAGCAACACGCAGACACCGCGTAGGCAGGAATGGTCTCTTGAAAAAATCGAGAGCTCCTTGTACGATCTGGCGATAGAGCTCGATCGAAACCACGCCAAGTTTGTTCACTACAGCCTGAAACTTGCTGCCCGGCAGCCGCCTCCCAACCAGCGCCATGTGAGCGCCACGGCAGACCTGGCAGACCTCAGGCTGCCTGCCCTGACGAGTGAGACGCAGCAAAAGAACACTATGAAGGTCCAGCTGAAGCTTCATAAGGAGGACAAGACGGCTCGCGTCAACTCGGGCAAGAAGAAGGTGGCTTACGAGGTGACCTGCATCAAATCTGACCAAGAGCGCGTTCCGAAGTACAGGTTTCATCATGTCGAGGTCTCGCGCAACGTCCTCTCGCCCAACACGACCTTGAAGTTCATTCCCCATCTTCGGGACATGAAGGATAGTGAGGAGGAGCGTTACCGTCGCTGGATTAATGAGCTCGAAGCGATGGACGCTCAGTCTGGCTTCAATGTCACGTCTTCCAACAGGTCTGAGAAGGCTAGTAAGATGCTCAAGGAGGAGACGGCCGTCGAACTCTCTTTCTACATCGACCGCTGGATCAAGAAGCTCGGCTTGGAAAACTGCAGCAAGTCGAGCCTGGTTCGATACATGGCCGCCCAGTCGGAGAATAATGACAAAATGACCCCGCAGCAGAAGAACAGCATCATGAACATGCTCAGTGACGAGGTTGCCTCACCGCGAGCTGTCAGGGCTGCCAAGATGTTCACAGACGCATTCAACAACCTCTGGAAGCATACGGGCCTTACACTCAAGGATGTCCTTGTCCATGACGAGACTGTCGAGGCTGTGGTCGAGAACAAGAAACTAGTCAAGGACGGCAAGCCTGAGATGGAGAAGCAAGGAGCCGAACAGCTGTTGGACTCGGTAGAGAGCAACCTGCTGAGCTACACTATCCTGGGCTGCCTGTTCTGCTACTCGCACTCCTGTGAGCACGGCGATCATGACCGGGACAACCACCGGCGGCCGATTGGAGTCGAGCTGATTGGAAAGTTTGGAGGCTTGATGAGGGAAAATCTTGCCAAGTGTCTTGCGGCAGAACCCCAGGAAAAGGACATGACGGCCTGTCGCAACGACTGCTGGATCCGCTATCAGGATGGCAATCCTTACTTTACAATCACTCCATGGAGCGAAGACGAAGTACTGTTGCTTCGAGGATTATTTATTGCGTTAGGAGCCACAAACCTCCATCTGCCCTGCCTCGCCTCGACGTTGTTAGGTCGGTACTGCTGGGAAGCCTATCGGAAAATACTTCAGCTTGAGTTGGACGACCGACCTCTCCAGCAACTGGCCAACGTGTATCCGACTCAACCGAAAATAGTTAAGTCGTTACCATGGTACGACCGCTTTCGCAAGGAACTCAAGCAGGACTGGCAGGATCAACTCAACTCGCACGAGTTTACCCGCAGGGAGATCAGAGATCCGTGCAATCATGCGGGTCCCTGTGGAAAGGGCTGTCCATGCGTGGATGCCAAACTGCTCTGTGACCGATTTTGTCGCTGCACGGCCGAGAGCTGTGCCTATAAGTTTACTGGGTGTGCCTGTGTCTCCAACGGCAAGACTTGCCTGCAGCAGAGGGTCGCTGGCCGCCCATGTATCTGCGTTCAGCTGAACAGGGAGTGCGATCCTGTTCTGTGCTCCGGCTGCGGTGCTCTTGAGCGAGCAGACCCCAAGAATGCTCACGACTCAAACCTGCACGCAAGTGGCTGTCAAAATGTTGCTCTTCAGCGCGGAATATCCAAGATCGTCCTCCTGGGAGAGTCTCAGATCGAGGGCTGTGGTTATGGTCTTTTTACGGCAGAAGACATTGCTCAGGATGAGTTCGTCATTGAGTATCTTGGAGAGCTGATCTCTCACGACGAGGGTGTACGTCGAGAGGCACGTCGCGGCGATGTTTTTGACGAGAGCAGCCACAGCAGCTACCTCTTCACCCTTCTGGACTATGAAGGTATCTGGGTGGACGCCGCCATCTATGGAAATCTTAGCCGATATATCAACCATGCCTCCGAGCTGGACAAGATTGGCAGGAAGCGAGTGAATATTATTCCTCAGATTTTCTTCGTGAATGGTGATTTCCGGATCAAGTTCAAGGCCCTCCGAGACATCAAGGCTGGCGAGGAGCTCTTTTTCAACTACGGAGAGAACTTCCCAAATCTCACCAAGAAATTGCTGGATGCCAAAGATGGAGAGAGGAGACCGAAACGTGGCGGTAGCAGTGCTAGAGGAGGTCGGGGCGGCCGGGGTCGCGGTGGCCGAGGCAGGGGTAGAGGCGGCGTCAAATTCAGCGCCGAGACCAAGAAAGCACCTGTTGCGGCGGTTCTTGATGACGAGGAAGACGTGGCAATGGAGAACTCGACTTTGGAGGATCAGGACGATGAAGACGACGACGACTTCAATCCCCCGCGACGGGTGAGAGCCAAGCGCCCTGGAGCCGCTGTCGGCAGTCGAGGCAGCCGCAAGCGGAAGCGAGCGCTTGTGGAGCACGAGGATTCTATGGATTCGGATAGCCCTTTGCCTCGGCCTCGACCTCGCGCGAGAAGAGGTGGCCCGGTCAGGATTCGAAGTCGCGGTTTCACTAGACGAGGCGGACGAGGCGGGCGTGGCGGACGTGGCGGAGCACGTTCTACAAACATCAGTTCCGTGACGACGACGGCTGCGTTCTCCTTGAATGAGGATTTCGAGAGTAATGCCGACGAGCCCATGGATCCAGCTCCCCGCGAATCCCCACAGACGATTCTCGGCACTCCTAGTAGCAGGGCTAGTCGCAACAAGCGCCGCAGGCAAGGTGACTATGACCACGATGATGAAGAATTTAGAGGGGTCACCACGCGATCCGGTAGCAGCCACCACAGCCCAAGCCTTCGGAGTCCGAGCCTCAGGAGGCGCCCACGGCAGATCCCGGACTCGGACGATGAGATGCCGGACGCAGAGCACGAGCGCCATTTGCAGACGCCGACGAGACGCAGGATAGACACCTCAGAAGGCAGTAACGAGGGCAGCAGCTCATTGGATCGCTCTCAGCGCAGGAGACAAAGGCCAGCCAGGTACCGTGACTTGGAAGAGTAGGACCTTTCTAGTGAGCGTGATCACAGCAAGGCTGGGCAAGCTGTGAGCAAAGATAATCAGGCACCGGGCGCAACGGCAGTGCTCACTTTTCAGGCCCCAGGAACTGCAAATGCTGGCGAAGCAGAGCGAATCAACAATGGTCAGCCATTCTCACAAAGTTTTTACTCATCTAATGGGCGTCAGGGTTTTGGTGCAACAGTAGTCGCTGCCCCTACCGCTACTGAAGAAGGGGATACTGCGGTGCCGAAGACAAAGAAAAAGAGCAGCAGTCGCCCAGGCCAGCCCCGCGGATACCCCTGGGAAGAGTGCGAGTCCGAGCTTCTCACGGCTCTCCGAGCGCAGGGGGTGAGCTATGTGAAGATACAGGCGCGGTACTTCCCGGCCTGGTCCGCAGTAGGCTTGACTTATAAGTTCAAACGCCTAACGCAAGACCACCCCCACTTGAGGGCGAGACTTGAGCAAGTGCAGAGAATGAACGAGATTGCGCAGGCTAGCGTGGTCGAGCGCGCTGCCGCGGCCGTGGCTGCGGCGACGCGTCACCGCAGGGAACTCAGGCCCCAAGATGTGCCGTATAACGCCAGCGGCGAGGCTACTGAAGACGATGGTGCTCTGAGGACGCTGACGCGGAGGACACCGCTGTAGACGCATTCGTGGAGCGGCTTCAGGACAGACTTGAGCCAGAAGGTGGCTGAATAATCTTGCCCCATACTGAGAAGTGAGGAAAAGGTTGGTACTGGGGCAATGACGAGGAGCAGGAAGGAGGAAAGGAGAGGAATTGAGACAACATCAAAACATGAGTCCCAAATAATAAATCATGGGCGACCAAGTCGTTCGCAAAATGTATACCCGTGGACCCTGGTCAGTTTCCTTCCCGCCCACTACTCCGTCCCTCCGTAGTGGGTGCCAAAAATGGTGTACGGCCAAAAATAGTGTACATTTCAATTCTTTCTTCCCCTCCCTTTCTTCCTCACATCCTCACACCCTCACAACCCCCCCTTCTCGTCGTCTATCGCTATGGCTTCCTCTTCAGATTCTGAGGCTCAGGCTAACACTGTTAAAACGTGTGCAGAATCCGCCAGCGAGTTTATAGCCCTCCAGGCTCGTGAAGACGCTGCTCACAAGGCTTTCGTAACTGCCCTCAACGCGTGGAAGGCACATTACGGTCGCTATCGCTGTACCAAGCACCCTGAAGATGATTCAGAGCTTCATAAGCCCTCAAGAATCTCGTTGCACTCTTTTGCTTCGCATACGCTATACAGCGTAAGCGGCCTTAACAAGCATATCTACAAGCTATGCAATTCAGGCCTTCCTGCCTTGTCAACGAGATCTCGAGAACGCCCTCAGTACCTCGAGCTCTGGAAGAATGAGGCCCTCGTCAGATATATAATAAAGCTTAATCGTAATATTTTTTCTTCTCTAAAACTAATGCTTATTGCTACTGCTAATACTATGCATACGATGCGCTGGAAATCGTCTGTTGATTCTCATTTCTTGCAGCAATAGCTCAACAAGCATTCAGAGCTTAATCCCTCGCTCCTCAAGCCCGTTAAAGCAGCTTGTTAAGGCTTTAAAGCAGCTATATACGATCTCAACAGCTTTTTTAACAAATACGAGAGTGCTATTGCTGAATACAGCCTCATGCTATTTGTATATGGAATGCTGATAAGTGTAGCAATCGGATTGGCGTTTTAGCTGGCTGTATTCAATGCATTATTGTTGCTAAAGAATGGAAGTTGAAGCCTGAGGTATATAACTTTAACAATCGAGAGTTGATAATCCTTATCAGCTGTAGCAATGCTATTAGCAATGCTATTCCAGCTTACTGTATCTTCAAGCATTAGCTGAATTCAGGCTGAGCTAGGATATCTCTTTACGAAGATATTCGCTTTAACAAATCTGATATAAGCTTTTCAAATGCACAGATTATGCTGTTCTGAATTCAGTACTTCAATCAGCACTTCTTTACTTATTATACAGATCTGAAAAGGCTTGGATATACATTGAAAGAGTAGTTTGATATTGATAGTACTCAGAAATTCAACTAGTGCTAGAAAGATGATCCTAAGGCAATAGCTTCTGATTAATATGCTCAGCATCAACAGATCTATTGCTATCTGATTATTAACAGCTTTTCAGAGCATTATAGCATCAATATTCTGGATTACTGCTATTGCTTTAATATTCTCATAATCTTCCTTTCTTCTTATTCAATGCATCTTCTTTAGCTAATGAATATAAGTATTTTTCAATATCTGAAGGCTAAATATTGCTAGATTCTAACAAACAGAGTTAGATGTGGCGATTTGAGCTTTATAAGAGATGATTTTGTACAGAAAGCTTTACAAGTAAGTGTTTTGTTACACTATTATTTCCAGTACTAACCTTGCTTTGTTGAACAAGCTTACAATCAACTCTGCGTTTATAACAAACCATATCCTCAGCAGCTTTGTACGATCAAGCCTCTAGCTGCTGAATTGCCATATCATCCTTTCAAACCTAACCAGCAAGCAAAAAAAAACAAAGCATAATAAATACCCTGATCTCCTTCCAGATATCTCGATAGCAGCAGATGTCCAGAGCTTGCAGACTGCAGCTAGGCTGCTGGATTATTATGCTGAGTTACTATTCTCAGATATATGCAAGAGCTTGAAAACGTTGGATATAATGGCTACAGAATCAGTTCTTCTCAAGGATAAACTGGCATTCGACAATCGAGATAAATCAACAAGGCTGATAGCATATCAGGATTATTACAGAAAGAAGTACATCAAGCCAGATGGACAAGTAATGGATAATATTTCTATTGGCGATCTACAGCAATGAAATGCTTAAGACAAGGAAGAGAGCTGTCAAGCTGAGATATAGAGGATGGCTTGCATCAAAAGGCATAAGGAGAATAAGGCCAGAAAGGATAAAGCCTAGCGAAAGATTGCAATACGAAAAGAACAACAGACAGCTTGGAAGGAGGCTGGCCAACGGCACGAGGAACAGCTCATCCTCTTCAGAGATTGGCTAAAGATCTATTGCTCTGAAAGCCAGTTGGATACCCAGGAAGAAGAGCCAAAGACTCCAGAAGGCCAGATTCTTCCTGAACTGCCACAGGCTCTCGAGATCGAGGATAAGGACAGCTTTATTCCTCTATCCAGCAGCAGCGATGTGGAAATATCTGGTCTAGAGCTAGCCTTAGACCACCCTCTACGAGATATCGACCCAGCATTGCTTCAAGCAAACGGACAGATATATACAGCGTTGCATGAAGCTGAGCCAGAGGATGAAGAGATTAGATACAGCGATGAGGATATCGACGAGAACATCAGCAATGAGGAAATATCCTCGTCGCCACCTTTGCCCAAGGGGCAATAGATACAAAACACCAAAGATTTGTTTACTTTTATATCGCATACATCGTGAAGTCGATATCTCAATGTTGAATCATTGGTAGAGGAAGTCAATTTGGCTGGCAGCCCCATACAAATCGAATTCTTCCAAAATGTACACTATTTTTGGCCGTACACCATTTTTGGCACCCACTACGAGGGACGGAGTAGTGGGCGGGAAGGAAACTGACCAGGGTCCACGGGTAGTCATACTGAGGGGTCGAAGCGTCGTGGAGACTTCAATCCCCATGACGGGGGCCAAGCAAAAGGAGAAGGAGGCTCTCTCTTCTGGGGGAAGATTAATATCGTTGTGGCAATGATCGATGCCTTCTCCACATTCTACAACCCCCCGTCAGACACATTATCAAACCTTCTGTTCGAGAACTTGATACTACCTACTGCCACTATGACAAGCATGGTGATAATGTACAGGGGTATACTTACGCTGAAGCGAGTCTTTGGCTTGTAAAGAACACCCCAACATGTAGAACATCGAGACGACATCCCCTGAGCGGTGTAAACGTGCTTTTTTTTTTCCAGTGCCAACTTCCTTCTCAGCTTCACCTCCCCTCTCGTTCGCAAAAGCTTTATAAGGCGCCTGCATTGCTTTGTTCGAGTAACGGAAGAAGTATTGGGTGTACAGATCAAGTTCTCGTAGTAAAGAGAGGACGCATAAAGAGGGGAGTTCTCTTGATTTTTTTTTTTGATTTTTTTGATTTTTTTTTTGGTTGGTCTGATAGTGGACCGTATTCAAGCTGAGAAAGGACAAAACACAAGCAAACGCATGCCCCGTATCCATACAATCCTAATCTCATGGCGTGTGATCGTTGGGCAGCCAGATTTTAGGACGGACGTGGTCTTTCCTTCCTTCCCACCTGGTCCCGCCAAACGCCTGGCATTGAAATCTTTCATGTCATATGTGCGACCCATCATTCTTCTGTTCCTCCGTGCATGATCATCTTTCTTTGCATGTTGTCTTGTCTCGTTCTCGCCCACCCCAACCATGCACGACTTTTTATGCTCTGCAGGCTCCCACGTCGATACCGAAACCACAATCCTGTTACGAGGCTCGGTTCTTCGTCTTAGACCCTGGGCCCGCGTGTAACATTGCCCGTCGGCGGGGGAACTTTCCTGTCTGTGTCACACTGGACGCATTCATGCGACCAATTGGAGCAGGATTGTAATGAACAGCGCAACCTATTTTCCCAATGCTGTATTCCTTGCCGAAGAAAAATGATCCATATCCTCCCTCCTCTTTATTTCTGACCCGGCTTATTTCAACCAGACGTCATGTTTTCTTAAGTAACGACAACAGACTTGACCTTCTCTTTTATTCTTCTTTTTCTCTTGAAAGTCTTGTACCGGCACGAATGCGGGTAGTGTCCTTGTGTACCACAACGTGTACTTAACCAAGTACAGCAACAATTATCTCGATTATGGGTGAGTTCTGCACGTCTCAGCTCCAGCTCCAACGCCGTGAGCGCCCCTAGACGCTCTGAGGGTATACGTTTGCCGGCTAAAAGAAATAGACATTAGCATTAGATCTCTCTGTGTGAAGAAGATGAGTAGTTGGACATTGTGTGAATACGTACCGGGCTGTTGAGCATCTGTTGCCTTCTGTTTCGTCCTTTCTTGATATGGCTCTTGAGGGCGTTCGAGTCGAGGGGCTTCAGCAATTCGAAGCTACACAAGAGCTCAGAGGAGACAGACATGACGGCTCCCCAATTGTCAAACTCGCCGCAATACTGTCGTGGGGGAGAAAGAAATCAGCTCTTGGTCTCGGGACGCGCAGGTGGCCACAAACCGAAAAGAAAGAGAAAATAAGAGAAAAAGAGTCCAACTCACGTTTGGTGCACTAAAAACAGTCACTAGCACCCTGTCGGTGAAGAATTCGTAGCCGTCCTCGACCACCATGTGTGCTCGACAGACTAGATCAAAGTCGTGCGTAGTCAAAAAGTCCGTGATGACCTTCTTCCCGAAACAATAGCTCACGCCCCTTTCGTTGGCTTCCCAGTCCGATTCCATATCGGCGGGGTCGGACCACAACAAGTCGTTCAGCAGACCGTAGTCGGGGACGTCTGTGGGCCGTGCAATGTTACGGATGTCGTCCATGTCCCTGAGGGCCGGGGACAGGCCGCCGTGGACGCAAAAGATCTTGCCGGCGACGATGGAGGCGATGGGAAGGGTGTTGAAGGTATCGATAAAGGTCTTCCAGATCTTGACGTTACACCTCCGCTTGCACTCGTCGTAGAAGCCGTAGACGCGGGTGACATTGGCACACTCGTGGTTGCCACGCAGGAGGAAAAAGTTCTCGGGAAACTTGAGCTTATAGCACAGGAGCAGCAGGATGGTCTCGAGGGACTGCTTCCCCCGATCGACGTAGTCGCCCAGGAAGAGGAAGTTGGCAGAGGGCGGGAAGCCGCACATCTCAAACATGCGGATGAGATCTGTATATTGCCCATGGACATCGCCGACGATCTTGACCGGGGCGTCTAGCTCCAGGAGAGCAGGCTGCGAAAGGAAAACCTCCCTCGCACGTTGACAGATGGCCACGATCTCTGCATTCTTGAGACAGACACTCTTGGTCACCTTGCCGGCGTACGCAGCATCCAACAGCCTCTTGATGAAATCATCCAGGTCGATGTCCTTGATCTCACTCATGGCCACGCTGCCGGCCACCTCGTCCCTTGGCGACGCAGCACCCCCCTGCACGGTGTTGTTGACGGTGTTGTCGCGCCTAACTAGGATGGGCTGGCCCGGCTGGACGGGTTCAGCATTCGGGTTGGGCACGCCCGTGGGCGGTGCGTCCGAGACGTGGTCGACCTCGCCTGACGCCTGGGCAGCGCTGACATCATGCTTGCCTGACATGACAGACGCCGACTGTATAGGGGACGGGGGCGGTTGGGTGTCGTCCAGCGGGGAGGTCACGGTCGACATGTCGGGGGAGCTTGGGGAGGCGGCCGTTATGGAGGGGTCGGACGACCTGTTCCTAGAGTGCCGTCCAGACCTGCCCGACCTGATGGTCTCCGAGTCCGACCTGTCTGCATCGCCATTGGACAGCAGTGCAGACGTCCGCGGGCTGTCATTCTTTCCTGAGCCTGGTATCTTGGACCGCAGGGCCTTGAAAGATCTCGTGGAGTCCTTGGTGTCGGACTTGCTGAAGGAGGGCAGGGACTGCAGGCCGTCCGGGCCAGCCGAGCTGCTCGGCCTGGAGGTGCCGCTGCCGTCCTTGGATGGCTGATTACCCATCGGGCCGCTATGAGGTTCGGAGGGAGGGCGATCTATCGGTTGGTCGGTCAGAAAAGGATGCGATGGGAGGGGTTCGGCAGGCTAGAACGGTGTGCGCGTGGGAGGTAAAGTGGTCTCCTTGTTTGACGATGCCCACAATAGCCTGTCGCTGCACCCGTCTTCGCCGGTTGTTTATTGGTTGTTGTCTTGTGACCCGCTCTGGCAAGGTGGTGGGTGGGTGCTAAGGAGGATGGTAGAGTCGGACGAGGACAGCCACGACGCGGGTGGCGGTGATGGGTCGACGACGGCTCTGTATTGGCTCCGTGGCTGGTGATTTTGAGCTCGAGATCGTGGGGAAAAACAGGAGGAGAGGATTGAGGCGGGGTCGGAACGGCGCGGGACGAGGACGTGAAGCTGGGCTTGGTCGAGGAGGAGGAGGGAAAAAAGACCTCTCGCAGATTGTGTGTAAGGCAATGAGGTCAGAGAGAGACGCCCGGCTTGGCTTGGCTTGTTGTGGGGATGGCAGGTGGTCTAGATCAAGGCCAAAAGAAGGGTGGCAGAATAGTCAGCCTCGCTCGGTACGGGTGGACTGGTGGGCTCGGAATTAAGGTGGAGGAGAAGACGAAGGTTCGTAAGGAAAGGTGCGAGGCGCAAGTGTAGCGGGGCGAATGACGATGGACGAGGGTCCTGTACGTGTGTGTGTGGTTGGGCCGTCTGTGTGTGAGGCTGTGAGGAAAGAATGGGTGACGGCGCAGGCAACAAAAAGATGTGGGTCGAAGATTTAGGCTGGCACCACTCAAAGCCCACTGAAACGGATCTAGACTAGCCTCCCAATCAAGTCTCTTGCTGTCAATAAGAGAGGTAGCAGTCGATCTGGTGTGCCGGAGGAAGTCTGGGAGGGACAGGAAGAAGAGCAGACGGAGGAGGAGAATGACGACGACAACGAAGAGGGAGAAGAGGAAGAGGATAGAGAGGATAGAGAGGAACAGGAGGAGGAGGAGCAGGAGCAGGAGGAGGGGGGTCAAGGACAGGGGGAATTACTCACACAACAAGCAAGCTAGCTCAGAGCACCCAAAAAAAACTCGCAGAGATGTATGTTGTTTAGTGCAAGAGAGAGCCGAGACCAGAAGCTGGCCGACTGGTTGACTGGGTAGGTCGGTTGGATGTGTGCGTGTGTGTGTACGTAGCAGGAAAGGTCGAGATGACTTCGTTTGTATTTTTAGAGGCGGGTAGGAAGTAGGTAATCAAGTGGGCGGGCGTGCGTCTGTTTCCTGCTAAACAAGGAGCGAAGACGAGAAGGAACTATGTTTAGAGGTTGAAAGGCGCGATCGGGGGTCGGTGCTTCCGGATCGAGAAGAGGTCGTCTTATTATTAGTTCAAATCAAGATGCTCTCTCTTCTCTTTCGTTCTGTCTTCGCACATACACACCCTCATGAGACTAAAACAAGGAACAAGAAACCACCAGAAAACCAGAAAGACACCCAAGACAAGCAGGTAAATAGATGGATACTACTGTACAGACACCCTTGCCAATCAAGTATGTGGTAGACCCAGTCTCAGAACAGGAACTAAGAGGTACTTGATGTCCTTTGTTGGCAAAAGGCGCACTCAAAAGAAGGAAAAACGAAAAACGTCCAATGAATCACAATGATGAGCTTGTGTCAGGCGATGACGATGACCACCTGATGCAGGCAGGCGGACGCGCGCACTTGAGAGTGGTATGCATGGAACAGCAAGCTGCCTTGGTCTCTCAAGACCCTCCCTCAGTAGATACAATGCCGCTGTGGTTCAGGGGCTCTTTGGCCTGCCCGGTTAGGTGATAGATGTTTATTCAATGGTATGGATATGCTGGTTTGAATGGATAGATAGTGAGTGCTTGGGCTCACAAAATGGGACACTTCACATTGTACGGCCTCTTGGCGGCCGCCACGGTGCCTTGGGCAGAGCTTACTTGATCGGCTTTTAGATATGATAAAAACGAAGATAGAAATCGATATTGACCAGTCTGAACGAGTCAGCCTTGTGCATCCAGGTCAAGCCCTTGTGCTAGACATCAGGAGTTTGACTGTGCTTTTTCCTTTCTTGTTTGCCTTTCTTTTTGGTCTGTTAAAGTGTTCAAAGCACCGTATCTGTCCTGGACCTAACGACATTTGGTCTTGGTTGGTCAGGGACATTGTACAGTTTGGCTATGTATTATGGTAGTACACAGCTATGTAGTGTAGTCGCTCAACACTGCAGCTAACCCCAGACCCACTGGCCACAGGGCTCTAGATCCACCACACCACAACCTATTGGGTCCTGATAATACCTGGGAACAGCCTGTCCAAGTGCTTCTCACAAAGTGCTGTACACAATCATAAACGCTCTTATCATGGATTGCTCTTCTTTTTTCAGACACTGACAGTCAGTCTCCCTTCTTTCTCTACCTCTTACACAAATCAAGTAGTATATAACTGCTTCATCACTATCGTCGAAGTTGATAGAACCGGATCGCCCGTTTCTTGGCCATCACCATCCCCATTCTTTCCCCTTTTCTTTTTCCTCTCTCTTCCAAACCTACAAAGTGATCACCCATGCCAAGGGCTCCTACTGTCTTGGCCCACGAACACAACCCGAAACACCGCATAATTCATAATGACAAAATTGAAAATCAACGGGGAATGGTTCGCTACTGTGAAGAACCTGCTTTTGCTTGTTGGTCCATTTTTGTAATCTACTGTGTTTTCAAATAATCTTTTTTTTAAAAAAAAAAAAAAAAAAAAATCCCAAGAGCCTTCTGCTGCTGGCGACAGCCGAAGGGGGAGGGAGGATGGTATGATCCTCGAGACAAGAACATGCAGAAGACATGTGGATTCTGTTTCAAGGAGAGAAAACCCATTCTTTTTTTTACTTCTCCTGGAAGTTACACTATATGTGTATCTGTCTGATTTTCTTATACACTGCTGATCAAATTATATTCTCACGTCAACTGTATTGTTGTTGTCGTCGGAGAAGGCAGTAGAAGCGAGCCATTGTGCGGTGATGGCGGAATTGTAAATACCTTCGCTCCCTCTTAGGAACACACGGATACTTTGTCAACGGGAAGCACAGATAGAGCATTTTGCAAAGATGTGTTCAGATACTTCGTAAAGAGCTTTCTCTGTCTTACCTACACTACAAGCTCCAAAACTCCATCCCAACCCCAACCACCACGATTCCCCTCCTCCCCCCAGACGCACCCAGCACCATCGCCACATCCCCACAGTCCGCAACACTACTATATCTGTCCTCCACCAGAGCAACCTTCCTGACCTTCCCTCGCTCCTCGACATCAACCCGCCAGGCTTTCACACGCTGGTCGTTGCTCGCCGTGCACAGCTTTACCCGGTATGCGCCGCTCCCAGCCGCCAGGTTGTCGAGGCCCGTGATGCACAGCCCCGTGATGGCAGCCGCATGCGTACCGTTTGCGAGAGAGCGAGAGGTGACGACGTAGTGTCTGGCCGTGGGGTCCCATTCCAGGTGTAGATGACCAATGGCATTGTCGTCGCCACCTGTCAGAACAGCGTAGAAGGAGGAGGAGGAGGAAGAAGTGGGTTGACGTCTTTGAGCTCCAACGCCGTCGTCCTCGGGAAGAGAAGGAGAAATAGGGACTGCATCCAGCGCCTTGACACCGCTCTGGTGCAGTCTAAGCACCTCTGTCAGGGCAAATTCGGCCGCAGCCGCAGCCGTACCCTCCGACGTAGACGCTGCAGACATTTTCCACAGTGCAATATGTCCATCCGTCGAGGCCGTCAGGACATGAACCTCGGCGGCCGCATCCGTGATCCTCAGGTGCCGAATCTGCATCAGGCACGCACCTGTGTATCTGCCCCTCGCCAGGAGCCTGAACCCTCCGGTCTTAGAGTATCTGTAAGTACGCAGCGTCGAGTTCGAGAGTGCCAGGGACAGGATCAGGACCTCTTCTTCGTCCTCCTTCAGCTCATCATCATCATCATCATCATCGCCCAGGGTGGCCTGTGGCAGGGCCTCGACCTCGACATCAAAGCTCGTGATCCGGAGGTCGCCGTCCTTGGTCTTGTCCGGATAAACCCCCTCGCAGACCACAGCGAGCCCCCCATATCCCGACCTACCCAGCTGCGTGACCCGCCAGATAAACAGCTCCTCGTTGCCGCTGCTGCTGACCAGGTACTTCTCCCCAGCCCACTTGAGACACTGGATCCCCGTAGTATGCCTCTCCACAACAGCAAGACACGACAACGCCGTCTCGCCTGTATCATCTTCATCCTTATCATACCTCCATATCCGCAGCGTGGTATCCTCCGCCCCCGTGGCCAATAAGCCCCCACCAGCCACCGCTGCCACAGCCTTGATCTCCCGCCCGTGCCCACCACCCTTGACCACGCGCCGCGGCAGAGCCGCCTGAGAGAACACACACGTGCGCGACGCCTTGGTCCATACGAAGGATAGTCTTGCCGGGTCGGAAGGGTTGATACGGTGTGCGAACGACCTATAAGCGCCGCCGCAATCGACCCGAGCTAGTTCGAGCTGGCGGGTCTCGTTCCAGACGACGAAGTCCCGCGAGCGGAAGCCTGCGAGGACGAGCTCGGGAGGGGAGGACGAGGAGGATGTTGTGAAGAGGGCGGACTCGATGTTGGGTCCCAGAGGCGGAACGGCCTCGTGGCGGAGGTGTACTACCGGGTTGGCGGTAGTGGTGAACTCGTAGATCCGGTAGCGACCATCACGGGAGGTGGTGAGGAAATAAGGGGACGATGATGACGGGGTGCCGGCTGGTGTTGTTGGTGGTGGCGGGAGGCAAATAATGGAGGAGACTGCGTCTTTGGTGAAGGGCCGGTCGATGCGGACTATCTTTTCGAAGGTCGTGCTGCCTGTTGTGGTGTTTGCAGTCGTGGATGACGATGATGGCCTGTAGAGCAGAAGGGCCCCGAGGCGTGAGCCCAAGATGAGGTGGCCATGGCAAAAGCCTACTGCTGTGGGTGTGAAGCCTTTTTCCAGCTCGATTGTGTATTCTCCCTGTAGGATATCATCCCTGTCCGAGGTGAGGTCGAGCACCAGCAGGCTGACATGCAGACTGCCCATGGTTAGGACAACAACTGGTGTGAGATGTGACTTGCCGAGCCCCTCAGAAATTGACACCAGAAGGTCGTCGTCGCTAGGTAGTGGGAACACATCTGCAATCTTTCTCGCCATCTTGCACACCAGCTGAACTTGTCCGTGCCGGTACCTGTATAACCCTCCACTTGCAGAGCCCAGGAGAACCGTGTCCTTGTCGGGCTCGCCCACGCTGCGGACGATCTGGTACCGTCGCAGGTCGTCTTGTATTTGTATTGGCATAGGCACTCCCGTCCATTGTACCTCTTGGCCTTCATCCTTCCACACGCCGTGGAAGATGCGCCCAGCCGGTGTCGTAGCGATGATGGAGGAGTCGGACAGTAGAGCATACATCATGAAAGGCTCCTCCTCGTCTTTCACAGAAGTCCTCTTTCCTTTGGTCTCTGTTGCGACAGCGTGTGATGCACCCTCAGCGTTCCCGTTCTCATCCTCGGGCACGCCATCACGAGTCGGAAACTGCCGCGCAACTGCTGAGCCAGAAATGTCAAGCAACACCGAGCGGCCGTCGGATTCGCCCCCATACAGAGAGTCTTCCACGATGTTGATCTTGCCATCACTCCCGCCTGTGGCGACAAGCACCTTGGCTGCACAAAGCCTTTCCTTCTCCTGCTCCTCCTGCTGCTGGCCTAGGACGGCGCTTGACCAGATGTGCTTGCCGCCGTGCCTATGTATCAAAGCCTCATGCGTGATCTCCACATCCAGACCATCGTCGGCACCATCACCGCCACCGACATCAAGCCGCCACCTCTGCGCGGTAGCATCCTCTCCAAACGAGTACACTGCCATCCTCCTCCTTCTTCTCCTGCTGGTGCTACACCTCCCTCCTCTCGCCGGCCCCAGCATCGGCGCAAACCGCACATTCCAAATCCTCGAAACATGACCCATGGCCACAGCCAGCGGCATCGACGATACATGTCTTGAGCAAGCTTCAAGATCAGACGACCCTTCGTTCTCCCCAAATCCCGTCTCCCTCGCCTCAATCGCAGCGCTCCTCGTCGCCGCACCCACCATCACAGTCCCACCGTCACCACTACTCGCACTCGCCGTGGTGTCCGAGATATCCCACACGCGTACCGTGCGGTCGTCGCTACAGCTGGCCAGCAGCCTCGCCGGCCTCTGCCGCGGTTTCACCTTCCTTTTATCGTCATCCTCCTCCTCCGCGGCTATGACGATGTCTGGGGATATGTCCACACCAAAGATACTTCCCTCATGGCCTGTCAGCACGTAGAGAACCTCCACCCCGTCGTCCTCTTCCTTTTCACCATCCCCGCCCACCCGACATCGCCACACCACGATCTCCCCAAACGCTGTGCCCGCCGCAACCAGCACCGAATCTTCTTCCTCCTCCTCCTCCTCCTCCTCCTTCTTTCCTTGGCCTTCCTCAACCATCCACCGCAGCTGCGCCGAGTACAAGATCGGTCTCGACGAAGGTGGAGCCCGCACCCTGCCCCGCCGCAGGGCCACGACCCCCGGTGCAGGGTAAACTATCCGCAGCGGAATTACCTCGTTGTGTGCCGTGACGAGAGCCCCGAGCCCAGCCGTCCGAGGCGACAGGGCACCGGCGTACACCCAGTCCCCAGCATGAATCACTGCACCACCCCTGCCACCTCTGTCTCCTCCTACACCTGGCCGCGACGACAATGACGGCGGCAGAAGCTCAAGGAGCTGGGGTCGGCCTTGGGCCTCATACTGGCTCAGCAGGCGGGCAATCTCTGCCCCAGGAACGACAGCAGCCCACGGTCCACCCCAGACCAGGACATCTGGATCTGTGAGGGTGGTGGTGGTGGCGGTGGTGTCCCTCAGCGGAGAGGAGGCGCATACGCACACGCCCTGGATAGGCTGAGAGGTGAACACGCGAATCGAGGCGTAGAGATGGGTGTTGTGGGCGTTACGGATGTGGAGGTGTGTGTCCTCGCCTGAGAGGAGGTAGAGAAAGTTATTGTTGCTGTTGTCCTTGTCCTTGTTGGAGGAGGAAGACGAAGAAGACGAGAAGAAAAACTCTAGGGCGGTGATTGGGGTATGAGTGTGCACTCGTGAAAGAGGAAGGAGGGGTCCTGCCGGGCGGTTGCCGTCATGGTCGCTCATCGCTTGGCGAAGACCTGGCTTGAGTTGTTTTGAGCGTTGGGCGGTAGTTGACGTGTGTTGAGTTGAGTTGAGCGAGTGAGAATTCATTAAGGGTAAAGAATCTAAAATGTCGAGTTTTTTTTTCTTTCTCCCTCTTTCCCTTTCAAGGTTGTGGATTCAACACTCCGACTTCCTGTCTCTGTCACTGCATTGCAGATCTCAACAATCCGCAGCCGGGTACTGAGATATTCTCTTCGAAATGTACAACATGAACGTGAAATGCTCCATAAAGAAAAGAAGATCACAGCAAATTTTTAGAGCATTCTCGAGTTTGTTTTCCAAGCCAAGGTCCGAGATTGTTGAGCATTCGGGACGGGCCGAGACGAGCCCATCAATCATATCTTCCCAGGCGGCAGCATTGTCACAGAGCAGGCCAGTTCAAACAACGAGCAGCATCGTCACCGAAATGGAATAATCACGAGAAACGCAGCTCATGGTGACGTTTGTTTTTGTTTTATAAAATGTATGTCATTCCCTTTCCGACGGGTATCATGTTCCGTAGTAGCAGCAGTAATAGTCTTGTCTACCTGAACAACTTCGTGTCGTGATGATCCTCCCAAGACAGAAAAAAAAAAAAAAAAGAAAGAAATGAAGGAGAAGATAAAATCCCCAAGTGTAACAGCAGTATTGGTCATGTTTACCCTCCTCCCCCTCTTAACGCCATGCAGTGTCAACCTGAAGCCCAACGCATTCATTTTGCCCGTCAATAGATGCAGATGAAGATACCATGTCCCCCGTTCCAGTAGCCATTAGCAATCCAGTCCATGCTTGCTTCCAAACCACACATACATGAAATCAAATAGGCATAGCTTAGGCGGCTGTGTGCTTGTAAGGCTCGTATGCCGAACCCGTGTTGTTGTTGTTATAGTAGTGGGCAGATTCGCCTTGGCCGTAGCCGGCGCCAGAGTAGGCACTCGACATGGCTGGGACCTCGGGGTCCGCAAGGCGCTGGTAGCCACGGCCGCCCGTAACACCGCCCGTCTGGGCCATCATGGCGGCGTCGTTGTCATAGTGCTTGCGGCCGGCACCACTGCGGCTCCTCCTGTGGTGGTCAGGGGCGCAGCAGCAGATGGAGAAGGTCCAGAACAGCACGGCGACGATGATGAAGAGGGCGGCGAGCCACACGTTGACCAAGAAGTGCTTGTTGAAGGAGGCGGTGACGCCGTACTTCTTGGCGCTGCCCTCTGCCAGACCAACAACGACGGCGGCGGCACCCGTGGCCAGGCCGGCGGAGGCGATGACAGCCAGTGCGGCGACAACCGCGACGAGGGTGGCACAGATGGAGAAGAAGCGGGTGCAGTTGGCAAAGATGCCAAACAAGATGGTGGCGCCGAGGAAGACGAAGGCGATAATGAAGCAGATCTCGGTCCACTTGGTCACGGCAGCGAACGTGTTCATGCCATCCTTGAGCGTCGTGGGGATCGTCGTGTTCCCGCCCGTGGCGCTAACGACCGCCGAAAAGGTGTTTTCAAAGGTCTTGGTGGCATTGGTGGCCCAGTCAAACTTGCCCTTCTTGCAGTTCGTGGTGCCGTTGTTGCTGTGCTCGCAGTAGTTCCAGATGGAGACGTAGTAGGCGTCCGCCAGGCCCAGGTCCGCAGCCGTGATGTTGCTGCTCAGCAGGTCGTCCTTGATGGCAGACTCGGCATCAGCCACAGAAGTCGCCGTCGAGAGGGCCGCCGAGGCAGTCTTGAGCAGGCCGCTGAAGTCACTCTTGAGGTCCGAGGTGGCAGTGCCAGCATCGCTCTCGAGGGCGCTGGCCGCGCTCTGGACGGCGCTGCCGGCAGAGTCCCTCGCATAGATCGGAAGAGGCACACTGCGGGACTCGAGCAGGCTCGAGATCTCGCTCACACTGATCGAGAAATCGGTGGTGTTGATCTGGAATTGGTACGAGTCCTTGGACGCGATTCCTGCCAGGCAGGCCACCAGCAGAGTGATGATACTGGCGATTGTAAGTGCGAATGGCACAAACACGCAGACTATCCTTCCAAAGCCCATCTTGAAGAACTTGTATCTGTTTGTGTGTGTGTGTGTGTGTGTGTGTGTGTGTTTGTGTTCTGGTTTGTTGATGTTTATTCGTGAAGGCGCACGGGAGAGAATGTACGAGATGACGTCGCCCCTCTCTTGGTTTTGTCGGTTCCGGGAATATCTGGTGGACACGTAAAAACGGATTTGCTGGTAATGGCTTGATGATGACCCCAAAACCCAGTTGTGGACGTTCTGGTCGTTATCTTTTTGCTTGTTTCGTGTCAACAAGAGGAGAAAATGCAGGAGGAAAGGTAATAACGAGAGAACAAAAGAGCGAAGGTGGTCGGACGGTGGCAGATAAATAAAGAGAAGAAGGTCAGGGAGACCCAAGGCAGTCAAGTAAGCATGACAAGGTGGTGGTGGGCGGTGATGGAGTGGCAGGGCCCATGGAGGGGGCCCTGGGTACGTACCGCAATACTTGGCACCGTAGCGGGCTGGGCTGCCGCAGCAGCACTTCAGTTCACCAAAAGGTCAGGACACGCCTCCCCAGACAACGTCACCCCCTGTAGCCACAGCACCTGCAGGGCCGGGATGTACCAGAATACTCCACCCCTGGCCCGCTATTTTTTCACCTTCTCAGGTGCTTTTCTGTTACGCTGCAGCCGCAGCCGCAGCAACGCCCGCTCATAAACCCACAGTACTGTACATTGTGGAAATCTTAAAAAATCTGGGTGGCGCAGTCAACTTGTTTCTTGTAAAATGTACGATCTGATTCAAGATCCTCCTCAACCCTGCAACCTCGAAATCTCACCCGCCACAAGAGGCACGCGGCCGTCATAGCCCTTGTCTTCTCCAAAAGGTCGTTTGCAGCGTAGAATTCCCACAATCACCCCCGCGCCTCCCCAACCTCAACAACAGCAGGCAGGGACCATGCTTCCTAGCAATCTCGTTGGTCGTCGATGGGACTCTTCCTTCGGCGACGGTGAGGTCCTGGATGGAGTCTAGCTTCTGAAAAGCTGTCAGACGCGATGAGTTGTGGTGGTCTCAAGGTCCACCTGTTGGGTCTTCCTTCGGCCGCCCTCGCCTCAGCTCCAGCGGCGATCCGGCTTGTCGCAACGCTTGCCATCTCATCATCTCTTCCATGCGCGGCCACGTTGTGTTTTTTTTTTTTTTTTTTTTGGCTGCTGCTGCTACTGCTGGGACGGCATCGCTTCCTCCATCCTCCTCCAGGCTACAAGGGCCGCCAACCATCAAACGTGTCTTGCTAGGGACGAGACGGTCTGGGTCTCGACCGCTTCAACGAGCCATCATCCACAGCATCTGCCTGCTGTCCCTCCGTGGCCTGCTTGCACAAGCTGTCGTTTTCACTACAGTGGCCGCCTCTTCTATTGCCTGTGACGTCGCGTGTGCAACAAATCAGCTTACATGGTCAACTTCACGTTGGGTCTGATACGGGCCTCTCTCGCCTCGACCCAGTTTGCCGTACATAAGCAAAGCCAGCAGGGCTTGTCGCCTAATCTGTAGCGATGAAATCATCCTTGACAAGCCCGGATGTCATGAGCCGTTCAGGCGGACGGAGGATGGAGCAGCTAACAATGCAGACAGCGTCCTACGTGCGCCACAGCCAGATCCTGCTGCAGCAGTTGGTTGCTGCAACGCATCCATGAGGATCTTCCCACTGGGGCGCAAGATGCTGGTAGGCCAGAGGCCACCAACTTTGAGAGTGAAAGAGAGAACGTGAAAGTACAAAAACAAGAGGTCGATGGGATCAGCAACCTTACCCGGAAAACTCGGGACTGGGACCTATTCATACACGGTGCCTCCCTTCACTGTCAGAACGGACGCGGTGTGCATAAGTAGGGCCTCACCCCGCAAAGATTCCCTAGCCAGTGGAGTCGCGAGCCACGAGGCTGAAAGGGAGGCGCAACCAACAACAATCCATCCTGCAGGCACCGAATGGTTTTTACCTGGGTATTTAGCAGCCATGGACAGACAGTCTGTGAAAAATGACCATCACGAGATGCAATTGTTGGTGCCGATACCAGCAACGTCTCACAGAGAGATTGGCCCCCCCCCCCCCCCTCTCCCGTATTCTCGGCACTGAGATCACAGCAAGACGAGGTGGCTGGTGGAGAGGGGATCAGCCCTGATCGGCAGACGAGACTAACAAGTTATCCTAGTCGTGCCAGGCAAACTTGCAATACGAGCTGGTTAGTACCTCACAAACCACCCAACAGACCGCCCTTGCGACAAAACCTTGACTGTCTGTTTGTCTTGGTAGGGGGGAAAAAGGTTTGATGTCCCTCGCGACTCCGACTCCTCTCGTGACTCAGTTTCACCTTGAGTGCTGACCTTCAAAATTTCGAGGACTACGCAATTCCCTCCCCGCCGTCCGCCACATTACGACGGCTGGCTCTTTTAGTCCGCTGTCCTGGGGAGGCTGTGCAAAGGGAACCCGAGCTTTGCATAAGTCCACCCAGAACTTTCTGGCCCGGTAGGCTGGGGATCCTCCGGATTCGCCCAACCACATGGCTCCCTCCTCTTACTTGCAGGGGGACCGTTTTCTCATAGAGTTTTTAGCTTGTTTCTTTCCTTTTTAGCCCCTTTCCTCCAAAGCTTCTAAAAATAACAATCCCCTCAGGCTGGGCCCTAAAGTACCGGCCGACGCCAAACCTACCACTAGGACAAGGTTCACAACGCCTCCCGTCATCCATTTGACAACGGAAACAAGAGGCCCGAATTCCCACAGCACTCTACTACTACTACAGAGAGAGTAACAATACAGTCATGTCATAAAAGCTACTACAATGTGTAGTAGAGGGTCTGCGGCAGACCGCTCTGACCGCAGCCACATCGGTTTTGCGTAAGCCGAGTTTTGCTCTGTTGGCCGTTGGGCTTGGCTTCCTCGTGGTACAGCAGTTGGGCCTTCATAGCGGCTTTTCGCGCGCCTTGACTCGCCGTTTCGACTGTTGTTCAGTCGCCGTGGTCGTGAACCCGCGTCGGCCGATGGGCACACCTATCGTTGAGCGGGGCTTCAGCTACTCATCCAGACTGCAATCCTTCTCATTTTTTCCTTTTTTGTCTTTCTTCTCTTCTTTTCCTCTCTCCTCTTTTCTTTGAGCCCTTGGAAACATCATGATGCTCGCTCTGATTCTCTCAGCTGATGGTCCTCCAATCAGTCTACCTCCAGCCCATGCTCCAATGCCGTCAAGTGGGCATCATAGACCGTGTGGATATGTATATGAGATATGATTCCGATCCGGCATCCGCCTGGAAATGGGTCTTGTCGACCCAGTAAATAAACGTGCATGGTGTCACAATCAAGTGATTTCACCAGGAGAACTGCAGGGCTGGGAACGCTCGAGAAGAACCGACAGTTCAAACTTGATGTGGTTGAATACAAAGAAGAAGAAAAAATATACAAGGCATCATGTCCCGCCTTCTGGAAGCGGCGCTGCTTTCTGGCCCTTCCTTTTTCGACGGTTCTTGCGGCGATGATGCGGTCTCGGGAGGGGTTCCTATCAGGGAAATGGGCCTTTTGTTAGCCGTGAAGGTTGTATTGGCTCGCACTCTTTAGGAGTCGAGATGGGTGACGGCGAGCAGCTGATCAGGACAGGGCGACATCTCCACAACGAAGAGAATCAGTCGTTCAAGGTCCAGCCAACAATCTCCAGCAGCACAGCTGACGTCTTTTCAAGCTCATGGGGCCTTGTAGGCGACAGAGGTAAGCATACAATCAACCCTACGTCCGACCAGTCCTTCTAATGTGCTCAGGCTGTGTTGTTCATGGTCGTCCACCGTCCCTTGCGTGGCTTTCTTGCTGCATCAAGCACACAAACCGCCCCCAGCGCGAGGCGGCTACCTGAACCCCCCCTGCAGTATAGTTACAATCTCGTCCGTTTCAGGAAACTTCCAGCGGTCTGCACTAGGTAAGTCTACCAATGAGCACCCCTCAAAGCGAACACCCACATCAGCATTATGCACGTTGGTTCTCTTACCGAGATAAACAAACCATCATAGCACAAAGGGGGTTCATATGCGCTGTGGGTTGGGACATGGAGAAGAATGAAGGTGAAATCTGGGTAAAAGATCCCGTTGTTTTCCCTGCCACAATGTTGGCGTTACTTGCGTCGACACTGTCAAGGTCCTGAAGCTCCAAACCAAAGAAAAGAAAGAAAAAGAAATTCAGTGATGAAGAGTAATGAGGGACAATCAATAAACCAACTATAATCGATTAATCACGATGTCGTCTAGCGATTCCGATGTCTACATACCGGAAGACTGCTATAGTATGTGTGGTAGGTGCAACAAGAAACCCCTCCCCCCCCCCCCTTTCAACTGAAAGGCCATCATCATCGTCGCCGTCGCTGCCACCGCCTCCTCCTCATCAGACTGCAGGCACAAGGATTCGACTGACCAAGAGGCGAATACCTCCACCCACTCCTTCACAGACGTAGCCTACACATCAGCACAAGCGCAAGACCAGGAAGGTGACCTCGCCAACCTTTGCAGTCCCGAAGGTCCCTTCGTGGCCCACTACATGGCATGCGTGCAGTGCGATAGCGACAACGCGGAAGATTACGCCGCGTACTTTTCACCGTTTATATCGTCTTGCTCGAGCGCGTCGAGCCCCATCCCAGCGTCCGTGACGTCGTATATCGATCTCGATCTCTACGCCATCGAGACCTTCTACATCGAGGGCGAGGGCATCACTTCGGAATATGTGGTTTATAGCACCTCGACGGTTGGGACGGTCGCATGGGTATGTTGTGCTGGTGGGGAAAAGAACTCATTGTCCATCTGTTCCCATTTGAAACGAGGATGGTGGTGGTGATGATGATGATGATGATGATGATGATGGTGATGGTGGTGGTGGTGATGATGATTGGGGAGAGCTGACATACGGACTTGCCCAGAACTCTGTCCTCTACGAGGTTTCCGCCAACGGCCTGATCGAGTCGTACCTCCCCACCAGCGTCATGGCGCAGCTCATCAAGTCTGTATCATCGGCGGCGAGCGCCGCCAAGGTCACGGGGAATCCCACCGAGCTGCTGTACTCGGCACTGGAGGCGGCGTCGAAGCCGGCGTGGTTCACGAGCGCCATCCCGGCCTCGTACACGAAGCAGATCGCCACGCTCGAGCAGCAAATTGAGTCGGTCTGGAAGACGGCCATGGCAGTCACCATAACAACGTCTGCAACGTCTTGGTCAACGTCCTGGGTTAGTGAGACGTTGAGTGCCAGTGCTGTGGCTGCGCCTACGACTGCCGCAGCAGCAGCGAAGAAGTCGGCCAGTGAGTCTCCCAGGGTGCATACCAAGCCCCCCTTTCCTTTCCTTTGCTTTCTTTCTTTCTTTCTGGCGCAAGAGGACCACCGCATGTGCTAAGTATCCCTCCCCCCCCCCCCTCTCTCTCTCTCAGGCAGCAAAGCGTGGGTAGCAGGGCCTGTCATCGGCTGCGTCGCAGGCATCACCCTGATCATGCTCGGCATGCTTCTGTTCTGCCGCCGCCGGAAAAGAAGAGCAGCAGCAGCAGCAGCAGCAGCAGCAGGGGAAGAAGCAGCATCGAAACCAGACAAACCTGAGCTGCCCGCCGACCCCGCTGCCATCTACGAGGCTCCGGACGGCGCCGTCGTGCATGAGCTCGATAGCACACAGATATCTACGCCTAGGGTTGATGACAGCGAGGCGTGGAGGCAACAACGATCGCCTATTGAGCTGGATGGGGAGGCGACTGGCTTTCTCCGGGACAACAGGAGCAGCAACACCGAGAATGTACCTTGAGTGAAAAAAAGTTGGGGGGGGGGGGGGGGGAAAGGGATTCCGGAGCGGGGAGGAGGACAACTAAGGATGCCATGGTATCTGAAATACATGGTGGTGATGGGCGGTGGCAAACAAACAGCAGGGTAAGAGGGGTGTCTAGTCCCCTTCTTTTCTGTGCTGTTTATGATTGATCAGAACATATATGACTTGATGATGCCTAGGTTGGGCTCAACTGCTTTGAGGAGGAGGAGACATGGTGTTCAGATGGAATGGGGGACGGGCTTGGAGCAGGAGAGGTGGATGCCTCCTATCCTTTTTTCTTTTCTTTCTTGCTATAATATTTGTCTTGTATCTAAGAAGCTCTTTGTCTCGAAGGTGCAAATTCGAAGCGTCTCGGGAGAAGAGGGATGATACCCTGGGTTTTAAGGCCGACTTGTGGGGGGAGGGGCATCAAGCTCAGCCGACCAAGATAATTAATGCAAATTGTTGGCAAATCTTGATTGTAGTCCATATTTCTTATCACATGTACGTCCTAGCCAAGTCCTGATTCCCTATTCTACTTCAAAATTGTCACCCACCGACTTTGTACGGAAAAGAGAAAAATGTTGATGTTCAACTGCATATATTCTTCTGTAGAGCAGTGGCTGTCAGGTTGAGATCATTGTGGTAACAGGCGGGTGAGGTGAGACAGGCAATGTCGAACCATATTGGATGTCGTGCTCATCCATACTGCCACCAGTATGTGGTACAGCCGATAAGCATGAAGAACTAGTAGAGAAGTAGTGTATAGAGAACGTCTTGAGAAGATGAAGCTGAGGGCCATGTGTCACTGCCCCAAACTTCATTGGCAGTGTTATGTGGAAATCACTCAAAGCTGGGAGCAAGATGATCACACATGCAGTATTCAAGCAAAGATGAATAAGTAATTCAAACGGGGGACGGTTCAAGGACCCCAGAAAGTTATTCAAGTACTCTTTCACCCAATGTATCAATTTTTTATGAGTTCTTTTCTTTATGAAATACCCAAACCCAAAAAGAGAAAGGAAAGCTATGCCAACGAGATTCCCAGACAGGATGATTTCCGAAAACGACAGACACCGATGCCCATGCTTGCACATGAAATCTTTTTCATCCCAGAAGCGCCATCGCCATGCCCCTTTTCATGACATAATCAGATAACACACAAGACATAGAGAAGAAGATATAAAAAAAACATGAAACCCAGTTGAGACAAGATTGACAGAGAAGGGGGGGAAAACAAGATGAAAAGAAGGAAGAAACAAGAAAAGACTGCTTGAGAAATACCCGAAGGTTCCCTTCCCTGAACGAAAGACCCCGACCTGTGAAGTGACCAACATTCATAAAAATGCGGAGTACAATCTGAAAGAGGCAATGTAAATATAAAATACATATAAAAGAGAAGAGAGAGAGAGAGAGAGAGAGAGGAAGAAACGAGGGTGATTAGGTTGTGAGAACAAGGTGTGTGGATGTATTTGTGCATACACCTCAGATTGGAGTGGGATTCTTAACAATAAAAGGGGGGGAAAAAAGGAGGATGATTTGAAATCCTGTTGCACAATTGTCCTCTCCCAAACCCCTCTCTCTTGTCGATCCGATGGCGTTGACCGAGGCGCCACTCTTTCTTCTTCCTCTTTTTCATATTTCAAGAACGGCACATGCATAAAAGACAACAAATCTCTCCTCTCCCACTATCAAGGAGAGAAGAACGTATTCATGCCCTTGCCATAAAAAGCAGTCATCGGACTCTGCATGTCCAACGGCTGTGGCACCACGGCTTCCGGGCACACATCGTAGTCAACCAACGTAGTAGTCGACGACAGCGGTGAGGAGATGATCGGCGATAGTTCATAGGGCACGCCTGTCATCTGGGTCGCGCTGCTGCTCTTGGCCCAGCTATGTGCTTCGGTCGCTTGGTGGTGGAGTTGATGTTGGTGATGGTGGGCACTAAAGACCATCTTGGGGCCTGCACTCCATGGCGTGGCGTTGAAATCGTGAAAGTCGACACCACCGTGATGATGGTGATGGTGATGTTGATGATTGTTATTGTTGTTGTTGTTATTGTTATGAGGACGAGGACGGTCATGATGATGAGGAGGAGGAGGAGGAGGATGCTGGTGATGCTGGTAAGGATGAGAAGGATGATTTGGCTGGTAGGCGTGCACAGCCGGGCCTCTGGCGTGCTCCTCACGAAACCACTCGAGGTCGGCCTCGATGTCGCACAGCCGCAACGTGCCGTGGCCCTCCCACTGGTCAATCAGGGCGGCGATCCGTCCGAAGCCCGGCGTGTGGCCGCCGCAGTGCCTGGCCTTGAAGCCACAGCAGATGAACAGGTACGAGTGGATCAGCTCGTGCAGAAAGGTCGAGATGAGCAGCCGGCGGTTGTACGACGTGTTCCTCAGGATCGGGCTGCTCAGCACAATGAGCGTCTCATAGCCGTCCCTGTGCGGCGGGCTAGCCTTTCGCAGCGCCGTGGTGCCGATGATCTTGCTGCTGTCGCCACCTTGAGCACCTCCTCCTCCTCCTCCTCCTCCTCCTCCTCCCTGCGGGGCATCCACACAGCCCGAGGACCACTCCCAGTGGACTCGGTGCGACAGCCTGCCGTAAAAGAAGATCTCGTCGGCGGCGCTGAAGATGGACTCGAGGGCGGCATTGTCCAGCTCAAAATCGGTGCGCTTGTCCGCGTGCGCCTTGGGGTGAATCAGGGCGCGCAGGATGCGCTCGTGCCGCTTGACCTTGCCCTTGGCCCACTTCATGTGCTGTGCGACCCGGCTCGCCGCGTTCAAGTCGTCCTCGGGTGAGAACTCACAGCAGGACGACGGCAACGACGATGACGGTAGCTGCCCATCTGCGGCGGTGAGGATGCCACGGCCGGAGTCGGTACGCTGCATGAAGCAGGCGATAGGTACGGGTGATCTTGCATTTTCGCGTGGTGGCTGCTGGCTGCTGCTGCTGTTGCTGTTGTTGTTTTTATTGTTGTTGTGCTGGAACTCGTGGTGGTGATGGTGGTGTTGTTGGTGGCGACGCTGTTGTTGCTGTTCTTGTTCTTGTTGTTGACGTTGGTGGCAGAGCTGAATGTGCTGTAATTCTTCTTCATCTTCTTCTTCCCCTCCTCGTCCTCCTCCTCCTTTCGTGGGTGGTGGTGGTGGTGGTGGTGGTGGTGGCGGGCCGAATGCCGTCGCCGGTGTGCTTTCCCGGATGATGAAGAATTGTGGTTCCGGTGAGGGCGAGGGCGAGGACGACCAGCAGTCCCGCTCCAGTGGCGTGCCGCCGCCTCTTGCTACTCTGTCATGTCGTTGGCCCAGACCCCAATGTTGTAATCGCTGTCGTGGCAAGCAGTAGGAGGGTGGCGCCGTCTCGTCCGAGTCGGACTCAAAAAAGCTGTCGCTGAGGTATACCAGGGGCTGCTTGCCCGTCGCGGTGGTGCTTGTGCCCGACGGCCGGGCTAGCAAGAACCCATCCTCATCTGTGCGATCGATGGACTGGAAATGGCCCCCTGCGCCAATCCTGTGAGCCATTGAACATGCTGGGGGGGTGGAGGAGCAACAAAAAGTGACAGTCTCTTTGAATGAAACTGTCAAAATAAGAATAATAATACTAATCGAGAGTGCGGGCTGACAACCCGGTCCGCGCGGGTGTGAGAATGAGTGTGGGAGGAAAAGTGCAGACTGCAACGATATGAGCCTGGACAGACGTCGTGGGAAAGGGTATAGGGCCTAGTTGAATGGCCTGTCGTGTCTATGTCCACATACACACTCGCACACGCACATGGACAGACGCGCAGGGCACACACGTAGTAGAGAGAGACACACACGCACACACACTACGACAATAGATGATGTGCATAAAACCAGGATCAAATCAGCATGCCAGTGCCAACTGTTCCCCTGCCCCCTCTTCCTCTCAGCCGAACCAAGAGAGGAACGAGAGAAGAGTGACACCCGTGGACACACACACACACGCACACCCCACTGTCTCTTGTCTCAGTGGACGTTGTTGCGCCTCATTCTTTGTTGGCGCGTCAAAAACAAGGGTGTTTCCAGGTACGAAACAAAAAAGCTCAGGATGAACGTTGCAGGTCTGCTCATGACGAGAGCGAGAGAGAAAAGAGTAGAGCGCCCTTCTGTCGGAGAAAACGAGAATCCAATAAGATGAAAGAGGGCGGGAGTAAGGGAACACCCTGCGAGCCAAACATCCTCGCCGGTTTGCCTGTGTCTCGACAGGGCCAGCTGGGAATAAAATTTAAAAAATAACAACCAAAGCCCCACGAAACTTGGCACAGAGAGGAACCTACTCCCTCCTCCTCGCTCTTGTTTCTGATACTGGAAACCCGGAGCAGGCGTGGCCCGAACAACCCTTCGATCCTCCTCTCTCACAAAGGGAGAGCGGTGAGCACTCCACCACAAGGGCTGCGCGTCCCAATGGCCTGGACCAAAAATGGATATGGCCCCATCAAAAACCACCCCTTCGTGTTGTACCGTCTGCACACTTTTTGGCAACTGGGCATGGGGGTGGTTCCAGCCCATCAGCAGCCCATTGCACAGCAGCCGCTGTCAGAAATTCGCTGCAGCAACACTAAGTTTGTTGTTCTTTTTTGCCTCTTGGTCGGCTGCATTGTAACAGCAGCCCGCTGGCGGCGCTCGGCAGAGAACGGACGAGAAGAACCAGGAAAGAGAAAGAACACGATAGAGAGAGCGTGCCAACAACGCCACCCAAGGAAAATTGGAGACCCTGGTAGCCTTGTTGTGTAGCGGTGTCAATCTCCCTCCCTGTCAGCAGTGCTGGCCTCAGGTTGAGAGGCGTCCGCTCCTGGTCCTGAAGGCATGGCGTGCCGACCAAAAAAAGAAAAAGGCAGAGAGAGAGAGAGAGAGAGAGGGAGAAGTGAGGCGGGCAGATGCATAGGTGTCCGGCAGAGAAAACATTGGCGACGATCTCTGCGTGTGGGACGGTCACTCTGGTCATTCCATCCCATGCGATCAGGTCGTGATTGGTTGAGGCGAATTCGCCTTACTTTGGACAGGTTTGGTGGCGTTGATCGTCCACTCTTGCGACGTATCTCGCATGTGCCGGAGCAAGGAGGTGGCTATAATAGTTCATGCCCTATTCACAGGGCTTGCTCGATGCAGCAGCGCGCGGCCATTGGCCCCTAAAGTGTCCCAGATTCCACAGTGCTGCTGAGTATAACGGGAAACACAAAATACTGCAGTAGTTTCTCCAGAGGCTGTGACCAAGAGATGAAGTCGGGAACGATGGTTGCACGGCATACAAGTTGTTTCAGGGGGGGGCGGCCACTGGCGGCCCCTCAAGTGACCCACTCGATTTTTTTGGTAGCTCACCAGTACATGCACCTTGCCGCTGTACTTAATGTACTATGGTATGAACCGGTAGAGCCGCTGAAGGGGGGGGGGGGGTGGGGAGCCAAGTTCTCGATGTGCTATCGCATGGCCTGGCGAGCTTCGGAATGGGGAAATTGCATTGCCCATAGTATATATTTCCGATCATATGCGCGCTGTCACCATCATGTGGCGTGTATGTGTGTGTGTGTGTGTGTGTGTGTGTGTGTGTGTGTATGTGTCCCGTCTACACTGGCTTGACCGGGTCCACAGCCGAGCACTTTATGTCGTCAAGTCAGTCCACACCCATTATTTCATGGAAATGTCCGTATGATTCACGATGGTAAGCCTCGAGGGGCGATCTCCGCCTCGACATGTTTTGAATTTCCTGCTGGGTTGATCGATTCACGGTTGTGGCCGGAGTTTTCTAGCGACCCGTGGGACGGTCCTTTCGCGTTGCTCGTCTCGATGGTATGTCCCACGGAGGACCTGACTCGTATCGGTAGCCGATCACAAGGAATACCTGTACCAACATATATTATACCACAGTAGCGCCATCCTTGGCCTCGTTACGGATCGCTGTCAGACAAGGTCAACCAACGCTGGTATCTGCACCACCTCCTAGAGGAAGAATAAACCAAAGGCTGTTGTTGTGTTTCCCGAGGCGTCAGTTCTTGGCCTGTTGTTGCCTTGGAACACAATAGATGCCGGCGAACTACCTCGATCCTCTTATTCAGCCGCGCCTTGACGCGGGTCTCATGTGAAGCAAGGCATGGGAAATGGGTCCCGCTAGACCCCCAGGCCGAGATTCCGGACGAACCGGACGTCGTCAGCCTGCCTCTCTAGTGCTCGCCTCATATTCTCGCCGTGAATCCTTTCCTCGCTCTCCTTTTCTAGCTCTGCGGCCGACCTGGCTTCTTCCTGTAAACCCTCAGGGCCAAAGGCGGGCGAGGATGTGAACGAAACCAGTCCTATGTTCTCGCCCGTCCAGAAGAGCAGGTCATTGTCGTTCACCCTTGCAGTGGGCTGGTCTTGTGTCGGCAGTAGCTTCCTCGCAATGTCATCGGATCCGGGCATCGATGTAAAGATTGAGGGGTCCTGCGTACGCTCGCAGTGGCCAACTTGCTCGCGTCGGACTTCGGTAAACCCATCTCTTTCGAACCACTTGATCCGCCCCGATCCATCCGAGAATACTAGCCTCGTCCCTTGCGTAGTGCCCGACAAGATTTTTGAGTCGGACGATGACTGTCGGTTCTTGAAGACAGAATGCGCGAGCCCTCCCTGTAGCGACGTTGGCAGGCTCGGCGAGGGCTGCAGACCATATACCTCCAAGGACCCTTTCGTCTTGTACTCGCCAAATGCCAGCAGCGTCCTCCCGCCAGAGGGCGTCCTCTTGGACATCTCAAGCTGCTCGAGCGAGAGCTGCCCTTCGCGACGAAGCTCACTGTCCAGGGTCGAGAAAGGACCAGCTATCGAGCTCAGGCTGCACAGCCGCGCCCCAGAGTGTATGCTACCCTTGATCGAAGGGAACATCCGCCTGTCGTAGAGCAAAATACTAGGAAACCGCCCTGCGACGAAGATCTCATCCGCCATATCAATGGCCGTACCTGGACGCCTCATGTGAAGGATGCTCAAGGGTGCTGGGTGCGCCAAAGGGGCGTACGGCGGCAGGGGTGTGTCATCGAACAACGCCTTCAGGCCTTTTTCGTAGAGCTCCTTTGCACCGAAGCCGCTCGAGCCATCAAGCCTCTCCACGCCATCTCGCCAAGATGCAGGTCTTGATCTGAAGTCGTGAAGGTGTATGCCCGCATTGGTACCGACAGTGAGCGGGGCCCAAGGATCCGTTGCAGAAAGGGCTGTGATCGACCAAGGAAACGACTCACACCCCACAACTGCGAGCCTCTGCAGGTCTACCTCGATCAGATCTGCTTAAGAGTCAGTTGCGAACAAGTTTTCCGAGGGTCCGAAACGCAGTTCTGAGATGAGGAAAGTTTGGGGGGAGAAGAGACTGACGGCTCTGAACAGCAAAGAAGGCAAGGTGCAGTTTGCTGTCTACACTGACACACTCGGTTACGCCAGAATCTATTCTTTTGGATCGAGTAATGCTGTCGTCGCCTGAACTTGCATCGATGTGGAGGATCCCGGGCCGGCTCCTTGCAACTAAGGCCCCTTTCCTTCCTTTGGCTCCTGTCACATCCCAGAGGCAGACGGAACCATCGTCCAGAGGTGCCACCGCGAGAATGGTCTCTAGCCCATGAGGTTCTTGGTCGGGGTTGTCGGGTCGATACAGTGCCAGGCCTCGCGCCTCGATGTAGGTACTCTGGGTACCATCTCTCAACAAGGGCTGCTGCAGCCAGTTGACAGCCACGGGGGCGTTCCTCTGGATGTACTCATCGTACCAGTTGACATTTTCACCTTCATACGAAGGATCCCAGTTTGCCAAAATCCGTTTCCGCTCTTTGATCCTCAGGTTAGTCAGGTTGTGAGCATGGGACACAGTGCTCCCGGCAGCTGTGTTGTTTATGACTTCGAAGCTGCTCTCGTGGCCAAGGAGCTGCTGGCGTCGCCGGAGGTTCTGGAGGAAGGTGGACTCCTCGAAGCATATGGACCGCCAGAAAGTATTATCTCTGCAGATGCTCAGGAGTTTCTTGCATGCCAACTGCAGATTCGTAGTCTCGGACGGCTCGAGAACTGTTAAAGGAGGGTGCGAGCGGGTCAGCCTGAACCTCGCTCCACCGCAGAGCAGATGGAGCAACTACTAACATGAGAGAATCTGGAGCAGCATCTCGGGAGGAAGCCCCAGGATCCCTCTGGGCTTGGCTTCCTCCTGCTCCTGGTCTGAAGGCTGCATCTCGAGGGGACTTGGTGAAGCTGTCTCTATTGGGTTCCTTGGCAACCTTCTTCCAGGCCAGCATCCAGTCTTTGTCGGTCCGCGCCCTGTGAAAATCCACCGATTCCGAAGAGCATATACGAAGCACCCGACCAAAAACAAACCAGAAGCTGTCCGGTCAGGAGATGATACGAACTGTCAAATCTGAGGATAATCCTAATGATGCTCGTGTGGACGAGAGAATATCGAACTCCATCGAGAAATATAAGCAATAAGTCAAGTTTGACTTGTCGTTTATCATTGGTTGCAGGTGGAAAAGAAGGTGGTCGTGATTCTTAAGGTACCTAGCAACTGGGGCCAGGATTGTCGAGGCACATTTCTCACTAACGTTGCTACCTAGCCAGCTAACCTAGCGGATCCGCAGCGCCGAATCCCCCGCCGTCTAGTGGATGGGCTTCGCGCGTGCAGGAGTAGGGGACCTTATCTAAGTAATCAGCAAATGAAAGAGCGAGGAGGGGTGTACTAGACTCAATAAGACAACCACCTTTCTTCCCTTCAGGACCACGCGCTACTTGACTTCATCTCATGCATGTGTTAATCCCCATGTCAAATACACCAAACTGATCGCTACGGAACACCCAAGTGAGTCTTGAGCACCAATATGCATCTCAGATGGAGGCATGATTGATGTAGTCCCTATCAGACTTTTGGACCTGTCTGTCTGCTGCTCTCAGGTCTAGAAAGTCTGAGAGGAGGGCTGTACTCTCCATTCAAGCTTGACTTTCAGTTACAAGGTAATATTCCTGGAGTTCCGGAGTTGAGGGCAGATCCAAGCACCAAGACAGCCTCATCAGATATGACTTCATGTCCCTATTTCATTTCTATGTTTCTTGTTTGTGCTCAAGCCCGAGGATATATTGCTCCCTTGCAGATGAGTGTCAATGTTGGTCTCCAGAACCTGAACATCTCACGCTCAAGTGCACGGGACACGTGAGCAGCTTCCAATAGGGACACTACTGGGAAAGGATTTTCACTCTGGAGGTTATTGTTTCAGCTCAATGATAGCTAGACGGTGAGGATCTAGCTTGTCCATCCACTGGTGCATGCGTGTTGTCTCTTGGAAAGCTTGCCACAAGTGCGGCTAGGCTTTGCTCTTTGCTGCAAGCAATGAGGGGGAACGCTTAAGGAAGATATAGTCTGTGAGATTGTTAGACTGGGTCAGCTGTGCGTTTTCAAAACACCACATATAGCAAGAGGTGAATTCATGCTCTGGTCAGACAGCAGAAAGGGATCATCTCGTTACTATCTAGTGGCAGCAGTGGGCATTTGAGCAAAAGAAAGGAGGCTAAGGTGTTGTTGCAGCCGACTACCAATGAAGAGTGAAATGGATTGGGATGCTGGAGAGTGTCCAAGAGGGGGAGACAAGATCATGAAGTGAGAATACTACAGCAGGCAAGCTATCAAAGCACTGACAATGTGATATGGTCTGGCATTTGAGGTAAAGTACTGGTGGTCACATCAGGAGGACAACAGGCCAGATATAAGCCTGAGTATGATAACAGATGCAGCAGAGAGTAAGCGATTTGTTCCAGTCTACTCCTCTTCGTCTTTGACTCTACACTCTCTATTTAGTGTACACAGCTTCACAAGGTGAGCGACGCGTGATTCATAGGTGATGTCTGGTGGGGTCACCTGCATTCTGCTAATAAACACCGTGAAGGATCTAGATGTGAATGATACAGCTGCTGACGCTAGCTAGCAGAGGTCTCGCTCGCTCATTGTGACCCTTTTTGATACTTCTCAAGGATATACACAGTGATCGACGAGTGAGTGAGAACCTGGATCTCCTTCCAACCCATGCCAACAAGTTACGTCTACGACCCTGTCAAACGTTCTGAAGGAGGCATGGTTGGAAGCAAAGAAGAGTAATTGATGATTCTCATGGGTGAGGTACTTGCAGACGCCTTTTCACCTCTGCTCTGATCTTGATCGTCCCACCTTTTCCACCTCCCAGCTCCTATCTCTAGCTCACACCTTGCCACCCCCCTCCACTCTCTAATCTTGTCCCTCAACCTTCCTTCTTCCTGATCACCTCCGTTTCTCCTCTATCCCTCCCAGCCATCAACCAAACGCCCAATAGTATCCCAGTCTGACTAACAAGCTGGGCTTGTCCAGAGCTTCCTGACCGAGATTGCCAAAAAAAAACATTGTTGAGCTGGTACGTCCACCCCCATCCTTCTTCTGTTTCTCCGTTCTCCTTCTTCCTCCACTTCCCCTCCTCCCGCCCTCAAGCCTCTGTACAATACGACAGGACTGCTCACCTGTTTTCATACCCTCCTCTTGTCTGTCAGTCAACCCTCCGTAAACCTCCCAGAATCTAATCACACGCGTCTATCCACGCAGATTCACGAGCATGTCTTTTCCGGCGCGATGTGCTCGAATGCCCAGCGGCAGCGAGCAGCGGCCCATAGGTCGCGCCTCCCTCGAGGCTGCCACGGGTGCGGGGCCCAATAATAGCTCCAATAATGATACGACCATGCGAGACTCTGCTCCTCCGCCCATCCCGGAGCGGTCCCTGGCCAGGCTGCCCACTCCACGCCCGCAGCGCTTCCAAAACATACGGGAAGCGCATACTCACATTGTGCAGTCGAGGCACGGATCGCTGAGTGGGCCACCAGCAGAGCCCTCCTTCGAAGTCGAGGGCGAGGGAGACGCCGCGGTGCTGGATGATGCAGCGATGACGAGGCCCTGGAACTCCGTCACGCCCTCGACACCACCTCCCACGCCGTCAGAAGAGGATACCAACAACAACGACTTGAGCACGCCCCTGGATGTGCCCACCCTCCTCGAGCACTTTGCCCAGACCTTCTGCCTGCGCGTGGATCAGGACGCAATGCCGCCCCCCCTCAACCTGTCTCGACTCGCGACCTCGTATTCCCCTCTTTCGCCGTCGCAGCAGCAGCAGACTTCGGCCTCCGCCTCCCAGCAGTACTCCGACGGCTCGATCGCGCGCATCATCGCGCAGTACGGCAGTCACTCTTCCTCCCTGCCCCGCCTCGATGATAATGGCGACCAGGGAGAGGCCGGCGAGCGCCACCGGCAGCAGCACGCCGCCTCCGCCCTCGACGCGCTGGACCATGTCATCGACACCGAGCTCGACCATTTCATCGGCCAGAACCAAGACGCAGCACAGGCCAACAACAGCACTGTCCCCATCATGCGCAGCGTAGTGTTTGCCCAGCGCTTCACTACTGGGCGGAGCGCCACCGCCGTGGCTGCCACCACTCCCAGGTTCGCCGCGGCTGCTGGGCTGGCACATCGTTCCACCACCACCACCAATTACGCGTCGCCTCCCCATGTCGCGCTGCCCATTCTGCCTGTGTCGGTCAACCCTACCAACGCCGCGTTGCCCCGACGACCAGATCTCGTCGTCGCTGCTGGTGTTGGAGGTGTTCATCTTCCTGTCGCTGCAGGTGATGGTGAGCTGTCTCCACGCAGGCCGTTGCCATCATCCTCTTCGTCATCGTTATCAGAGGTGCCGATCCTGCAGAGGTATGATGACTTCACTGATGACGAGCGCAATTATGCCACCAGCTCTGGCATTGCTCGCGTCGCCGAGCCCAAGAAGACGAAGAAGAAGGTTGGGCCGAGGAGAGAAGGCACGCCAGAGGCGTCAGGCAATGTCGCACAGCTGGCACCTCCGCCAAGCAGGATGCACTCCATGAGGCAGCAGCAACAGCAGCAGCGGCACAGTCACCAGAGCGCCTCGAGCTGCTACAGCAGCGCGGTATTGTCTGAGGCGTCAGACCTGGAGCCGTTCCCATACGCCAGGTACGAGGAACAGCAGCAGAAACAGCAGCGGCAGTCTTCCTTGTTCCTTCACCCCTCCAGGGAGCGTGTGGTGTCGGCAAACCTGCGACAAGTCAGCGGGCTGCCGCGTGCAAGCCAGACGACTGTCTGGTCTGAGCAGGAGGAAGAGAAGAGAATACCGTCTTCGAGGTTCTATCAGGGTGGTGGTGATGTCTTACCTGGGGAGCAGCAACACCCAGTACCAGCTGGTGGTGGCAGCAGCTTTTACGACCAGGATGCCATTAGGTCAAGATGGAAGATGGGAGGAAGTTCGAGGTCTGTTTCTGTGGGTGTGAAGGTGCCTGTTATAAACAAAGGCAACCACTTTGGCGGAACTGGCCGGAACATGGCGGAGTCTTCCCAAAAGTCGACAGCAGGTCAGGGGTACAAGAAGAAGAATACGACGACGACGACGACGCCAACATGTGAAGCAGAAGGGCCATCGAATCAAATGACTGGGGAACTCGACGATGATTAGGAGACATCGTACACCAGCATGAGAGGAGGTCCTTCGATGCATGGTGCAGGCTTATCTTTCAGCAACAATCACAACAACAAAACCCAGCAGGATACAGCAGCTGGTGCATACCTTGTTGGCAAGCCTTGTGGTGACAGCCTTGCAGACAACACAGACGATGATGATGAGCTGCCCCAAGGTCCCCCGCCCCTTCATGCCTTTGAGAACAGCGGACCTTTCCGGAACAAGACTTTCTTGGTTCATCCACCCCCACCAGAACTCACAGGCGGCAACACTGCAAACTTGACATATCGGAGCCATCATGTCCTAGGTGAGGAGAGGCCTGTGTTGCTTCCTGAGGCTTCAGGCCAGCGAGGAGGACCAGGTCTGTTCCAGAACAGTACTCGAAACCTTTCCAAGCCCAGTCCAGTTCAGTCAGATGCTGCTGCTGCTGCTGCTGCTGCAGCACAGCCGGCGAGTCGTCGAGCATCTCTGGAGGAGCGGCTTTCCAGATTGAAGAACCCGTTCTCCAAGTCAACCAAGATACCCATTCTGTTGCCTGGTAAGCAGGAGGGACGACCAAGGAGGTCCAGATACTCTAATCTGGGAGAGGATGGGTATGAGATGACTTCTCTCCCACCACCTGTAACGCCTCGTGGTCCATCTCAGCAGCAGCAGCAGCAGCAGCAGCAGCAGCAGCAGTATGGTGAGAAATTCCTAATCCCCTTCCCCAACCCTGGATTTGTTCCTGTAACTGGATCTGACAAACAAGTATCACCAGGACCATATGAGAACCGAGGAGACGTCTACAATCCCTATTTCGACTCCTCTTCCAGCCCGCCCGCCGCTCCTGTCCCCCGCCCAAGAAGATCCACCGTCGAGTCCTACAACGAGTCCACCCACACGAGCCTGGCCCAGTCGCCCTACCTGGACCTGATAGGCCTCTCCGAGGCCCAAGCCCGAGCAGCCGAGCGCCAGAGCCGCGGCAGGGACGACGATCCCACGCAGACCTTGCGCGCACACGGCGAGGCCTGCAGGCGTGCTCTGGGCGGCAACCGCAGCTACCCGACCAACGTGAGCAACGCCGGCTCGCCGTCCGAGACGTCTTCTAGTGTTGGTGCTGGTTCTGGTGCTGGCACTGTTGCGACGCCCCCGAACGTGCGCAGGAACTTCATCCCTCATGGCTTTGCCAGGGGCGACTTTTCTAGTCCGCTTGCTTTTGGCAGCAGCAGTGGAGATCATGCCTTGCGTAAGGACTTGTCCCAAGCTCACCAAGAAAGAGGAGGAGGAGAGAGAACATGATATATTGATGGAGATATGTGTCTTAAAATAAAATAAAATAAAAAAGAAGAAAAAGACAAGTCAGTGATTTTGCTAACATTTCTTACACTGATAGGAACTCTGGCCACACGCGACGACACCCACCCAACCATCGGCACCATCACCGGCTCCGACATGACCATCACAACCATCACCCACGCCGACGGCACCCGAAATTTCGAATTCCACCCCCCACCCCGCCTCCACCGCTGGGACGAGATCCGCCGCTGGGGTGGCGGTGGTAGCAGCGGTGCCGCCCCGCGCTCCACCGACCCCTCCCTGCAGCACATTCAGCACTTTGGCGAGCGCGGATTCCGGTCCCTGCACCGCCGCGGCCGGGATGAGGAACAGCAGCGGCGGCAGCAGCAGTACTGGCTGTCTCGAGACGCCGACGAGCAACGCAGGCTCTTCTTTGCAGGTACGCTGCTGGTCTCGACGCTGCCGTTTATTGCGCCGATCGCGCTCTGTGGTGGCTTCAACAGCGCGCTGTCGTGGTTCACGCGCGGTCAGGTGGATGGGTTCACCCCGACACAGAAGCGCTGGCTGTTTGTGGAGATGATTGTTGTCTTGATGGTCACTGTTGCTGTGGTTGTGTGGGTCGCCTTGCGGACTGCGGTTCATCACTGAACGAACGAACGATGCATGGGTGTGTAAATTTGTCTCTGAGGTTACACCGGCCTGTGTCCTCTTCTAGAAAGGAAGGAAAGAAAGAAAGAAGGAGGAGAACGCAAAAAGACAGACGACCACGATGAGGAAACCGGATACCACGCAGACTCATGGACTGGAGTGCATGAAGCACATTACACGGCTTTGCGATTTCTACGAGGCATGCCCTGGGTGCAATGGGCCTTCTGTGGACATAAACTAGTTCTACGCATAACGGGGTGATGTGATGGATGGATAGCTCTGCTTACACCATCAACATCTCTGTGAAGATGAAGAATGATGGGTTATCTGTCTCTACTTGCTAGTTTGGAGGACAAGTTTCACCAAAAGTCGAGACCGAAAAGAAAGGAGAGACGAATATGAAGAAAGCAAGAAGAAGAAGAAGAGGATATGAAGGGGGGGGGGACACCCATGTAACGCCGACATCTGTATGGATATGCTCATTTGCGAGAGGTTTTTGTAAGAATGAAAAAGAATGGATAATGGAAAGGAAGGAGATCTGGTTCCTTTTATGAGCCCTGGGACACTTCTCTGTGGTTTGGGACAACAAGAGTATTGATGGCAATAAGGCGTCCATTTACTTCCTTGTCTCGTCCCCTTTGGCATAGATGTAATCCCAGTCTTTCCAGAAAGCCATTCGCTGGGTGAACAACCCGGTGAGCATGAGTTGACAAGGACGTAATTAGCCTTCTGATAAGAGGGACAGGAAAATCCAATCAAGGAACTAAAGTCACTCAAATATTGTATACAATGGTGATATGGTGATATGATGCCTTTCTTGTCAAAAGCCAATGCATTTGTCGATGAATAAATAAATGGCAAACCCGTTTTAGATGCGCCCTCCCGCCCTGCCTTTCCCAATAGTCACGTTTGCATATTGAAACGAGCCCGTTTCCTCTCGGGTCCCTGATGCGATGTCCCACCACCCGAGCCCGGATGTCTGTCGTTTATATCAGATGAAATGCTTTCAACAGCTCACTGCCCAAACACAATATTCCGCAGCCTGTCCCGCTCGCCACTCTCCTCACACATGCCCCTAAAGATCCCAGTACCCCCATCCTTCTCCCACAGCTCCCTCGGCCGGCCGTACTCGGCGACCTTGCCATCGCTCAGCACCAGGATCCTGTCGAAGTCGGCAATGGTGCTCAGACGGTGCGCAATGACGAGCAGCGTGGCGTCGGTGAATTCCTCGCGGATAGATCGCTGGATCAGGGCGTCGGTGGCCATGTCGACGGCGCTGGTGGCCTCGTCAAGGACCATCACGCGGGGGCGGGCGACGATGGCTCGCGCCAGGCAGAGGAGCTGCCGCTGGCCCTGGGACAGGTTCAGCCCGCCCTCGGAGATGGGGGACAAGAGGTCGTTGAAGATGTTGGCGTTGCCTGCTACTGCGTCGGCCTCCGGATTGGCGGACGAGGGAGGCAATGGAGTGACGGTGCCACCGGTGCCACGAATCAGGTGCACGCGCTCGAGGGAGTCACGCAGCTCAGCGTCAGTGTGCCTGTCGAAAGGATCAAGGTTGGAACGGACGGTGCCGGTGAAGAGAACCGGGTCCTGAGGGATGATGGCTAGGCGCGAGCGCAGATCATGCAGCTTGATCTTGGCAGTGTCCAGACCGTCGATGTGGATCGTGCCGGAGCGCGCCTCGAGAAAGCGGAAGAGCGCGAGAGTCAGCGAGGACTTGCCCGCGCCCGTCCGCCCTACCACGCCGATGCGCTCGTTACGGTTTACGCTGAAGGTGAGACCCTTCAGCACGGGGGGGAGGTCCGGTGCGTAGCCGACAACCAGGTCGTTGACCTCGATGATGCCCTCGGTAGGCCAGGCGGCAGGCGGAGTCGTGCCCTCAAGGGTCTCGTGCTCCAGCTCGGTAAACTCAACAATTCCTATTACACGGTCAGTTTCTGTTTCTGGATCAAACGCTCGCAGGACAGGACGTGTGTGACTTACGCTCCGCTGCATTCATGTTCAGCTCCAGATTCGCATACAACCGGACGGTGAAGGTGACAGCATTTGCAAACTCCAGCGCGAAAGCCAGCGCGAAGCCCGCCAACGCCGCATTGATACCTGGCGTCAAAAGGACCAGGATGGACACAATGATGGCGAACATGCTACCCACAAGGGCCATCCGCCAGCCCATCCACCGGTTAAACAGCCACAGATGCCAGCTTGCTGTTCCGTAGTCGTCGATCTTGGCAAACATCCTGTCTACGTACGTGTTTGTCTTGTCAAAACCTCGAATGGTAGCCACGCCTGTCAGGGCGGACCCAAACTGTTCAAATACGGGGCTCTTGGCGGTGCTCTCGAGACGCTTGACAGGCCGTGCACCGTGGAGATACAGGATCGCAAAGCGTAGGGCGAAGACCAACAGGATCACTGCGAGCAGGACGAGGTAAGGCGAGACGAACAAGCTGGCTACAATGATGCCCATCAGCTGGAGAAAGGAGCCAGTCCCAAAGGCGAACGAGTTAGCCAGTTGGGAGTCGATAATGTGAAAGTCGGCCGTGAAGCGGTTGAGGATGCGGCCCACAGGCACAGTGTCCAACCACCGTAGAGGAGCTCGCAGGATGACAAAGTTCAACTTCGCAAAGAGCCGACGAGACGCGCGGACGGAGCCGAGATAGGTGAACCAATACTTGAAGGTGCCGATCAGGGCAGCAGCCAAGGCGAGCGCGACGTAGACACTCATGTAAAAGCCGAGCGAGTGCTGGTCGGCATTTGAGGCGGTGCCGGCGAGCGAGGTCTGGGTGGGTGGGTAGAAGTCGACTGATTGCAGAGACATGGCGTAGCTGAGGCTCTCCTCGCGGGCGACGTCATGCCCAGTCCAGATGCGTAACCACCAGGAGCGGCCGAGCTGGATTGCCTGGACTACGCAATAAACACCGATCAGGCCAGCCCAGAAGAAGAAACCGCCAGAATCCCGGAGATAGACACTGTAGACGTGCGTTTTGATGGCCCCCTGCTCACGCTTCTCATCTTCGACAAACTTTCTCGCATCCTGCTGTTTCGAGAGGACCTTTTTGAGTGTATCGCCGTCGGCGCGAGTCTCATCCGCCTCCTCGTCCGAAGCCTCGTGCGAGTTGACGGCGGTCAAGTTTTCATCTTCCCTAATTTCCATCGAGGTCTGCTCATGACTCTTGATGAGCTCGAGCGTCCCGTCATGCTGCAATTCCGAGAGTAAGCCTGCGTGCAGGACCTTGCCGTCGCCCAGCTCGACGAGATACTTCGTCTTGGGCTGGCACAGAGCGACGTGGTGGGTGACTAGAATCCTGGTCCTCCCGACTGCGAGGTCGCCGGTAAGACAATTCTCAAAGATGTGGCGGCCGACGTGCGCATCGACTGCCGAGAAGATATCGTCAAAGACTAGAATACCCGCTCTGGAATAGATGGCCCGCGCAAGAGTGACTCGCCATTTCTGCCCACCGCTAAGATTGATCCCATTGGCGCCGATTTCCGTCTTTTCGCCATCCGAGAGCATTTCCAAATCCTTGCGAAGCGCACAGACCTCGATGGTCTTTTCGTAGCGCTCCTGATCGTGGGGCAGGCCGAACTCGATGTTGTCGCGAATGCTGGCATTTTCTATCCACGGGATCTGGGCGACGTACGCAACGCATTCGGGAATAATCCAATTATCCCTGGTGGCCTTGCTATCTTTCCGATCTCCGAAAGCAGGCTGTCTAGGCATGGCGATCTTTCCGGACAGGATATCTACCTCTCCGAGGATAGCTGCAAGCATTAGAGACTTTCCCGCACCGGTCTTGCCAGAGATGACGGACAGCTCGCCTTTGGGGAATGTCACAGTGACATCCCTCAGGACGAACCTCTCCTCATCGTCCAGCTGCTCGTCGGCCGGCCAAGCGATCGAGGCATTGTCGAAAGTGACCTCGTCAGATTCGGCAGCGAGGTTCTCGATCTCAGGGGACTGTAGGTACTTCTCGATGCGCTTGATGGAGGTCCAGGCGTCCAAGGCATCGGTAGTCAATTCTGGAATGACGGACAAAGTCACTTCGAGGGCTCGGAAAACGCCCAGGCTGACGAAGGCGACAGACGGTAGGAGAGCTCCGTACAAAGCAGCATACACTGTCAGGGAGACTGCGGCCAGGGCGATCGGGGTGGTGACCCAGCAGGCCAAAAGGACGGTGTCGCTCATGAAGACATCCCACACATTTTTCAGCTCCTCCTCTCGCACGTCGTCGATCTTCTGTTGCCATTGTGGCTCGGATGCCGAGAACTTGATCTGACGGATCCCTTGGAGGGCCTCATTGACAACCGCAAGCTTGTCGTCGCGGACCTTCATCAACTTGTCCTGGGCCTTTGCGTACCGTTTTGAGGCCCAGATGTTGACGGGCATGATCGCAAGCATCGTAGAGAAGCCCGCGAGGAGTGCCTGCCACCCCAGAAGAGACACCAGAAAGGCCAGCGAGACGATGAGCTTTGCCAGACTGCCGGGAAACATGTTCTGGAACATTGCAAAATCAGAGACCCGCTTTGTATCGACCCCGATGAGGTTGACCGTGCCCTGTTTACTCTTTTTGAGGGCCTCGGACTCATCTTCCTCGTCCAGGACCTCGGGGCTGTCTGGGGCTGTAGATTCTCCCGCGGTGGCAGCCATGACAGGCTCGGCAGATTCGTTCTCCTGCGCAGCTTTTTTGGAGTTCGAATTCCTCCCGGTGCCCTTGACATCCTTCTTGCGCATGCTCTTCTCGAAGATCAGGGCCGATAACTGGGATCGAATGGGAATTGATAGTTCGGTGACAGAGACCCAGAAGACATGGGCCTCGACCCAGTTCTGAGCGATGATGACGATCCCGAGCCAGATTACCCATATCCAGACATCCAATGCGTAATTGTCGCGTTGGTCAGATGTCTCTAGGATGCGGAGAAGCTGCAAGATGACCCACTGAGGACCAAAGTTCAAAAAGGCCGTCACCAAGGTGAGAACCCACTGTTTGACCAGGCTTCCTTTATGAAGCCAGACAGCTGTCAGCCAAAGGGATCTGTCTGGTGCACGCCTCTTCCAGTCAGCCGACAACTCGGCGGACCGACCGTATTGATTTAGGCGTGGAAGGTCGTCCATGTCAAGCTGTCCCCGCTCGCCGGCTGCCTTGAGGAGATGCAATGGCCAGCCCCAGGTGAAGCGGCTGAGGGCAGACGCCGTGTACATTGCATCGATTGGCTTGCCATTGTTGTCGTACACTTCTGGTCGCCGCGGGATGCACAGACTAGCGACTCCTAGAAAGATGACCGAGGCGATCTCCACGATCCGCAGCGCAAACTGCACAGGTTCGTGGCGCAACAGAAACTCGAATTCACCTGTGCCCTGGGCGAGCAAGATGACGGCCAGGATCAAGGAAGACAGAAATGAGTAAAGGCCGAGGCTGTAGGACTTGACCGAAGATTTCCTGCACGAAGCAATGGCAATCGCCTGGAACAGAATCAGGATCTGTTTTTGGATGGGAGGTTAGCCTGTGGACTGACGTTGCTGCGCCGAAAAAGAAAGAAAACAAGGTTGTTGGGGGGGGGGGAGGGGGCGACTCACCAAGGCGCCTGCGCTCAACCAATTCTCAAGAAGCGGGCCATGCTTCCTGGCGTAGATGGTTGTCCATATCGCAGAGGCGATTGATGTGCCGCTCGCCAAAAAGGCGAAGAGCACGATCAAAGTTTTTGGCCACTTTGCCGAGTAGGCCTTCACGGACTCCGGTGTTGCCTTGCCATCTTTGTCCTCATAACCATCCTGCTTGAGCTTGCGCGTCGTAAGCTGCGAGATAAAAGTGGAAATCGCTGGCACAGAGACAAGACCGATAACAGCGAGGCCGGTAGCACAGGCTATTGTTAAGGATTCATCCTGCATCTTGGATGAGGAGTGTGAAGTTGCTGCTGGTCTCGCCAATCCCAAAGAGAAAGCGGGTGTTTTTTTCTCTTCAAAGGCAACCGCTTCTCGAGCCGCAGAAAACCGGTATATTTGAATCAAGTCGAAGGCGAGGGTCGGACGTCAGGCAGAGAGGCTGAGCTTGCGGATAGACCCACGGTTTATGTGACTGCTAAGATGTCGACGGCACAGGGATCCGATCCTCCCCACCAAGAAGTACACCTTGGGGAGGGTCCAGAACCAAAGTGAGCTCTTCAACTAGTGCAATGGCGAAGTTATCTAATATTCACCCTCGTACCTTGAAGCGGCGGAGATAAGAGGCTCGCGTGGTTGGTTGGATCAGAAAGGTTACGTTGACGAGAAACAATGAAAACTGGTTCCTGGGGAGAATTTGAAGATCTTTTTGACGATCTTTTTCTGCGCATGGGGTGACACAATAGAGAAGAGGGGAGAGGAGGGAGTTCGTAAGCACGAGGAATAATTAGTTGCGTAAGAGAGCGGAAAAGAGGAAGTTGATATTCGCTCTGCCGTGAGCGTGAACGTCAACCATACGTAACCATAATTATGAGACTGAAAGCCCCGGAATCAGCTCCAAAGTTGTTGTCCTACATAGCGGGATGCTAGCACCACGGGCAGGGCATGATAGAGAGAGGTTGGTCTAGCAGGAGCGGCGTATGAGTCAACGGCGGCTTGACAGTTGACAAGGAACATCTCGACGGCCTAGCTGCAGGGTCGGGCGGTGTGGATGGACACTGGAGAAGGCGGCTGCGCAAAGGTCTCTTCAACAGTCTTGATTTGGCCGGATAAGATGCAAGCGACCTCGGGTGCCTTAGGCGAAGTTAAGAAGGTGTGCCGGGGTAGGAGCAGCACTATGAAATGCTTGTATGGGGCCGCCCAACTACTATGGTATTGTGGCTGCCAGGGCATCTGATATGGGGCTCCATCCTAAAACTATGCGCCCGATAGCAGGATGTTAGTTGCATGGCCCGGCACATCGGGTGAGCGAGAGTTGCAGTAGCGCGGCTATCAAGGTGACGCTGTGTGTCTGGCTGACTTGCCTTGCATGGGAATAGAGGGGAAATCCATGTGTTAAGGGCGCCGCACTTGAGCAGAGAGCATCTCGGAGAGGGGCATTTTTGGCGCTTATGCCTGCAATCTCCCGGACTGGACGTCTCGAGAAGGTCTGGTCGATGCATGCATGTCATCTCAAGTCATACCGATGATCCTCCTGCCCCGCCGCCTTGATTCTGACTCTGCGATTGTGACGACTCTCGAAAGACGGCAAAAAGTGCTATAGCCCTTGTCAGTATCTGGACAGCCCTGCGGAATGGACTGTTAGGGCAAGAAAGGGGGAGAAGGGGGGGGGGGGTTGTGTTTGGACGAGCTGCGTCCTGGTCGAGCAAAACGTTGAACGACTCCAGATGTCGGGTGACATGTGTGAGATCCGACGTAAGGCATATATCGAACGTGCCAGCGTCGACCTGCGTTCAAGACCAAGGAGGGGGGAGGGGGTGACTATTGCAACGCTTGGTAGCCTCGACCGCATGTATCTTTCAATGGTTGGAATGGTTGGAATGGTGATGGTGGTGTGGTGGTCGAGCAACACAATCAAAAGTGGGAACTAGTCATCATGACGAGGTTACAACCCGACGACGGAAGCGAATTATGGTTATGAGTCAAAGCATCACAGTTCCTTCATCTCGTCTCATTTAAGGGAGGAAAGAAGGCACGGAAAAATTCAGAAATAAACAAAAATGACTATGCTAGAAGGAGGAGGTGAGCAGGACAAGTTCGCAGTTGCCTTGAGAACCCAAAGTATCTAGATGAGGCATTGTCCACAGGGAAGGCGCAGGAGAGGGAAGGAAGTCATGACTCTTCTCAAGATTTATTTCTACAGCTTTACTTATAGAGATGAGTTCGTGAGGAGACTATTATTACAGCGAGCACGTCTCCACATGAACGAATTCACTGACAATGTCAGTAATCAAATGGCAGAAATCGAATCCCTTGTTCTGTCTTCTTTTTTTCTTTCTTTCCGAGTCTCCTGCAGCTGACGATTATGCTCATTGACTGTACTGACAAAAAGATCCACAGAGAATGGGACACCCCTCTGGTGCGAATTCCTGGCGCCTGCATGCACGCATCAGAGTGGATGACGGACCTGCGTCTTTTCCATGTGCTTTTAATGTAGGTACATACGATGAGCCAGAGGTTTTGTCTCTGCCCACTCAGCTCAGCTGTTGAACATAACAATCGGCCAGATATTAGCCGAAACCATTCATGACCGCCATATTGTGATAGTCAAGGCTACACGGAAATGGTCAGCTGCTGCTCTAATGCCGATAGTGAGTGCACCTAAGAATGCACCACCCTGGCTGCATGTCTCGGAGCTATCTATGTGCCATCGTTGCGACGGTCATTGGCTCCAACGTCTCCTGCACCTGAGGAGGTTTGGGGGGTGGGTTGATCCCCAGTTTCAAAACAGAGCTTGGTCCTGACTGGGTAGATTTATTCCGAGGATCTTCCAAGGCAGATTGAGTGCTGGTGTAGGACATTTCTTGTCTGCTGGGGGGGCGCGTGACCTGTTACCAAGAATCATCTCACGGGGGACGGGATGGGATCCAATCCCGTACAGGAGGGAATGCAGTGTGGTTTGAGTGTCATGAGTAGCCGTATCAAATATCATACTGCAAAGTACTATGTAGGTGGGTAGGCAAGTATTATAACCTTCAAGTAGTAGGGTGACAAAGAAGTGTGAGCGGATATGGGCCCCCAAATGTTAGAGAGCCCGCTATTGGCGACCAGCCGTTTAAGAAGCTACACGCTGGTCCGCCGTAGCGGGGGCCCAGGCCTAAAGCAAAGCGTTCACTGGAGGAGTAGTAAGGAGCAGCTGCTGCGGGCCCAACAACACCATAGCAACTGTAACCTTCATCCAGAGCTGAGAGCATCCATCTGATCTGCAGCAACCTAAACCACAATTGAAACCACAGACTGATTGACCACCATTTTCTCGTTTGAATACTGTTCTCCTCTTTAACCTCCTCCTCCTCCTTCTCCTCCTCCTTTCAACACCTCTCGACAAGCTGCAGAGCAAAACACACTCTCCATCCTACCCGATACTCCCGACCCTCCCAGCCGCTCGTCAACCAACGACCTAAACTCGCCTGGTACGCGTCCACGTCGAAACCCGACAGTTCCAAGTCGCGTCGGGACCACGATTCAGAATTGAAGGAACCCACCCACCACCCCCTTTCTCTTCTTGACAACCTGCCCTCCACAGCGAACACCCCACGGTGTACTACTCTCCTGTTGGGAATCATACATCATTTGCCGTACATGAGAGAGAATACGGTCTCCAGACAGCCTGCGTGCCAAAATGAAGGCCACACCTCTGATCATCAATTGGCATGACCAGACCCAGCCCATCTACTCGGCCCATTTTGAGCCTTCAGGCAAGGGTCGTCTAGCAACTGCTGGCGGTGATACAAATGTTCGAGTACGGCACACACATTGACCTGACCTCCTACGGGCCGTCCTTGCTGACCGTGTCTCTACAACAGCTCTGGCGTGTCGAGTCGAATGGGGAGGAGCGGAAGGTCGAGTACCTCGCGACCCTGTCCAAGCACACACAAGCCGTCAACGTCGTAAGGTGGTCACCAAAAAGTACGGGGACCCTTGTTTTTCTGCTGTTCCCTTCTCGTTACGTCTCCTATAGGACTACCAATCAGGCCCTCTGACAATATCAATTATCCACCACAGGTGAAACTCTTGCATCAGCCGGTGACGATGGCAATGTGATCTTATGGGTCCCCTCCGAGACGAGCAACCCCGCCTTTGGGAGCGATGGTTTCGACGACAAGGAGAGCTGGAGGACCAAGCACATGTGCCGCTCCTCCGGCTCAGAGATCTATGACCTGGCCTGGGCTCCCGATGGCTCGTACTTCATCATTGGTAGCATGGACAACGTGGCCAGGATCTACAATGCCGCGACGGGTACGCAACACATCTCGAGCTATGGCGGGATCCGGAGAGAAGAAGAATTGCTGACGGGCAGGACTATCATGCAGGCACGTTGATACGGCAGATCGCGGAGCACAACCACTACGTCCAGGGCGTGGCCTGGGATCCCCTCAACGAATACATAGCCACCCAGTCGTCTGACCGCTCCGTCCATGTCTACTCGCTCAAGACCAAGGACGGACATTATAGCCTCACCAACGACACAGACAAGCCCCCTCGGGTCGTCGTCCACATCAAGTCCGACCTGCCACCGCCCCGTCGGATCTCCTCCAGCAGCCCCGCACCACCAGACTTTGGTCATCGAGCTCAGTTGGCCGTGATCGATGCCGTCCCTGGAATTGGTAGCACGACGAGCGCCCCGATCGGGTCCCCAGTACCGTCTGCCCCGGGCACACCCACCTCGATCGCACTACCGATGAACCCGCCGAGCGTCATGGGGCAGAGCCGAAGGTCGTCCTTTTCGTCACGACGGTCCGCCAGTCCCGCACCGTCCATGCCTCTGCCCGCTGTGATGCCCATGGAGGCTTCTCCTAAACCTGCGCCCACCAGCATGAGTGTCAAGAATGCCAGCCTCTACGCCAACGAGACCCTCACATCGTTCTTCCGGAGATTGACATTCACGCCGGATGGTAGTCTCCTCTTGACGCCCGCCGGGCAGTATCAGTCTCAGCACTGGACAATGGATGGGAAACCCTCGTATGAGGTCATCAATACCGTCTACATCTATACACGAGGAGGCATCAATAGACCCCCATCCGCACATCTGCCCGGGCACAAGAAGCCCTCCGTCTGCGTGCGGTGTTCGCCCATCTACTACACCCTGCGAACCTCTCCCGTGGTCACCAAGAACATCACCATCGACACATCCTCTGCAGAGGAGCCCATCCCAGCATTACCCGAGCCCCTGTCGAAAGCATCTCCTGCGCCTTCTGTCATGGACCCGCCGCCTCCACCGTCTTCCGAGCCCATGGCGAGAGCCGTGAGCACAGAGTTGACACCTGCGTCGGCAGGCCCAAAGGCAGCATTCGCGCTCCCGTACAGGATGGTGTATGCGGTCGCAACACAGGATTCGATCCTCATCTACGACACTCAGCAACAGACGCCTATATGCATCGTCAGCAACCTGCATTGCGCCACATTTACTGATCTTGCGTGGTAAGTTGAGATGCGACGTTGTGCTTCCTTTGTCTTTCTCTTCGTCCCTTGCCTACCCTCTCCCCTTGTCTGGGACTTTGTAGGTTGCTAACCGTGTCGTAGGTCTTCTGATGGCACAACCCTGCTGGTCACGTCGTCGGATGGCTTCTGTTCGGCGATATCATTCTCCCCATCAGACCTTGGGGAAGTGCTGAAAGGCGATCCGCAGAAGCGGCGCCAGGAAGCAGCCGAGGCGGCAGCGGCGGCGTCAGCGGCTTCAGCGCAGACCACACCTATTCCAACACCCACGTCACAATTTGCGCCGCCGTCGCCATTTACGGGCGGCTCGCAACATCGACACCGAGATTCAATGAGCTCGTTCACAGCGCCGTCCCCACCCCCACCGGCGTCATTTGTCAGCCAGAGGCCGTCGTCCCCCGCGAGGTCCAACTCGACATCCTCCATAATAACGCAGAACTCAGTTGCGCCGACAGGCCCACCGACACTGCTCGCCGGAAGTGTTCCTGGGTTGACTGCCACCAACTCGGGCAAGGTGACTGGTGTGCCCATCACCACGCCACCCGAGACACCACGAAGCGCCGGCAACAGCGTGGCCGGGCAGAAGAGAGACCTGAGCGAGAGCGAGAAGGAAGAGACGGAAGGGCAACCAAAGAAGAAACGGATCGCGCCGACTCTGATCAGCGGGCCCAGCATCGATCCAAAGCCCTGAGAAAAGGAGGATTCTCCAGTATCGACCCGGGACACGAGGGAGACGAATGCTATTTTACTTGTAATCCGAGTGGGGCATAATGAGCAAAAGGGAGATTATGATCTTTGGGGAGGGGGCAGAGGATGCATACAACATCGGAGCGGTTCTTTGCTGGGGTTTCTTTTTATTTGTAGGAGGGCAGATGGCCCGCCATCTGCCTGTAAAGACAAATGGTCGTCTTGTTCTTGGGGCAAATTGCGGGAGTTTCTAAACGTTCAACAACGAGCCTGGCGTTTGATACTGGGGCAGGGCATGGCACGGCACTTAACTTCATGATAGGTCAGGGGTGAATCAGCTCGGACGGAGTATGCTTAGCCAATGTGTGTTTGAATGAATACTTGGATGGCCTTTATTTTTCTGGTTACGGTATCAATCGAGGGCAGCAGCAACAGTCTCAGTCTCGTCGTCCTGGATCGTACTTTACTACTCTTATAAGACTTGCAGAGATTTGTTGGTTTCCATGGTGGTAGCAAATGGACTCTTTTCCTTCTTCTTTCGCATCAATTGACTAACGGGGAGTGAGTAACTCGTGGAATGAAGCTTACGTAAGTATCCAACTTGAGAGAGTAAAGAGCAGTAATGTAGGTGGGAAAGGAGACTCTGACGCTGTAAACTCTTTATTCTTCATCCTTTCTTTTTCTTTTTAGATTATTTCTATCTTTCTAATACATACGTGAACTCACACGAATGAGTTCCCAATCCAGGAGAAAATCCAGCCTCGAGCTCGTCACGAACCCGTTTGTTAAGAAGCGCAACCTGGCGTGGCGGATTGAGTTGCCTGCACAATTACGAGATGGTGAGCGCAGGCGTGCTCGAGAGACCACAGACGAGCGTCGAGTGGAGAGAAGTCATGGCACAGTGGACATGCAGAGGGAGGAGGAGGAGGAGGAGGAGGAGGAGGAGGATAGCGTAGCAGACAAGCGGCCAGCCTCCTCGCCACCATCACCGCCGTCAACCTCCACCGCCAACGCCACAACCGTCACCAACGCTGGCCCCTCTACATGCACCGCCCTCCTCCTCAACAACTCAACCCAGCTCCCAGCCCAAGACCAGCAACACCTCACCCACTTCACCCACCAACTACAATCCCACACCCGCCCTCTTCCCCTCCAGCCTCCCCTCTCCCTCCTCCCCATCCCTCACTACACCACCCTCTACCACCGCAACGCCCACGCCCTCCAAGGCGCCCACTTCGTAGTCACCCAGCACGACCACCCCATAGCCGGCCCCCACTACGACCTCCGCCTGCAGATCAACCAGACCTCGTCGTGCTCGTGGGCCATCATGTACGGACTGCCAGGGGACCCCAACGCGAGAGGGAAGTCGGGTAGAGGCGGAGGAGCAGGGTGTATGAGAGGGGCGGTGGAGACACGGGTGCACTGTCTCTGGAATCATCTTGTGGAGACGGGCGGGTGGGAGGTGGGGAGTCTGTTGATCTGGGATATGGGTGAGTATGAGGTGCTGCGGCTGCCGAGACCGAAGAGACGAGGAGCGCTGTCGGACTCGGGCGAGGAGGAGGATGAAGATGGGGACGAGGAGGATGATGACGATGATGAGGAGGAGGAGGAGGAGGAGGAAGAAGACGAGCGAGGAGGCTGGCACGGGCTGACGCAGCAGGAGAAGCTGGCGCGTGCGTTTGCGGACAGGAAGATCCGGCTTAGGTTGAAGGGATGGAGACTGCCGAGGGGCTACGTCGTTAATCTCCGTCTGACGAAAGAAGAGGATGCCTTGGGGCGGGACAGGGCTGCTGCGAGGGCTGTTGAGGGTGGTGAGGGAGCGCGACGACGGAGACGGCGCGGGGTGAGGCTGGGGCCTGTTGCTAAGAAGAGGAGGAGCAGGGGAAGGACGGGTCCGGATACGAGCAGTAGCGGAGATGATAACGACAACAACAACGAGGGCAATGAAAGAGAAGAACAGCAGGTAGGAACAGAAAAGGCAGGGGAATATAATGACGCCGCAAAGGGCCAGAGCGCCGCAGAGGGGCTCACAGACATGGAGAAGGAGCTCCGCGAGCTGGAGGACGAGGAGGTGAGGAGGATGAACGCATACCCTGGCGCGTGCAACACCATCGGCAGCGTACACCAGCGGAAATGGTTTATGTCGCTAGACAGGGAGGCTTGTGGGTTTGTGCGGGTGAGAAGGCAGAGGAGGACGACGGCGGCGACGAAAGAAGAGGAGGAAGGAGAAGGAAAAGAAGATGGAAGGGCTTGGTGGTGGGAGCAGAAGGGGAAGAGGAGGAGCAATGGTGATGAGGCTGAGTTGCACAGAAGGCTACAGTGGCCTTTTTATGTTCGTGGTCCGGAACACGAGAGGAGCATCGTCACGGGACGGCTTGGGAGCGATGTGTTGCGTGACGAGGGCGTGGTTGGCTTTGTTGGGCGCAAGGGCTGGAGGCCCATCTTGCATTGACCTTTCACCTTTCCCTCTTCTCCTCCCCCTCTCCGCGCACAAGTTCTCGAATATGGATGGCTGGTGCATGGAAAAACGATTGGTATCATTGGATCGGTCAAAAAGTTATAAATAAAAAAAAAAAGGAGAAACAGACACCACCCAACTCGAGGCGTCGTCATCGTCATCGTCGTCGTGTTTCCTACATTATGCCTCAGCCTGGTCGACTCTCTCTCCCCGCCTCTCTCTACCATCGAAGCCTGACAACCAGACTCACACCAAAACACACCATCCTTACCGCCCAGTCTCACCACGCCCACTCCGACACATCGACTGATCCTTTCTTCATCACCTCAAGACCGCACCCTGCCGCTTTCCGGTCTTAGTATCCACCCTGCTGAGGAGCGGGGAATGCACCCCCATGTCCCACCTGCCCGTGTCCCTGCTGCACCACCTGCTGCTGGCCGTAGTAGCCCTGCTGCTGCTGGTGCTGGTGCTGGCCCGCCATCTCAGGAGGGTGATAAGGGCCCTGCATCCCAGGAGGCGGCGTGGGTGTGGCCACGCTGGGCTGTGCCGAGGCTGCGGCGTACTGCGGCTGTGGCTTCTCTGCAGCAGGAACAGGGCCGCCCATGGGGATGGCGTTCTGTTGCTGCTGCTGCTGCTGGGGGACGTCACCAGGGGAGCAGTGCAGGCCTGCGTCGCGGTGGCGGTGGAGGACGACGGAGTGGATAGAGAGGGAGACGATGAAGAGGATGCTGTTTGTTGAAACAATGATGAGTATACATTATGGGAAGAAGAGGAAGAGGAGAGGGAGGAGTGGGGAGAGACGAAAGAAGAAGAAGAAGAAGAAGAAAACTTACAACTCGACACCACCAAGACCAGCAACGGCAGCCATAGACGCAAATAGCGTGAGCCATTCTCCCTCGAGAGGCTCGTAGTCGCAGTACAGCACGCCACAGACCTCGAAGCCGTTGGCAAAAGGGGCCACGCGGGCAGCCATGAGCGCGAACGAGACGAGCCAGAAGATGAGAGAGAATATGTCGAGGGTGAGGACGGCCCAGTAGTTGTAGCCCTTCCAGGCGCTGTGGCCGCCTACTTCGACGACGAGGTAGTAGATGCCTATGATCATGGTCCAGAGGGCCTAAGTGGTAACAGACAGGCAAACACGGGGTCAGTATATATATTTCCTTTCTTCCAAACCAAAGAAGAAAAAAAATACCACGCATATGCTTCTATACTGATATATAAGAGACACTCACAGTAAAAATGTTCAACTGGGTGGCATCAAAGCTGAGTATGCTGAGCGCGTAGGCGTCCAGACCCAGGACCACGACCGAGAGGATAAGCTGGACGATGCGGAGAGCGATGAAGCCCTTGGGATACAAGGGGATATGCTCACGGCCGCTGGACCGGACGTTGGAGTATTTGCTGCTCATTGCTGCTGCTGCTGCTGGGGGGGATGGGGATCCCGTAGTCCTCTGATCTTTTGGGGGGGGACTGACTGAGACAAGAGGCTGAGCGGAAACCACTTCTCAAGGAAGAGAGAAGGGGAGGAATGGCAATGGAGGTGAAGGAGAAGGGAGAGAGAGAAACAAGAAAAGGGAGGACCAGAGATGAAGGCGTTCGACTTGAGCACCAAGAAAGGGGATTAAAAATAAAAAAAAAAGGAAAGGAAAGGAAAAGAGGCTCCCGCCCAGTGTATATACCTACACGCGTGAGCTCTGACTATTCCTCTTCCTCGTCCTTGTCCTCCTCCTCCTCCACCACCACCAATACAGCCTCCAGCTCCACCACCAACCTATCCATCGTGGCGTCTGCCACCCTCCTGCACCGCCAGGAGCCGCAGCAAGTCAAAACCCCAATCTGACTCGTGCGCCAGGGGAGAGAAACATCAAATGAGAGGGTCCCCTCCTTGAGAGGCCATCCCCAAAAAACGGCTCCTAGTTTAGGTTCCTGTCATGCATGGGCGGGCTCGACCTCGCGCCATCCTCAAAGATCGTCGTCGTTTATTTACGCCCCGGCACCAGCGCCTCCACTGTCTCCTCCTCCTCCGCCTCCTCAGGCAGCGATCTTTTCCAGGGCAGGGGTAGTAAGTAAGAGAGAAGGAGGGAAGTAGTAGTAGTAGTAGTAGTAGTAGTAATAGTAGTAGTATGGAGTAGTAGTAGCAGGAGCAGCGCAGAGAGGGTAGACAGAAGCAGCCAAGCTCAAGCCCAAGCATAGAGAAAAGCCAAGCAAAGGCTCACGATTTGGCGGGAGAACTGCGGAATTGGAGGGGCGATGAGGCTGAACGAACAAATAGAGGCCCGGGGGGGGGGGGGGAGGAGGGTGCTTCTCATTGGTACAAAACGGGGCCTTGCAGCCCTGCAGACGACCGAAAGAGGGTGCGGCTGGTCGATCGTGACCCCTGCCGGCCAGCTGAAAGGGAAATGCAATGGTACCCTCTTGCGAGCCAAGCAAGAAAGTCAGCCAGCTACCTAAGCGCAATGGTCACTTCTTCCATTGGTGGTGTAGCATAAAGCTGAGGTTGCTGGCCATGCTTGGCAGGTTGCAGTGCCAAGCGGAATGAATCCCGCAGTGGATAAAACCCCCCCAAAAAGGGTTCTACTTTGATGGGACCGGGGGGTGGGGTGGAAAGCTGCATGTCAGATCTTTACTGCTTGCAGCCTCGTTCGTTTCGATTTGGGGAGGCAGAGGAATTCAAAACCATACAAGTAGGACCTTGATATAATGAGCCAAGGAGTCGAGGTCCGAGGGTCGGTTGAGCCTGACACACACTTTCTTTTCTTTCTCTCTGGCTCTCGCTCTATCTCTCGTCTCGTGCTTCGTTTGGTGCAGGAGACGAGGCTATAGGAAGAAGGGGGGATCCTGGGAGACAGGCAGACGGTGAAGCTTCTTTTGAGTAGGAATCCTTCTGAGAAGGCTCTGTTAAAGAAAGGTGAGTGGGTATTGCGTTTGTGTAAGTCGAGAGAGGTGAGTCAAGTCAGTTGAGACAGATGTGAGCTGGGAACAATGTGTCACAAGATAGAGACTGAAGTTGATGAGAAGAGACAAAAATAGCAATACCCTGTAAATACTAGATAGTAAACAAACCAATTGAATAACCTCCGAGAAGAGAGCAACACAAGATTTTGCTGCCCACCAAACTCTACTTTTCCTCCTCTCTCACTCTCAGCCGCCAATGTCACACACACACACACACACACACACCACGCCACGGGAATAATCTCATTAACTTTCCTCCCTTGCTCCTTCTTGTCTTGCCCGTTCAAGTCAAATCAAGCCAGGCGCGCCCCATCCCGGCGGCTGAACAAGCCTGATCCGGAAACCCTGTTCCGTGAACACGAACAGCCTCGGAACTATTGAGGAAAACCCGCTTTGACTTGTCCCCCACAATGTCTTCTTTTTGGTTCCCACTTATATGGAGAAGACAAGCAGGCAGCAGAGCTAGGGCTGACAGACAAGACAGACATACAGACAGACAGACAGATACATAGATAGATAGAGAGAGAGAGAGATAGACGTGGCAGTGGGTGAGAAGGATGCCGAGGTAGAAATGATCCACCGCAGCACAGCAAAGCACAGCACAGCAAAGACCAGGCAGGGGTTTGCAGCAGCAGCAGCAGTAGTAAATAGTGTAGGTAAGATAGGCGTAGGTAAAATAGGTGAACGACTCCGATCAGGGAAGCCATCTACACCACATGAACAAGCAAATCCATTCCTCACCCCCACCCCCCCCCCCTCTCTTCCTATGACACAGACGCCTTGTGGTCAATCAAAGTGGAAAAAGTCAAAAAGCACCTACTTACCATGATCCACAACTGATAGACTTGACTCCGCACTAGACCTCTCATGCATACAGTTGAAGCCACTCACACACACACACACACACGATGGATCTTTTCCACCAACTCGCTGCCCCACTTCGCAAGCTTAAAATATATGCTTGCTTCCTACCTTTTTCCCTTTGTCTCAGCCACCTGCACGATAGCGGAAATTGGTCAACCCGCGGAAGTGGCTTGTTTACTAGCTGATTCTGACCTCGACCTTGCGCCCTTTTCAATGCCGCTAGAGTGACAACAACCTTGACCCGTGGGGCGGGAACCCTTTTGACTGCCACTGGTGGTTTTTGTTTTGTTTGTTTGGCTTCCTTCCTAACCTCCCCCTCTGCCGGAGGATTATTAATTTGCTGTAAGATGGCGGAGATTTGAAAAGTCAGCTCAATGAGGTGGTCACCACAATACTGTACTAATAGAACGAATTGCCGGACAAGGGGTTGGGGGTGGTGACGGAAGGCTGTCCACCCCCTCGTGTCATGCCGGCATTCATCTGTAGCTGTTACTTCCCTCACTCCATCAGTCCCGACCTGTGGCCAGTTAGTCATTCGACAGCCAAGAAATCATGTGACTATAGGCAGATCTGCCAAGAGAGAAAGAACAAAAGACATCACAAGTCCAGCCAAACAGATACTAAGCATCATCAATGACAACACCCCTTAGAGAAAGTCGAGTGCATCGAGGCTCAGGGGTAAGAACTTCTCCATATTGTCTGCCGCAAGAGACCACTACAGACAACAGCTATTGTTCTCTAGCAAGGACTCTCTCCCTCCTGATTTGTTTGAGCCCTCCATTTCCCTCAGCTCGACGACTCATGAGAAAACCCTCCTCGAGTCGACCAGGAAGGCAGTGCCAAGTGTGTAGCCCGTTTTGGTTTCCCAAACGTTTGTGCACACCATCTATCAGTCACATAAACGTGTCTTCTTTTCCTCCTGTCCCCATCCATCCATCCTCCCCGAACATGTGAAGTCAGTCATCCACTGACATGCATTACAAAAAAAAGCAAGGGAGAAACCAGAAAAGAAGAAAACAAAAACGAGGAAAACAACAAAAGTGGTAATAATGCGATGCCCTGTGCAATCATAGGAATTGTACTCGCTCAGAAAGACGAGTCAACAGGTGAGGTTAAAAAGGTCGGAGGGGAAAAGAAAGGGAAAAGAAGAAAAGAAAAGAAAAAAAAGTAAAGGCGGTACAAAGCTTCTGGCGGGTATATCGAAGCAACAAGAAGCCGACCAAATTCATCAAGCACAGGGAAACAAAGCATCTCACAGCAACCTCCCTTGCTGTTCATACGCCAGGCCCTCGAAAGAAAGAGAAGATAGAAGAAAGTGAGGTCTACCAGACCTCGCAATTCCAGTCCTAAGAGAAGTCGACGTTGGCCGTGATGAGCTGGTCGATCCTCTGCACCAGCTCCTTGGTCTCGCGAGCAATCTCGAAGGCGATGGGCGGCAGTGTCTGCGTCCACATGCGCCACTCGCGGTCGCCCTCGCCCTTTCCATCGGCTGCGAGGTCATGACCCCTCTCGCCGGCCTCCATCAGTCGCTGCTGGCTGTCGTAGAGACGTCCAAGCAAGTCGCCACGGCCAGACTGCTCCGTCTCGCTGATGACCCGCCCGACGGTGTCGACAATGGTGCGGATCTGCGGGTCGATCTGGTTCATGTCGGCAGCGCCACGGATTGAACCCACAAGGCCTTGGATGGTCTGCACCAGGTTGGCGGTTTGATCGTCAAGATACACCTGTCCAGCTGCTGTGTCAGAAAGAGAGAAAGATTGACCCGATAGTAATGATTGGGTTAGCTAGTAGCTTTGCTCACCTTGAGATCTTCCGCATTGGGGTCGACCTGGCGCGATCCGTATCCGTTAGAAGTGGGCGCGTAGCCGTTGCCATTCGCCTTGTTGTAGGGCTCGACCGATTCGCGAGGGGAGTTGATTGGGCTGTAGGCTGAGGAGTCTATGCTGCTTCTCCTCCCAAGCCCTTGGAAGGGAGGGGGAGGTGGCAGGTCTTGTGGGTAGGGGTCCGCCTGGTAGGCACTCTGGATAGACTGCGACTTGGCAGTGCGAGGTGAGAAGAATCCAGCAGACTCAACCGGGGTCACGGTCCCGTCATCCTCCTCCTCGAGCTCGCCGTCAGGAGTGATCCGGATCTTGACGAACCGGAGGAGCTCCACCATGGCAGCAACGAGGTTGGAAGCCGCGGCATCGAGTACAGAGACAGGGGCGATACCGGCCGATGTAGCAAATGTCTTGGAGGCGGTGATCATGCTGTTGGCAGCTGATGACACACGGCCCTTGAGCTGCTTGCGCTGCTTCCGCGACTGCTCGTCGGCGGCAGGCTTGGCGTCCAGATCCTTTGCGATCCGCCGCACACTCATGACAACGCTCTTCATGGCATCGATGACCGTGTCGGGCTGCTCCACGCGCGCCCGGCGGAGCAGCTCGTCAATAGCAACCTGGAACTTTGTGACGTGCAGGTCCTTCACGACGCCAGCGTCATCCGTGAAGCTCTGGTCGCGCACGAATCGGCCTGCGTCGTTGCCTGAAGACAGGCTCATAGACGCGCTTCGCATGCCGCGCAGCTGCGTCTTTGCCCTTGCGTAGCGGTTGCGCCAGTCACGGACCTCCTGCTCGAGGGTCTCGATCGTCTTCTCCAGCTCGCCCTGCTTGGCCCATGATGCCCCGCTCTGCTCCGAGAGCTGCTTCATCTCACGCAGGAACTCCTGCGCCTCCCGTCGGACCTGGGCAGTCGTCTCGCGCTGCTCGTCCAGGGCCGCCCGCAGTTCCTCGTTCTCTCGCTCGAGCTCAGGGTCTGCGCGTCCCGACGACCCTGCATTTGCGGCTGAGGCCTCCATATCCTCGCGCAGCTGGCGCGTCTCGTTGGCATGCTCGTCTCGCATCCGGTCGAGCTCATCCCTGAGCGCATTGTTCAGGCTCTGGGCCTCTGTGAGCTTGCTCTCTAGGTCCAGGCGCATATTCGACCACTCCTGCTTTTCTGCATCCGCAGCATTCGACCTGGACCGTTCCTGGTTCAGAACCCCACTCATCTCGTCATCCTTCTTTCTCAGGTCATCTTCCATGCTGTTGAGCTTCTCCTGCAGCTCTCGCACCTGGTCCTCGTAGTCGGAGATGATCTGCTTGTCCTTCTGATAAAAGAGGGTTAGTCTCTCCATGAGCAGTATATGTAAGAAAAAAGAAAGTCTCAACTCACTTCTGATGAGCCGCCATCGCCCTTTTCTATATTATTCGCGGCATAAGAATCTTGTGCATCATCGAAGCCATCGTCATCCTCTTCCACCATGGTACTTTTATTTGGTATTATCGTGTTTTGCTGAGATTGCTTGGGTTGAGGTCGGTCGTAGCTGCTGGGCGGCATGCCAGGGGAAGGGGGGATATCATAGGCATCTTGCAGGGCGCCACGGATGGAGGAAGCGTTACTGGGCTGTCGCCTGCTGGGTCCACGAGGGGGGAAGCCGCTCATGGCGGTCCCAGGCCGACTGGGGGCTCGTGTCGAGGCCGGGCTCGACAGCCGTGGGATGTCGCCCGCCACAAAACGTGGGAACCTCCGCTCCAGCTCGCAGAAGACGTCTGTGGCGAGATCACGGAACCGTGGAGGGCCAAGCGACGACAGCTTCTGGCGCGCCTGATTACGCTTGGGGTGGAAGGTCTCTTCTGGGAGGAGGTACGGCGGGGGTCCGACGCTCTGAGGCGCATTGGGCGGTCTCCTGCTGAAGGCCTGTCTCCGCAGCAGCTCGTCGAAGACATCGGTACTGAGTTCGTAGAACTGCACCGAGGTCAGGCGCTGCAGCTTGTCGCGGGCCTTGTTCTGAGGAGGCGTCGGCTTGCCATCGCGCGATGTCTGCGAGAGATACCGCTTGAGCGCGACGTAGTGCTCTCCCAGGATTGCCTCGGTGTCCGGCTCTCTCCTGCTGCGGCCGCCCTCGCTCCTCGCGTAGATATCCGTGGCTGTGCTTGAGCGACCGATCGAGGGAGGCGGCGAGGGGCCGCCGGCACTCCTGGGCCCTGTAGGGAATCCGCCGTTCATGGGGCCGTTTCCGCCTCCTGAATATGGTGGTGATGCTAGTTGACCCTGTTCTAACATGGGATTGAGGCCTTGCATAGGGCTCTGGGTTGGGTAGGGACCATCGTTCTGCATTCCCGTCGGCCAAATGGTTCCTGTCGTCGACACAGGTGATAAAGGAGGGTTGGCGCGCGCGGCAAGCATTCTTTCACACGGGGGCGGGCGGATTGGTCAAGTGGCAATTGGCCGGCTGAGGCGGCGTCAAACTGGGCGTGGGGAATGTGACCCAGGCTTACAGTAGCGCGCGAGCGAAGCACCAAGATCGTGTTCGACCCTGGTTCAATTCCCCCTTGTACGTGGCCGTACGTCGTCAAAAGGGCGAACTCGCACGTGGCGATCGTCAGTAGACGACCTTTGTCGGGAGCAAACGATTGGAAGGTTGGTCTGGGGATGGTTGGGTCGCGCAGAACGAGTGAGATTCCGTCAGCCAGCGGGTTGGGAGGGACCAGGCGCCGTCGGTAATATGTGTGTGCTGGCAAAGCAGCCCCCTTTGCTCTTTTGGGTGCCGATCGCCCACGCAAGCCCTGAAGATGGGAAGACGGGCTGGCAGCCTGTGACGTGCGTGCAGGTTTGTCTGGAGATTGTGAAACGTCGAAATCGGCCAAATGGTCTGGGTAGGGGCTCCGTTGAGGTGTGAGGGAGTCTTTTCCTTTAATGCGGGAGGGGTCGCTTGCGGCTTGTCGAAGAAGGGCTAAGGTGGACACTGCAGGGGGGCCGGCTCCAACGATAATAGGGGAGAATGAACCCTTGTGGCCTTGCGGTAAGGCAAGAAGACAATTGGTAGTAGCCGGTGCCTCCCCGTCGAAGGAAGGGCAAGAAAAAAAAAATTTACCCAACAACACAAAGAACAACCAGAAGCCGCCACAACAATACTCGAGGATGATAAGGTTCGTTCAGCCAGATCAGATCGGATCAGATCAGCTTTCAATTATCGCCCCTTGCTTTTTGGCTTTTCCCTTCGCAATTACGCTTCAGATCGATTGATCCTCCTCCTGGGTGGGCGGTTTGTCGAGCGAGTCAGCGTCGATTAACGAGCCGGGCGCCGAGACGTTGTAGAATGCGGGGCCTGGAAGTCGAGTCGGTACAGGTGAACAAAGAAAGACTGACTGCCTTGGGGAGAATCGAAGCGGCTTTTGAAAGAATCTCGGTCACGGCAATGTCTGCGATCACGGACCAGAGTGCCAGGGGGGGGTCAAGAGGCGCCTTCAGCAGCGAGATGATGCAGTCTCGAGTTCGTTCCAAGGAGGATCCGAAGGGGTCGTATACGAGCAGGAAGCTGTTTGACAGTATCGTTGAATCGGGTCGAGATATTAGGAATTAAGAAAAAGAAAGAGAGAGAAACTAGAGCACAGGAGAAGGTAGTAGGAAGTAATGCGTGGGTATCGTTTCGTTCTCGTAGGTCGTAGTAGTAGCAGTAGTAGTTGTAGTTTTCAGCCCCCGGCGAACTCGAGATGACTCGGCTTGAATCGAAGGACAACCAATGACACGGACCGTTCTGGAAATAGAAAGAAGCAACCCTAGTCTGTGGAATGAGTAGAATAGAATACAAAGAATGGCCCGAATGACTGGGGAGGAAGCGTCAAACGTCGTAGTTGGGGTCAAGGTGGTAGAGGAGAAGGAGGTGAGGAAGGGAGCCTGGGTGAAGCGAACAAGTGAGTGACCGCACAGGATAACATTCCACGCATCTAGAAAGAGAAGAGAGAATAAAAAAGGAGGACTAGGAAAAGATCCGATGGGTTTTGAGAGACAAGATCAAGATTATCGGTCAGGTCCCAGCAGGTTCAAAGCAAGGAAAAAAGTGACGAGGATGCACTAGGGCATCGATCAGTACAGTGGCCCATGTTCCAGACTGCATAGCAAAGATGCACCTAGATGGGGTATTCAATTTGGCAAATGCCTGTCTGGGTTGTACTGTTAACAGAAAATGCCCACTATATAGTACATACTATTCCGGTACATACACCACATGGTTGACTCCTGCTGAGGCCGACCGACCAGTTTTAATTAATCGGCATACGTACTGCTCCTATGGATACGTAGTACGAGTACTTTGTACTACGGCATAACATTCTCTCTAGCACATGGCCACCGGTTGCAATATGCAGGTACGAGCCTTGCTGCCGTACCCCTGGCTAGACCACTTTCGACATGTGCCAGACTGGGCAGGCACCTCACAGAGGAATGTACTCATGTACCGCAGTACATACATAGTAACTATGGTGTCATAACACACTGGCAAAGCTTGCAATACCTGGCTCGTTGCGTCTGCTCATTTGACCAGACCAATGCGACTATTTGGAGAGGAGGCAAAGAAGAAGAAAATAACGTCACTTCGCGTGGTGCTGGTCCAGGCCAATCTCCAGTCGCTATCTGGCAACCCCTCAAGCACACACCCACCCTTCAATCCACCCACACACGTTTTACAGAGTCCAAGCCCACAGAGCAGTTAGCAGAGGCGAAAAAAATACCACCACCATGTTCACTACTCGATCTATTGCATTGTTCATTTGTCGCTTTTTGGAAGGAGCATCGTCGAGGAGCCAACTGCCCTCAAGGGGTTGGCCCTGACCTTCACAGGCCCTGGCCAATAAGATTAGCCCTCCCTCGCCCTCCCCAATCTCCAGTGATCCTAGCCTATGGCCTAGCTGACCCCACCCCCTGACCCAGATCCAGTCCCTGTGTGGGGCTTCTCATAATATCCACAGGGCAGCAGTGGGGGATGGGCCTCCCTCCGTCCCTCTCAGAGATTGGGTTCTTCTGGAAGAAAAAAGAAGAAAAAAAGATTGGAACACCTATCACGGCGCCTATGTGTGCCGTGGCCCCTCCCCCCCCAAAGCGCTTATGACAAGGAGGAGAAGAAGTAAAAGGAGAGACGAAGGAGGGAAAATATCACCGGATGGCTCGGATGAACGTGCATTTGTTGCACAATACCTTCAACCTGATCGAGCGAGAGGATCAAAAGAGAAAGCTGAAAAGAGTAGGCTGCCTCAACCCCTCCGGAAAGAACTCTCAATCTTCAATTCCGCTCGGAAACGACCGTCGGTGTCTGGCAACATATCCGTACCTGTCGATCACATGTTCTCGACCGCCGGGCCCCGAGGAGAAAAGAGCAGGGGGGGGGGCAAGACAGATGAGCGAGGGAACGAAATGGGCGGAGAAGGGCTTGGTCGGTAAAGAACATCATCAAGGAAGCAAGGGACCACGAGGTAAAATGAGATATCAAGTCCGATCTCACTCCCCTTTCTCGAAGTGACAAGAGTATCGCGTGTACTATGGTACAGCTGGGTACTGCTGTACGACGTCCACGTAACCATGTCTATCATTACTCAACATGGGTCGTCCTCAGCCCTACTTGCGAGAAGAGAAAGCAAAAAAGTCAAAAGATCACCATCATCCCAGGCAACCTTCTACGATCCAGGTCGATTCTCCTCCAACGGGCGGGAAGTAAATCTTCTGTGCTCACCCATCGCCAAGCTCGCTCCCGCTCTGACGGTTTGAACTATGTAGAAAAGAGATGGGGAGACGGGGCGCCACCGTGGGCCCTAATAATCCATCTAGGAGGCGGGGCTTGAAATGGATCTCTATCCCTCTCTCTCTCTCTCTCTCCAGCTCTTCCTTTCTCTTCACTCACCCACTCTTGTCTTGCTTGTTTTGCTTCCTATCTTTGTTCTTCTTCATCATGTCTCGGCATTTAGGGTATCAAATCCGACACTACTAGACTTAAAAACAGATTGCAATTTCGGACCTTTGGCCATTGGAAGAGAGGGAGGACCCAACCCTTTGAGGCTGAGCAGCCTCAGTCGCGTCCCCCCCCCCCCCCTTTTGCCTTTGCGAGTATGGGAGCCCCTGTTCTGTTGCTGCATGCATGCAGCCAGCCGCCCTGGCCCACCCTAGCAGGCATCTTTGTTGTACTACCCAGAACATGGGACGACGAAACTCGCGGTGACAGCCGTTGGGACGATTGAAGCTTGTTTTTTGGTTGGTACGGCAGAGTGTCAGGTCGCATTGCCGTGCAACGCCATCGCCCAGGCGAAGACTTTTTGTTCGTCCGATCTTTGAGGCGCAACGCCAGCCAGTGGGACAGCTGACTGGGTTTGGTACCCTAGTCATGGTTTCTGACAGCCCAGCCGGCTTTTGGAGAAAGAAAGGAGGGCGAGAAAGGAAAGAAAGGAAAAAGACATACCAAGAAAACAAGAAGAAAGCAAACACAAGAAACAACCCCGTAGGGCAGAAGGAGAAGAACCCGTGAAGACAGAACACTTCCTTGGTTGGGCATTTGAGTTTTCTATTTTTAACAGACATTGAACTCGGTTCTGTTTGTGGCAGCGGTGGTTCGGAGACTTGTTTATACCCTCCTATCAGGCAAGTACACGAATCACAGCGTCCCGAGTTTCCGAGGTAAATACTATGGGTATGGATGCTCGGAGATGCCATGTTAGGAAAATGATGCGGAACCTTGCTGGCCAGGGCACACACGGACTAAAACACTGCGTACCAAGCACGCATGCAACTCAACCCAAATTTACGAGCGAGCTTTTAGAGAGAGACAGGGAGTCTGGTTCATTCGGATTCCTGTTTAGGGAGTATTGGTGCTGTCACAAAGATGTGTCATCTCGACTTTCGAGTCCGGACAAAACCAATGGGTATCATTGGCGCCTTATAGAAAAAAGGGAAAAGAAAGGAGGAAAATTTTTTGACAGCCTACCGTCGAGCTCGAAAAAGCTTTCCAAACGTCCTTCCGCGCTCCTACTTTGCTTGGCCAGTCGCATTTTGGCAACACCACCGATGGTGAAAAAACTCCGGCTGGCATCGCTCCACCACGACCATCCTTTTCAGAACCACGACAGTGTCCAGGTGGCGGGCAGATTAGGCCATCTCTCCTGCCACTCCGCAAGCACGTCTGGGACTTTCTCGTCGAAGCCTGCTCTGGCAGCCATGCTGCCACCGTCAAAAGCCGCGGCGCCGACCGCTTCCCTCTCCTCCGCCGCGACCTTGTTCAGTGACATCGCCAGGTCCACAATTCCCCTCCCGCCGACCGCCGCCTCCTCGTGGTTGTCTTTGATGTCGACATTGATGACGTGAACCGGCCTGTTCAGCGGGCTACCCCTCGCGAGCAGGTCCTCCACCACCCCGTCCCAACATCTCTCCTCACAGGTGATGACCACATCCACGATGCCCGTCTCCGTGCCCTCGTAGCCCTGATAGTGTTTCTGCCCTGCTCGGGGAACCCCAATTTGCCAGTCTTGCCATCTCTCCGGGCCCCATTTTATGCCGCGGTTGCGATCTAGCATGTTGAGCAGGCCATTGGCGCGGTACAGACGGGGGTCTTTGGCTTCGAGCTCCCTGTACATACTATCGTAGGAGGTCTTGTCGAAGTGGTAGGTATTGGGCTGGGTGATGGTGGGCCCTGGGAGGCGGACGAGGGATCCGGTGCCAAAGGAGATCACGGGAAAGCCCGCCTGGGCGAGGCGGAGATGACCTTCCATGGATCTAACGACACGGTCAGCAAAAGACTCCACATGCACCAGGAAGAATGCAGGTTGGCAGAGAGCTGTTGACAAGAGATGGGCCCAAGGAGCATGTGTACCTGTTCTGATTGCTGGCGCAGACAGTGCAGAAGCGCAGCTTGAAGTCTGATTCTTGGCCGGCGCCATTCTGCACTGCAGGAGCAGCTGCGGCTCCGTTTGTAGCCTCGGTGGTCGCCATGATCTCGTCGGGGCTGCAGTAGACAACCTCGCTGGGGATCGGACTGTCGGGACTGGGTCGCGGTCAGTAGAAGTTCACGACTCTCGGAAATGGATACATCTGCAGGACAAAGAAGGTGGCGTGCGATCAGATATAAAATAGCGTAATAGTAAAAAGAGTCATCAAGAGATCAGACAGCTCCAATTTCGAAATTCATCAGGTGACGCGGACGTTGTTCAAGGTTTTGCTTTGAGGTTTTTTTTTTGGGGGGGGGGGGGTGGGTTTGACTTGCCAACAACCGTACAGTGAGGAAGCTGGGTTGCAACGTTGAGGTTGCGATCGATGCTGGTCTCAGACATCCGTCAAGAGACGGGTCATGTCTTTGAAGCTTTCACTTCATCCGTTTATAAGTGTTGTCGCGGGCCAACAGCCACACTAATGTGATTGCTGTGCTATTTTGTTTGGTAGGTTTCGGCAGGTTTTTGGGAGGAAAGTTTGCAAAGCTTGAGGTTACCCAGCTTGAGATGCTTGGGGTTTGGGTGTTGTAGGCAGGCAAATAAAGCGGGTCTGGTAGCTAAGATTTCATTGGCCCTTGGGGGTTAGTTGTGACCATTGTACATGTGTAGTAATACAGATTGCTATAGCATGGTAGGACAGTAATGGTATGAGGAGGGTTGGGACTACCTCGGCCTTCCAGGAGGAAGAGGACAACAACACTCGCCCCCTCCCCCCCCCTCCCAAGAAAAAGAAGAAACAAATCACATCTATGTTGGATCATCATTGATGAACGAGATACATCGGAAATGACGTTTTGGTAAATCTCATCTGGCTCAATCATGAATGGTTAACAGGAATGACCGCAGTACAACACCCGGGCGGCCATGTGGGCGCAGGGAAGCTCTAATAGATCTGGTCGATATATACTACGATCCAAGTACCGCGCAAGTTCTTGGAGACCAGTAATGATGAGTCTTCTTGGAAGATTGTTCGGACGTACTCGAGACGAGTCAGTGCCACGCGTATACTGGGGCCGCCTTTATCTTCGTTCTTATTCAGTGACTGTAGGAAGAGGTTACTAGTTGTACTGTAAAGGACCTGCAAGGCCCTCGTCGATCTTCAATCTTGTACTATGTACAAGATCGTCCTACCAAATGGGATAACTCAACAGGAGACTGTCAAGGTTATGAGACTATGTGGTCTGCCTTGTAGAAGTCTCAGGCGCGCTGATGGGTTCTGAATCGGGATTGGGCGGTTCTAGTCAGGGTTCGTCGTTGTAGCAAGCAAGCAAGCGCTGCCGCTATCTTCGGCAGCTGAGTCGATGGCGGCCCGCTGTAGTAATTCCTTCACTGTATCACTGGATCATGCTTAAGGCCGAATACCCGGCGCTTCAGGTGATACTCGGAGATTCGAAACAGTACGAGAAGTACAGAATCGTGTTCAGGCTGGCAAGAATTGGTTCGTGCGTCGAGTTCGAGCTCGAGTTTGAAGTCGAGGTCAACGTCGAGGGCGAGGTCAAGGGCGGCGAGGCAGAGAATAGAGGATCCTACAGTATGTCGTCGCTGGCAGGATGATATGAGTTCCATTGAGCGGTGGAGCCCCCCGACTGTACAGGGCGTGACGTTTAGGCGGCTTCCCACTCCCAACCCCACTACCTTTGACCCCTGGACGCTTCTGTCGCTGCCACTACCACTGCCACTGCCACCCCCAAACTTTCTCGTGTAAATGTGCGAATTACTCCTTGTCTTCCTCTCTAAGCCCACGACCCATCAGATCCCCTCCTCGTAATCGCATGTTAGCAACAACACCATACATAGTAACAGTGATGACCTAGTGAGGGCCTAAAAAGCTTCACAGGCGCCTAATACTACTAGTCAAACCATGCAAATTACATCAAAGTGAGGAGATTGTCAACTGTCACCTCGCATAAATTCAATTTCTCATTCACGACTACTTGTGGACACTCATGTACTACACAGTACTACTGCCTCTTGCATCTGGCTCTTTTCCAGTTGGCAACCACTGCCGCTGAGCCGCGGCGTCTAGCTTCACCTTCTAGCCTTTTCCACCCAGTCTAGGTGGTAATACCGAACCCGTCCGCCCTGCCCTGCCCTGCTCTCTTTGCTTGGCTGCGCAACCTACGCTAACACCGTCAGCGACAAAGGCCGACCCTCAAAATCACCGCTTGTCTACTTGGGCTTGGGCTCCCTGAGCGAGGGCCCTGCCTATAGGTGGTGGTGTGTTTGGGGAGGGGGGGTTTTTTTTTGGTGTAAGGCAAGGTGGTCGCAGCAGAGAGTGACCCTCTCTTTTCCATCCTCAACCCAAAGCCAGACTCACCCTGTTGATCCGAATCGAATCGTCCTCACGTCTCCACACACAAGCCTGGGATCAAACTGGTTCCTTGCAACGCAACACAAATTCTTTTGCACCGCCTTCGCAAACCTTGAGGCTCTGCAAGGCTGATCTTTGCAAAGCTTCCTCTCTTTGCTGACCAAAACCATCAATACCTCCTCTCGCTCCTCCACAAAAAACGACAGACCACTTGCATACCCGGTGTCCTGCTGCTGCTGCTGCTGTTGCCAATCGAATTGTCGTCTACCAAAAATCCATCCGGCCACGAGGCGCTCTGATTCAACCCAGCCCAACCCCACCCACTTCTCCTCTCTCCCTCTATCAACTACTCGGAGCAGTCGCCTTTTGAGACGGACGGTGGAACCAGTTGCGGGTACGGTCAGGAAACCTTGCTCACGATCTGGGCGCGATTGCCTCTGCGACATCGCACGCGACATTCGGAACGCCCAACCTCACTCCTCGCGCCAGACATGTCAACCACCATGCCAGCGACCTCGTCACCAGCGACCTCACCTCCCGCAATCTCCTCGCCGACCTCGAATCCGAACCATCCCCCCCTGCCGCCGCTCATAACGAACTCGCCCCAGCAGAAGAGGACAGCGGCCCCTCGGCCTGTATCCATGTCACAAGCATCCAAAAACCGGCTGTCGCAGTACTCTGTGACCTCGATGCCCTTCCACTCGCGACCGACCTCGCACGCCCTCCCAATGTTCCCGTCGAGCCTGGCCTATACACTTGTGCGGGATTTCGCATACCCCCAGGCGCACCCGATGCACTATGGCCCCCCTCCAGAACCCTCACAGCCGCCGTCGGGCATGACCACCCCCGCCAGCGAGTCGCGGCGCCTCTCCGATCCTGCGGGCTGGGACGGGCCCATGAGCTGGGACAGCAGCGCCTGGGCGAGCCTGAGCAAGGTCGACAACCTCGCACCCATCTACCTGGGCGACGGCCCGCCCTGGAGCGAGGACGAGGACCTCCACAGCCCTGTCGTCAGCTCCAGACACCGAAAACACAAATCGTCAGGCGCGGCCTTTGCCTCCAGCCGACGGCGCAGCAGCCGTGACCAGGGCGACTCGCACGTAATGCGCTCGGAGAATTACGACCAGGAGAGGGGTTACTACGTGGGCACCAGCGGAGACGGCAGCGAGCGATACTACGTGAACCAGGGGGAGGAGGCGAACGGACCAGGCGGTGAATATGTCACCTATCCGCCCAACCAGGCCAGACACTCATACGGGGGCGTGGCCGAGCTCCAGCCGAGACAGTACGTCGAGCCCAACGGCGGCAGGTACCGTGCCGAGCCCGACGACCTGAGCGACGACGAGTCTCCCGGCTACGACGAGGAGGACCAGTCGCGGTACTCCAAAGACTACCAGTTCACCATCACTTCGCCCGACGAGGAGATGCACGGCAAGGCCGTCGCGCTGTTTGATTTTGCGAGGGAGAACGAGAACGAGCTGCCCCTGGTTGAGGGCCAGATCATATGGGTGTCGTACCGACACGGCCAGGGGTGGCTGGTGGCAGAAGACCCCAAGACGCAGGAGAGCGGACTCGTGCCCGAGGAGTACGTACGGCTCCTGAGGGACATCGAGGGCGGCATGACGAGCCTGACGGGGCAGGCCGAACCTACCTCCGGGAGCCCCGGCGACGCGGGCACGCCAACACAATCTGAACATACGGACTCTGGTCACACACCAACTGCAAGTACCTCCTCCACTGCCACCAATGGTTACCATCAGCCAGTCGTCTCAACGTTCTCTACTTCCAGCAAGGACCTTGATCCATACCCCCAACACCTCCTGGGCCACCAGGCTGGACAGGCCCCTCCCCAGGTCGTACACTACCACGGTCAGCGCGGCGGCAGCCAAGCGAACACACCGACGCTCTCGACACACCAGGAGACTGGGGTCCTGCTGCGGCGCGGCAGCCAGGCTGGCGACGAGATCCCGCCCAAGAAATATGAGTTCGGCCGGACACTTTCGGACGCCAAGATGATGCAGTCATCGTCACCTGGCGGGAACAAGATCGATACGAGCCCATGACAAACATACCGCTGCGTTGGGGAAATATGAGTTGGGGCCAGGAGATTCTTCATTATATGCGCCATACGCAAGTGGAATCTTGATGCGGCTGCTGTAATTGTAACGACCTGACGGGATGAAGCGTTGCTCTTCTCATGTCAGAAAGGAAACATGTTTTAATCGTGCTCGGCTCATTCAGCACGGGCTGGCGTCTCTTGATCATCGCCACAAACGAAATCCAACAATTGGGCTCGACATTGGAAAGCTTCTTTTCCCCCTTGGCCCGGGAACCCTTTGAACAGCAGGATTTGTTGTCGGCTCTCTCTATATCTCTGGCAGTACCAACGTTTTTGTTTTCTCCCTTGGAACCACAAGCGACTCCTGCCCTTCCTCACAGGGGATTTTTTAACGTGTGGAGTGCGGGATGCTGCTATATGAGCATGACTGGGCGGCTGGCCTGATGTCGAGGACATTTGACCTTATCATGGGGATGAAGAGCCGAAGAGTCGTGGACGAAAGGGAGACGCATCATCACCACTCAGCGTGCAATGTTGGATTTCCGATATGGGTGAAAGGGAGGGTCAATATAGCAAGCTGCGCTGGTTGGATGTTCAAGCAATAGCTGAATGAATACTGAATACATACACTGCCGGTTTCCTAGCCGTCAACGGCAGTTGAAAGCAATCCTGTGTCCATTTCTGCATAAGTATATGAGGGTCTGCATTCCGCTGTTCATGAGAAACTTTTTCTTATGAGTCTGTTGATAGATATGACAGTTTGAAATCGGATGCATGTGGCTTTTGCTATTTGCACGTTTCATTGTTCTTAAAGGTGGTTGTTGATTTTCCCCTTACATTTCTATCTTTTCTCCCCCAGCCTCTTCTGCCTCCCTTCCTGAAACTTTTCATTTATTTTCATTTATTTTCATTTATTTTCAATAATAGGTCAAATATTGTTTATTAGATACTATTCATGTTCTCGTTTTGTTTCTTCGTATTCTAAAAATAAATGTCATGACTTGGGCTGGTATTAAGGGGGGGGGGTGTCCCGATCCTGACGTGATTCGAGGTTACGTCACAGACGTCTTGAGCTCGGCGGATTTCTCCAAAGTATTGCGCGAGCTCTCCAACCTGCATTTCAAAGCACTACCAACCTTCAAACATCATCGTACGAGACAAAAGGCGACCGCAATTGGAAACGCCAGAGCACACTCCAGACTCATCTGCTCTCCCTCGAGACCAATTCATTGGTTTCTTCATCCTTTTACTCACCTTCAACTGCTGAAGAAAAGAAAAGAAAGAAAACATGTTTGCGCGATCAGCATTCCGGGCGTGCCAGTCGGCGCAGCCTTTGAAGCATGTACGTACAAAAGTTGCGAAGCAAAGGATGGCAACGCCTTCCTTTCCGAGACTCAAAGAACCCAACAAAGAAAAGGAAAACTGCACAAGTCTCAGGCTGACATTCACTTCCGACAACCTCTTCTCAGCAAACCCGCCGTTACGCCTCGCAACCCCCCTCCTCCAGCGGCAGCAGCAACACGCTCCTCTACGTCCTGGGCGGTGCCGCCGTAGCAGGCGGCGGCGGCTACTACTACTTCTCACAGAACCCAGGCGCCGCGCAAAAGGCCGAGGCCACGGTCAAGGATGCTCTGCCATCCGGCAGCGTCGGTGTCAAGAAGGCCCTGACGGGCGGCGACCAGGGTTTCGTGTCGCTGAAACTGGACGACGTGGAGATTGTCAACCACAACACCAAGAAGTTCCGGTTCAAGCTGCCCGAGGAGGATATGGTGTCGGGGCTGGATGTCGCCAGTGCTATTTTGACCAAGTTCAAGCCTGATGGGGAGAAGAAGGCTGTGCTGAGGCCCTACACGCCTGTCTCGGATGAGGGTGGGTCTTTTCCCCTGCTTTCTTTTCTTGAGGAAGAAAGAGAGCGCATTGCATGGAGATGTGCTGAGTGACTGACCGACTAACGTGGATGAAAATTAAAAGATGAAAAGGGATTCGTTGATCTGATCATCAAGAAATACGAGGGCGGCCCAATGTCCACCCACCTGCACGACATGGTCCCCGGCCAGCGCCTCGACTTCAAGGGCCCTCTGCCCAAGTACGCCTGGACGCCCAACAAGCACGAGCACATCGCCCTGGTGGCGGGCGGCACGGGCATCACGCCCATGTACCAACTGTGCCGCGCCATCTTCAAGAACCCAGACGACAAGACCAAGGTGACGCTCGTGTTCGCCAACGTGAGCGAGGAGGACATCCTGCTCAAGAAGGAGTTCCACGAGCTCGAGAACACGTACCCGCAGCGGTTCCGCGCCTTCTACACGCTCGACAAGCCGCCACAGGAGTGGAAGGGCGGCAATGGATACATCACCAAGGAGCTGCTCAAGACGGTGCTGCCAGAGCCCAAGTCGGGCAACATCAAGGTGTTTGTGTGTGGACCGCCGCCCATGTACAAGGCCATCTCGGGACCCAAGGTTAGCCCGCAGGACCAGGGCGAGCTGACAGGTTACCTCGCCGAGCTGGGCTACAGCAAGGACCAGGTGTACAAGTTTTAGAGAACACAGGCTTTGTGTTGTATAAATAATTAGAAGAAGGGGAATCGATAGAGAAGTTGACCAGGAGGTTTTTTCTTCCTCCTCCTCTTCTGCTTACCCAGGTCCATTTGTAGAAGAACTAATACGCAACAAAGCCTCCGTCTGCCTCTGCTGAACGTCCATATACGCCCCTGCTAACCTCCACCTCTGCCCAATCCTCTCCACACACTCTTTCATAATCTCAAACCCTTCTTTCATATCAGGGTCCCCGTTCTCGCTCCACAGCCACTGGAAAATCGACATGCCGCAGTATACCGTGTCCAGAAGCAACGGGCTGATCCTGTCCACCATCCTCGCGCCCCCTCTACTGGCCCTGTCCCCTTCCTTTTCGCCGCCGCCGCCGAGATCAAAGAGCTGGCCGTGTGCAGAGTAGTTCGTCCAGCCCAGGCCCCAAGGCCCGTGCCGTCCCTTGTCCTCATCCCCTCGCATCAGCCGCACCAGTTCCACCACCACGCCCCGCACCTTCGTCCCCGCCAGCTTGAGCCCGTTGATGGCCTCGACCTGCATCGCCATCTCAGCCTCGCTCCTTGAGGGGTGGCCATTGGGCCAGCTGCCGCTGCTCTCTACCGCCGCGCCTGGTCGCATGTGTTCAGGGCACGCGTACATGTCCAGCACCATGACGGCCGTGGACCAGGCGGCGCAGTGGGCCGTGATGTAGGCGAAATACATATCCGTGCCAGGGGTGGCGCCCGCTGTGTCCATGTCTCTCGAGATGGCGCGGCAGAGGGTGTCGAGCTCGGAGACGACGGCGGTGGCCTCACGGATGTTGAGCGGCCGCCCGTCGTCAGCGAGACCGACGTCCCCCGCGCTGGCACCCACTCCGCTGCAGATGTGCTCCAGGCCGTGATATTGGTTGTATCGGCCGACGGCGCGCTTGCAGTGGGCCATGGCGCGGGAGATGAGGACGGCGGCCTGGGCCAGGCGGGCAAAGGGGCTGGCCGAGGCTTCGGAGAGAGGTGTAGACACGGGTCGCTGGAAGCAGCGGGCCATGTCGCCTGCGTCCCAGGCGAGGTCGTCGACGGGGAGGCTCTCTGCATCGGGGGGCGGGGCTGGGTCGCCTGCAAAGGGGCGTTTGTTGCCGAGGGAGATGAGGCGGTCTAGGATGTGGGTTGCCCACCAAGTGCGACGGCGTTCTTCGGCCTCGGTCCATGTTTTCTTGAGAGAAGTGAGCAAACTGAAGTTTTCTTTCTTCCTTCTTGTCTTTCTCTCCACTTCTCTCGTGGGCAGGAAGGAAAGAACAGATACAAAGAGAGAGAACGTGTTTGTGTGTGTGTTGGAGGGAAGGGGGGGGGGGGTTCAAACTTACACATGATCCAAGAATGGCTGCAGCCTGGCCATAGGATGACAAGCTCAACATTGTTGCGTAGCGCACACAATTCCCGACCGTCATCCAGGCTTGAGGATAGATGGCATGGCTGTACTCATACAGGGCGATGAGGATCATGGCCTGGAGGTACATCAGCGACACCGTTCCGGCCGATTCAAGCAAGGCCACGAATTGCTTAGCAATCCTGTAGATGGGCATGTCGGCGGGGGAGGCCAGCTCGGGCGCCGGGGGGGTGGTGATGAGCTTCATGGTGAGGAAGAGTAGGGCGAGATCGGGCCCGCCGTCTAAGACAGAGATGCCCAGGTTCATGCGCTTTCTGGAGATGAAGGAGAACCATTTGTGGACTGTGGTAAAGTAGACCGAGGCGGCGTGCTCGATGACCTCGCTCGAGTCGAGCATCTCGAGGACCTCCTAGAAAAAAATGATCAGCACCGGAACCAGATATTGGGAAGAGACAGATAGAATCCAGCAGGCGTGAAGTCAAAGTAGGCATTACAGGTTCGACGAATTCTTCTTTGAGGATTAAACAAATTTCTTAGATATTGTTCCGCTACTAACCAGTCGCTAAACCAGTCAGAACTCAGGGAATCAACTCAGCTTGGAGACTGACCCCCCACAAATCACAAAAGGCCATCACTTCTTAAGTATGGACAAGAAGATAGAGGAAATGGATATACTAGAGGAGAGATGCTGGATGTCCTGCCCCTTTCCCCGTTTCTCCTTAGAATGAGAGGCAAAGGACAGGGAGAGGTCATCAAGACGTATTCCCTAAAGGCCGCTACTATGAAATGCAATTGGGTAAAAACAAAGACGACGATCGAGTCAACGTGGTAGTATGACAATGCGAGAACAAAAGTCAACTCCAGCAGCACTGGATCAGAGAAGCCGACACTTCTAGACTTACAGCTGGTATATCAACAGTTGGCCTTGGAGGAGGAGTCATGCCGTCATAATACACGTCGATATCGAGAAAAAAGACAGCAGGGAACCTATTCGTCGGCGGTGGTGGCATGGTCCTTGCGAAATCACTGGTCCAAGCAGAGGCCGTCCCCGGCCCAGCCGCGCTGTTGTTATTCTCGGAACTTGATCGAGAACCTCCCGTATTGGTGCTCGACGCGGTCGGGGTGAGGGCAGTTTGCTGCTGCTGGCGCTGACAGTCGGGGAAGGGCCCAGGACCAGTAGCGGCCGACTTGAGCCTCGCCTCGATCTCCATCAGCTTCATCTGCAGCGCGGCAAAATCCTCGGCCGAGGGCGCCGCAGCGGCCACCGCACCATCCGAGTAGTCGCACGCGCGCTGGAGCGAGGCGCATCTCGAGCACGCCGGGAGCCGCTTGTCACATTTGCGCTTTTGTCTCTTGCAGGTTGCACAGGCTTGGTTGGCGAGCGAAATGGTCACACCTGCTATGGCTTCCAGCTGGGCGTTGTCCACCCTGGGCTGGAGGGCCATCATGATGAACGAGTGAGCAGTGGTGGCGCTGGTAGTAAGAGTGGTAAATACAACGGTGAGAATGGAAAGGAAAAATGATTAGAAGAGATTTAAAGCAAAGATGATATGCGGTGAAAAGTTTATACACGTATAAGAAAGCTTACTGAGCATTTCTGAAGGGAAACAAAGTGAGCGAATGTCATGCAAGGAGGATTTATAAGGAAGAGTCGGAGATAAAGGAGGCTGAGCTACAGTGAGAATGCTTAAGTAAGCAACTTGTGCACGCCAAGGCAAGGAAGTGTCACTGCAGCCAAGCGCCTCGCACCTGCCGGACAGCACTGTGGGACCCCACTGTAGCTTAATCCAACGACAAACCAAAGGAAAGTCCCGCTAGGGATCGATTACTACTTATTACGGCAAGGACAGCATCATCAACCAAATCTCAACTCCATACCAGCGTCCAATATTGGGTTTACGTGAGCTCATGGTGGAGCCACAGAACTGTCTTGTCATTATACAGCATTTTCTCAATATTTCACCCCTTGATTACCTGCAAGATATCCTTCTAGTTTCGTCTCTGCGTTACCATGTTGCGCCTATTACACATGCATCATGTTCACCATGAGGCTTGGTATGGAAAGTTTGCGTCGCACGCATGCGCCCGTCAACTCCGCACGCCTGGGTGTTATGTATTGCCCTTTTCCCGCTGCTGAGAACCGCATTTTAGGTACCACCTGTCAACCATTGTGAAACATTATTGATCTGTGTTGCATATCCTGTGGACGGGGTCAAATAGGGATTTTACTCATTGCCATGTCTTTAATCACGTCCAGGAACGCATGCTCGTACTCGAGACTTGATCCGACGACAGAATCTGTTGTCAAGTGGCCCAGGTTCTTTCCCACCTTTTTTTTTTTTTTCATTCTTTCTTCACAAAAGTTTCAACAATTCCAAAGACAGAAACGCAAATGCTCTCCTCTCTTCAACCAGGTGGTTGTGTTTGGTTGAGGTCAGGGCGCTGTGACAGTAACACATCAAACGATCCTCAAGACTAGACACGGCGTCATCAAACACCTTTTGACAAACTCTTGAAGTCCAATCCTGCCTATCGAGTCTCATGCTTCTCACTCAGGTCATTACGACATAGCCTCAACCTCTTTTCTTGTGTAGACGGCAGCTACATCCTGCACCCTGATTTCAGACAACTACTCAAACCTCTTTCGTGTTTGTTGGATTTCCAGCACATTGCCGAAAAATAAAAAAACATCATTTGCTTCAGCATCCTGTCTATCCCTACTATTATTTGCCTTGAAACATATCATACACCTCGTCATGGTGGCATGTACACCGCTGCTGACTGGCAGGGTGGGCCGCCTGCGTCACTGGATCCTGCTCGCTGCTCTGGTGCTCGTTTTCATCGGCTCAGTCTGCTACCTGGATATTCTACCTGATCGGAAGCTCTTGACCTCCAAGGTCCACAATGTGGTTCACCTGGGATCATCAACACACTCTCAGCTCGAGACTCAGAACTCGAGCCATAATCCACATCATCCAGAGCACCCTGATGAGGCCATGACGAATTGTCAATCCTCCTTCGACCACCTCAGACGGTTGGGTCTCAGCAGCACCATCAGATACTCGAGAAGGTGCATTCAGCCTGTATTTCCAGATTCTATAAACAGAGATGTGGTCGCAAACATCAGTTTCCCTCTGATCAGAACCACGAAGACCCTGAACCTGAGTGATGAGTGTCCCCTGGAGATTGGTGAGTTGTCTTGCGACGATCCTATTGAGCTGCCGGTGCCGTCACCAGACCCAAGAAGCAAAGGACAATACACACATCTCGTCTTTGGGGTGGCAACCACCTACTCCCGCCTACGAGACTCGAGATCTACAATTACGCATTGGCTCGCCGACTCGGGCGCCATCCTGATCTGCCTCCTCACCGACAACATCCAGGACCTACTCGGTCTCAACTTGTCCGCCCTCGAGGACGAGTATGCCTCCTCTGGGGTGGCCCTTAAGCTGGTCTACAAACACAACGAGCACCACACTACCGAGCAGTCGCACATGCTCCTCGTCCGCGACATGCTCGCGGCCGCCCCGGCCGCCCACTGGCTCGGAATCCTCGACGACGATACTTTCTTTCCCTCCCTCCACGCCATGGCGACCATCCTTGCCGCGCATGACCACACGAAGCCCAAGTACCTCGGTCAGCTCACGGAGCACGCCCAGCTCCTACCCCAGGGGATCCTCGGTGCGTTCGGCGGCGCGGGCATTTTCCTCTCGCTCGCCCTCGCGCACGAGCTGGAGCCGCACCTTGATGAGTGCCTCAGCGACCGGGGCGGAGACATGCAGATCATGGACTGCGTGCACGCCCACAGCACGGCTCGGCTCACGCGCGTGGACGGCTTGTGGCAGGCCGACCTCATTGGAGACTCGGCGGGCTTCTACGAGAGTGGGCGGCGTGTGCTGAGCATGCACCACTGGAAGAGCTGGAATTGGCTGCCCGTCGCCGAGATGGCCGCCGTGACGCGGGTGTGTGGCGACTGCTTCCTAGAGCGCTTTGTCTTTGGCAGTGGTGGGGACCAGAACAAGCCTACCACCGTCCTGAACAATGGCTACTCGATCAATGTGTACGATGGCAGCATGGGACTGCCAGATCTGAGCAGGACCGAGCAGACGTGGGACGACTGGGATGGCAAAGATGCGTGGAAGGACTACGAATGGAGCCTGGGCCCGCTAAGGCCCAAGGTCGACAAGAGTATGAAGAAGTCATACTGGCTCGCGGCGGCCTGGGAGGACGGGAAGACAGGTGCGCTGGTACAGGTCTATCTGCATCGCGAGGGAGAGGATGGGGGAGATGATGAGGTGGTTGCGTTGGTTTGGCAGTCTTCGTAGTCAACCCTCGTCCAGCATAGTAAAGCTCTCGCCCCTGAAATTGATTCATTATTAATCCCAGTTGCTTTCACTGACCAAAAAAAAAACCCCCCCCGGATATATATATATATATATATATATATATATATATGCTTGTACTTTGTGAGAGGAGTCTGAATCCCTTTACTTAGAGTGTCATCAATTATACATGGCAATACATATGTCAACGTCTTGAGATCCTTCAAACGGATAATCAACAGGAGAATTTAAAGCTCCCAACGATATCCATCTGCACATCCCACACCAAGCAGACATTTCGACCTAGAGATCACAGTGTTTGGTACAGACAGATAAGAATCATCACGAATCTCAAAACCAATCCTAGCTTCCTTATCTTTTCTCAAGGCAATCTCAACTCCTCCCGTCCCATAACCACCTTCACCCTCTCCTTTCCACCAAAGACATATCTCACCACCAAGCCCTTGGTCCTCCCCGGCCTCGGATCCCAGAAGCCCAACAGCCTGCTCTTTCGCAGACCTGCAGGGATATACAACCTGCCTCCGTCGTTACTATTATCATCATCATCATCATCATCATCATCATCAACATTATTGTCAGGATTGTCGCCGTCATCCACCAGCGCAGCCACAGCAACAGTGACGTCCGCAACATCCTCCCCGTCCATCTCCACCTTGGCCGAGCCGGGGTCAAGCGCCGCTCTAGACGGTATCGAGTCGCGTTTGAGAACGCCGTACTTTGCGCTGAGGATCACGAGCCCGCCTCGCCTGAGCCGAGTCTGCTGCCGGCGCAGAACAGGGCGCTCCAGGGCGGTGACGAGCTCTTCCGCCTCGGCGCGGCGCCGGGCGGCGTTTCTCGTAAGGGCAGCAGTGGTGTGGCGGTCTGTCCTTTTCCTGTCGACGTCGCGACTAACGATGGAGGAGAAGGAGGAGGAGGAGGAGGAGGAGGAGGAGGAGGAGGAGGAGGAGGAGGAGGAGGATGATTTGAAGTCGTGGACCGCCCTAAGGGCGAGGGGTACGAGGGCCAACCAGAAGAGAAGCTTGTCCAGGGGAGACGAGGGAAGGCGGTGGTGGGTTGGCAAGAACCCGACGGGGAGGGCGAGCCTGTCGTTGTGCCGGGAGAGGTAGAGGGACAAGGTGATGCCGGCGCTGTGGTTGCTGCAGATGCCGAGCTCGAGGCCCAGCTTGGATGAGCGCCCGATCCTCTTGACGCCGCGGAGGGCGAGGTGGGTGGTGCCCCGCCCTCTCGTCTGGGTCGTGATCTCTGTCTCCAGGCGGAAGTTTAGGTGTTTCTTCCACCACCGTGTCGATGCCCGAGAGGCTGATGATGGTGGCGATGGCGATGATGCAGATGCAGATGCAGATGCGAAAAAGACATCTTTGCCGTATCGGAGGTAGCCAGCAAGGCCTCCTCCTGCCGTCGCTGCACACGCGACGGTCAACGGTTCGGTCCTCCTCCCCCTCCGCCTCCCCCCAGCAGACCCGTCCAGGTCCATGTCGTCGTGCAGCCGGCGCAGCCCACTTCTCGCCTGTGTTGTGAAGGGACGGCCCATCGCCAGTCCCAGGGTGTCATCACAAGAGCCTCCGCCGCCGAACCTCCATCCGATCTCTGCCGTGGGTGGGCTGTGTGGAACGATCCCGCGCCGGAGCAGCATTGACAGCTGGCCTATGAAGCCCTGCAGCGAGACGGCGGGGTGTTTCTCGGGCTCCTTTCGCGGGCGCCACCAAGATGATGATGATGATGATGAAGAAGAAGAAGAAGAAGAAGAAGAAGAAGATGATGAAGATGATGAAGAAGACGGTGGCGGCGGCGGCATCTCCCACAGGGACGAGGTGCCGGTGTCTAGGCTGGCGAAGGCTGTGGCGCCGTAGCGAGGCAGGTGTTGATGGACTGCGAGGCCGAGGCGTGTTGCGGATTTCTTGGACAGCGGAGATCGGCTGGACGACACGCTCACTTCGACGTGCACCGGCTCCTTCTTCTTGGTCTCCTTCTCTTCTTCGGCTGCAGCACTCCCGGCCGTCTTCCCCTCTGGACCAGCAACAGGGCGACGCAGGGTGCTTGATGCCCGAACCGTCAGAGACCCGGCATTCAGCGCATCCGTCTCGACCTCAAACACGGCATCTGGGACGAGCTCCCGCAGCGCAGCTTCCGACAGGCCCGGCTCGCGGAGGAAGAGCTCCTGCCGCAGCCTGATGTTGACGAGGGGCGCGAGGAACATGGAGCACAACTTCATGGGCCGGTCCCTGGCGAAGTGGTCGGGTAGGATGGTGTTGTTGATGAGCTGGGGGCGGGGGAGCCCCACGGCAACGGAGGGGCCGGGAGAGGAGGAGGAGGGTGAGGTGAAGGAGGCGAAGGAGACAGGAGTAGGGCTGAGATCCGGGGTGGAGCCGAGGAGGGAGGCTGCGGTGGTGACTTTTGTGGGGGCGTAATAGAGCACGCGCTGGTCGTGCTGCTGCTGCTGCTGCTGCTGCTGCTGCTTGTCTCCTCGGGTCGATAGGTCTCTGAGCGAGTTCAGGAGCCTCTGGGACCGTGGTGCCAGGAATCGGCTGATGGAGGGGAGGGCGGTGGTGGAGGTTTGGGTTAGGGATAGGGTGGCTGGGAACTGCAGTCGAGGCAAGTTTCGTCTAGACCTTGATGATGGATGGATGCGAGGCCCGTGGAGATGGATGCCAATTTCTGTTGATGTCTGCTCCTGCTGCTGGCGTAGCTTTCTGAGCAGCTGAGGTTCCGGTACTGTGGCAGCCGTGCTCTCCTCCTCGTCATCCTTTTGTGCCTCGTCCTCGTCGCCGACGCTATCGTCTTCGCCATCGAGCTCGTCGTCATGTTCTGTACTCGCCTGGTCCAAGGCGTAATCCTGGCTTCCACGCTCCCCGATCAGCGCCTCAAACGCAGTCTTCACTTGGCCAAGCCACCTCTCGGCCACCCCACGAGACCGCGGCGGCACCTCTCGTGAACGCAGGATTTCACACAGCCGGGAATACGCCCGCCTGATGTCCTCCCTCGAGAGCGCCTCCTCGTCTGGCAGACACAGCAGCTCGCGATGGGTCCGTCGCACCATCGCCTTCCTCCTCCTCGTCGTCGTCGTCCCCTCTTCTGCATCACCACCACCGACACCACCACCACTGCCATCCTCATCACCTGGCGGCGGCACAGCAGTAGCAGCACCAGCAGTAGCAGCAGGGGCCGGAGGGACGACGACAAAGACGCTGTCCAGGCTGCCACTCCCTCCCTCGTTCCCCCTCAGCGCGTCGTCCTCGCTTGCACCCCTCCCATAGCTGTCCTCGCTGTCAAAATCGCCGTCCTCGCTGTGCGTGATGAAAGACGCGGCGTCGTCGAACCCGAACTCGTACTCCTGCCGCGTAGTGGCGAATTGCTCCCGCAGCGACACGCGTGAGCCAACGGAGCGCATGCTGTTGCGGTTGCTGGCATTGTTGTTATTGTTGCTGTTGCTGTGAGGATAGCGGATGGTAGGGAACAGGAGCTCGCCGGCGTCGCTGCTGGTGATTGTGGCGGTAGTGGGAGTGGGAGTGATTGGGTCATCTTGGTCGTCGTTGTGAGTATTGTTCAAGAGGCCTGATGAGCGGGCTGCTGAGGGCGTGGGCCGGCGTGAGGTGGTGTAGGGGGTGCTGGAGGGACGTGAAGAGGATGGTGAGGAGGATGAGGCTGATGCTCGACCTGCCATGGTGTTTTGGTGTTGTGCGGGGGTTCAGTTAAGAGAGAGAGAGAGAGAGAGTAGGACATGAGAAAGCTGGCTAGCTGATCAGGGTATCCAATGGAGTGATTGATTTGTGAAGAGTCAAGATAGAAAATGAGTTTGTAGAGCTGGAATTTGATAGAAATCATGAGAAAAGGCTGGTGGAAAAAGTAATGAATGTGTATGAGTTTGATTGCATAAAGTTGACGAGATGAGGGGGACGCGCCAATCACCGTCCTGATGAAAAGAAGAAAAAAACATCAAGATTCCCCATTATTTTGGTGTAGTACAAAAGTGTTGTGATTACTTAAGAATGCAAGGGATGCATGCATGATTGGAGAACCCCTCGACATTGAGACACTGTAGAGGAGGGGAAAGATAAATAACTGCCCAACAAAGCTTGATCAACCTCCCTTAGGGATGGCCACAACAGCCCTTTTCCTTAGTAAAGAGTGAGGTTCGAAGTCTAAAGATGCTTGTAAGTCAGAGTGGAGGATCTTTGGGCAGGGCACTGGGAATGAATTGTGTGGAAGTATAAGTGGGTGGCTCGTGGAAGTATAAGGTTCGCAGGGTTGATCCTCCATGTAAGTGATGAGACCACACGAAGGTGGACCAAACTTTTATTTGGCATTTATACACCATCAACAGTCTGCTTCTTTCTCTTCTTTCTTCTTCTTTCATCTTCTTCTTCTTCCATCTTCTTCTTCTTCCTCCTCCTCCATTCGACCTCTCACAAGGCCTTGGTTTGTTCATATGTTCAACACAAGCTCATACAGTTCAAACTTTGGACGCTTGGAGTATCATATACACACCACCTCAATTTCTCCAATGACAAGAAAGAAAAGAAAAAAAAAAGGAAAAAAATACTGCCTTGTTTTCCTTTTCCCTGTCATCAACCATGGTGCCCAACTTTAATGTTGGCCGTAGCCGTCTGGATACACTCCTCAATAATCCCCGTCCACCGCTCTGCATTGGCATAGTCCTTTGCATCAATACTCTCCACCAGCCCAGGGAAGACAGCTACAGAAAGAATTCAGTCAGTCAGTCAACGTTCCTTTTATGAGAGAAAGGGGAGCCGAAATAGGCACACTCACCTCCAGAATAACCCGTCCACAGCCCCGGCGCAAAAACAACATGCTTGAACCACGGCCGCCCATCCAACCCCTCGGGGTACAAAAAGTCCCTCTCCAGGTACTTGTACTTGGTGTTCACCTTGCGCACCTCATAGGCGAGCCTCATCTTGCTGGGCCACCGCCACCAGGGGATCTCCTCTTCCACCTCGCGCTGCAGCTCGGCCCTCTTGGCGTCGAGCTTGGTGGCCTCGCCGAGCAGGGACGCCACAGCCTCGTGCAGACGCGTCAGGCTGCGGCGGAATGCTGTCGCGTCGCCCACCACTGTTGTGCCGAGGACGGTGCCGCGGAGGGTCACCATCTCGGCCTTGTCTGTCGGCTCCGAGGAGGATGACGAGGGAGACAGGGCGGTGGTGGCGGCTTCGGCGGCCTCGAGCTTGGCCTCCACCTTGGCAATATAGGTATCAAGAGCTGCTGCGTACCTGGCGGCCTCGAACGAGAGGAGGGGCTCGTCTGCAAGCTTGGCCGTCATCAGGCCCAGGATCTGCGCCATGGTGCGGTGGTAGATGAAGCCCGGGTCGCCGTACGTCTCCATCCAGTGAAAGCTGTCGTAGTTGGAGTGGTAGTGATAAACAGGATCCTCGGGGCCCGCAGTAAATCCCATGTCGAGAGAAGGAATGCCGGCAAAGTCCTGGAACGCAGTAAAGTCGCTCCCGCTACCCATCGTAGAGATCTTCTTGTCCCACGTGTCGTACACGGTCTGGCCCGGCACCGTCTGGTTGGGCGACTGCACCTGCGCCGTGATGTCCAAGAGGAGGTTGTCGAGCAGGGGAGCCGCCGACGCGTGGAACTTTTGGCCGCGCACGCTGACGTCGAGGTTCAGGTAGGCCACGTTGGCGTGCGAGAGCCAGGGCAGGTATTCCTCGACCCATTCCGTCGAGCCTAGCAGGCCGTACTCTTCGCCGTCCCACGAGGCGAACACGATGGTGCGGAGGGGCTTCCACCCCTTCTGTAGGGCCTCTCCGAAGCTGCGGATGACCTCATTGAGGACGGCTGAGCCGCTGTTGGGATCGCCTCCGCCTCCAACGATCCAGGCACTAAAGTAGAGAAAAGAAAGTAAGCAAATTAGCAAACTGTTTATTATAAAATGAAGGAAAATCAAGGTCACAGATAGAGGGATGGGGAAGAAAAGACGTACTCGCGATGGTTGCCGACGATGACGACCTCATCCGCAATAGAACCATTGATGATGCCAATCACATCCCAGTTGGGGGTGATGATATATTCCTGCTCATTATAAAGGTGGAGGACAACATGCTCGGGCGAAGGGCCAATGTTGTACTGAACGCCCTTGTACTCGAGACCCAAGTCGGCAGTCCAGTACTTGTTGAAGTCCTTGGCGGTTGGGCCGTGGCCGTTGAGGGCCTTCAGAATGGGCAAGGCATCCTCATAAGAGATGGGAATAGAAGGAATGCTGGGAATGTATGGTTCTGTAGGGCCACGAGGGACACCAGGTTTGGACGGGTAGCCAGGAGTTGTTCTGGGTCAAAAGTAAGTCAGTACTCGGCTTTTCTCTTTCCCATGTTTTCTTTCACTCGTTCCAGAACGTCAAGAAGAGTCTCAAACCTACGGATCACCAGGGGCAAAGCTCAAAAATTGCGTGCTTCCCCGTTGCACACTGCTGGGCTGGCGAGCAGGCCCGTTGGGATACTTCTCGACTCCCTTCTCCTCCGTGACCTCGCCATCATCGCCAGGGTCCGTAAAGAGGACCACGCCCACGGCGCCGAGCTCCTGTGCACGCTTTACCTTCAGACCACGGAAGATGCCGCCGTACCGGGCGAGGACGACTTTACCCTCGAGGTCGATCCCAGCCCGCAGGAGGTCCTCGTAGTCCTGGTATGTCCCGTAGTTGGCGTACACAAAGCGACCGGTCACGTTGCCGCTGGCCGAGTAGCCGTGGAAGGTCGGAATCCGGGTGTCGAAGCCCGTGGTTGGGTCGTCTTCGAGGATGTCTTCGGTCAAGGATGCCTCGAAAGAGACCGTCCAGTTTGATGTCGACATAGCTTGGTCCTCCGATTTGGCCAGTATGGCCAGGCGGTGGTCGACGGGACGGTTGAGGTAGATGTCGTAGTCCACGATGGTGGATGAGATGCCCCATTCTTCCCATCTCTCCTTTGTCCAGAGTGCCTGATTTACCCAAGTGGTGAGTTATCATGGGATGAAAGGCTGACAATATTTATCTTCTGGGGGGTTTCTCTTCGGTTTTTCATATACAAGTTACGTATACTCTAGAACCTCTTCTTACCTGAGAGTAATTCTGCCCTGCCAGATGAGCCCCAGCAGTATAATAGCGCTGCCACTCGGCCGCCTTCTCGCTGCTCGGCGTCTCGAGCAGCACCTCTTTCAGCGCCCCGTAGCTCAGCTTGCGCTCATGATTGCCAGGCCACGGCCACCAGGACGAATCACGGTCAGGCTCACGACCATGGCGGCCCCGGCCCAGAGGAACCCCAAGCCCAAACACAAACAGGAAAGTGGCAAAGAGAGCGAGCAGGCTGCACGACAGCGCGACGGTGCAGAACCGGCGGAGGACGTGGTGCCCATACCGCTGGCGAGGCGGCGCAGTCCTCACGGTGGCGATGAGGGGCGTGTGCTCGTCGGCCATCTTCTCCTTGGTCTCGTCGGCGTGGACCATATTCCCAGGTCCCTTTTACGTCCTGCCTGTATTTGCCGAGTTGGGGGCGAGAATTAAGTCAGATCCAGTCGGGTCGTTTTGGAGTGAACAAAAGGAGGGTGTGTGTGTGTGTGTAGGTAAGCAATGACGCGAAACGAGAACCTCGGGAAATCCGTCGGCATTTGACGGCGAAGCAATTGCGTGACAGTGGCAGACCAAGACGAACGGGAGGGTCAAAAAACTTACAAGGGCAAAGATGAGATTGGTGAATGATGATTGGCCTCCTTATTTTTACTTTTTGTGTAAAACTCCTTACTCTGCTTTACAAAGCACTTTTGAAGCTCATAGACCAGCTATAGATATTTTGCTGCATGCAAGCAAAGTGTTGGTTTGATAAAGGAAGAATGAGAGAGAAGAATCCTTTCCCCCTCTCCAACGTACCTGAATGCAATGAATAATGTGTGAGAGCTTCCAAAAGATAAGACGAGCCCGCCCGCCCACTGTGCTTGTCCCTTTCCACGGCAATGATCCACCGGAACGTTACAGTTTTTGACATCATCACCGGCAATGGGTCTCCGCTCTGGTGGTGGGCAGAACATGGCATGGGCCCGGCCGTCGGGCATTCCGGATGCTCCGACGTCCCACTTGGCAATCTGATTCCCTCTTGAATATTGATTCCGCTGTGCGATCATGACCACTTGTCGGACAAATACACGACTTGTTTCCTCATAGACTATCCGTTCGGTGTGACACGAGGGCTTTTAAGTGCGAGGTCTATGCTTACTTAGGTATGTCAATCTAATGAATGGGCTTGTAAACTGCGGAGTTAAGACTGTCCTCACCTCAGACTAATGCCGTCCCAAGAGACCGATACCTCCTAGAAGTGTGTTGATGTACTATGTAAATATAAATAGTTGGAAAGAATTTATACATCGCCTTGTCGAGAATATAAAAGTCAGTTACCCAAACACTACAAAAGGCAGTTCATTACCAAACCAAACGAGAAGAAAGGGAGAAGAAGAAAACATCACTCACCCTGTCTTCCAGCAAAGCTCTCCAATTCATCTACCGTCGAAACCAATTCACAATGGCATCAAAAACAATCATCCTCGTCACTGGTAAATACAAGACTATTTCAACCTCTCTCACATCATACCAAACTAACACATGAGCCTCAGGTGGGAACAGCGGTATTGGCTATGAGACTGTAGCCCTACTGTCCAAAGAGTCAGCCGACTACCACGTCCTGATGGGCAGCCGCAGCGTGGAGAAAGGACAGAAAGCCCTTGAGGATATGAAGTCTGCGCATGGCGACTCTCTGAAGGGCACCATCTCTGTGGTCCAGATCGATGTCAGCGATGAGAAGTCTATCCTTGCTCTCAAGGATCACATCGAGACACAGTTCGGAAAGCTGGATGGTACGCATTCTCCTCCTTTTCATTTATTTTTATGTCTCTTTGTTCGAAAGTTGTCATATTCTAATGCGAAACAGTTCTGATCAACAATGCGGGCATCATCGTGTACCAGCAGATGAGCCTCCTCGAACAGCTCCGCAAGACCTTCGAGACCAACGTCTTTGGAACAATGCTCCTGTACGTTGCTACCAATCTCCCAGACGATAAAACCACTTACTTCTCATCTGACTATCACACGGTCAAATATCCGCTGACAAAACAAATAACCACCTGCCACAGCTCCGAGACTCTAGAGCCCCTCCTCCAAAAATCCTCCAAACCCTACCTCATCTACGTCTCCAGCGGCCAGGGCTCCATCACCCAGAAGCTCCTCCCCGATTATGAGGCCGCCAAGCTCCGCGCCGACCCTTATCGCATGAGCAAGGCCGCCCTCAACATGCTGAGCGCCACCCACCGCAGGCACTGGTCCGAGTGGGGGTGCAGAGTACTCGCCTTCGACCCGGGCTTCTGCGTGTCGAACCTTACGGGCGCCAAGGGGCGCGAGATGCGGAAGAGTCTGGGAGCGCGTGACCCTTCTCAGCCGGCTGCTACCCTTGTGGATGTCGTGGGTGGGGGTAAGGATGCGTTTTTTGAGAAGAGTGGCATGTTGGATGTTGATGGGGCTCTGGTGCCTTGGTGATTCTGTGGAAATACTTATTGTATTAATTACTTTGAATTGGATCGGATGGAGCAATCATGTTCTTTTGTACACGAGAAGCAATTTTCTGAGATGATTAGGCGAACCTAACAGGGAAGATAGCACCATCTGGGCAGGTTTACATGTGCACAGAAATTATGAGAACACGAAATGCATGTGCTGCTTCATATTGTATAAGTCAGTGTCAAGTAACAGGTTAATACTTTCAGAGTCTCCCAGAGCATCAATGGGTGTTTACTCTGTAGACCACCGCAAGGCAAGTTGTTGGAGAGCCCTTCCGTACTTATTCAAGGATTATTTTGCAGCCTCAAGCTTGAACCGGTCAATAATATTAAATACTTGCACATTCCTCATCTCTGAAGTGCAAGTTCTCAGGATTTTCTGCACTATACGGGGCGATAAATCAGCACAGTCATATATCCAAAAAAAAAAAAAAAAAAAAAAAAAAAAAAAAAAAAAAATTACCTGGGTTCACCGGCTCTCAAGTCACCGGGCCGGTTCAAGCCCTGTTCTTCTAGAGTTATGCATTTCGTCTCCAATATATGCAGTTCTCAGGACTTGGTTGATGCAAGTCAGATTTCCGGAGTTGCCACCACCAAGAGCTTGTGCATGAGGTGTGGAGATTTACAACATATCTCTTCACGGGGCGGAAGAAAACCATAATCCAGGAGATGGGAATACTGGAATGTATTGTATTGTCTATTACCCAAATGATACAGGGAGCATTTGCTTGCAGTATTATCTCTTCTGGGTCAAGCATCGTCGAGGCATACAATCATATGGATGTACGTGTATAATTACAAGCACAGGTATGCTGTTCTTTCTTGTATCCTGAATTACCTCTTCATGTCTCTTCACACTGTGTCCCTGTACATGTGTAACGCTATGGCATTGATTCCATCGCCAGTATTTACAGGCCAATGCCGGTGGAGTCAGCGGGGTGCGCGTCGTATGGGCCAAAGGAGGCCCATATTATGTTACTGAGTGGGACCCAACCCCAAATGTCTCACATATTCAGTAAAGCCCCCCAGGCTCTCTACTCCCGTCACAGATCGTCGATATGGGCTAAGAACCAACAAGACTTGTTTCTGACACCGCCTCCTTCTCCCCACCACCACCACCACCACCACCACCACCACCGATTTCCTCGTGACCGTGATCCTGGAGCGCTGCATTTTTTGCCTGCCTACATAGTACCGGCCTACAACCTAGTACTGCACCCTCCGCTCACGGGGCCATGCCGGGTATAATCCCGCTGCAATGGGCTGAGCAAATGAGCGTCCACTATTGCGACATGGGCGCAGCCATCTCGACATTGACGCCTTGCCTGAGAAGGCTAAAACGTACAATTCTCATCGCCGCGGTCCCCCTCGGTTCCAGACCAGCTGATTTTTTTTAATTTTTTAATTTGTCCGACATGCATTGATTTGGGATCTGCAGCAACCCAAAAAAGCCAGCAGCCTCTTCTACAGTGCTTTCAGAGCTGGGCGGGAGAGACGTCATTCTATTATGTGAAAGGGCGCATTGCACAGGGGCCGGGCGACTAGGTATGTTATTGTACTGTAGCACCAGGCGGGAGGGTGCATAAGCAGAATCCCCTTGCCCACCCCGCCCCTCCTCCTCTCTCGCCCAGATCCTCCAGGGCGCATCCGCCGACAGCGGAACCATCAACCATGTCGGTGTGACAGACCATCCATCATCAGTAGCACCGAGATAATGCAATGTCACCGTCTTTCTGCCGCACACACTTGTTGGAAAAGAGTCATGTTGTTGTTGTTGTTGTTGTTGTTGTTGTTGTTGTTGTTGCGTGAACTCAGACAAGCACGGTCCAGCACATGCATCGTGAAGTTATCAGCAAACATAACTCTGTCAAGAGTAAGAAACAAGAAAGGTGTGTTAGAACCAGCACAGCCTTCCAGTCCTCTTTTGTGTGTGTCTTTTCTCTTCTTCTCTTTCGCTGGCAATAGGATAATGGTACGTACGTACAAAAGGGCTGGGCCCTGGGCCAATGCAACAATTGTGGAGGAGGCCCCTCCTCTTCTTACACAGGCACACAAGGAGGGGGGGGAGGGGGGAAGGGAAAAAACTTGAGCCTGTGTGCCTGCGTCCTCCTGCAGGCCCCGGGTCCACCGTCGTGCAGGCGGATCTTGAGGATCGCCAGCCAGGACCTCATCTCACAAACTGTTTCTTGTCCTTGTGATGTCCGAACCGCAGCGGCGAGGGCGAGGACCGGCCATCTCGACCGCCCTACGGTTCATCTTAGCGGCCCACGGTTGTCCTTTCTTCCTTTCCGCCCTGCGTCTCAGTTTACTATAGTAAGTAACATGTAAGTGATAATCTAAAGATGCTGTTTGGTCGCAGCTGGAGAGCAGCCCACCATCATTTAGGCCCGGGCGACCCACCTGGCCGCCCGGTGACTACGAACGTTACCTGTTTGAAATCCGTGACTCGGCTCGGTGGCGCGGATCTATTTCTTTCCTTTTCTTTCTCCTCATTTTTTTGTTTCTCCAGTTTGTTTCTAGGACTCATTATCGTTTCCTCTCCTTCTTTCCCCCTTTTACTTCTTTTGTGTCCTGCTTTCTTGTTCGTCTCCAACAGGCAAGCAGGTTCAAACCTCTCACGTATTATCACTATAGAGGTGTCTTTTGAGCTGTTCCTATCCCAGTCTGTCCAGCTTTCCTATCCTCCATCCCGCTCAAATCGGATCCCTGCCGATACAAGCCGCCGTCGTCTTTGGGTCTTATTTTTTATTTTTTTTTAATAAACTTTTGTTGGAAGACAAGCAAAGGAGAGCAAGCACACAAAAAGGAACTTGCTTCGAGTGTCCATACACAGCAGGACGAACAAGATTTCTAGCTACAAATCGCGCGCAATAGACATATCCCCTCCTGTCTTCCTCCGTCACGGCCCAGTGAAAAACTTCCTACCTCGCACCCTCCTCTCTCCAAGATGTCTCCCTCGGCGCATAATGGACCCAAACTGCCCGCCGAGCAACTCGCGATCCTGGGTAAGCAAATCACTATATGAGCCTTCAGCCTGTCTACTTGATTACTCTGTCTCTCCTGCGGAGAATACCTTTTTTGTACCGGGTCATGTTCCCTGTTGTGTTTGTGTTCTTGCCGTCATGCCTCAAGTGAAGCACTGTGTGTTGTGCCGGACTTGTCACTCGGTAAGCATGTTGTTGGGTGGGCAGTTTCTATAAAAGCCAGAGCTCCTCAGGTGGGTAGGAACATGTGTGTGTGTGTGTGTGTGTGTGTGTGTCCGAGGTGAGTCTCTAGGTAATATGACGCTGTTGGGTGATCAGTCTCACACACGAGGACGCAGGGAACATTATCATGCTACGATGACGAGCCCGGGACATGGACGAGATTCTTTTGAATCTACAAAGTACGCACGGGATGGCAAGATACACTGCAGTTTGCTTGGACAGGAAGCAGAACAAACAAGACAATTTCCCCCAAGGTACCAAACACTTCTTTCAACGCGCGTCTCGCTAACAGACTTTCCGTGTGTCTTGTCACTTCTTTCTAGCTGTCGTCAGGTTCGCAGAGCCTCTGGCTTTGACCTCAGTCTTCCCTTACCTACCTGAGATGATCAAGAGCTTCGGTGTCCCCCACAACAACGTGGCGAAATGGGCGGGCATGGTCGGGTCTACCTTCTCGATATCTCAGAGTCTGTGTGCTGTTCCGTGGGGTCGACTCTCGGACAAGATCGGGCGAAAACCTACCATCCTGATGGGTTTGATCAATGTCATGTTTTGTTTCCTGCTCTGGGGCACGTCGACGAGTCTGGTGCAGGCCTTTGCAGCACGGTTTCTGATGGGCCTGGGCAATGGAAATGGTATAGTTGCTCTTTTCTTGTTCTCTTTGCCCCATGAAGCACTCTTGATAACTTAGTTTTGTCTTACTAACATCTTCTTTTTGTAGTTGGCATAATACGAACCATGGTGGCAGAAATGGTCCCATGGAAAGAACTCCAGCCTCGAGCATTCTCTCTGATGCCTCTGGTCTGGAGCATAGGTTCCGTGTTCGGTCCCTCGTTTGGTGGTTTCTTCGCCCGCCCCGCCCAGCAGTATCCTGCCCTCTTTGGCAACAGCTGGTTGTTCAACAAGTACCCTTTCCTCCTGCCCAACCTCGTGGCCTGCATCTTTTTCCTGTTCTCCGTCGTGGTCGCCTTCCTCTACCTCCACGAGACCCTCGAGACGAAACGCCACGACAGGGACTGGGGCCTCGACCTGGGCGAGAAGATCTCTCGTTCCCTCAAGCGCAAGCCCCGGCACGCAGGCCACCGCCGCCACCACCGAGCCTCTTTCATAGACGCCGAGGCCTCGGCTCCCTTACTGCCCAAGTCCGCCGCGGTGGTCGTGAGGAAGGCAAACAGCAGCAGCGGCAGGTCGAGCAAGGACAGCGACGCAACCCCGCCGCCCACGATGCGCGAGATCTTCACGCCCCAGGTCACCATCAACATCGTCGCCTACACGATTCTGGCTCTGCACGCGGTGGCCTTTGACCAGGTCCTGCCTGCCTTTCTCGACTATCCGCGCCAGAACCCGGACGAGGCCGTTGTTCAGCTGCCGTTTCACTTTTCGGGCGGGTTTGGGCTGAACTCGAGCGAGATCGGGACTCTGTTCACCGTGTATGGCTTTGCGTGTGGTGTTATTCAGTTTTTCGTGTTCCCGCCTCTTTGCTCTCGCTTTGGTGCCCTGAATTGCTTCAAGGCTGGCAGTAAGTCCAAGAAATCCTAATTACTCTTGTGTTGAAAGGGACGGGGGAAGAAAAAAGAAAAAGAAAAAAAGGAAAAAAAAGGTTACCTTGCTAACAACAGCTCTCTAGCAATCCTCTACCCCATCTTCTACCTACTCGTCCCCTACACAGCCCTCATCCGCTCCCCCACCATCCAGTACGCATGCCTCCTCGCCCTCCTGCTCGTAAAAGGCTTCGCCGGCATCGTCGGCTTCCCCTGCATCACCATCCTCCTCACCAACTCGGCGCCGACCCTGCGCATCCTCGGCACCCTCAACGGCTTCGCCACCACCTTCTCCGGCATCGGGAGGGCCATAGGTCCCACCAGTGCAGGCGCCATCTTCTCGTGGGGGGTCAAGAGGGGGTCTGTGGTGCCGGCGTTTTGGTTCCTGGCGCTTGTGGCGCTGGGCCAGGTGATTCCGGCGTGGATGATTGTGGAGAGTGATGGGCCGAGGTCGGACGAGACGGATGAGGAGGAGTTGGAGGACGATGAGATCTCGCTGGATACGGACGAGGAGGACGAGCGTGTTTACTGTGGTGATGATGGTAGAGCTATCATTGCTGGAGATGCGGCTGATGTGATGGGTGCTGGAAGGGAGGATGCGGTTCTGGGTGTGGATGAGGACGGGTTCTCGCCTCTTGTGAGGGTCAATTCGCGGGCATCCAAAGGGAGTGTTGGGTATGGTACCATTCGTCAATAATGGATGGACCTCGGGTTTCTACAGGAAGGAGATGGAAGTGGAAATCCAGAATGGTGGTGAGGCCGAGAAATGAATGTTTTCTATTTCGGTATCAAAACATTGCTATGGGCGTTTTGGGAGTTGTTGGGCAGCAAAAAGACAAAAACAGAATGATATGAACACAATGGTCGGTCTTGCAATGATTTGTCAGGTTACACTGGGGTTTGTTTTTATACAGTTTCTAGCATACTAAGTACTTTATAGTACATCTGAAGACAAAGAAGTTGTCAACAAGACACAAGAACCGTTCTGGTAAAATACATATCCCGCATATTGTTTGATGAATTCTTTCTTCAAGTTGTTTTGTCATGTCTAGAGCGAAACACTCGCAAACACAGGCGTCCAACTCCCATTTATGATGTTTATCATAATATTAAAGTAATCTGCGTTTTCTCTACCATGCAATGCTACCGTTTCTACCATTCATGATCCTCTTATTTTCCTTTTCTAGCATCATTACTCATTTCATAACCAACGCCTCACTTGCGCCCTTCACATCCTCGTCCATAATTACTCTGAAGACTTGGTCAGTCTCGCCCGCAGGCTCGCTCCATAAAAGTAAAACCCAAATGGGATAAAAAACATAGCCACCCCGATGAACGCCAAGAGGAACGAGGCCCACAGCAGGCCCAGCCGGTGATACATCTGCGTAGTAAACAGCGGGAACGCAGCCCCGCCCCCCGAGCGCAGAAACACCTTGGCAGCGAGGGCCGAGGCGGCATACCTCGAATACGAGTCGATAATATAGTTGTTGACAGAGTAATAGCACAGCACCATGCCAAACCCAAACGCGATGCCGGCCGAGGCGGGGCCGACCCAGATGACCCAGCGCCACGACGTTGCGCCCAGGATGAACAGCGCGATGGGAATAAACGGCGCCCCGATACACGCGCCCAGCAGCCGGTCCTCGGGCGTCGGTTCGCGGCGGGCACAGACGGCGCGGAACATCTTCTCGCAGTAGGGCGTGGCCACGAGGGCAAATCCGGCGCCAATCAGGATGGGGATGAACATGAGGCCGATCTGGCCGTCGTTGTAGCCGTACAGATCACCAAAGATGACAGGGTAGGCGAAGAAGAAGGCATACAGCATGGCGTAGATGAGCACAATGTACATGCACATCAGGTCCAGCACGGGCTCCGTCAGGATCATGACCAAGGGGCGGACCAGGCTGGTCTTGACGACCTCTGCGAGCGAGAGCTTGACCCTCTCCTGCTCCGTGATGATGTTGGGGTCGCCCGTCTCCTTCCTGAGCCTGGCGGCGCGCCGCTTGAGGAGCACAGGCGCGTAGGTCTCGGGGATCAGACCCACGGCGACCATGACCACGCCCGCAAAGGCCATGTTGACCCAGAAGAACAGGTCGAGCCGGTGCGTGGCCACGTTGATCCAGCCGCACACGATGGGCCCCAGCACAGGACCGCAGTACGGGGCGGCGGCAAAGTAAGCGATGGCGTTGCCGCGGTCCTGGATGTCCCAGATGTCGGCGATGGTGCCGCCCGCGAGGGAGAGGCCCGAGCTGGAAAAGACGCCGCTGAGAAACCGACAGGCGAGGAGGCCGCCGATGTTGGGCGACAGCGCGCAGGGGATCTGGAAGATGGTGTACAGGGCAAAGGAGATGATGTAGACGGGTCGGCGGCCGATGATCTCGGAGAGCGGCGACCAGAGGAGAGGGCCGACTGCGAAGCCGCACACCATGATGGAGCAGGTGAGGATGGCCACCTCCTCGGAGACGTTGTACTTGTCCTCGATGAGGCCCAGGCCGCCCGTGACGATGGAGGAGCCGTAGGCCACGCACACCACGACCATGGCGGCCACCATGGTCACGTACCACTTGTACAGCTTGGACCAGTGGTGCGGGTTCTCTGGGTCCCGGATGGTGAAGGTGACAAACTCGGCCGTTTTCTGCTTCTCGAGGTCGTGTGCTGTGCTCGGCGGCGTCGCTGCCTCGTGGCCCGTGGTATGCTCGGAAGCCGGTCTTGGTCTGGACCGGATCTGCTCGAGGGCCTCCTCGGGCACAAGGCCGGTGGGCGATTCAAAAGTATATTCTTCGGGGAAAATGGGATGTTCTGGGCGTCCCACTTCTGGATAATTGACATCTATTCTTTCGGAGACGGAGGAGAGGCCCATCTCCTCCAGACTCCTTACGGTTTCTGTCCTCACCAGATGTGTTGGCGACATCGGCTCAGGATGTGCCTGAGGCTGTTGTTGTGTAACCATGATCGTGATTGTAATTGGTATGAATTTCTTTTTTATCAAGCGGAGAAGAGGAAGATTACAGTGTATTGAACGTGAAGATTAGAAGGGGAACTGGTTATCTGTCGTTGGTATTGTCGATGGACTCAAGTAATGTGCGAGACGATTACTGCATTCACTAAGTATATATATAAATCACACTGCTCACCTCGCTTTCATTAGAATTGACATAAGAGCGAGCCTCAAGTTCCAATTTTGTCTTAAACCTCAAGCCCCACCGAGTCAAGATGTCATAACGGTAACCACTCGGGAACTGCTATGGAGGGCCAGTGCTTGCGAAGCCGCACCTCGTAGAAGTTTCTTGACTGGCTGTTTTCAGCCTGCCAATAGAATTCTTTCCAAGAAACTAGAATAGTCTCCACTGAAGTGGACTTCCCTGTACATAGTAGATGTTTGCATATACTAATGCGCAGTGTTTGCTATTCTGCACGGCAATACCCGAGTCGGTATCTTCCAGAACGCTCGGAATGTTGTGGGAAGTTGTGAAACGGCAGAGACGGCAGGGGGGCTTTCTCGGTGTGGAGGAGGTGAACTTCAGCCTTGCTGATGGATGAAATCCACCACTCAGCGAGCGAAAGCCGAGACTAGGGGTGTGCATACTCATTCGTGCCTCGCCCTCAACAATGAGTCTTGGCTTTCTGAACGGACGAAACGATAGCATTGTAATTATGGGGAGGGGAAAGAACAAGTTAATCTTATGTTGTCAGTCTCAAAATTATGAACATAGTCTGTAATGATTGTATACAAATAAAGTCTCGAGTACACTGTGCCATCTGCCACAAAAGGCCGAAGACGCGACAATTTGGCCGTACATTTTGACATCACAAGCTAGGGCTCCCACTACACATCAGGCTTGGGCGTTGTCAAAAGGCCCCCACCCAGAGGGATCGTTCCCGCTCCCCACATTTACGGCTTAAGACTGAAATAAGCTTCACTACATTCAAATATACGTAAAAGCAGTTCGATCAATCCTCGGTGGGTTCTCGGCATTCGACATTGCGAAACAACGACCACTCCGGAGAAAATGAGGGAAGGCTGCCGCTGTCGAATGAACGAGCTCAGCCTTTCTACTGAAATCTTCATATATAGAAGAACAAGTCCAGGGTATACCTAATAAGTAGTATTTGGAGAACGTTAGTTCTGTAGTCATCCTTTACATCTTGCTATAAAAGAATTACCTCCCCTTGTATATGTGATTCAATTAATGCTGCCCGCTCCTTTCATTGCAGAAGCGGTTGATGAATAATGAAATGGGTGCACTTGATGATATTTAGTCTGGATCCAAGACGAGCTCTGCAACACAAACCGAAGAAAGGGGTATGGAGTTTGTATAATATGTCTTGAGGAAACCGACAGCGATATTACCCAGCGAGAACATGCATCTTGGTCGATATCGCTCCTCGCGACTACCGTCTTCAACCCGAGCTCGTACTATAATAGTTCGTGGATCCAGTGTCATGTCAATCGCTCCCCACTTGCGCGGTTTTGACACCAGCCTGTGCAGTGTAAAGGGCGTAGATCAAGTCGTTGACAGCGGAAGACTCTTCGAAGCGCAACTCACTTGTAAATAATCCAGGTCCGGTAGCAGACAAGATGATTCCAACGGCGCAGGCCTTTCGTTAAGTTTGGGCAGCCTGAAGAGTGCACTATAATTCATCTAGGAACAAAAAAAAAAAAAAAAAACAACAACCAAAAAACCGTTAACGGCGTAGAAGAAACGTTGAAAGCAGATATGAGCAAATCGGATCTCGTGGACTCGCGCTTCTTCACGCGCGATTATAAAGTGCCCGGAAAGTTCGGTAGCACCAAGCTCCACAACAAACCAGTCATTATTGCAATACCACGATCCTTTGTGAGTGAGAGGAGAGACTATGGGAAGAGGTAGATTAAATTACTCTTGTTGTGATATTTAAGTAGAACGTGCCCTGATTTCACACAATTCACCGCTCGAATTAGATCGAGAAATTAGCCACTGGCAGTAATGAACCTTTTATAATCCTACAAGCCTGCCAAAGTGATACCTGACTCATCTATTTTAAGTACCTTGATCAATCTTTGCTCTCAAATTGTTGTGACTGGATATCAACTTGTCGATGTTTAGGTGATGGCAGGATTGCTTAATGTAATGGAATTTGTACAGACAGCTGATATCACGCATGACAGAATAAGCAAGCTTGGACGGATTGTGCAATGGCCTGAGCCTAGTCCAAAGAACAACACAAAACCAAGGCCTTGTCAGACCTGAATGGAAGAAGAGGTATGTGATCAACCACCGAAAAGATCAAGCTCAATACATGAGGAAGGCTCAATGACTTCCAATGGATTAGTCTTGCCTTGATGATATCAGCGACTCCTTCATATCACCTGCTTAGTATACTTCAGCAACTGATCTTTCAGGGTATCCTTGTGGCAGGGGACACAGAGAATATAAAGGAGGTGATCAAATTGTGTAAATGGCTTTAATCATCTTGTTTTCGCTTCAGAGAAGTTTTTTTTTTTTATTTTTTAAAAAAAAAGCTATATATGCGTTTATACTGTAATGCCAAAGAAATGGACTATCGCTGATTTCTTTTTCTGTTCCAGGTCTGCCCTCAACGCCGCTCTCAATGCATGATGGTATTACTGCTTAAGAAAGGACATCTCATATCCTGGCCGTGATCCGAGCTGTCTACATAAGTATGAAGTCGGTCTGATAGCCATTCCCGATTTTTCCTCTTCTTTCGATGCGCGCCCGCTGTAGCAGTAATGGCGGCCAGGAGATGATTACCGCAGTAGTGTCGACGCTGTATGTTGAATACGTCGCATGATATCATCTCGGAGTTCTACGTCTTCCTTAGGACCTCTCGCTCGGTCCGGTATGGCATCAGTGGCGCCTCCATGGCTTAACATGTTTTTACTGCGCCTTCTTTCCGTTCGCAGTAGTGCCGTTCGCCAACAGGCCCTTCTTCGCCCTCCTCTCGTCCTCCTCCCGTTTCTTGTTCTCTACAGTCTTCTGGTGAGGGATTGTCAACGCATTGATGCCTAGGTAGTCACAGATGGCCCCTGTGACCAGGAACGCCCAGCGGAAATACACAACCATGGCGAAGAAGAAGTACCCGTACAGGTATGCCAGCTCGACTCCTGGCGCAACCTGGGGCAGGCCCAGACGCGGTAGGTTCCCCAGCACAGCACCGCCGACAAGCGGAAACAGCATGACGGTCCAGTAGGGGAAGGGCTGGCGCGTCAGGTGGGCGAGGATCATCTTGGTGGTCATGCGGCCGAAGACGAAGCTCATGGTCAGACAGAACAGGACCAGGTGGTTCTCGCGGCGCAGCGTGGAGAAGGGGCTATACAGCCACAGGCCGATGGAGAAGAAATAAACAGCAAAGGGCGTCCATTCCATAAAGACGGGCGCGATGGGGAGGTTCTGTCGTCTGCGCGCCTCCACGACGTGCTTGATGCACCCGGGCACGTGGACGAACAGGCCGCCGACGATGGTAAGGGCCCAGACGTCGCGCACGGCCAGATCACCCAGCAGCTCCTCATAGCCAAAAGTGTACCGCTCGCCGAGCACCTTGACGACGGGTGTCGTCCAAATCTGTGGTCCGTAGATACCCGACATGGCCATGATGGCAGCCGCGATCAGCAGACCCTCGGTCGGGCCGTTGATGTAGCCCAGATACAGGGTGTGGCTGTGGTAGGTCTCCCAGGTAGAGAAGAACATGGGGATGCAAGGGCATAGCGCAGTGAAGACGCCCGTCTTGGAGGTACCGAGGCCCATAGCGGCGGTCTCGAGGAGGGAGGCGAGGGTGCAGTTGAGCGAGTCAATACCGTGATCGAAGAGCTCGCCAAGCCCGGACGAGGTGCCAGTGCGCCGTGCCTGTTTGCCGTCGATATTGTCCATGGTCTGGTACATGAAGAGACCAAACGCAAAGCTGAGGTAGAGCCATGACGGTCCCTGAATGGAAAGAGGCGCAACGGGCGGTTAGCTGCGGGTGTTGTGTATCCCCGGGAGGAGGGGAATTCGGGCTATACGGGTCCGAAGCTGCATGCTTCAGGAGGAATGGGAGCAGACGTACTGGCCCTATCAGGTCAGGCACGAACAAGACGAGAAGCCCAACGTTGCCCAGGATAAAAAAGAAGCCGATCAGGGTGACCATGTTTGGCGCAAGCCATACTGGGAGCAGACTCGCAGCCCAGTTCCACTACTCTCCCCTCCCCGTCACGTTGTTAGTCGGTGGAAAACATGGTGTGGTATTTCGAGCTCGAGTGGTTCGATGGACCGCGAGGGGGCATGGCTGTCGGGTCCGCTCAGGTTTCTGTGTTGAGGGAGGAGGCACGTACGTATGGGCGTAGTATGTAATGGGAGACGGGTGACTTGTCGACAGCGGAGTACTTATACGACTTGAGGTGAACCAGGGCATCTTCCGAGACGCACTCGGCGGTGGCTTCTTCTATGACGACATAAGGGACCAGTCAGCTCTCTGCCTTTTTTCTTCTCAATGGGTTGACACAGACTCGGTGCAATCATCGCGAGGCAGGTCAGATTACCTGTCGGGCGAGGACGAGGTAATTATTTTGGGATTGCTGGTAGACGGGTAGGTGTAGCGAGTGCATGGTGGGGTACAAGTCGAAGAGTTACAATTAAAAGGGGTGAGTGAGGTCAGCACTTACTGCTACTGGGAGCCATGACGGCTTGGTCGGAAGCCCCTCCAGAGCAAGGACGAGGAGAAAAAGACAGAAAGGAGAAATGAAAAGAAAATAGTTTCCTTATGATCTCGGTAGCATGCTTCTGTCATGGACTGCTGCTCCTCGTTGAAGGTTGAAAAGACAGTTGAGAATTTTGGAAAGGGGTAGGAAAGAAAGAAAAGGGAAGAAAAAAAAAAGGAGGGAGAGAAAGTCCACAGTGGTAGCAGCAGGCTCTGTCCCCTGTGCGTTCGAGGTCGACGACGCGCATTTACAGGTGACACTAGGACCCAGTTCTGTGGTGTACCAACAGGCGGTTATTGGCTCTGGCCCTTGCGGACAGCACCGGCCTTAGCACCAAAAAACCCCACCACAACCCGCCCCTAAATCGAGCATGTCGGCCAAGAGCTGCTGCTGTTTACTGTACATGTTTAGGCTATGCAGGCCTGTTGCATTTTCGACCATTTATTTACAGTGGAAGTGCTGAGAATTGGTTGACAACGGATAAGCCGAGACACACTGGCGCTTGTGCCGACTCTTGCAAATCTCAACTTGCAGGGACAATCGTCTCGTGTGCATGAATAAACAGCCGATTTTGGAACGAGCGTAGGGCAGGGGGTGACTTTTAGATCTATTTTTTTTTTATGATACGTTTCTAGAAAGAGATCGGACGCAAAAGGCGGGGTGGTGGTGGGAGGGGCGTTTGGCAGATGACAAGCTTGCAGGGATATCCCGAACCTTCACATGTCATCCGTAATCGTCATAATTTTTTTTTGTTTTTTGAGTGTACTATAGGATATTTGCCTGGTCTAGGGAATCTCTCCACGGCCTTCAACGCTATGGACTGGGTCTTTTACTTCTTCTCTGCTTCAGTACTTCATTGTGTTTCGTATTTATATCTTCAAAAATTCACCGCCTGCTTGGGTTCCACGCCTCCGCAGCTGAGGATACTGCCCACGAGTGGGACAATTGCCAAGTACTGAGCCTCTTCGTTACAATAATGGAACAGGATTGCATGTCGTCAAGCCAAGCTCCCGAAAAAACTAATCAGAGATACCTGTACATATCTTGGCACATTGAATTTAGCCATCACCTCACAATTGATTTTGCTCAGTCTCACATCACATGACGATGATGACGATCATGGCGAAAAGCGAGGATTGGAGCAAGAATATTGACGATGGTTCCGTACATGCCGAGAACGTGCACTGCTCCGGCCGTGGCTAAATGGAACAACTAAGGAATCCAAGCATCGAAGAAAACATGTCATCGAGATCCCATAAAGAGCAGTGCAGACATCAGAAGGAGGCGAAATCCCAAACTTGACCTCTCGGGCACCCTCGTGACATCTCGCCCTGGCAAGAGAGGGTGTTGTTACCTTGGCATTCTCTGCCTTGCCAGACCCCTCGAAAGCGGAGGTCTGGAGCTAGAAGGGCACTCTACGGAGGACATTCTACGAAAGACGTCACTCGAAAACTCGGGCCAACAAAGACATCCCTAAGATTGCGTTAGTACTAGAGGGAAAACAGGGCCTGGGCCACAGCTCTGGAGAGATTAAATAGAAAGACCACAAGGAACTATCCGCCGGCAGCCGCCTCATCTGCCCAGGTGATGTAACAAGCGACTTTTAAGAAGGCGACGACAGTACCAAGGGACCGGCGAGCCAGAGAAGCACGCAATTTCCAACAGAGGCAATATTTCTTGGGCTGAAAAAGAAGGAGAGAAAAAAGAGTTTTTTCTTGGGGGGGGGGGAGGGGGGATCCACGGGTGAACCGACAGACTCAATCAAAAACACATACTTACATGTCATTGCGCCCTGGCGAGAGTGTCGTGTGTTTGTCTTCTTGATCGCCTGACCAGATCAGGGTGGATGGTAACAAAGCGAGGCAAGAAGAAGCAGAATGAGGCCGCAGCGGGATCTTGTGGTGAGAGAATATGAGAAGAAGGTACTGGGATATCAACCAAATCATGATTGACATCATTAGGTTGAAATGATTCAATCGATGTAGACCTGCAGGCCCATGGCTACCCAAGTGGCGAGGCTGCGAGGCTGCTCGGGACCCAGGTAGTCGTCTGCTCAGGTATGTGAGCATTGCCCCCAGAAACCCACAACCACATTTCATGTTTCGAAGGACACTGCGAAGGACATGCATTTCGTATGTGTGTAAGAGTCCGACAACCCCAACTGCTTCATTCAATTCAATGCTCTGCTAGAACTCATCCGTCATACGTTTGCCCCCTTCAACTATGCTGATGCAGAACAAAATCTGCCCCATGTTGTAGTAATGAATGCTTGTAGCGCCATTGGCCTTGCTTATCCCAAAAAGCATGAAAACGCCCAATGAACCCAGAAGAGCCTACCTACCAATAATGCAATGTGACGAAGCTCCCAAAGTCAGATATTAGACGCACCCGGTATTGTGCATGTTTCTTGCGGCTTCGTGGTGCCTTTTCTATCCTTCTTTTCTCAGGTCGATCGATGCCTGGCCAGCACCGTTTTCGCTAGGAATGCGCTTACCTGGTTGAACATTCAACGAATGATCAAACTTTCTCCCAAGAGCTCTCCTAGTGGGGCGAGACAGCAACTCCCTGACACACCGGCCATCCGCTGCCCCCTCTCACCACGTGTCACGCCTCCACTGACCGGTCCTCAACCTGGCCTCCGTGTTGAGCTATTTTTGCAAAACCTCGACCTTGCTTGATCAGGAGTGTGTGGGGACCCCTTAGAGCAGGTAGCCGAAGCCCACGCAGAACAGGCCCAGCACAGCCATCGTGCTGTACAGCCTGGCCATCTCGAACGCCGGGGGGCCCGCAGCGCTCTTTCCGTTGAGGCTGGAATACACGGTGTCGCTGCCGGAGGAGCTGGTCGAGCTGGTGGAGCTCGCGCTCGCGGTCGCCGTCGAGTTGGTCTTGTTGGTTGTGGGGTCGAGCGCACCGCAGGGATGGTCCTGTCGGCAGGCGGACGCGCAGGTGTTGTTGATGCCGCATGCTGTAACGCACTGGTTGCCCCATTCCGTGCAGACGAAGTAAGGCAGGGTCAGGGAGTATTCGGAAACGTTGGGGGTGGTGTTGTCATCGCAGAGGCAGCCGTAGCTCAGGGTTGTCTGTTCAGAGGAGAGGATGCTTGTTAGTCATGACGTGGATGACTTCAGTACCATTCGGAACAACTTACCGAGTCGCAGGTGTTGACCTTTGCTCCTCCGGCGCCCATGTCTTCACAGATACTGGGGCACTCGGCGACCTCGCTGCTGCACCACTCCTCTGTAGAACGAGTCTGTCAGTCGCCTGCTGATGATCCGGTTGAAAATCTATGGGAAGCATCGCTTACCTCTGGTGGCGACAGGGACTGAGGTTGGTACAATGTAGTAGTCTGCCCTGACGCTGGCGACGAAGGCTGTTGCTACGGCCAAAACAGCTGTCTTGAAGGAAGGCATCTTGATTCTTTGTGGTGATGTTTGTGATGATTAATAATAGGGAATTATAACTGTTCGTAGATGTTAGCTGCCTTAGCCATAAAATGAGATTTTGGCCGACCACGATATGTTTTGGCTCCGTTTGCCACCCCGGAAGGTCCTGCCATACATAGATGTTGAGTCAAGAGGGCAGTTGCCCCCCTACCCGAGAAGAACCATGGGTTTAGAGGGTGATGAGAAGGGACGACTTACGAGTTGAGGAAGCAACGACGAAACAAGAAGCGCGACAATACAGTAATTTAAGAGAAGCTTTGTACAGGAGCAAGCAGCAATGCAAAAGGTTTTGAGCGAGCGACAGCCACCACAAATACTCAGTGTATGATTACTCTTCGTCGGGCGGCCAATAGCAAAACAAAAAAGCTGAGGGGGGAAAAGAAGAAAAAGGGGGTTCCCAGGTCTCAGAAGAAGCCCCATCGAAAGGAGGAGGACATTTTATGAAGAGATCAGATCGTACGGCAAGAGGGACGAACATGAAGGAGTATTAGGCCGTAGCTCCATCCACCATCTCACTACCTTAGCCCCTGTCCGTATGTCTTAGGGATCTTCAAGGGTCCAAGAGAAAATGCACCGTAGTAGAGTTGAGTACAACCTTAATCCGGGCTAGTCTCAAGCCTCAACCTCGAGTTCCCAGAGCAAATGCAGCTCGGGCAGGGATCCTATCTAGACCCCCCTCAACACCCCGGCGGGCGGTGACCCAATCAAATAGACCAATTGGCTGGAGACAAGCGGTCGAGGATGGGTGCGGATGGGCCATCCCTCGGCACCTGGGAAAAGGAGCTTGGCCCCTGTGTGTACATGCCATAGTAGCAGGTGCAGAAGAAGAAGACTGCCGGTCGATCGTCGACCTCCTCCCGTCTTGTCGAGAGTGGAGATGACTACAGAAAGTAGTTGATATAAGAGAGAGAGAGAGAGAGAGAGAGAGAGAGAGAGAGAGAGAGAGAGAGAGAGAGAGAGAGAGAGAGAGAGAGAGAGAGAGGTCCGCTCATCTCAGTTTGAAGGTCCAGTCGATCAAGTCCCACCCGACAGAAAGGAAACCAGAAGAACAAATGATGCAGGACAATCGGTGATGAGTTGCCCCCATGGGACAAATATTGAGGATCCCTTATCTAGACAAGCGAGGATGACATGTATTACGGATGGATCAGTGAGCAATCTTCCTCCCAGAGCACTGACCAGACAACAGTAGCACGCAGGTGGCGCCTTGCGTCCTGTGCTCTTCTGTGGCCACAGTGGCCCAGGAGCCCAGCAATTTCTTTCTATTTTTTCCCCCTCCCTTTCTTTTTCCTGGTGCTAGAGCCCTGCTGAGCTGCTTATCTCGAGCTTCCATCCCTGGCCAGGCGGGCGCTCGGCGAGCAGACACGGAACCAGAGGAGAGGAGAGGTCACAGAGCACGACGAATTGTCGTGATCGTGCCGGTGGAAATCTCGTCTTTGTTGGTCTCCACCTATTTCTTACTCTCGTTCCTGCTCTGACCTCGTAGTTTACGAGGACACCATGATCAGCCGATAGCGACAGTTTGTCAGATGTCCCTTTCGTGGTAGCGGAAGAGACAAGGTCTCGGCCACGCCTCCACCTTCCCCCGGCACTTCGCAGACGGCGAAAAGGAGGGACTTTGTGAATCCGTGATGGGGATCCATGGCCGCCTCCTTCGTATTCAGAGTCACGGGCGTCAGAGACAACCCTGTCCTAAAGCCAGAAGGCGGGGCTGGCGGGCTTTGGTGCATTAGCCCAAGCAACTAACACACCATCCCGCGTCTGCCTCCGCACGCTTTTCTTTGCATTCTCGCAGCCTTTTAGGAGCCACGGAGCATAATGAATCGCCAGCGGCGGGAATAGAGAGGAGCTAACATTTTGAGCCGCAGGACCTTCCCAGCCAGCCAGGCGGACGACCAGCTAGACGGACCAGCGTGCTACTACTACCCCCAGTAGGTAGCCTCGAGATCCGCAGCTGTAAGCCCAACCAAGAGTAGGAATGAATCATCCCACAGACTGGATCCATTACCCGCCACAGCTCTGATGATAAGAAGAAGAAAAGAAAGTCTAGTCGAGCTCGTATACTGTTCTCGTGGTGGGATGTATGTGTGACTGAAAGAAGAAGAGAGAGGCGAATCGGGAAACGTTGAGATTGGCCCTCAAGAATGGGATGGCTGTTTGGTCCAACCTTGCTGTGGGGGTGATCCCTGAACCGATCTTCTGTGGGCGTACCATGCAGCCATGGTACAGGGTTCATAATCCTTTCTCGCATCTCCCCAGACACAACATCTTCCATCCACCCATCACCACATTCGGGTCATTGCCGAAGACTGGTCTCTTCCTCTCACCAGGTCAGGTGGCTAGAATTATCCCTCGTCTCATGCTTGAGCATAAATTGTATGCAGGATTGGTCGGTGAGGATGAAAGAAAACCCCGCAATTGCTGCGTTGTCGCCCAGGATACAGTCTCACATTTCACCGTGTTGTCCTCTGCCATACCGTCCAAACTGTTCAGCATCTGGGGCGGTCCATTTTAACCCCATAAGCACATAGTACAGCACTTAAGCTCCACCACAATCTTCTAGCGCTGTAGTACCTGTGGTACCATGGTACAGAAGACCATTCACACCAGATGAGATGCTAGCGTATCGGCTTTGATCATCTTTACGCTGAGGTCATTTCACTCGAAATGAGCTGCAGACCCGCTAAACCACGGCGTGCTGCTCTTCGAAAGCGGCTGCAGACGACTGCCCTTGCGGCCAGCGGCGTCTAACGCACACCTTTTGTGAGCGGGTACGTCTTTAATTATAGTTTCTAGCTCGATGGATTCCAAACACTGCTTATTAACTACTAAAGTACTCTCGCGACGGTGCTTTTTAAGGAGAAGGGAAAGAAGAGGACGAGAGAGAGAGGAGGGAAAATAAAGGAAACTCTCGGGCATCGTATCCAAGAAGGAGAAGGTTAGTGAGGAACATATCACTACATCCGCAGGCTCTGGATGACAGCTCTCGATGACTTATCGACGAGCAGAGGAAGCAAAGCAAAAAGCAAAAAGTCCAGGAGGCACATGTACTAGCTCCAATGAGAACGCTCTCACTGATATACCATGTCGGGTACGTGCAGCCCTGGCCCTGCGCTGCCTGACGAAGATCTCGAGAAAGTCTGAGTAGGTCCATCACAGAGTTCAATAGCCGAAGCAATCGGGCCCCATTGGCTATAATCGGAGGGACTTATAGAGTTGTGCCTTCGTAAAGGCAAGGTTTACGTATACGAATGCCTCTCTGAGTGCCGAGGATCTCCGAGCAGTAGGGCTCGGCGTAAAGAAGATGCAGAGACTGTATTTTACAAACCCGTCCCCGAATCTTACTTATACAGGTAGCACCCGATGCGTGAGCACCATCATGGCCAGCTTGTTAGAGTTTTTTTCCTTCTTTTTTGCTCGCCTTCTCTCGTCAACTTCAGATGTGCTCCCTGTCGCTCTCCAGCAATGACATGGCCCGACCATGGTGCAGAGACCAAATAGTGATCGTGGCATCTGGAGATGGAGCAGTGCTCCGTCTCAAAATTCTCACAATAGTGGGCGGGGGACGGCGGATCCCGCTGCGTGAAGTTGCTGTCGAGAAACGATTATTTCCAATAACAACCGTTCCAGTGAAACGACGCTGTTTACCACCGAAGTCCTCAGACCACGAAATGAGCCCTCGATGTAGGCCACGGGACCTTGGAAAGTGGATAGTGTCATGGAACACGTCATCGTGGTATGGGGTTTTAGCTGGAACCCAAGTGAGCAGGTCTCCATCGACTGACTGGAGAACACTATCGAAGTGCACAAGTGGTCGTATAGATGGGGAAAGAGCTTGAATGTATGTATCCTTGTCAGCCTGTAGGACCAATCAGTCTCTCACAATGCCCATTTTACTTGCCGTTTTGGGAAGTCATATAGAACCCTCGTCGAAAGAAGAGGCCGTTTCATCAACCTCAAGCACGGCCTTTGGGAAGGACGACTGTGACGAGCACAGGATTGTCAGACATTAGAAAAGTCGCTACTCCATCTTATTTACAAATTAAATAGAGGTATGGCTTCGATGTCTGGATATCACGCCTGTCTTTTACTCAGGCGGTGCTTACTTATACAGGTGATGGAATATCTTGTGTGAGACCCCTAACCCTGAAGCGACAGGGAGAACCCTCCCTTGATAGAGCGCCGACCACTCCGTCATAGCCGTTAGTAGTGGTGGCGGTAGTTACTGCTCCTCCTGCGTCAGTACTACGGTGGCAGATACAGAACATACTTTTGTTAGCGTATCCATGGTCTTGGTTACCACACCCTCACATCATTCGAAGCAGATCCGGTTTCCGTTCTACCTTTCATCATCAGCCCACCGTTCGTACTCTCACCAGAGCCGTTTCCTGCCCCCTTTCCACCCCCTGATCATCGCCTTCGAAACCATCCCAACGAAAACAACTCCAACGGGACCTTTCTCTACTCCACCTTAGCGATGCCCGGAGTACACCGAGCAAAGTTCGCCCACCCCTGGCATACGTAAGCCCCCTTCTGGAAGTTCGCCCTTGAACTCTTCCCCCGGCCGCGCTCGGCCCCACAGGAGTCGATTTCACGGGTTAGTTTTATTCTTCAACAAAACAAGTCGGCCTTCTTGTCGATCCTCTGTCGCCAAAACCCCCTCGAACCTAATCTCTTGGTGTTCAACTTTCGAAAGTGGCCAGATTGGAGTCTCAACACAAAACACCGCCGATTTTCCCCCATCACACAAAGCACAGCGCAGAACCTCGATTTCCTTCCAGAGATCACCTCGAGTCCAACCAATTGGCGAGTTATCAATTCGGGGAGACCAGACGACCAAGACGCCTCTCGAGGTTCCCCCCCCCCCCTGAGGCCTCCCTCACATGGCTCCATGGCGACGGCCACTCAACCGCAACACCACCACCTCTACCACCAGCCTTTCTCGAATGCTGGTGGCCTGAGCAATGGGCACGCCAGATACGTGGCACACCGCCCAGCGGAAGACGACGATAGCATCGCCACCGAGCAATTCCCCGAATTCGACCCGTCTCATGACGGCAGCGAGGAGGAGAGCACCAGCGGCGACGGGGACGGGGACGGGGACTACACGCACCACAACCAGCAGCAGCAAAATGGTGCTGCCTCCACCAATGAGAGCGCGGTAAAGGATGGCCACGGAGCTGTCGTCGGGCAGGCTCAAAAGGAGCAGCAACAACAACAGCAGGGCAACCGGCCATTATTCGACGACGAGGACAACGAAGATGATCATGGTCTCTCTCCTTTGGACCCACGCCCCGAACCCGACCACCAGACTCACCACAACACCAGCGCAGGGAGGGTAGTCTCCCCTGTCACAACACCACCATACTGGGCGCACCGCCACGCCGACGGCGCGCGGCAGCAGGACTTGGGCCACAGCCGTAACCTTTCTGTGGAAAGCCTCATGGGTCCCGGCGCAATCACGCTGCAGGACAACGAGGCGGAAGACGACGCGCAGCAACCGCAGCGGAGCTCTGAGGAGACGCGGACGTCGTACGGGCGGGACCGCAACAGGGCGTGTTGGGCCAAGAGTGTCGAGGTCACGGACTACGTCATCGTGAACGGCAGTGCGACGAACATTGGGGCATTTGTGGTGTGGAATATACGGGTGCAGACGTTAAGCGTAAGTTTCTCTATCCTTTCCCACTTTTTGACTAGGGAGGTTTTAAGAGGAAGATGAACGGAAACCCTAGTGTGAGGTGCTGCCTCTAGCTTCTGGCTGCTGATGCTGGCGAACAGGGACCATACATGAACATACGAAAGCGCTACTCCGAGTTCGACGATTTCCGCCATCAGCTCATACAGACCTTCCCAGCCTTCGAGGCTGCCGTCCCCGTCCTGCCACGCAAGAGTGTTATCTCGAGGTTCAGGCCCCGATTCCTGGAGAAGCGGAGGGCCGGTCTGCAATACTTTCTCAAGTACGTCGTCTCTCTCTTTTGGAAAACAGCCCCTCGAGGAATCGACACGTTTTCGCTGACACCGAGACCTTCTATCGTTTTAGCTGTATTCTATTAAACCCAGAGTTTTCCGGCTCGCCGGTCCTCAAGGAATTTTTGTTTTCATAAATTGTGTGAACCCTTGCAAAACCCGTGGAGAAGAGCAGCGGTTTCTTATGGGTCGAGAGGGGCGCGCCGGGGGCGCCTCCTGTGTCACATCTTTCTTGAATACCCTTTTAACCCCTTCATTTTTTGGTTTCCCAGCACCCCTCATGTATAGTCAATATGGATTTAATGATAATGATGGGCATATGTCACATGTCCCTTTGCATCTCAGATGGAGAGTGAAAAAGAAGAGACACGGGTAACATGTGGTCACGCCTTGGGAGATTGAAGCATGCGATCTGGTCATCCATGCGTGATTAAGGATATCATTAATGCCATCTTTATAATGTTACACGATTTGGTCCGGCCGAGTACAGATGATGACACAACCTTGTGAAAGCCAGGTGGGCTAAAAGGGTATCTATATTAACTCCCCCCCCCCCCAAAACCCCCCCCCAATCAGACACAAACTATGTTGCATCCCGTCGAATATATATGTATATGCATATACACATCCATGGCAGCAAAGCCAATGCCAAACAAACACACATACACAGGCCGCTTGCAGCCTCCACGGGTGACTGCAGTCTACTACTATCCCTCCGCCTTTCCTGCCTTAGGCAAGGTTGAGCTCATACCCAGTTTCTGCAACAGCCTGAACGATGCCCTCTTCTCCTTTGGCTTCTTCTCCTGCCCGCCGGCCTGCTGCTCGAGGAACTTGCGCTCCTTCTCGGCGCTCTCGCTCTTGTCCCGCTCCTCCTCCTCGCGTTTCTGCGCCTCCTCGGGGTGGACCACCTTGTCCTTCTTGTGCGCCGCCCTCTTGACCAGGTCCGAGCCCTTCTGGCGCGTCTTCATGTACGCCTCGAGCCCGACCAGGACCGCGTAGGACTTGGAGATGGAGACGTGGCTCATGTCGACGCCCTCGTCTCGCATGCTGTGCACGAACGCGCGGAAGTTGCTCGCCGGCGGCCTGTAGTGGCCCGAGAGCGGGCTGAGGCTCGCCAGCCGGCCGTCTTTGATCTTGATGAGCCCGGCGGCCGAGATGCGCGAGCCCTGCAAGAAGGACGAGTGCTGGAACGCGCCGCTGTCCTTGATGCCCACGTACAGCCGGAAGCTGGTGTCGGCTACGAAGATCCACGTGTTCTTGCGGACCGACTTGCGCAGGAGGGTGTTGAAGACGGTGGCGGCGGAGAGGTGGGTGACCTTCTTGACACCCTTGGCGTCCTGGAAGCCAGGCGTGGCGTATTTCGCTGCGCGCGCGGCCTCGGCCTCGGATTCTGACGCGTCGTCGATGGTGCTTCTGCTTCCGGGGGACGACGAGGAGGAGGAGGCGGCAGCGGCGGCGGACGAGTCGCTAGGGAAGAGCTTGGGTTGATTCGGGTTGGTTGACTTGGGCTTGAACGCGGGCGTCGGGTCGTCTACGGGCACAATGCCGTGAATGCTGTCCTTCCATTGCTCGGTCGTATCTATGCGCGCGCCGTTCTTGGCCCAGCAGAGCCTACCTTGGGAGTCGACTTGTACGCGATAGTACTGCCGCTCCTCCTTGGAAAGGTATCGGACTTGTTCGCGGTCGAGTCGCTCTCTTGGGCACGTAGTGAGATCGAGGTTGCGCCCCTCGCCATAGTCGAGCCAGTAGAAGAAAGGTTCCTGCGTCTCGGCCCTCTTCCACTCCGCATGGTACGTCCGCAGGTTGGAGCCGTATCTGTGCTTCTGGTCGACCATCTCGAGAAAGTATTGCAGCCCCATTACGCGCGCGTCTTTCCGCCGCCTGGCCTTTGCGGCCTCTCGCTTCTCATGGGCTAGTTTCCTCTTCTCTGGAGTCGCGAGACTGGAGCTGGCCTCAAGATCGGACCCGCTCGGGCTCGTGAGCTCTTCGTCCATGTCCGCGGCAGCATGCGCTGCAACGAGCGCCACCTTCTTCCACTTGTAACGCGCCGAACTGGATTTCCTGGCGGCCTCGGCATCGCTTGCGCCCAAGCCTTTTAGGGTCGCCTCGGTGCCCACCGGAACAGGTATGTCGTCCTTCCCTCGCGGCCTCGTCACCTCACGAAAGCGCATATCGCGCAATGCGTGCGTCCACCTCGTGTCGGCATTCAGCCCGAGCCCCTTCATTTCCCGCCTCGTCTTGTACCCTCTATATGTCCTCTGTATTAGCATCGCGGCGTGATACCTCTCGGGGTCATCGGGCTCTGCAGGGGCCGTGCCGACGGCATTTGCACTGGCTATGGCGGGCGCGACGGTGCTGATGGATTGAATTTGGTCGTTGTGAGCAGCGTCCGACTTCTTCTGGCGGTGATGGCCGAAGATGCTGCTACGTTTAGGTTTGTCCTGAACATCCAGAGCCGACTGAGACGCCTCTATCGACTTGCGGCGCTCTTTCTCCTTCTCCCGCGACTTGCGCCTGTCCTCTTGCTCTCGTTCTAGTTGTATCTGTGAGATGCGCGACATCTCCTCGCCTGAGGGCGGTATTAGGGCGTCCATGTATTCCTTCCGAGAACGACGTGATGCTGTAGTATCTATGGAGATGTCGGATTTGGTTTGTCTGTGGCGGGATGCCTCCATCGTGGCGACGGCTGCATGTTTATCAGTGTCGCTGCTATTATGGTCGGCTTGTATGGATGGCACCTCTGGAGGGGTGGTAGCTGGCGGGGCGGATGACGTCGGTTCTGCATTTTCCTTCACAGGGGCCTGCCCATTCATGCTTGCAGACATCGCTCCCCAACCAGGTATTTTATAATGTCGGATGCAGGAAACCTGGAATAGATGCTGATGTTTGAAGTGTGACGAGATGTGAGCAAAGAGATGAGCGACCAATTTTGAAGACACTGAGCTGATGGCGGTCAATCCTAGAAATTCTTTCGGATCCCGCCTCCTTAGACGGCGCAAGGGGTGCTGAGGTTATAAGAGAGGTAGATTGCATGGCAGCGGAAATAGATATTGACCGTTGAACATGGTCGGGAACGAGATGGAAGGAGACAAGAGGAGGATCAGGGTCTAAACGGCGGTTGGCAAAAGAAAGAAGCAGAAAAGGTCCTGAGATATCTGTCGAGAATACTTATCCAGATACATAGAGATGCTTTCAAGATACAACCTTGATTGCGTTTGCCTTCGTCGAGAGTTACGCGAAAGGCTGCCAGGATGACCTTGGAGAGCTTGGATTGGAGAGCTTAGAGGGGAGACGTTTCCAGATGGCAGTCCACCACGTCTTACATATCTGCAGTACTCCTTGGAGAGGAGTTATAGCTGCGTGACCCTGGTCGAACAAGCTGACATGTTTTGCGTAAGACAACGCTCGCTGCTGGTGGCTGAGGAAGGCGGAGGGCAGACTAGGATTCAGCAAGAGGGGGCAAGTTGACAAGCCGTCGGCCCTGTTCTTGTTCGGGAGAAAACGTCACCCTGCAGACAGGCCGCAAGAGTTATAGATCAAGATAGAGACTAAACCAGTAAGTGTCAAGGGCCTCCCAGAGAGGTCAGAGACAGGGCCGCACAGCCCGCTTGAAAGCGAGGGTCTGGTGGCTTCTGTCAGGCACTCTGGCCCTCTGTTTCCTTCCCCAGCCACGGTCTGGCATCTGTGCTCGTAAGATACCTGGAGCCAAGGGCTTCTCTTTGTTTAGGCTGATTGATTGGGATAAATTTGGTGTCGACCTGCCGACCATTTTGGTAATCTCTCCTTTTAATCAGTACTTTGGCTGCGGGTGTCTGGGAATTGTGTTTTGCCAGCAGAAGAGGTAAGGAGTGAGTGTAGTCCGAGATTCAGCAGTGGAATGGGCGAGAACGCGTTGGAAATGGATTGATTCTGTGTGGTGTGCTGGGGGTCGCCAGCAACGGTAACATGGGATTTTGGTTGCAGGGGCGCCAGCAGCGGCTTCCCCCTGCCGAGTTGTTGCTCTTGCTGCGTTCGGACCCAAGCATAAACCATTGTACCTACTTACTTTAAGTACTTACCTAGCTAGCAATCTATAGCTGCGGTATCAACCTTTGGAGAGTAACTCACTTGACTGGAAAACGTCAAAAGCAATACGGTCATGGCAATTGCTTGCGATCAGGTTCTTGCATCCTGTAAGCAGTGGCTTAAGCATTGACGAAATTGGTTGGTCTGCTGGAGAAATTCGATCTAGGCAAATTCGGAAGGGAGGCTGCAGGCCAATGCAACTGTCCTTGGCCACCTTTAGGAGAAGCAGCACAGACTATTGAACAACATCCTCTCAGGGGCAGAGAAGAGAGGAGACGAGAAGAAAAAATGAAGACAAAATGAAATGTCCTCCTTAGAAGGACAACAAGAGGGCAACGTGGCACGGTTTACCCACTAGCTCAGGCGAGAATGCTTGCAGTTTACCCTGGGGACTTTAGCACTGTAGCGCCAGCGCCTTGTCAACCCGCCTCCGCAGTGTTCAAGCCTGCCCAGCAGCAGCACTAAAACCTGCGCCGCAGGTACTTTTGACTAGCATCTAACAGTAGAGGGGCCCCAGCCGCTGTCCCCCAGCACCTGTGCAGAACCCAAACAAACACTGCGGCAAACTAACTTGGGGCAAACGCTGCGCAATCTCCGCAAATCAATCGGGCACAGCTCACAAGACAGCCAGTCAACAAAACAAAAGTCATCGAAGTGTCAATTGGCAACGGCATTTGCCATCAATCGTCGACCGACCCGACAAACCATGCGAGGAGATCGCCTCTCCAGAGATGGCCATGACTGCAACCAGCACTCGCTCTACTCGTAGAGCCGAGGGTCTCGTTGCCCATCCTGCTCATCACCCACACCACCCGACGACCCAGAAGCAGCGCGCTACGCGCCATCACCAGCTCCAGCAGCAGTCCAACTCCTCCCGGCCCCTCAAGCGCCTCCACGACGCAACCAACCTCTCCTACGACCTCAAGCCCCCAAAGAAACCAAGATTCGAGATTGAGATACCCTCAAAGAGTCAATACCAGACCCGTCTTTTCCCAGAGACCATCGATTCGAGGCAGCAGCAGCACCACCACCACCACCATCCCGCACGGGTGGCCAGCGTCACCCCGGCCCATAATAAACCCCTTAAACACGACCTCCGCCAGCAGGCTACCGCCACTGCCCCCCTACCCGCTGCCCCTGAGCCCACACAGCCAGCACCCGCGCCCACAGCACCAGCGCAACCCGCACTGAAGGCTGCAAAGGGCCAGAGTGCGGCCGCACTCACAAAACACCAGGCAAAGGTCGTCAATGGCATCAAGCATGAGTTGGACAGGTTGCAGCCGAGCTCGGCCGACATGGCCAACAAAGCGCAGGGCCGCAAGCTGCGCTCCCAGGAAGGCGTGCGCTACAAGAGCGAGCTGTCGGCCTACTTTCCTGAATACGACGAGGTGATTGGAAATATACCCAAGGAACACCGTAAGTGCCTTGACTTTTTAACTCTCCCATGCGCAAATTGACGCCTGCTTCAAGCTACGGCGGTGTAGCTGACCTGTCTTGCGTTTTGCAGATGTATTGATGCTCGATACTCCCATCGTCGTGGTCAACTCATCCTTCCCATCATCCTCCTCCACCTCCCTGACGCGCCGAGAGCCCCACCGGACACCCTCCACATTGTCAGTGCGCAGTTACAGCGACAGCCTGTTTACCAACCTCAATGACGCACACACTATTGATCTCAGCTGGCTCGAGTCACATCACAAGGGAAAGATCCTGAACGATCCACTTCCAGATCGTTATTACGAGCCAATACACCGAAAAGAATCCCGGAATGAGAAGATTACGAGGAACGCGGAGAAGGGCCGCTCCCAACATGAGAAGGAGCAAGTCATCCGCCTCCTCGACGGTCTGAAAGGACCCGATTGGCTCAAGACCATGGGTGTAAGCGGTATTACGGAGAGCAAAAAGAAACACTTTGAACCGGCCCGAGTGCACTTCATCAATAAGTGCGAGGGGGTCCTCGAGAAGTTCCGGAAATGGGCAGCCGAGGAAAAGCGCTTGAAGCTCGAGAAGGAGCGCGTGGCAAAGGAGAGGGAGGCTTCCCAAGAGCGCGAATCTTCGCAAGAGGTCGAGGACAGTATCGACAAAGAATCGGCGGCAGAGGAGCAGGATGAGGATGTCGGCGAGCATGAGGGTGAGGATGTTGATGCAGACGGCAGCGATCTGCCCGAGAGCGACACCGACGCCGCGGCTAAGCAGCTGTACGAGGAGGCCATGGCGCGATCACGAATGGCTGCAAAGTTGGCGAGAGGACGTCCGGTGCTCGAAGACAAAGCCCCTGTTCCTCCTCCACCTCCTCCCACCGAGTTCAAGTCGTTCTTCAAGAAGCCATACCAACGGGATGCGGCGCTAAATAAGTCAAGGCGGCGCGGTCGGACGGTAATGGCCTGGGGTTGTCCGGTACCAGAGCCTGAGCAGCGTGATTTCGACCTGCCAGAGGAGTTCAGGGACGAGGAGATGATGAGAGCGCGGGAGCGACGATTACGCCAACTTCGCCGAGGTTCAAGAAATCGTGGATGAGAGCTGGCTCGTCTTGATCTATCGAGTTAAGCACAAGGGCCCCACGCCAATCCTGGTCCGAGCTGGCGGAGATGATGCAGATGATGGATCGTACTGCTCTTGCTCAGTAAGATAGTGTATCAATTTGCGCCTTATCGGTAGATTGACGGCAAGCATAGCGGTCGTTCAAGCATCCATGGTAGCGTGTTGGCAGGCTGAATTTTTATAAGTGTACAAAGGAACAGGTATGATACTCAGTAATCATGACAATCGCCCACGTGCTCCCTTGTGTATGAGGTCTTGTACGTGTTCTTTTTGGTAAATTTCGGGTGTTTGCTTGAGGCAGATGATGAAAGGTATCGTGAGCCATGTGCTGCAGGGCAGTGGGCTTGTTGGTATTCTGTAACCACAAACCTGTTCTGAAAATTAGCAAAAGGGGAAAACACACGAGATGAGAGCATTTGGTAGTATTCAAAAGAAAGAAGGAGAAAATCAGTAAAGGGGAGAAAGGAGGGAAAGCTGGTACCGGGCGAGATGGTATTTGAGCTCGTCCCACCGTGTGTACCACACACCGCGAGAGCTGCCCCAATTCTCGCCTCTTCGTGGCCCCGACGTAATGTGGGGGCATCTCGCAGGGATGACACGGACCTCCTGTCAAACGACCATGGCTGATCTCTGCCTGCCGGCACTTTCTACTACTCAATCAACGTAACTCCATTCACCTTTCTTGACTACGATCAAGCTGCTGAACCTCTACAGAGAAAGTGTACTTGCTTCACCACATAGATGATGTCCTGGGGAGGAAACTGTGCCACTCTTCTTACTTTATTAGCCTGCTGTCCGCAAGAGGCAGCTGCGTGGAAGTGGTGTAGGTAAATGTACTTCACCTCTGCCCAAGTGGCCTGTGCGCTAAAGAGCTGCTGCTGTTAGGAGCCCGGCTTAACTCCTTCCCCTCCCTCTCCCACTCGGTGTAGATTCATCCAAACCGTTGCTTCGACAAAACACCAGACTTGCATTCCACACGCCTAGTCGCTAGCTTGTGGCTGTCTAGAATCTTCGACACCAAATTCTCACCAAAGCCATCCACGCGACGTATCACCACTGAGCAGGCGACTGCGCGAACCCCCGATCCTGTGTATGGCACCTGTCGCAGGCGCTGAGGCAACCTGCGGTTGTTGAGGGTTGGGGGGAGAGGTTGTCTGTCTTGTCTATCTGCAGTGCAGTGTCGCGTCGCGTCAACGCTCCAAAGTTCTTTTTCTGGTGCTCCGAGCAAAACCCTTCTGCAATCCAGTCTCTTCGAGATGCCCAGCGCCATGGAGAACGGCGCCGCGGCGACGGCAAACAGGGCTCGCTCTGGCGACGGACCCGTGAAGTACGAACCTTTCGTGATTCTCGAGCAGCGCGTCGAGCTCGACCTCTCCTTTCGCGCGAAGCAGGTCAAAGGCAGCACGACAATCAAGATCTTCAAGCTGGGCGACGACCTCGAATATGTCACCCTCGACGCGCGGCAGTGCGAGATCGACAAGGACGCCGTCACTGTCAACAATCAAAAGGTCAAGGTCGAGTACAAGGACCCATACACGCTGATGGAAACACCAACGGGGTACACATGGGGCGCGCATCAGCACCACCTCCGTACAGCGCGCATGAAGCCTCTCGAGCCTGTCATGCGTGCTGAGCTGCCCTTGAGCGGTAGGGACCAGAAGGGCTGCCAGCCGGCGGTAGGATCTCTGCGCATCTGGCTACGCCCAGACAAGATCAGGCTCAAGCCACAGACGCCGGGTGTGTCGGGTCCGTCGGGTCCGCTTGACCTCAATATGTTTGAGATCACCATACCCTTCCGGATCACGACCTTGCGGGACGGCTTGCAGTTCGTTGGCGTCGAAGAAGGCGACGACCGCTACCCTCACGCTTTTACACGGCACTCGCTCGAGCCTGGCTATGTCAGCTCCCTCTTCCCATGCGTGGATGATCGCACCAGGGTATTACAGTGGAGGGTTTGCCTCAAATTCCCACGTACTGTGGCCGATGTGCTCGAGCAGCCGCTGGCCTCCCACGCCCACGGCTCTATTACGGTCGCCTCGAACGCCAAGAAGAATTCCCAGAAGCGCGGGACCTATGTGCTGACCGAGGAGGACAAGCTCTTGGACATGACTGCCGTGTGCTCCGGGACCCTGGTCGGAGAACACGACGACGTGGACGACAACAGGAAGAAGGTGATGGAGTTTGAGGCCCGGTTCGTCGGCGCCCAACACATCGGCTTCGCGGTCGGCCCATTCGAGGATGTGGATCTTTTCTCAGCCTATCGTTCCGAGGAGGATGAAGCAAAGCTCGCCGGCAATGCCGTCAAGATCCATGGATACTGTTTGCCTCATCGTCGTGAAGAAGTGTGCAACACCTGCCAGCCGCTCGCCAATGCGGCCGATTTCTTCACCCTCACCTTCTCCAAGTACCCGTTTGATGAGAACAGCTACAAGATATGTTTCGTGGATGACATGGTAGACGATACCGTTCCCCTGCAGGGCTTTTCTCTGACCAGCTCCCGGCTCTTGTACCCGGAGGACGTGATCGATACTGAGATTGAGGTCACGAGGAAGCTTGTGCATGCCTTTGCGAGTCAGTACTTTGGTGTCTACATCAGTCCTAATGAGCGCACCGATACCTGGATTGTCGTTGGTCTCGCCTACTACATGACAGACCTGTATCTCCGGAAGCTGGCTGGCAATAACTACTACCGATTTGAGATGAGAATGCTGGCTGAGAAGTTGACTGAAGTTGATCACGGCCGCCCTTCCCTGCATGACCTCGGACGGTACCTGCACCTCGGCGATTTCGAAATGGACTTCATGGCCCTCAAAGCACCGTTGGTCGTCTTCATCTTAGATCGGCGACTGATGAAGTCATCCAATAGTTCCGGCGTGACTCGCGTCATGTCCCAGCGTCTGAGAGAATCGATGACGGCTGAAAATCAGAACGTCGCGGCCAATTTCGTCGTGTCTTCAGAGCAGTTCCGCAGACAGTGCGAGAAAAAGGGACGGCTACGTCTCGAGGACTTTTGGGACCAGTGGATCTTTGGCGCTGGCTGTCCTAGATTTCATGTCACTCAACGCTTCAACAAGAAGAGACTGGAAGTGGAGGTCACTGTCATCCAAAACCAGGTCAAATGGTCACAGGAGCCGCGCCAGCTGGAAAAGCACGACTTTTGGCGGGACATTGTAGAGGAGCGGCACAAAGTCGAGGCCAGCGAGGTTCCTCTGACTTTCACGGGACCCATGACCTTTCGGGTCCACGAGGCGGACGGAACGCCTTACGAACACTGTCTCGAGATCAAGCTGGATGCCGCGGCGACTAAGGGTTCCCGGCTGTCCATGCCTTACAACACCAAGTACAAGCGTATCAAGAGGACAAGGCAGAACAAGAGGGCAAAGGAGCAGGCTAAGACTACCGTCCGTGATCCAGAGCGAATGGATGAGGACACGCACGATGACGACGACGACCAGGGACACAACCTCAGCATGTTTGGGGATGTTCTCGTTAGCGACGAAGACATGACGACCTGGAAACTTGTGGACTGGGACGGCGACATGCAAAACCAGATGGACCAAGAGTCGTACGAATGGATCAGGGTTGACTGCGATTTTGAGTGGATCTTCGACCTGCAGACCAACTTCAAAGTCTACATGACTGTGGCACAGCTCCAGCAGGATAGGGATATTGCCGGGCAGGTGGAGTCCATGTTGACGCTCACCCGCAACGCACCCAGCAATATTCAGACTACGATGCTGCTGAGGACCCTCTACGACAACCGATACTACTATGGGATTCGAACCATGGCGGCAAACGCACTGACCCGTCATGCAGAGCCGGCCAACAATTTCAGGGGCATGCATCATCTCATGCGCGTCTTCAAGAAGTTCTTCTGCTTCCCAGACACCACGACGCCACGCCCGAACGACTTCTCCAACAAGAAGGAATACTACGTCCAGGAGGTCATCCCCATGGCCCTGGCCAAGATCCGCGGAGGGCAGGCGTTCTGTCCAAAGGAGGCTCGGCGGTTGATTCTCGACCAGCTGGTCTTCAACAACAATGAGGAGAACCCCTATTCGGATCAGGTCTATGTCGCCAAGCTCTTGGAGGCGCTCGCGACCAGCCTCATCCGTGCCAACACCAACAGTCCAAACCAGGCGGCACTCGACCCGGAGATGCGCTCTTTTGTAGAACAGGCTGTAGAGCAGATCCAGCGGTACGAGAACATGGACGAGTGGATAGGAACGCATGACAACATTTGGGTCGTTGCGGCCCTCGATGCCAAGATGAAGTTGATGAAGAGCGGTGTCATCCCCACCGACCCCAAATGCTTCGCGCAGTACACGCTTCCCCAGAACAACTATACTGTCCAGCTCAAGGCGTTCGAGGCGATGATTGAGCTCGGGTACCTGCTGCGCCCCGCGGTGATGAGACTACTCATTGCCGAGATCAGTACGAACAGGTCGCCATACGTCAGAGACCGGCTGTTCAAGCTTTTCACGCGCGGGCTGGCAGCCATTGCCTTTGGAGAGATGGAAGTACAGCGCCAGTCTGACGCAAAGCCAGCTGCTGCCCAGGCGGGTGAAGCCGCTGAGAACGATGGCCTTATCACGATGGAGGAAGACGATGATGGCGATCTGATTGTGGAGCAGAGCGACGACGTCATCAAGCGCAGACAGGAGCAAATTGCGCGTCAGAAGGATATCACGACTGCGATCAAGGCGCTGAAAGATGTGGTCGAGGATGATGAGGATCTGCAGAGGGAGCTCTGGAAGGCTCTTGATTCCCCGGTCATTGGCGTGGCCGAGAAGAGGAACTTGCTCGAGCTCTGCGCCACCTTGTTCTCGGAGGAGCACGAGATGCTGGTCACGATGAAGTATCCGGCGCGGTGGACGGTGCTCAAGGCTTCCCACAAACCCGGCCGGGTAAGTTTCACTCTTTACAGAATATGGTTTGTACCGGAGCCTTTGCTGACCTATCGCAGTCGCTCGTCTTGAACTTCAAACAAACTTACAAAACGGAGCTCAAGAAGAGAAAGCATGAGCAGGCGTTCCCAGCGGAGGTGCTCATGCCTGCTGCTGCGCCTGCTCCCGCTGCTGTACCCGCCCTTGCTGCCACGCCTGCTCCTAGGGCTCACCCTACGCCTCAACCGGAGAAGGAGAAGCCTGAGAAGCCCAAGAATAAGATGATCAAGATTTCTCGTGCCAATACCTTCACAAAGACCGCAACGCCAGCATCTGCACCGTCGCCAGCTCCTCCTTCTCGCCAACCTTCCATCGCAGTCGCGGCCCCACGCCCTGCTGAGCCGGAGCGAGACACCAGTATTGCTGTCCAAGGTCGTCCAGCCACCACTCTGACAACCGCAACGCCACCCGTTACTGTGCCACCTGCAGTTGAGCCTGTGCGGCCCAGCGTCAGCGTCAAACCTAGTAAGACCTCGAAGAAGCGCAAGCTGGCTGAGACGGATGCACCTGCCGGCCCTTCACGCCTCCGCAGGAAGATGGTCACCCTGAAGTACCGCAAGGACAGGCTCACAGACACACAACGGCAAATGATAGCGCGCATCGCATCCTCCAGCGCCAATGCGGCTCCTACTGATTCTATCACCGCCACGCCGGCGGCCCGATCCCGTGTCCAAGCCACGTCACCTCTCCCACGGGGCCCATCGCCCGGCAATGGTAATGTGGACGGCTCTAAGGTGTCATTCACATCAACCCTCAGCGTGGGCTCGACATCACAGCCATCGGCTTCTCCGCAGCAGCAGCAGCGGACCCCATTGTCCAATGGCAAAGTTCGCAAGCCCCTGCCTACGGGGTCGGGGTCTGGATCTCCTCCAAACAAACAGATACCTACCCCGCGGTCCAATCCGGTACCTTCTGGCTCTGCCTCTCCCGTGGTGCCTCGCCCATCCAATGAGCCTGGCCAGCCCAAGCGCAAGGTGGTCAAGTTGAAGACGAATACTAAGGCGCTGAAGGAAGCAGCTTCCAGGGCTTCCTCGAGGTCTTCATCGCAGCCGCTGTCGCAGACTCAACGAGACAGTCCAGCGCCTCCTCCTATATCGCGCAACCCCAGTGGTTCTCTCATTTAGGATCTCGAGACTCGGGAGGCGGGGGTACGGACATCGAGCGAGGAACTGAACCAGCTGGGTAGCCCAACAATGACTGCTTCTACCGCACAGAGTGTGGTGGCTTTTCCATACGACTTTGGGCAGAAGTGACGCAGAGGGCAATTGCAGAACGGACGGGATTAGCAGAGTTTTTTTTTTTCTTTCTTTTTCATGAGTGACGAGACCAGCTTTGGCCTACTCCCACATCAAGAACGACCGATGCGCAAGAATGATGATGATTGCGATGAGCAGCCGAAACATTCCGAGGGCTGAGGCTGGTCTATGCTCCATTTGGTCGATGCTCCGTTTCGAAATGGTATCTCGAGGGGCTCTACCTGTTGTCCTTGATGGTTATTGATGCGCAGCTTGGGTACAACGAACCTGCTGTGTCAGCTAGAACAGCGACATGTTGAAAGCAATCGTTCAAAGGAGACCTAAACCTTGCTTTGATCACACGGCCACGTCTCTAACAGAAGCTGCTCATGGAAAAGGGGAAAGAATCGGACTCCGTCTGTCGCTACCAGTCACCATGACAAGGTGTCACTCTACACAGCGACTCACTACCTCACTACCTCACGCGCAAAGCATGTCACATGAGATGACCTCAATCCACTTCACGACCTGAAGAATGGGGAGATACATCTGCACTTTGCTTGCGGGTGTCAGGGGCAGGCGTTCGTTCTCATAAACCCACTCAATCAGAGGCAACACGAAATGGTGGTGGGAGACATAACAGAAAACAGTGTGCCCCATACACTACTACCAGAATCGAGGCCTGCGGTCTTGTTTTTATTCTTCTTTTAATGAGGCTTCATTTTTCTCTTGTCTGATATTTTCATTTCCTTTTTTTTTTTTTCTCCCCCCAAGGGTTTATACAGCCACACAAAAGGGGGCATTCGGAAAGTGCATGAGATGGTTGGGAAGCATGGCGTTCAAACCGGTCTGGCGTTTTAGGGCAGAGAAAGCAAGTTCTTCAGCACTCAATTACTCTCTGAATGAGATTGATGCTTCGTATGGGGCCACTGTTGAGGGAAATATTGCCTAGGCTAGGCAGGGGTTTGATGAGATTAATTCTTTTCTTCTTTTAATCCTTTGCCTCCTTCTTCTCTAGGCGATTACTGCTTCTGTAGGATACATATGGGCCAAATTGATTGCCTATAGGCCTGCCTCCGTTCGTGAATGACCATCCGAGGCGTACGTATTTTATTCAATCATCTATACCCTTTGGTCGTGCTTGTGCGTGTGTGCGTGTGTTTGTTTGCCTGTCCCATGCATTATTCGATGTGTGGCAACTGCAATTGTAAAGCTTGGTACAGACCGTGATGGGAAGAATTCGAACAAAATTGTGTACAGAGGCTCATACATTATTTGAGTCCTACATTCCTCATCTATGCTCCAGAACGCAAAGGCAAGCAGTAGCCTTGTATACGCCTTGAGCCAGGATTCTCCATACCGCTCAGAACGGTTTGACGCTGTCGTACGCTGGAAGCAACACAATGCTGGCAATGACGAGAACAAACACCACTCATCCATCGCTCCCAAAAGTCAACCCAGAAAACAGACATTCCGCCATATTAAATGGACACACCGCAACACCACTAAAAGAGACCCCATCCGTCCATCCATCCCACACCGTGGGGGGCCCCCCTACCGCCGTCCACCCCTCGGGGGCCCAGTCCTCTCGTCCCGGCTCCTGGTCGCCCGCGCAGGCGCCTCGGGCGTAACGAATGCACCCCGCGAGCCAGCAGCAGCACCACGCCCCTGCGTCACCGCGGGTGTTGGCGTAACGGCCTCCCCGCCGCCGCCGCCTCCTCGCCTTACAGATGCCGCTGCTGCTGCCGCCGCCGCCGCCCTGCCGAATCGATTAACCGAAGGCACGATTGCCGCTGACGATGACGATACGGGCTCGCGGCTCATGGACCTCGTCGCCCTTGTGATCCTCGATGGCGCGGGCGGTGGTTCAGGGCTGTGGGGTTGCTGCTGTGGTCGCTGCTGCCGCCGCCGGTGCTGCTGCTGCTGTTGCTGGTGAAGGAGGTCTGGCTGGTAGTTTTCGGTTCTGACGTCCACGCCCTCGTCGTACCCTTCCTCATCCTCACCCTCCCCCTCGCCCTCGCCCTCGCCAGCCTCACGCATGACCTCGTCTTCTTCTTCTTCTTCCTCCTCCCTACCACTACCCCGCATCGCCTCTGCAAGAGCCCGCTCCGGGTCCGAGTCCGAGTCCGACGACCGGTCCACCTCGTTACGGTAGATGTCGCTGCTGCCCTCCTGCTGATGGACCCCGGCCAGCGCGGCGCTGCGGAAGCGGCTTGGGTAGTACGAGACCTCCTCCTCGTAGGGGTCGTCTTCGTCCTCTTCGCCGCCGATGGCGTCCTCTTCGCTCGAGGTCAGGTCCATCCCGCTTGTGTCGTTGTTGGCAAAGTAGTGCTGGTGCTGGTGGTGCTGCTGGGACTGCGGCTGCTGGCCTAGGATGCGATGGTGATGCTGTTGTTGTTGTTGTTGTTGATGTTGTTGATGATGATGATGATGAGCGGCAGCGGCAGCGGAGGTGGTGAGGTCTTTGAAGGCCAGGGCCTCGCGACGGTCTTCGTAGGCCTTGACATCCTCCGAGGTGAGGCTCAGCACCGTGGGGGGACGGCGAAGCATGGTGTGGGTTGTTGGTGAAAAGGCAGAAGTGCGTGCGTTTTAATACTGTGAACGTCTGGGTTGTAGATGGCCTTCCACACGACGACGGCCTTCCTCTTCAAGTTGTCCTTCTTTCCCCCACTTTCCTCTGCTTCTGTTTTCTTTTTTCAAGGGTTGGAAGAGTTGTAGAATGAATGTGCGTACATGTATGAATGAACGAACCGCTGCAGAATAAAGCGAATGTTTTGAGGAAAAAAAGAATATGTTCGCCTAGTGATGATGTTTTGTTATTAGTCGCTCTGTGATGAGCGCGGGACGCAGAGGTGGTAGGTAGGTTTGAAAAAGATTCAGAGTCAAGCTGTTGACTGCAACATTGTAGAAGTGTGTATGTAGTCAAGTGCACAAGTGAAGTGCAGTGTGCGACGCGTTCAAGTCGCGCGTTGGCAGTTAGTACACTCAAGCTTCCTTACAGTGTTAGTATTGTGTGTCCAACGTTGTTAGGAGGTCTTACAGTGCCCCAAGTGACGCATGAGCCACGAAGTCAGTGGGCAGGGGCGCTAACTACAGCAGAGCAGGGCCCCAACGGTACACGGCAACTTTGAGTGACAGACTACATTTGCCTCTCATTTTCTCTTCCTGTTTCTTTTCCTTCTAATATTTGTTTGTTTAGCCCAATGTACCCTTTCTAGTAGGAATACTGCTACTATGCTCTCTAATCCAACGTTGCGCCCTTCGCCCTTTCGCTTCTTCATACCAATCTACATACTCTTAAATCCACAGTTTCATCATATCAATAGCCGTTCTGCTTTTTCCCCCTTTTCCATTCCGCCCATACATACACGAAGCTCATATCAGATCAAAACTCTGCCGGAGAAAACTCACGCAAAGCAACCTCCATGCTCTGCATGGGCCAGACTCTAAAATATATTACATGCATGTAAGTTCATATAATCGTGGAGGTAAGGGAAACTTTAGAACAAGAGAGAGACGGAAAGAAAGAGAGGGCGAGTATTTGAGGCACAGAAACAGTAAGTAAAAAGAAAGTATAGTATTGGTATCATGAGCCGCCGAAGAATTCATTTGTACATCATCCTCGTCTGTGCTTCAAATTTGCCCACATCTTGGGGCATGTCCCTGCTGTTTGTCTATTCTTGTCCTTCTGGTCCTTCTTGTCCTCCTCTTTGACATGATTTATACGTCTAATCAGAGCCATAGAAGCCTGACGCATAGACATGCTCCGATTCCCACTTCAGAAAGTCGCCCAGATCATGGCCCAGGTTATATCCCATCGGCACAAACTCCTTGCTGCCGTCGACCGCGGTCGTCATGACCAGGTCCAGCATCGGGCTCTGCGGGAGGCTGACCATGCTCTCCCGCAGCGACCCCAGGCGCCCAGACTTGGGTGTGCGCGGGAGCGGCTTGGGCGAGAGGTGCTGGCCGCCGCTCTTCTTGAGCGGGAGCGTGTTGGCCTTGAGCACATCGATCCCGGGCCCCTGGTAGCGCTTGGGATGGCCCTCGAGCGTCCAACGCTTGAGCCCGCGGTCCGACGTCGAAGAGGTCTTGCGCGAGGGTCTGCTGCTGCCATTGGCGCCCTGCTGCTGCGGCAGCTGCTGGTTCCAGTACCCGGACGGATGCTCCGACACGAGGGGAATGGGCAGGTTGTGGACCTGCTGCTGCACCGTCTCCGGCACCTCGTTGTCGGGAATCTCGTCGCTGGACTTGGACTCCGGGCTGGAGGACCGGCTGTCGATGCTGGCCTGGCGTTCCCGGAAGACCAGGTTGACTGACTCTGGCGTGCCCGTCGAGTCTGTCTGCGGGGTCAAGGGCGCGGCAGAGGTGAGGGTCCGAGGAGCTGGGGGCTGTTCCCTCTTTACCAGGGAGCCCAGCATGCTGTTGGAAAACCCGAGGTCCTCGAACCAGTCACACAGGTCATCGGCCAGCTCCTCCTGCGCGTCACGGGACAGAAAGTCGTTTGGGTCGCTGAAGAGGTCACCCGCTCCGCCCAGGATTGCCATCTGGAACGCGATCCAGTCCATGGTCTCGTCAGGCGATGTCATTAGTTTGGACTCGAGCGAGTTGATTGTGCCAGCATTGACGAGATCGGCCTTGGCGAGGCGGATGCGTCCGTGCTGGAACGCAGGCTTGGTCACTGTGCACGGTGTCGACGCGAAGAATATGTGCTCTCCATCATCTTCAAAAAATGCGCCGGTTCTGGCCTTTGGTGTCGCAGATTGGTCTTCATACTCTTCAGTTGTGTTGTCTTGTCCCTCCTGCTGAGACTGCCTGCTGCTGCTGTCGCTAGCCTCTGGCGCCGTAATCCTTACTTCAGGGATGGTAGGCAGCAGAGGGAGATGTGACAATGATGAGTTGGCGCGACTGTGCGATGGCCGCCGGGACGATCTGGTGGTTGGTCCAACAACACTGCTCGGGTGCGTGGTGGTTTCATCGTCCCCTGTGTTTGCTCCTCGCGGCGCAAATGTCGAGGGAAACGTTGTCAAGGGTAACTGTGGGGGAGTAGGAGGAGGTGTGGCGAGCAGATTTTGCCCTGTCCTTATCGTCTCGTCTGATGTGCTGCTGGCTGATGCTTGGTTCATGACGTTCCTGTTGAATTCGGAGGCCCTTGGTGTGGACAGATCAGCAGCCGGAGACACTGCGCTGGCGTTGGTGCCCGGGTTCCCCATTCTGGACGGCTGGTTCTGGGCATACGACGGCTCAACGAGTGTGGTATCGGCATCGGTGGCTTCGCTCGAGCACTGCGTGCTGGTGCTTGCCGACCTGCTGCGCAACGTCTCGCTGGAGACCTGCCTCTTCGCCTCGGCCCTGGCCTCCTCAGCTTTGGCCTCGGCCTCGGCCTTTGCAAGTCTGGTCTTCCTGAACTCCTGAACCTGGTCGGGCGTGATCACCTCGTCGGCTTCAATCTTATGGAAGCCAAATCGGCCCGCGCGTCCCTCAAAAAGCCTGTCGGTGACCTTGTCGGCCGCCAGATTCAGCCGCGAGAGGGAGCGATGATAAGAGTGCTGGTGGCGGTGCATGCTGCCGCCCTTCAATGGTGGCGAACCAGTAGCAGCAACTTTCCTCGAGGAAGGGGACGAGTCATACGACGCGGCGCGTTGTGTCCTGACTGTCGGCGACTTTGATCCTCTCTTTGGCTTGTGGATAGAAGATCCACGGGTGGGCGTTCTGGGAATCTGTGGCGACGGCGACAAGGGAAAAGGAGACTTGAGGCCTTTCCTTGGGGACAAGACTGTCCCACGACCGGCCCCTGATGTTGGAGACATGGGAGACATCAACTGGTTCTGGGAAGCAGCAGGCACGGCCTCTTGGCTGCTGGCGACCGGAAAGGTCCGCAGCGGAGGCATCTGCGGGGCCTGAACAGTATGCAGGGGCTTTGGTGCTTGCTGCAAGTTCTCCGAGGCATTTTTGGGCTCTGTTGGTGGCGTTGGCGAGCGTGATACCCGCTTGGCCTCGTCCAGAGCTGAATTGACCGCTTTGAAGGCCTCGTCCGTCTGCCGGATCAGCTGCTGAACACTGTCGGTCACCCCGCCCTCTCCTCCCTCGGGCTCGGTAAGAAACCAGGTCCCCTCTGTCGCGGATGATAGATTCGAATCAGAAGGGACCTCCCTCAGGTCCCCATTGCTTCCAACCATCGGCCCGCTGTGAATATCCTGAGGATCCAGAGGTGGACTGGGCACGCCATTGACGAACGTGGAGTGATGCGGTGAAGGTCCATTCATGCCAAATTCGCTCCCACTGGGAGGGCCGATCGTGGTGGCATCGGCAAAGGTTCTAGTGATGGTAGGCGTCTTGACTGGGACATTCTGCGTGTGGATGACGGCTGCCGTCTGCGACGACCGCAGGCCACGGCTACCACTCCGAAGTCCAGGACTTGGCAGCCACATGCTCGCGTCCTGCGAAGGCGCCTTCTTTGTTAATGGTGCTGATGAAGGGGTGCTCACTGGGCTCACCCAGTCCGACGGCAACGTTGCCGCAAGTCGAGGGCTCTGAGATGGCGTCAAGACACTGCCAGCTGTGTGGGAGACGTCGAGGTGTTGACAGTGATGATGATGATGATGATGCTGCTGCTGACCGCGGCCACCAGCGCAGAACGGACACGACACGGCGCCTAGTATTCGCGCTGATAGGGGAGCCGCAGGGCTGATGCGACCTGCGAGGGAGGAGGAAGAGGATTTTGCGTGAGGTGTCGAGTTTCTCCGGCCGGTACTGGCACCTTGCGCCCTCACTCCTCCGTCGGTATGCCTGTCAATGGCGATAGGCTTCGGAACCTTCTTTGGGCCTGTCTTCTTTGGCGATGACGACGACGATGACGAGTGGCTATGCACCCATGATGATTGGTGTCTTGGCTGGTGGCGTGCTGCCTTCTGGATCTGTTGTATCTGGTATTGCTCTAGCTCGTACTGCACCCGGATCGACTTGGCGCTGGAGCACTCGAAGGCCACTTCGTTGGAATCATCAGATCCCGGAGACCGATGGGGGTTGTTGATAAGCTTGCGGATGCTGAACCCAGGCCGAGACATTCTCGTGCTTCACACTCTCACAAACTCGCCTTCGCCGCGTCTCACTAGAGCTGTGTGTCCGCCTTGCATGCGAAGAGGAGAGTGAGGGGAGTGAAAGTGAAGAAAGCAAAGGGGGCAAGAAAAAGAAAATCGGGGGAGGAAGATGAGAGGGCGGAGGAGGTAGAGGTATATAGGAAGGGCCCCTAGTCTCCTGGCAGACATGTATTGCAGGCGTGGGGGTGGTCGCCAGCAGAGCGCAGGATGGGGGCCGGAAATCCAACCTCGAGTATGCAAGTGTCTCGAGAGTGTGATCTTGTTTCTCCTAGAGTTGGTGTTTCGGGTGGCTTATGCAGGCCTATGGACAAAAGTCACGTCGCTGGTATATGATAAGATATTCGAGACACGGAAGTTGGCGTATGGAGGAAGAAGGAGGTTTGGTTGTGGGATGGGTTGGGTTACAAAGGCGAAGACCAGAGGAGGGAGGGTCCTGTGCTAGCTAAGAGGCGCGAGGAGTCGTGAGATGTGGGATGCAGGTCGTTTTGTCTCCCATGCCAGATAGGTCATCTCGACTTCCATTCTTGGGTTACATCGTTCGGGTGGGTGTGGTGCAGGGGACTCGGCCACCCACCTGGCGACCCGTCCGTCCCACGACGAAGGCCTGCGCAAGAGTAGCATCAGCAGCGAGGACAAGCGGGACAAACTACGGCTAGGACCGAGGTACAGCTCCTACCAGGTAGCCCGTATTCAACTCATTGACGGATGCTTTTTCTGCAGCGGCACCATGCCCTCCCGTCTCCCTCCTCCATTCCCTCCTGCCGACACAAGTTTCTCTCCATCAATGTTGTGTTAGTTTCCATATCGACCTGGCATAAGCGTAGAGAGGATGAGATCAGAACTCTCGAGCAGCTCGCTCACCATGATGAGGTGGCTGGACTGTCTCATCGGGATATCTGTGAGCACATAGTCATAGGGCTGGCTCGTGAGACTATACAGTACAAAGATACATGGCATGTCTCCATCTGTCAGATGCAGCATCATGTCTGTCTTCGCAGGGATGGGTTGAGCCCAGCACAGACAGGGTTCGCGGTTGGGGTCTGCGTCCCCTACCTACCAAGGAGGCTTGGCCAGTGAGGCGCAGGAGCCAGAGATCGGCCCAGGCATGCTGCTGCCCATGTACCTTTCCGCCCCGCAGAAAAGCCTGATATTTTTATCAATCAGCGCTGGCCGTCTGACGGCCTGCCTCGAGGGAGGGCCCCTGTCGTGTGTGTGTCTCCGCACCTTTCGCATAAGAAACCATCGTGAGATACGTAGGTCAAGATCTTGCGCGCCGCGAGCACAGCGAAGCAGACAAGGCGAAAAAGGGTGGTTGTCTAGAGCTCCGCGGCCGTTGACATTCGACAAAGTTCAGGCTTCCGTCAGAGATCGCAGCGACAGATTCAAGGGGTCCTGCGTCTGGAGGATTCTGGGGCCGTGCAGATAATGTCACAACTGGCATCCCAGCCGAGATTGAAGTCCCCAGCGCGCGTCGGAACTTGCATTACGACTGTGTCTCCGGCACGCATATCCAGATACTAGCAATCAGAGTGAAGAGAACACCCTCACCGAGCTTCTTGTCGAAGGGCGGAAGTCCGGGCAAGGCTGTATGTAGTATTTGGGCCTGCCGAGTGCGCAGCACCTGCAGGGTCGTAGAAACACAGCCTGGACGACGCCCTGAGCAAAAAGGACATCCGATATGGTTGAACGAAAGCATCACTCAAGACTCTTCGCAACGTTACTCGAGCTGGTCTGTCTTCGAATGTGCCTTTGTATCATGGCAACTCGTCGTACGCTGATGATGGCAACGAATGCGTGTCTCCTCAACTTAGGGTGCTACAATGCAGCACCCGCTCCGCCAGGTTCCACACAAACGAACTGTTGCGACGATTTAGGGCTGTAACCTTTTGCACAATTCAAGTAGCAGCCTGAGTCCACCGCCGCCACAGGGTGTCGACAATGAAACACCGTTGCATGCATCCAGGTACTGTCTTTGAATGCTGGGACGGTGGTAGCCTGGCTCATTACGTCCTCGGATCTTCGGG